CTATTAATAAGGGCTTTTATAAATTAGATCCTATTTACTCTTATATTAACTATAAATAGTAAAGTCTTATATTTTAGTAGCTTCTTAATACCCTTTTACTCCTACTCATGGCTTAGAATAGGAGCTACTCTTTTCCTAAATTATTATCTAATATTATTTCTTTATTATTAGTAGTTTCTATTAGTAGTTTATTATTACTTATGGGTTTTACTTTCTTTATATATATTATACGCTTGTGTTTTATCCTACTAGAGCTTGTTGCCACGCGTGTATGACTTAGTGGCTGTACTAGTAATAGGGTATAGCTTATAATAAAATATCCTAATTTTCTATATTATAGGCATGTTTCTTTAGCCTATTATCTATTAAGTTTATCCTAGCTAACCCATCACGCTTACTTCTAAGGGTCAGCCTCTAGTTATTAGGGTTTTATATATAGCTTAGCATGATTTATTCTAATAGTAGGGGTCTAGTCTATTTTATTAGATTAAGAACGTGGGTGCCGTGTCTATTCTACCTTATTAATATTAAGAGCGTCTATATCTATACTAATCTTATAGAGCCAAGAGATTAGATCTAAAAAGATAGTAGGAATACTATAATTTATAAGAGAGCTTAATATTATCCTATTAATTATACCTAGTAGGATCTACCTCTTAGCTTTATTATACTATTCTAGAGCGTCTACATCCGCGAACTCCTTCTTAAGGCGAGGAAGAAACTTTAAAAATATTATATCCTCTAGTTATTAGATCTAGTGTAGCTATTATACTACACGTGCCTTAATATTTAGGTCTCCATAGATACTTTTAAGATATTAAAGTAGTTCCTATAGATTACTAGTATTTTATTATAGCTTAATAAATATTCCTAAGTTCTTCTAGGCAAGCTTCTCTAGCCTAGAGAACATGTATATAAATTAGTCTTATAATATACTAATAGCTTCTCTATCTATACTAAGCTTATTTTCTATTATAACGCGCCATTTTAATTAATTACTTATATTTCTACTAAATAGTACTAGGTCTAGTAAATATGCCTTTAGATAGTAAATATTTTCTACTTATTAGGTTTCTAGCACTAGTTTAGTTCCTATTTAGTTTAGGGTTGCTAGTCCTTTGTTTATTATTATTATTATTATTATTATTATTATTACTAGGAAGACCTATTACTCTAGTATTACTTTAAGGCGTTGTATTTATTCTTCTTAAGTAGTATTATATAATATATATTACTCCTATTTTTTATTCTATATAACTTGGGTCTGTGCCATCTACTATAGCAGCATCTGCGCCCATGTAAGGGGGCTCATTGACTCCTATAGCTACATGGCTATTAGGGGTAGTATCGCGTATTATTATTATTCTAATTATTATTCATTTGCGTTTTATTATATTAATTAATAATTAAGAATTAGAAGCTTTTCATATATAAAGGGCTAAAGCCAGACTTATATTTAATCTAGCTAGGCCATGAACTGTGTATAAAAAGCTTAAAGAAAGAGAAGTTCTCTAGTCACATTCTTCCTATTAACATGCCATGGTCATGTGTGCGGGCGCTAGCCCGTGCCTGGTATCGGGCACTGGCCCGTGACACTAGTTAGAGGTTAAGATAGTTAGAGAATTAGCTAGGTTCTAGCCTAAATATAAACCTAAATCCTTAAATAAAGCTCTAGATAGATTATATAGAATAAAGTAAGTATATAATCTCTAATAATAGGTAGTAGTTATTAGAGATTATATAATAGCTATAGTAGCTAGTTTTAAGTCTAAGAATAAGTTTTTAGAGGTAGATATTTATTAATATCCTAGTCCTATATATTATCCTATAGGCGCTTAAATAGGTTTATATTAAATTAAATTCCCTAATTCTTAATACTAGTAGCTAGGAAGTTATAGTTTATATATAGCTTCCTAGGTATAAGATATAAATAATTTAGTTACTTATAAATAGAGTGCTAGTTCTATATATATATAAAGGATCTAATCTAAACTTAAAGAACTAGTATATAGATTATATATAAAGTAATCTAATTACTAAGATTATTAGGGGAGAAGTTTCCCTCTTCTTAAAGGCTATAAAAATATTCCTAAGTTCTTAATTAGTTATTATATAAGGTAAAAGAGTATATACTTACCTAATATTAAAATAGTATCCTATATGTTAGTTAAAGCCACCATGCCTTAATCTACTAATTAGCCATACTTATACTATATAGATAATAGTCTCTAATATAGATTTCTAGGTAAAGAGACTATTAGAGCTTATACTATACTTTAGTAAGAAGAATTATCTCTATACTATAATTAGATTATATAAAGCAAGGCTGCTACTATATAACCTTAAGTATATTAAGGAACTATTAAAACATACTAACTACTATATAAGAGCTAATACTAATATATATCTAGATAATATAGTAAGAATAAGTATTAATTACTATATATATCTTAATACTATATAGGGCTAGCTTAAGATAGCTATTAATTAACTAGATAAAATTTAGCCTAGGTATAATATAGGCTCTATAATAATATTAAAGATCCTAAAAGTATTATTATATAGTAGTAGGAGCGAGCTCTTTATATAAAGAGAATAGTTAATCCCTAGTATAGAATATTAGTATTTATTTACTAGTAAACTAGAAAGAGTTTACCTAGCTAATAAGAATCCTTAATTCTTAAAATATTAATAAAGTATTCTCTAGTTATAGCCCTTAATTTAATCTATAATAAGGTCTATATAAAGTTAATTTAGTACTTAATTAACCTCTACTTAATCTATAACTATATTTATTATATATTAATAAAGTCCTAGTTAGTATTATATATATTTTAATATATAAGCCTTAATATCCTAGCCTTTATATTATAGAATATAAAGTATTTTAACCTCTAATAGGCTAACCTAGTATATAAGGACCTTAATTTATATATAAAGAATTATATCCTTTAATACTATATAATTTACCTTCTAGATACCCTATATTTAAAGATAAAGTTTAATAGTTATATTACTAACCTAGATCCTATATTAATTATAAAGTAATTTAGTAATATCCTAATAGGAAATATTTATATAATAAAGATAAGAGATCTCCTCTCTATAGGGCTTAAGATTAATAGATAGCCAAGGCATTTTTATATAATTATATAAGGAAGAGGAAGAATATAAGCTTAAAGAGGCTTAATAATTATAAGTTAAGTAGTTAGATGGGTGGTGTACAGCATCCTTATAGTTAAAAAACGTTTTTATCCTTTTGTCCAGATCGTCCCCCGTAGTGGTTACTCCAACTTGAGTGGCCAATTACGGGGGTACGATTAGTTGCCGTACTCGTTTTGGTTAGAGGAGGCCAAGTTCTCCATTTCCGCCTGCAGTGGCCTTGTCAGCATTAATATGGGCCGTTATACCGGCCTGGTGCTGTATAAACTGCATCGCCAATATCCATGGTTCGTCTCTGCAAGGCATAGGTGCCTAAGTAATAGCCACATTGCAAACAGAAACATGAAGACACACTCGCAAGAACTCAAGACCGGATGGTCCATGAAAGAGCATGGCCCCGAAGAAACCACAGGCCCATGGCTTGCTGTAAAACAAGTCCCAAGCGAGGTTCATCTTGATCTTTTCGCAAACAAAAAGTGTCTTTCCTCTCTCTTCCCAAGCGCCCCCCCAATTATACCGCGATGCGAAGGGGGAAAAGCTAACCAGGTCGACCAGAATCCCCGACCCATTCCTCGACACCAACGAACTCGCCGTGCAATGGATCGGCGAGAAAGACTGGGTGTACAAAACGACATTCACGACACCGCAGGGATCCCAAGAGCATGGGGTGACGACCGCGCTTGTGTTTCGGGGCCTCGACACATTCACCACGATCTCCCTCAATGGAACGACCATCCTCACCACGGAGAACATGCACACGACCTACCGTGTTGACATCTCGACCTTGCTCCTCCCATTCACGCCAAAGGAGGAAACCGCAGAGAAAAGCAGCGCACTCAATGCCCTCGTCATAACCTTCCACTCTGCGCTCCTCCGCGGGCGCGAGCTCGTCGACACCCACCCGGAGCATACATTCCACGTCCGCCAGACAGAGGCAGGTCGGGTCCCCGTCCGCAAGGCGCAGTACCACTGGGGCTGGGACTGGGGTCCGATCTTGATGACCGCGGGGCCGTGGAGACCGATCGTGCTGGAGACGTATGTGGCGAGGGTTGAAGATGTTTGGGCGGAGTATCGCCTTAGCGATGATTTGAAGACTTGTGAGGGAGAGATTTGTGCCAAGGTCGAGGGGTGTGCAGGGCAGTGGGTTGTTTTTTCTCTTCGACGGCAGGGAGGAGGTGAAGACGGAGAAGTTGTGAGAGAGAAGGTGCGCGTGGAATCCACCGACGACTCGGAGGGAATAGCTACAGTGAAGGTCCCATTCACCCTGCATTCACCAGCTCTCTGGTATCCCCACGGCTACGGCTCTCAATCACGGTACATTCTCTCCGCAGAGCTCCTCGACTCAGACGACAAATCTCTCGACCAACGCGCAAAGCTCATCGGCTTCCGCCGCGCAGCCCTAATCCAGGACACGGACGCCTTTGGCAAATCCTTCTACTTCCGCGTCAACAATATCGACATTTTCGCCGGCGGCTCATGCTGGATCCCACCCGACAGTTTCCTCAGCCGGATGACTCGAGAGCGGTACAGCGAATGGATGAAACTGCTCGTCGAGTCGAGCCAGGTGATGATCCGGGTATGGGGAGGTGGAATCTACGAGGACGACGCGTTTCTCGATGCGGCTGACGAACTCGGGACCCTTGTCTGGCACGATTTTGCGTTTGCGTGCGCGAGCTATCCTGTCTTTGATGGGTTCCTGGCTTCGGTTGAGGTCGAGGTCAGGCAGAACCTGCGGCGGTTCAGGGGGCATCCGTCGGTCGTGGTTTGGGCGGGGAATAACGAAGATTATCAGGTTCAGGAGCGGTATAAGTTGGAATACGACCCCGAGGACACGGATCCAGAGTCGTGGCGTCGGTCCACGTTTCCTGCGAGGTATATCTATGAGCATCTCCTGCCGAAGTGGGTCAGCGAGGAAGACCCGAATGTACTCTACCACCCTGGAAGCCCATGGGGCGACGGGAAACAAACCTCGGATCCAACCGTCGGCGACATCCACCAGTGGAACAGTAAGCCCCCAGACCCTCACTCTCTTTTCCTAATGCTTGGCTCGGAGTATACTGACAAGCAAGTCTGGCACGGCCAAATGATCCCCTACCAGCGCGCCGCGTCACTATCCGGTCGCTTCGTCAGCGAGTTCGGCATGGAGGCGTATCCGCACCTTTCAACAATCCGCCGGTTCGTCACGGACCCCTCCCAGAGGCATCCGGGGTCTATGACGTTGGACTTTCACAACAAAGCTGCCGGACACGCCCGCCGACTGGCAACCTACCTCTCCGAGAACCTTCTCGTCCCCGCGGACCTCGCCTCGTACACGCACGCCACGCAGATCCTCCAGGCAGAGACAATGCGATACGCATATAAATCATGGAGACGCATGTGGGGAGTGTCCGGGGCAAGGCAGTGCGGCGCAGTCCTGGTTTGGCAGTTGAATGACGCGTGGCCGGGGGTGTCGTGGTCTGTTGTCGATTACTACGGTGTGCGGAAGCCGGCGTTCTATGCGGTCAAGCGGGCGTTGACGGCGGTGGATGTTGGTGTTTCAAGGGAGGCGAACGGGGATTGGACGGAGGGGCATGTGGATCCCTTTGAGGTCCTTGGTGGAAGGGGGTGTTTGTTTGATATTTGGGTTACGAGTAGTCGGCTTGGGAGGGTTGAGGTTGAGGTTGTGGTGCGGTTTATATCTGTTGCGTCGGGAGAGGAGGTTGCGGAGGGGATAACGAGCAGGGTGATAGCCGACGCGAATGCAACGACAGAGGTTCTGGCAGACCAGCGGATTAAAGTTTGCACAGCAGGGGACTCACCAGACAATCATGACCCATTCATCATCCACGCCGTGCTCCGGAGCAGTGACGGACGTATTCTCGCAACCGATACTGACTGGCCACAGCCGTTGAAATACCTCGACTTTTCGAATCGCAATGTCAAGGTCGAGGTCTCACCGTTGGGTGAATCCATTACTGTCTCGGCCAATCGCCCGGTCAAGGGGTTTGTGTTTGAGGAGCGGGAGAGGCTGACGTTCAGCGACAATGGCTTCGACCTTGTGCCTGGCGAGGAGCGTGTTGTTACCGTAAGAAGGGAATCTGGACATAGCGAGGCGATTCGATGGACCTATATCGGTGATGAGAGGAGGGGTACTCAATCATGTTAGCTGTATGCTTGGTATCGCCCACCCTAGTGAAGCAGCTATATCAACCCGTTTTAATCAAGAATATGGTTGGGAAGCACGGGCCTAGCCACACGGGTCCCCAATAGGTTCCCCAGTGAAGTCCTTAATGAAATGCCTTGTGAGATCTTTTATGTGATCTTCAATGAGTGGAAGAATGAGATGGTCAATGAGAGGCTAATGGGATTGTTAATGAGCTGGCCTGGTTCAAAGCTTTGGTACGCACGTACTTTCTATGAGCAAGCAAGATGGTGAATGACACAGTATATGGAAATGTGAGCAAGGTAGTGAATAATATAGTGGATAGGCCTGTGGGAGAACAGGGTGAACGAGACGCTTTGCGAGCCACTTCTTTATAAAATGCGAATAAGACCCGACCTTTTTAACCAGCTGCATCTATCCAGTTCCAAATATGCTCTATCGGTTTGCAGAAGCAAATATCTCTACGTCCTTATCTCATTCCTGACGAATATCGGCGATGATGTGGAAGAGTTACGAACGTAACGATCGACCTTGCATCGGCCGGGGGCCCCGGGATAACGGGGACCTTGCAAGAAGGGAAGGCGCGACGGGCCACCTGGGACCCCGCACGACGTAGTCAGGACAACACGTTCGGGCTCTCTTGCTCAAGGGGCAGGAACAACCCAGTGCCGGGTAGCCCAAATTAGATACCCATCGTCTCTCTCAACGCCTTCGCACGCACGCCCAACCTTGCACCGGTCTTTAGATCATGCTTCCTCCCCAGATAACGAAGCTTCGTCTTTGACGGCTACGCATTTGCACCCTCCCACCTCAGCTGGCGGGACCAACAAGGGTTTCGAGCTCGGTGCAGCATTAGGCTGTAGCATCAGAGTTGTGATGCTGCGATTGTGCGGAGACGGATGCAGAGATGCAGACCAGCGAAGCCAGAGTAGGTTCAGCCTCCACGGATCGTTATTTTTATCAAGTATCGCAATGCTAATCACTTCGTGTGACTCTTAGGCCGGCCATGCCATGCAATCTCGCCGGGATGGGCTAGAGATCAGTGGGGATTACCGCCGCTTCGTAAGACATGGTTGGATTTGAAGTACCATAGCGGATTGCCGCGTAGTACGCTTAGCTGCGCAGTGCCCTACAAGCTGACAGGGCCGGGATTCGAGCTCCGTGGAGACTTGATGTACCTGCCAGAGGCCAAGCAGAACGGTCGCCTTGACGTTGGTAGACATCTCTTTCACTCATGATTCATTAGTTGTGCTAACAGGATGGCACATGCAGCCATGAATGCCTTCATCTACGCGGAACGCCTTTGGATAAGTCGCCCCCAGGGTGCCGCGACAAGGCCCAGGCCCTGGGTAGGCTCCCGTCAATAGCGCCTCCGCCCTCAACGGAACCTGGGCGATACCCTGCCCGGCTCCCTCTCATCCAACTTCACTCGATCACGACTCTATAGCCCTCCCATCTTAGCCTGCTATCACTCCGAATCCGGCGTGAACAATGCCTGGGGTTTAGGCCCGGTTCTGGGTTGCAGGATCAAGTGCATATTGGGAGTGTGGTGGTGCCTCCAAAAGCGCAGGAAGGCAAAGCCAGAGTATGTTGAAGAGCATCCCTCTTGTTGTGCAAGGCTAATTACCTTGGATTATAATTAGTCCGGATACAAACTTCAAGATTACCCAAGACGAGTACGAAATCAGCGGGGATTTATATACCCCAGGACTCTGCGGGGCGACCAAAACCACCAGGATTGTATAGTACCTCAACTCTTGATAATGTTAGATCTGAGTTCACTAACATATTGGCGTGTGAAGATCTCAATACGCTTTTCGAAGTGAGGAACCTTTCCAGTGCGGGGGGACGAGAAGCCCATACTGCCGCCGCGGCAACAGACCGAGAACAGCCTCAGAATACTGGTACCGGCCCCATGAGCCATTCACCCAGTCGGCTCCGCATGCTCTCACAACGGCCGCGGAAGAGACCCAGAACACTGCTGGCCCCGCGGGCCGTTCACCACTATCAAACCCGGTCCGCTTCGCAAGATCCTACCGAATCACAATCGCACTCTCGAGATCACACTGAGCATCATCACAAATAAATTTCGAGAAGCGAAAACCAAGCCATGGCCACTGCCAACCAATCCCTGACAATGCCAGCAATGGCAGACGACGCCTCTTCAAAGGGGATGATTATACTTGGGGCCACGGTGGGAGTCCTTTTGGGGTCCCTCCTCACAATCCTCGGCCTCTTCGTGAGGCCCTGCTTCAAAAAGCGGAAGCCAGAGAGAGTATGTTTCATCCTCCTCGAAGTACCGCAATGCTAATCGCCGCGTAATACTCTTAGTCCTGAGATGCCGTGCAAACTCACAGATACCGGCTTCGAGCTTACTGGAGATCTCATGTCTCTATATATTAACTAAATACAATTAAAGCTAAGAGCAGGGCGGCCTGTTAGAAGGCCCACTTATGGCTCCTTTGTAAGGACTCGTTATTGCGATCCCCAATCTGGCACGGGGATTCAAAATCCTGTATTCCCTGAACTGCCAAGGCACACATGTCTCCTTTCATGTCATTTAGCTATATCTAGCGATTCCCTAGCTAGATAGCTCCATCGTTCCGACACACTTTTGAATGCATGCATCTTCTTTGATCATGGTTGAGTCTTCTCCTGGAACCGTAGCGCACTCTGTCACTTCCTCTTGTCTTGGGACGGGTTGAGCATTTCGTCCAAGATCACGATCGAACCACCTGCCGCAGCAGCTGCCTGCTCTCCTCTGCAGTCAGATCACGAAGCTTGACTATCTCCAGGTGCCCAGCACCACTGATTCCTCCACCTCCCTTTCCCTCGCCGCTTCTACTTCTCCGCCCCCTCCAGCACACACTCCTCAACCAAAGGCCCCGACTGCGGCTCCTCCAACCGCCTCCTGGTCCAGCGCCCCATGGTCGACACCGTCCCGTCAAATGATTCATGGGACGAAGCCAAATGATGGCCGTAGGCCCACTAAGGACTTCTCGAGGTTTGTATAAGCGTCGGTTAGAGCCAGGAAGAGGGCGCGCGCACGTCCCATTCTACCCTATGATGGATACCCTCCCCGTCCGCCTAAAACAGAAGCCAACAAGAACCCACCCCCATCGAAATTAGAAGCCTGCACATCGGGATATCTCCAAACCCAGAAAAATATCAGGCATCTACCCTCTTCGCAAAAGGGCCTTGAGGTTCACGGAGGTTTTCGAGCGCAAGGTATCAACCAGAGGGTCTTCTTAAGGCACTAAAGGTTTAATGTTGATTCAAGCGGGGATCAATCGAGGTCGCGCAAGGGGTTATTCGAGAGTTCAAGCGAGGTCCAAGCGAAGTTCTGAGGAGCGCCCGTAGAGGTAGAAACAGCTTCGTACAGGAGAGATCACATAAAGGTGCTGTAGGGTATCTTGCCTCTGCATAGGATGACCACTGTGTGCAAAAATAATGATGAATATGGTTCCGTTAAGGGTACTCTGCAACTGATACACTAATAGTAAGAAAGATGTTGAAGCTGAAGAGGTTCCATGGCGAGAAGCGGTTGTTATGGAGGCCCCTTGGTCCAGTGCTTCTTCCCCAACAATGGGAAGAGTAATTCCAGTCCCGGAATAATCTCACGGGGAGGCAAAGTTGACAAAGCTTGTTTACAGTTTACCAGGGTGAGTCACGGGAGGAATGTTCAACTGAGTTTTCAGCATCTTTTCTTCTCAGGCTCCTCCTAATCCCCGCGCACCTTGTCCCTGGCCATCAACAGCACATCATGGATCATCGCAAGCTGTGGTTCCGCGACAGCCCCTGGTTCTTATGGTACCGAATCGAATACAAAGTCCTCAAACATCATCCAACCGCAGCCCAGAAACTCCGTCGAGTCCTTCACGACAAGCTCGGTCTCACGGAAAAGGAGTGGGCGGCCGTTGAACGCTTTTTCGTTAATCACGAGGCGCTGGGAGTCGCGACGCAACGCAACGAGTGGTTTGGCAAGGAATGCGCCCGGCTGGAGAAGATCCTCGACAACACCAAGAATCTCAACACCGAGGAGTCACTCCAGGTCTCGAGCGAGTACCACTAAATCCGCGACGAGATGCGCCAGAACCAGGATGAATGGAGGCGCAGGGTTCGACTACTATGGAAAGCAGGGTGCGATATCGAACACACACCGATTGCCCGGGCGCTGTATGCATGTCAGGAAAGGGAGGGGTGGCACATGCATCCGTGGCTACGTTTGCAGTGTGAACAGGCCGGGGGCTGCTGCGGGCGCGGGTGTGGATGTTGCGAGAAACGACGGGGTACGCCGATGGGGTTCTGGGTTGGGCACTGTACGCCGGCTTGCCATTGCGGCATGAACCATCTTGGGATCAAGAGGCCGATCGACGCCTTGGAGGATCCTGTGGAGCTTGGGCTCCGTGTTCGCCCAGCCGAGGATGATTTTTACAGCAAGCAGATGATGGAGGTTACCATTTGGGATACCAAAAGTGTTACTTGACAGTAAAGCGCATAGGGATGAGGGAAAAGTCGTTTCTACAGCTTGGCAGGAGTGTACCAGGGCGAGTGTCTTTGCATGAGTGCCGGGATATGTCAGGATGTGGTCAAAGCGACAGAGCATGGCAGCAGAATGCGGGACATTATTTTCGATCCCCATAGTATGACACTGAATTGGAATAATCAAAAGTCCTTTGCGATCACCAAGTTCAAACCGTCTCCAAACAGCCTCAATGGTTGATGGGATACTGAATAGATCAAGCGCCTAATTATGGGTTTCATCACCGCACCACCCCGCCATTTCCAAATGAGTTGTCTCGGGAATCCCGCAGAGCATTGGAACCTTGTGGCATGGGCCGAACATAAGCGTCCTCTCCATCCGGAGTTCGTAACTCTCGACAAGGACAGGCTAACCCAAAAACTCCAAAATCGCCTCCGCCAGCCGCTGCGGATCCTCCTCGGGAATAAAGTGCCCACAGTCCAACCCTTTTCCCCGTACATCCACTGCATACTCCTTCCACACGTCGAGCGGAGACGTCTTCCCGCCCGCGGGGGTCCCCTTTGCTCCCCAAACCGCCAGAACGGGGACCGTGATTTTGTTCCCCTTGTCTAGATCCTCCTGATCGTACACGCGGTCGTAGAATGCGCCCGCGCGATAATCCTCGCATGTTGCGTGGATGCGTTCTTCGGCGCAGTATGCGCGGCGGTACCCGTCCAAGACCGCAGCGTCAAAAGCGTCGAGGGTCTTCACCCCCGTCCAAGCTGCGAGGCTCTGGTCCAAGAATCCCCGACCACCATCCGTCCCGGCAATCATCCTCTCGGGAAACGGCGCAGGCTGCGCGAGGAATGTCCAGTGGTACGCTTTCACCGCCATCCCCGCGTCCCCAAAGGAGCGGAACATGGACGCCGTGGGAATGATGTCGACGACAACGAGCTTCTGGACCCTCGAGGGAAAGTCAAAGGCCAGTCGGTACGCGACGCGGCCGCCGCGGTCGTGGCCGACGACATTGATCTTTTGATCTGCGTACCCGAGGGCGTCGACGACGGCGATGCAGTCCTGCGCCATGAGGCGCTTCGTGTATCCTGAGCCGTTTGTGCTTTCAGGCGCGAGCGATGACGAGCCGTATCCGCGGAGGTCGAGCAGGATTAGGGTGAAGTGGGGGAGGAGGAGCGGGACCAGTCTGTGCCATTGGATGTGGGTTTGCGGGAAGCCGTGGATGAGGAGGAGAGGGGGTTTTGGCGGGGTTGTCTTTGGGCTGGTGAGGGTGAAGATGGTTGGTCCTGAGGGGGTGGGGATGTGGTGGGTGGTGAAGTTGGGGAAGAGGGCGCGGTCGAGGTCTGTGGACATGATGGCGGTTCTGGAATATGATCTAGAGCGGCTGTCTGACTTGATCTCGATGGTCCAGGGCCAAGATTAAGTACGAGCTGGTGACTCAGAAGACGTCATCAGGATCCGGGGGAGATGAGGGGTTGCGATGCAGCACTACCGAGGTTGATACGGACATTTCCAGTCTCATCCTTTTCGCGACGCCCGACAAGCTACAAAGATCTGATATCTCCATCGAAGCTTCGGTGATATCTTGATTTGTAATATGCAGTAACTCGGGGCCATCGGCATCTCCGGGATATGCCGCATACGTATATAACCCGCGCACTTAAAGCAGCTTATCCCCGAAAGCCTATATACAATTCCTGTTTCCAATGATCAACATGTCTTCGCCATCGGTTTCATACACCGGAAAACAATTCACCGTCTTTGTAACATTCCACGTTGCGCCCGACAACATTGAGCGGTTCAAAGAAGCCCATCGACCACTCTGGCGACACTGCGCCGACGAGCCCGAATGTCTCCTCTTTGATGTATTTCAGGATCTGGAGGAGCCAGGAAGATTCCGGTTTGTTGAGGTGTGGAATCAGAGTCGGGAGTGGTTCGAGAAGGTGCGTTCGCGGCGAGTCCCAGTGGGTGGGAATATGAGGCGAGGACGCTCTGTGCTGATGGATGCTCAATGTGTAGCATCAGATGACCAAGCCATATTATTCGATTCTGTGGGAAAAGTCGAAGCCGTTGTGGGTTGAGGATAGTATGTCTTGCCCTTTCCTTCTCCGTGGGGTTGCAGTTCGTTAACCGGCGCCTCGTTCTGCTGTGCAGTGAAACTCGAATCCTATGAGCGGGTAGGGGAAGGAGGCTGTATTAGGAATGAGTACATTGAGGGGACCCGGAAAGTGGACTGAGAAATATGGGTTGATATCGAGGCGTTTTGAATGCGCCTCCTGGGAGAAATGCGCCTCCTGGGAGACTCGAGGCCGCGATCAGCGCGAATGTCAGAGTTTACTTGGTAGCCGTGATCACTCTTAGACCACTTACTCTGTAAGAGACTCTCAAACTGGTCGCATAGAACAGCCCACGGGATGATAGGAACAAGGACTGTACAAAGTACTCATGCTACACGGTCTTGAAAAGAGCCTTTCTCCTGATCGTGGTCTGCTAGTTCCGTCTTTCAATATAACCACTGTTTTTAATACTGACCTATTCCGTCACAGAGATATTCATGCCTGAAGTATACTAAATCATGTTTAATGTAAATTACTGTCCGTAGCCTCTACACGAAGTGTCAAGTAAAAAGCGCCAAGCAAGTACAAAACGTGTGTGTTTTAGGCCAGCTAACTGCCGCAACACGTTAAACCTGGTCTTTCGTCGTCCAGGGTTGAAGGAACCAACAACCGGTGCGGCGGCGAGACGCTCTAGCTCTATTTCAAAGGACGACAACAAGCTAACACCACGGCAGACCTCGGCGTTGGTCCGTTTACTGGCAAAGTGGCACTCACCCAGCACAAGGTCTGCGCGTCATCGCGCCTTAGGGTTACGCGACCAGCCAGCCCTACAATCTCTGCAAATGCTTCGAGTGCCTACATCGCAGGTACTCGGCGGATGCAATAAGAGCCCATTAGCCTTATGGTGGCAAAACACGGTGCTTGGCCCTAGCGAGGTGCTGTCTTCGTTGAATACCGAGTATCCACTGGAGTAATCCTGTTGAGTCGTGGGATGATAGGATGTGAGAGCTTTTCCATGCATGTTTTCTAGGCTGAATCATACTACTAACATTCGTTTTCGTGCGCTATAGTCATCCATCACTATTTGCAGATACCAGATCCGTCCGACCATAGACCTCGATCAGCACCGAGTCCTTGTCGAAGGTGCACGAATATGCGACTCTGCATTCAGGACAGGCATCATACTCGCTATCCACATGATAGTGCCGCACGCCATAGTCAGGAATCGGGATCCCGCAGATCAAACACTGCGATGCGGATTCTGGAAATATCCACTGGTCATAGTGTGATTATTCTCTCATTTCTCCTGGCCGCAAAGTGTGGGTTTCGTTTGCATTTTCGCCGCAGTAGTCATCCTATCAGTAGCAAATCCTCAAGGTTTGAAGCAACATAAGAATTTAGAAAGCTGGCATCGATACACTCTGGATCCCGAAGAGCTATTCGAATTATAGAGGCTCGGATGGTGGGTGGCCCTCGAGGCCGCATATGCTTGAAGGTCAGAGATTGACAGATCAAATCATTGTGCTGCGGAGCGCGATTCAAAGCATGCAGATTGCGTCGGAATACTTTTCCGAGATCTATACTCAATGTCACATTACGTTGCCAGGAAGGGATATCCATTGGGGCCACTTCTGTGTGCTTTATAATGCGTCTCATGTCCGCGACTTCTGAAGTACTAGTGCCCTTTGGGCTGTGCTTGGTCAGGCATCCCTTGCTCCAAAGCCCCAATTGCTGTAGTATTCTGACTTTGGGGTTCTGGGCCCTTAGCCCTCGCATTTGAACCGGATAACTGGTCCAGACATTCATAGAGGTAGGAATCTTGCAGTGCGTGATTTTAGAAACTAAGCGTGGAAAACAATAGAATATTCCAATATCTCTTGAAAAGGCACATTAACATGTCAGGATCTATCGGTTGAGTTTATATAGTGGAGTTGGCTTGGTATTCTTGCGTCTGAGGCACAATGCAAACTTTGCTAGAGTTGTCGCTGCACTTGTACCTAGAGTCATGGAATGGCTCCGATGCCTAGTCCCGAGCGGCTCTGGAACGGCTGCTAAAGGTAACCACAAGGCTAGGTGCAGCCATATGCCGTTATGTCTCACTCAGAATATAACTCCACGACGGGTATATAGTATATCCCCAGCTTATATCACTAAAACGCTTTCTAACCTTAAAGCCAACCGCTGCTGGTCTAGTACGGTAGCTAAATAAAACACACCATACTATAGTAATAAGAGTGCGGAGCATGAAACATCATGAGTATTGGTGGAAGTAACGTCTTATGAAATCACTCTTTACTTAGATAAAACATAGAACAAGATCAAGTTTCCCAGTAAACATTTTTCAGTCGCATACTCTGGCTAGATAGTATGTGGGCAGATAATATGATGTCAAGCGTTCCACTAACCCTCATTCTCAACTTGGTTCTCACAGTGTAGACCCTTATAGATCCTCTTATATCTTTCTTGCATCTGTGTCACCAGATCCCCCTCCTCAAGCACTGCTGTGCTTTCCGTAGGTTGGATGTTCCAGCGTCTTGCTCGCCTCGAACTCTAAGCCCATAACTTGGCAGCATGATTCTTAATCACACCGCGCAAGGAGCCCTCGATATTGACCTGCACCCAGTAGTCGACCATGTCGTGATTGACGATCATACCCAGGCTGAAATTCTCCGGGACCGGAAATCTGTTGAATTCATGGCCATTGACAGTCCATAGAAATCCACGTCGACATGGGAAAGGTTTGTTCACGAACACGGGTCCACCAGCGATTCTCCAGCCGCTGTCTGTCTTCTTCCCTGAAATAGAACGCATGAATTCTGGGCTCTCGATGTTGTATCCTTGAGCTCCCAAATTCAACTTCCACGTTGTTTGGTCGGAAATTTCGGTATCAGCCAAAGGCCCTGAAGCTTTCCTAGGCCATCTCATGTCCGTTGCAAATGGAACTATTGAGACGTTTGGGGGTTCAGCTGATTCCTGAGTAATCTTGCTTCCAAATATGATACTGATTTGTGCTCTCGTAATAGCACACGTACTGTCATAATTGAAGTCAAAATCTAGAACGATCAGTGAACTAGGCCTGTCCTCATAGATACCATGGCGGACAAGCTTCAAACCATACCCCAGTCTTGCGTTGCCAAGTCGATCTTCCTCGGGCTGATGGGCAGCCGCGGTTTGATTCAGGTGACGTGAACTGCTTTCGACGGCCGCCGCATGCCCCATATCATTTGATGTATCATGAGAAGTGCCTTTTCCCAGCCATTCGCTAATACCTGAAACACAGTATACAGGTATGCGCAGAAAGCGTGTGCAGCACCCCAACATGTAACTGCAGAATCCAACTTGTCGTCTCCCAACCCCGCTGTCAAAGGTATAACATCTATGAGAATGACCAAAATGGTGAGTAGCGACATTCATACCAATGTCCGCCAAATATCGATTGATCACAGAAAGGTCAACGACAACGTCATCATTCACAATTTTCTCCCCTTCTTGCAACTCCTCAAACTCGGAATCTTCGCTTGATATGCTAAACACTTCGTTTGACGGGCGTGCATGTTCCAGAATGCTTTCAGTTATAGTCAATCGATAATCAGACATAGTCATTGGGAAATTATTATCTCATAGGAAGTATTCTGGTAACTAGGATTAAGTATTCAATAATCATACTAGGTTGAGAGCGCAGCGTTATTTTTGAACTAATGCATGCACCAGTAAAATCTCAAAAAATATGGGAGATTGTCCTTCAATCTTACAGGTTATCATGGCCTTTTATACTCTACCAGCTAATTTTATTTTATCTTTTAATTTTTCTTCTCGTTTTTCCCTGGCCATGATTATTGTGATGTCATTTGTTCTGAAGCTGAAGTAAACCATTACCGCTCATCTGAGCCCTACCTTGGCCTTGTTAGTCTTCTGAACAGAATTACATCATGACACTCCCACATCTGACCTCTGGCTTGTTCTTCCACTAGTAGCAACTTCTGTTCCTTCAGCCATTGAATTAATCATCTTCCAATCAGGCTACTATGTACAGAAGCGTGATTAGGTTGACCCAAGGGTATCTGATAGAATAGTCCTGTAGGGCGTACCACTTTCCAGAGGCTCTTCAAGGGCCAACTCTATGATGAATGAATCATCAACACAACCACCTGGAACTGAACGTGTTGGTTGTTCTAGGTCTTGCTAGGCGCTTTAGCTCATCACACTACTTGAATGTGCCCAAAAAAAAGAGAAGAAACGAACAAAGGAAAGTCTTGACTTTATGCTTATTGGTGGTCATCATCAGGAAGGTGGCTTGACTACGCTCCTTACGCCCTTTTGCTCCATTGTCGTGAGCGTGTGGCCCTTGATGCGCTGGACTAGGCCGTGCAGGGTACTTGTGAGGATGAAGTTGCTTCCTAGCTTGAGAGCCGTGGTGCTCTAGGGCGCGGATTTGGCGTGCGGCCACCCTTTCAGGCGCGCGATGCAGTCGGTTGAGGTTATGGCGGCCATGGTAGCTTCTGCAGTGGTTTGCTGTGCATTTTACCTGGGATTGTATAGAGGCAGTCTTAGAGAGCAGTGATAGTGCTCATATCGACAGACTCCGTAATTAATAGAAAACGGACGAGGTTGAAGTTCGGAGAAGTTCGGAGGAGTAAGATCTTCGCTCCTTCCTCAACGAGTATGAATCCAGTAGAGATTTGACAACTGAGAACTTGAAAGAAACCGCGTTGCTTGAGTGAGATACATGTTTTCTCCTGGATCTCTGCCTGCTTCGTATACCCTTTTCATCACAACCCACGCTACTCCAGATCAACCATCCATTCCAACCTGGTACCTCCTCCAACCAGTACTTCAGCGACAGCGCTCTCTCGTACGTAGTGACCACGTCGATCAATATTGGCAACCGAAAAGGCGTCAGAATGCAGCATCAGCGACGTAACCCCGCTCAGAGATGCAACCAGGTCCTTCTCATCATCGGATAAAGCTAGTATCACTGTCTACTCCAAGCCACATGCTCATATACTGCGTCATGATACAAAGCTGAATTTCTCCAGGGGGACCGCAGGTGAACTTAGGATTCCACACAAACTCTCACGCACGTCGCGCATGAACCCTTTCCGGGGTAGAGATACTCCGGCTGACGGAAAGATCTCCTGTTATCAGCACCAAAAAGTACCTAGCTACCTAGGTAGTTAAGATCAGCTCGGGTGGTTGGTGAATCAGCGCCTGATTTGCAACCCGAAGTACTAGGCTCAGAGGCTTCAGGCTTCGAGAAGCAACTGCCTCTTCAGGCGCTCCGGTCTCTTTGAATGCTTATAAAAGTCCCCCCTCTTTAGAATAGGACCATAACAACTTTAAGGTTTCTTCCCGCACGCCATATCAATATTCGTCATTGGTTTTTGGCGAAGGTAAAACGACCAAGTCTCAGGTTACAACTTAACAACGCCACACTACCAGCGGTGATGTCCGCGTTAAATTCGGGCACCGGGATAGCAAATTCCTTAAATCCAATGGGGAATCGCCCTAACGCAAGAACATCTACTCGGAGTCGGCATGCATGATGAGGTCTCACAATGCGGTGGCAACTCTATACTTCGAGGGCGATCTTGCTGAGCAAATGTCGACAAAGAGCTGGAGGGCTATACTAGTAGGAGTACCCCAGTGTCGGCCGCCAGCGGCAGTACAAAAACTGGGAGCGTATCAGGCAACCGGATACAGGCGGCTTAATGTCCTTAGTATGCGGCAAGATTCCAACTACGATTTGCTTCGGTTGTAGTTGCTGCTGCATTTACCTAGAGTCACTCTACGGGTATTGGCTCCAAGCATTATGATCCGGCTTTTATGGATAACTTGGTACATGATTCTATCTCAATTTCCTTCATGACTGTATATGTCCAGCTCCTATTTATATTGATCGAGGGCCAATTCGAGTACACCGATCAGGTCCTCCTTCCATCTCATTAAATACCACAAATTGCTTCTAACATTTATCGCGGCTGGCCAGTCTGCTATCATTTTACGGAAATAAAAGATAATTTAGAACCCTAAGCTCTGCATTGCAACCTTGCCATGTGAGCACCCGTCAGCGAGGTTTACGTGATGATTGATCATCTCGGTACCACTGGACATCATCCGAGAACTATATAACCCAGAGGCCATCTTATTATACAACTCTTGTAAAAGAGAACACTTCTGCTGCCCAGAGATTTTCATCCAAGGCAAGAGAAATAGGAAAAAAAAAGAAAGAACAGCCGTTCCCGAGAAACCAGAATGCCCCTCCCCTCCCGCCTGCTCGGCACCCACGGCCCCCAGGTCTCAGCAATCGGCTACGGGATGATGGGCCTAAGCGCCTTCTACGGCCCCCGCCTCCCGGACAGCCAACGCCTCGCATTCCTGGATAAACTCTACGCCTCCGGCCAACGCTTCTGGGACACCTCGGACATCTACGGGGACAGCGAGGATCTACTGGGGACGTGGTTTAGCGCGAACCCCGAGAAGAGGGGCGACGTTATCCTCGCGACGAAGTTTGGGAATCTGGGGGCCGGCGTTGCGAAGACGGACCCGGAGTATGTGGGTCAGGCGTGTGAGAAGAGTCTAAGCAGGTTGAAGACCAGTTATATTGATTTGTATTATGTGCATCGGGTGGATCCGAATGTGCCGATTGAGGCGACTGTTAGGGCTATGGAGGAGTTGAGAAAGTGAGTTCTATTTCATCCCTAAAGGGCCCGATAATATGTCACTAACGCTGTACTTCCACTCTAGACAAGGCAAAATCCGCTCCCTAGGCCTCTCCGAAGTCTCCGCCACAACCCTCCGCCGCGCGCACACCGTATCTCCAATCGCCGCCGTTCAAGTCGAATATAGCCCCTTTGCATTGGAAATCGAGTCCCTCCAGACAAGCCTCCTCGCCACATGCAAAGAGCTCGGCGTCGCGGTCGTCGCCTACTCCCCACTCGGCCGGGGGTTCTTAACAGGCGCGCTAAAGAGCATCGACGACCTGGACCCCGACGACTTTCGTCGCAAGGTTCCCCGATACTTTCCGGAGAATTTTAGTAGGAATATTGTGCTTGTGAAGGAACTTGCAAGGGTCGCGGAGAGGAAGGGGTGCTCGACAGCGCAGTTGGTTCTGGCGTGGTTGTTGGCGCAGTGGGAGATGGTTATTCCGATTCCTGGGACGACGAGGTGGGAGAATTATGAGGAGAATATGGGGGCTTTGGATGTGCAGCTTAGCGAGGATGAGGTGCAGGAGATTCGGGGGGTGATTGAGAGGGCCGAGGTTGTTGGGGCGCGGTTCCCGGAGGCCTGGACGAAGCATTTGTTTGTGGATACTGTGCCTCTTGAGGAATGAGATCAGGTCTAGGATAGCGCTGCTTTGCTATAATTAGGGGCCAGAGTCCGGTTTGCTGTGAAATTGAGATTGTTGTTTCACTGATAAAACGACAGCGCATTGTTAAGGTAGAACTTAGGGTTACCGAACAACTCTATGCTTGGAACAGATCTCTTGGCGCCTAATGTATCCACGTATCATGGTGCTCGCCTTTCAGGTGTTTGAGTAGACACAGAAGGGGATAGTCGTTCAAGTTGAACGTTCATTCTTTGTAGGAGGTATCATTGAAATTGTCGAGCCCTAACTTGAGGGGGTAGGTGCTTCCTGCTAGACGACGCACCACCACATAAATCTCACAACGCATCCAAGCTTCGTCAAAGTATGGTGGCACCTTCACTACCACGAATCCCCGATTTTCAAGCGGTCAAACCCGTACGAGCTAAACCAGGAGCAAGTATCAGCGACTGACTGGCTGTGGCCCAGGATCTTGGCGGGACGAGAATACGAGGAGGCTGGGCTTTCTCCAAGCTCCGTGATAAACTCCCCGGTTCTAATCCCTTCATGTCCCAAGAATGTCTCTCTTAGCCCTCCCTTTTACAGTACTAGAAGCTATCCTCAGCCTCGTCCTAGACCTCCCTCTGCCCGCCGGGCATACACTCGATGGCGGAGAATGTAGGACAATAACCCTCTGGGGAGACATCACGCACAAAGCAAAAGGAGCCAAACAATTCATTCAAGCCGCCCTCTCACTCTTCTTTGCCTCGCGACAGCTCCACGACGTCGCCGCACCGCTCTTCTACAGCAGAACGACCTTTGCTTTTGAGGATATTGACTGTCTCGGTGTCTTTCTAGATACTATTGGGTTTTTGAATCGGCAGAGTCTGCGGTATGTGGTAATTTATCTTGAAAGGGGCGACCCGTCGAAAGATGGCAATGGTGGTGGTGGTGATGAGGATGATTTGACGGCGGCCTTTCTGCGAAAAGCCACAACGACCCTATCCAGCCTTCCCACACTTCGGGGGTTGTGGGTCTTTTCTCCGTTCAAGGAGCAGTCGCTGGCTATTGATGAGGAGACTGGGGCGGTGCATCTGCCCCTCCGCGCGGCACTGCAAAGGTTCAGGCGTATTGAGGAGCTTGTGCTGGTCGGTTGTCCACACGACGTTTCCTGGGATATTTTATACGGCGGCGGAGGATCCCCGGGGACCGAGGAGAAGACATCATCCGTGTGGCCATCTCTTTCGGCGCTGCGTCTCGAAGGAAGCCTGCCGTCCAGGATTGGCGGCGTCAGCCTTGCCACAGCACTCTCGGCCGCGAATCTCCCTTCTCTTACACACTTGGAATTCCAAGGCCTCGATGATGGAGGCCGCGGCAATAAACAAGCTGAAACAACATTCCTTGTTGATGCTATTCAAGTCGTGCGGCCCTTGCGGACATTCCGTTGGTTGAGAGAGAGTGAACCACAGTCGCGGGCCATCAGTGGGCCTCCCGTTCCTCAATTTCTAACCGATTGGCACATTCACACCCTAATCAGCCGGCATGGGGATGCACTGCAAGACGTGAAGATTGATCTCGCGGGCTCTTTAGCCCGGGACTATGCCCATAGTATTACCGAGGCTTCCCTGGCATCAGTATTAGTTTCTCTGCCCGTGCTGAAGCGCGCAACAATCCTAGCGCCTTTTCTTGACTTGGTGAAATTCTTTCAAGCCATTGTTGGCTCGGATACGAAATCGCTTTCGCCTCCGTCGCAGCATGCCCTTACTCCATTGCTGGAGGCCCTAAGGTTCACCCTCGGTAGCGAGGAGGACACCCTGAATAGTGCGCTGAGCAGCAGCAAGTTATCGTCGCTCTTCCTGCGCTCAAAATTCTGGAATATATCACAGCTCCGGCTCCGGGTCGTTGTCGGAACGAGGCCCAGGATCACCAAGTCTGTTCGCTCGCAGAAGATTCTGCGTGATAATGAGAAGCGGTATCCCGAGCTGGAGCAAGCTTTCTTCGCGTGCATGGCGGAATGCCGACATCGTTCAGATATGCGTACCGACTCGGAACAAGGACCGGCTGAGAGGGAGCATTGGTGTGCACTGTCGCTGGTTGATGTCTATGATTATAGTCCTTACTGGGATGATTCACGGGATGAGTGGTGTGAGGAAGATGTTTGTGCTAGAGGCCTTGATGATGACCCTGAAGCTAGAGATAACGGAGACGATATATCTCAGTGAGAGAAGAAGTGAGAAGTGCAGTCAACTGATCGAGAAAGCCCTATTGAAAATCGCTCTGTGCATTTCGAGTGGGCGAGCAGGCAGAGACAAGCTTAGCGCTCCGAGTGCATCGCTCAGCGCCTAGGAATGAGCCCAAGCTTCACGCTCTGCTTCAGCCCATAGCGCCCGATGCTTATCGAGGGGTTTGCTTTGCCATTATTGCTATATAGCATGTTATGAGATAGTGAGAACGTAACTGAGGACCAGCTTGCATCAGTGAGGGTACATAAACCAGAGATTGGGTAGATGGGGCATCTATTTAGGCTTCATGCTTGTACCGCGGATACTATCAAACAAACCCACATGCCTTGTGGGAGAAAGTTACCATGGTAGATGTACCAGGGTGGTTGTTGTCCCCACGCAAGCTATAGAGCGTTGTGCACAACCTACGATTATCCACAACTACGAAGTCTGTATGGCTCGAAATACATGGAACAACACCTTTTGGCACAGACAGCTCTTGTCTTGACTGAAGACGCGGAAAGCAACGCATTTTCCACGAGTCGTCAATTTTCGGAACAGCCAAGCCAAGTCTAAGTTCAGCGTCAGGATAGTATCATCCTGGCTCCACCAGTACCCACCGGCGTAGTGTCAAAGTAGCCACTCTTGATAATATGACCTCTTTCTCCATTGTTCAAATTCACAGCTGTGGTGCAAATACTATCGGGCTCACCTTCGCTTCTGGCTCCATATCCTTGCAACGTTTGTGGTTGTACAAGCAGAATTATTAGACGGACAGAAATTTTCCGTTGATCAAAGTTGAAAGATTCCAAGATGATTTGTCTTTACATGTTGTTGATTTCCTCTGCGATCCTCTTGCCTCTGTACATGGAATGGCACTACCGAACACGCCGCTCCCCTCCAGGGCCGCGGCCCCTCCCACTCATTGGCAATTTACATCAAATTCCCCGCAAGAACCAATGGCGGACCTTCAAGAAATGGCATGAAATCTACGGGCCGATCATCTCTGTCTACATCGGATAGCGTCTGATGATTATCCTGGGCTCGCACGACTGCGCCCATGACCTGCTGGTCAGGAAGGGCTCCATTTATAGCTCTCGCCCAGAGTACTTTGCCGACGGCGTTGGGAGCCGCGGTTTCCACGTTGTTGCTCTGCCGTACGGACAGCAGTGGCGGAGCCAGCGGACTGTCCTGGACTCGTTCCTCAGCGCCGGGCCCTGCAGTCGCTACCGTTTGCTGCAAGATGTGGAGAGTAAGCAGCTGGTGCACGATCTGCTTTCGAGCAATGACTTTGCGACGTGTTTCCACCGGTTCGCGGCTAGTCTGACACATGCGTTGGCGTATGGGAGGCGGATGAGCCGCGGTGATGAAGAGGAGATTGTCGAGATCGATGGAATCATGAGAGAGATCTTGGAGCATGTCACATTGCCCGCGGTGGCGTTTCCAATTCTAGACTACCTCCCGTCAATACTTGCTCTGTGGAAGAGGAAGGCTAGCGACCTGTTTGCGAAACAGGACAAGGTCTTTACGGCAAGTCTCAAGGCGGCCCTGCAAAGAGAGTGCTGGAGCTGGAGCCGTGAGGCTACCCACACAAAGTTGGCTGCTGAGGATCAAGACTCAAAGGCTATGGCTTACACTGTGGGAGTGAATTACGAAGCTGGAAGCGATACGACTGCATTTGTGCTTGAGGTATTCGTTCTGGCAGCCCTTCTTCATCCAGAGGCGGTCTCAAAGGCACAAGAGGAATTGGACACTGTTACGGGGGCGGACATGCCAGGATGGGACGACCTCGCTCGTCTACCATATCTCCAGGCTTTCGTCAAGGAAGTCCTACGCTGGAGGCCCGTCGTTCCAGGTGGGATCCACCATCTGACCACCAAGCAAGACCACTACATGGGGTACGAGATTCCAGCCGACACACCAATCATACCCAATCACTGGTCATTGGAATTCGATAGCAGATTGTTTCCCAATCCCAAGTCTTTCATACCGGAGCGGTGGCTCGAGAACCGGGATTTACCATGCAGTGCGTTTGGTTTCGGGCGCAGAGTATGTCCTGGGAAGAACCTGGCGCTGAATTCCTTGAGAATCGTCATAGCTCGTATCCTGTGGGCGTTTGGTATTCGGTCCGCTGATGAGATGGGGGAAAAGTCGGAGCTTCCAGATTCGTGGGATATGACCCAGGGCATAAGCTCTCGGCCAGCTCTTTTCCGGGCCTTATTCTGTTGTCGGAGCGAGCAGCGACGGCAGGTTATTGAGGGTGTATGGGCGGCCTGTGAAAAGGATATTCAAGTTCTTATGGAGCAGGTTAAGAGTAATCCAAGTTAGGGCGACATGTCATAGCATACTTGGATACGTGGTGGTTACGGTATCCAATGTTATAGGAGGCTTTACCTCTTCTATAATGTCTCATTTTATTTGCCCCTGGTAAGACGGTTTTAGTATTCTGGCTTTGAATTCTCGGGTAGAGCATATCCTTGACCATATGTATTGCGGAGCAATAGCTCTATGTATTCCTGACTACTTTAGGCGGCAGATTCTAGCCATGTTAGTGCTAGCGGGCCATGTTGGATCTCCCTTTCTCCTATAGATGCTAGCACCGTATGATCCAGGTTTTTATATCGCCTGCTTGTACCCTTATAGCTTTGTTACTCCTACACGCATGCATTGATTATCATACCTGAGCGTTCTGCTGGTTCACATCCACCTTCTGTCATGAATTGCTTAAGACCGCCCAAAGTTCATTTATTATTGCATCCTTTCGTGCTAGGGAGCAGAGCACGTCTATCCTCGTCCTCACTCCTTCTCGACTGCTCGAGGCCTCGATCAGCCTCGCCATGCCTATTTGCAGCGTCACGATCACCTTGGTCCTCCCCCTTCTTCTTCTCCTCCTCCTCCTCATCATCGTCGTCATCAACAGGTCCCAGATCAAAATCAGACGCTTCCAAGCTCTTATACTCCACGCTCCGCCGCCGACGAATGAAAACCACGACGCCAGAAGCAATTATCAGCATCAGCATCAAAATGCCCGATCCCGCGCCTAGTAGAGCTAGCGCGGTTGACGATAGCCCACGGGCCCGGGCAGTATTTGTAGGTTTCGTCCTCGTGTTCGTCTTGTTCAAGAGAGATGAGGAGGATTTGAGACCAAGCTCAGCGGACACGGCCGAGTTATAGCTATCCGTTCGTATGGTCGTGGCATCAAGGTCGATGATTTCGCTTGATCGGAGGACATCCCCTTGTGCATCAAGTGCTTCGGCCCATAGATATCGACAGGTTTCTTCATATGCGATTGTGAGTTCTGTCTCGAAGCCCGTCCGTGGCGAGGCCACTAGCAGAACCTCTTTTTCTTCATCATCATCATCATCCTCCTCCCCCACAACCGAACCGCGCCCTCGAACCACCCACCCCGCCACCTCCGTCGCCCCATTCCAGCTGGCATAGACCACCAGCGTACTATTACTGCTCCCACTGTCCCCCACATCGCCATCCTCGTCTTCGCCCCTCTGCCTCCAGGCAAGCGCAACATCCGGATCCCACCACGGCCTCGCAACCCAGTCCATCTTATACGCACGATAATTATCCAATGCATCGGGGATATCCGCACTATGCCACGGCGAGAACTGGACGTCGAGGACTGTTTCCCCTGCCGCCGTGTGTTCTGTAAAGGTCGGGCAGCGGCCCCAGCCGATGAAGACGCTGCCGAATTCTGAACCAGTAGATGGTGAGAATTGCGATGCATCGAGCACCTGCACACTCCCCTGGCTCTGCGCCTGCAGATGCACCGGATGCACGAACTCCTGTAGAAGCTGCGCCGTAGGCGGGTACACGGCCGTATCCAGCGCCACGTGCAGACCGCGCGAACAGTTCGTCCTGCACTCGCCGTGGCTGGTCGTCTTGACGTGGTTGTCGAAGAAGGTCATCTGCGACTCGTTGGTCCCCGGGACGAAGCGCGCGTGGTGCTGCCAGGCCATGGTGAGAAGGGGTTGTTGGATCGGAGAAGACGAGTTGGTAGCATTGGGCGGCTGCGCTTCGACAAAGTCGTTCTGTGCGCCGCCGAGGGTCCAGATTATCGCGCCGGTTGTGCCGTGGATTAGATGGATTGAGTGTGTGTGGCGGATTGAGATGAGGTAGTTGCCTGCTTGCGTCTGTTCGTGTTAATGTCATAATCGGCTTTTGATGGTTCTCATGTACGGAGTGGAGGAATACCTTTTCAATACTATTAACATGATACGCATCCCACAGCCTCCCCATGGGCTCATACGAGTCCAGCGGGCTAATATGGTCCAACGCCCGCCAGTCAAATAGCAGCTCGTTGGTCTCAAGGTCAATCTCCTGAATGACGCCGTCGAGAATCTCAATCTCCAGCCCGTCGGGCAGGGGATAATCCCAGCCATATATCTCACGAAAATAATCGCCACGCACACGGATCCGATTCACACCCGTCACCAGCGCCGTCCCGTTTCCTGTTAGCGCAAACTCATGCAGGTCCGCGTGCACACCGTTGAGGTTCTGGGCAGACACTTTGTAGGCTAGACGGTATGTATCGTCAAACGCAAGCCCATACCCATCACCAATCCCATTGCCTTTATCGCCCGCCCAGAAGGTTAGATACTTCTTCCCACGATCCTCCTGAACGCGTGTCCCAAAGACATTCGTGAAGCTGCGATTCATATACACGGCGCTCAGGTCGCGCGCATCGAGAATCAGCGGCGACGAAAGCGGCGAGGAGTCGTTGCCGTCGTGCTTGAGGAAGATGTGTGAGCCTGTCGTCGAGATGGCGTCTGGGCTCCAGGTGTTGATTTGCAGGAGAGGCGCGTATTCGTCGCTTGAGCGGAATTCGAGGTGTGGGCGATGGCCGAGGGCGCCGGTGTTGTACAGGTCGGTGTCTGTGGAGATGTGGTCGGCTTGTACTAGGGTTGCCTGCGCGAGCGCTAGGCTGGTCCAGCATCTCCAGAGGAAGCGATGAGCCATGATTGAAAAGAGACTCTTGTCAGGTTTGTCGCATGGTTGGAAGTTGTGAAGCGCAGAGGATGAAGCAGAAATCCTCGAGGAAGTCTGGCGCGCTGGCGCACAGCACAGACGATATGACTTGCGTATGTTTCGTGGGGAACAGCTGGAGACATGAGAAAAGTCTTCGTATCTTGAATCTAATTCTTCTACTTGGACAAAGCGAATAGTCTCGTGAGGTTCTTTCGAAATGGTCAAGTGTGGGCCCTTTTGTGCCCGCGCGTCGTCATCGGGATACGTACTCCACCACTGGATTAGGGCTAGTTGGGGGCAAGATCTGGAGATCAGGCGATGCATTCGGCTATCTAATCCGAAGATAAATAAACATGTAAAACTAGTCGTTATCGATACGGCTTGTTTATGGGATTCTACTCCCATTAGGTAGTGTGCGTAGCTATTACAAGGTTAGGGTTTGGAGGAGGCAGCTGGCTCCAGTACAGGATAAATATCTCATTGAACATATTTCACCACGATGCAATACACTCACTAAACTTACTTCTCTCCCCACACAGATTAGCTTACACATGTCTGGGTAAGAGGATGAACTCAATTACGGCCCCCGCGGCTTCGACGTTTCTCGTCGTTGACAGACTATCTAAATGGAAAGTAGTGTTGTGGAACTTGGAATATTACCTTGCCTCGTGCTTGGGTTTGGTGGGTGATAGGAGTTTGTCCCCGTTGTACTAGCTATATTGATCTCGAAACGTCATATTTTCCATCACATTACCATTAACCCCATCTAGTCATGACTAGACAGCTGCATTCTTCTCCTCAGCAGCCCTCTGCTCCTCGGCGACAAGGTCGGCCGGGATCCGGTCAGGCGTCGTGTTGACCAGCATAATCATCGGAAGCAGCGAAACACCTAGAAGAGCAAACGTCACACAGCTAGAGCAACGTTAGTCACTTTCCCCCAACATATATAAGGAGGAAGGTAAACTCACAACCCAATCAATGGATTACTTGTCGTCTGCGTATTCATTCCGTACGCAATCGCCTGTCCCACAGCCTCAATGCACCTAAAGGCCGCGCCATTGCGCACATTCTCCTGCGCGTCCCTCGCGAAACTCGACAGCAGCCAGTACATGTAGCTCTGGCTGAGCGGGCCCGTCGTCTGGATGAAGAAGTATGGCAGGAACGATTTCGCGTACAACCCGTCGGACCAGTCAATGTGGCCTGGGTTATTGGAGTTGAAGCGCGTTTGCATGATGATGCTCCAGATGTACACGCCAATGTTAAGGATTACAACAACATACAGCCCGAGTTGCGCGCGGCGCCGCTGGGACAGGGATTTCATGTCAAGGATGAAGCCAAGGCCAAAGCAACCGATACTATACAAGAAAATTGGTTAGGAGTGGTCTTGCGGAGGGGAATCAGGTAGGGGAGATGCAGGACGTACATGCAGAACAAGGGCGAGATAAGCGAGGAGAGAGCGCGGGCGCGCACGGAGAAGTACGTTCCTAGGTAGGTAGACCAGGTACCACTATTCAACTCTTAGTATTTTGTCTGTGTTGAGACTAAGGTAATGGAGGCGTACCTGTAGAAGAAAGACCAGAGGGCCCATCCAGAAGAAAGCACGACGAGCTTCGAGGTCATAGTCTTCGCGATCTGGCGGAATTCCATCTTCATTGACAGAGTCTCAGAAGTGACAATCTTTGTGCCGTCAGATCGAACAACGTCTTGAAATGGAACAATAAGGAGCGCGAATGGCAGACTTGGTGGGGTTAGCAGGGATTTCTGTCTCCTGGTCATGGCATGGTCTTACGCAATGCACTCGATGATAAGGAAGGCAATGTATGTATCAGGGCTGACTCCACTATCAACGCCCGCTTCGTGGTTCTTTGCTAGACTACATAACGTCAGTCAAGGCTACAATAAGAGGCGGAGCCTTGTGGAACTTACTTAATAGAGCCTCCAACCAGCTGTCCCAGATTTCGAGAGACGATCCATAAAGCAAGGTACTTTCCACGAGCGCCCGAAGGAGCGAGTGTCATGATGGCACCAGCTTCGGCGACATACCAGCATGCTGTTCCAATACCGCTAATAGCGCCACTAAGAATGAGGTACTGCAGCACGGTAAGCTGTTAGTTTTGGCTACTCACGGGCGGTGGTGGTGGTGATAATGTTGAGATTCAGTGACTCACCCATTGGTTTCCAAACTTGCTGTTGCAGTAGTAGGCCGAGCCCTCGATAGGGAATGACATGGAACCGATCACCAAAGCCCATTTCACACCAATCTTGTTGACGATAGGACCACCCATGAAACAGACTTTATGCGCGTTGTTAGCATTAGAGCTTTCCGCGCCGAGGGAAGAATGTACCGATTGCAAGCATAGCGTATAGTATGGCATTCGCGATGTTCGAGACATGGGGAGTTGCAAGACCACCACCACCGAGACCTGGAGCAGTCAGTATATCATGACACAGGGGCGACGAGATGTGGTGGCTTACCGGTGATTGCATCGGCCATGGCCGGCCCACAGAACGCCTGGACACTCAGGAGAATCATCTGCGTCAAACTGTGCCGCCACACTCGCTTCCAGAGAGGGAGATTGTATGCGTCCATGTTGAGCACTTCGCCTTGGGCACCTTCGAGGGCAGGGACAGGCTCATCAGCGGGGGGTTTCGTGTCGGCCATTGCAGATTATCGCGCAGTCTTCTGTAGCACGCACAGACTAAAAGTTGAAAAATCGTAATCCTGCGATCCCCAACTCGCACCTCCACGATATTTATACACGGGCGGGTGACATACCCTCGGTATCAGCACTCCTATCCGACCAGAGTAAACCTACCCTTATCTGTTCCCCACATTCTCCAACACGCGGTAGTCGGTGCCATGGGGTTGTCGCCAGGGCGTGGAAGGTCCAGGCGACACACTAGCGCCGGCCAGCCTCCGCTCCAGGATCGCGCGCCACTGCCTCCAACTGCCGCCGGAAGGTCCAGGCGATCGTGCTGCGCCCGCTCCGAAAGCACTCGAGACATTGGCTGCTGACGTCCAATTGCGATGGCAAAGAGCAGGCATATGACTGTCCAATATGTCTCTATCTCGCTTCTTATCACATTTGATACGTTTATCTGAGATAGCCAGTTTCTCGGCAGTTATCTGTGGGCGGGCGCCTGATGACTCCGTCGACGAGTCTCCACCGCGCCCGCGCACTCACATGACATGGCATGATCGATTGGAGATGCAGCTTTGTTATTGCTTATTACCCTGGATGTCCCTGTCATGTTCCATTAATTATCTCAAGTTCTTATCTGCATCATTCATTATCAACATCCAACCTCCAAGGTTGTCAACCCACCACCCTCAGTTCCTCTCCCAAGTGGCCAGCAAACGTCAACATGGAAGAATAATCCGCTGTTTAGGCCGTTTTTTCACCATATTGGGATGGTATTTACCCTTTCTTTGTCTGTTGTTTGAGGCGACAAACACCGTTGGAAGATGGTGCTAATAGTTGTGCTTTTCGCAAACGGTGAATATATATTACATTATAAATGCGGTAGGGAATCCAGAGATACCAGGAGAAAGAACATAATAGGACACATGGTTCAAGTTCTTCTGCAAAAATAAGGCGACATGGTAAATAGGAGAAGGTTACACTCATTCCTTATATCAAAGTGTTTCCAACGATAAACACTGACGCCGTACACTCAAAGCCATACGCTTCGCTTCCTGAATCCCAGTGACTTCTCCAATCATCTTCAATTTCAAGGCAACCCAAAAGCGCAAGGTATCGTCCGCAGTACGCGCCATCCCTGCAATGTAAAGGGGCCACAATAAATGCAAGATTCGAGCTGCGCGCAAGTCGCTCGATTTCCTGGCTTTGTTACAACCATGGACAATATATGGGACGCTGTAGCATATATCGCGGGTATTCTCCTCTATCACCGTGTCTGAAGAATGGAGTAGGCGTGTGTACGATATCGATGGAGGTAAGAACGGTAATGTTGGCTGGGAAGACGGTCTGTGGGGGTGTTTCGACAACGTTTCGAGGAGGGCCTGGCGGAGAGTAATGCGCGCACACCGCTGCAGATTCCAAGTGTGGGCGATCTCGACGCTAGTATATGTGTCGTATCGTCCTATGTACGCCTTTGTTGCTCTCAGATCGTCTGAGTCGGTTAAAGTGGTATACTCGTACTCGGCTGGGAGGATTTGTGTCCAGCACTCGAGATCTGTATCAATCGACAAAAGTGCAGAGATATAAGATGATAAATCTTCTTCACGCATGATATTTTCCTTGCCCGAGGCTATTATCGCGCAGACACTGACAATCATGTCTGCTAGCCTAGTAGCAGGCTCTTCTTGCGCAGTTTCATACTTTCGAGCATCGGCCATCAAGTTGATCAATAAGATGGGTACCCGCACCCCGCGCTGGAGGCAGTTTATAAGCTAACCACAAAGTCAGAAAAAAATCCTGGACAGGAGATTTTCGAGAGCACCTCACGATTTCGGTAGTTAGGTTGAGAAAAATGCATCGACTGATCCTGTTGCATAACTGGGCAGCCCCTCGGAGCTGTATCAACGCCAGAGCTCCATCCACGTGTCTATCCCACGGGTTTGAATCGTCATCAAAATCAGACGCGACAGTCTAGTCGAGGCCGTTAAGATGCGAAATCGTCCTGCAACATTGGCAGAAAAAAGAAAGCCACACTCACTTCATGCAACGCTAGAAGCATCACAGCAACGAGCATCTGGTCGGACGCTGCCTCGGTTGGATCCTCCAGTGCCGCGCGTATATCGCAAAGGGCGCGAGAAAACGTCCGGCTCGCTGCTTGGGTCAATGTAGGTGCACTTTCAACATATGCCAGGCTAGCTAGTCCAACTGCAGTGATGAGACTAGCCAAATATCCGGACCCGGTTGCCCTTGCGTAGATAATACTGCGACAGTCGGGGTGACTGTAGGTCTGGGAAGAGCCGTGCACGGCATAATGATGGAAAAAGAAATGCAGAGCCTGGTCTTCTAGTGGTATTTCAATTCTGAGCCAGGGTCCATGCCTGCGTCGCTCCTTGGAGTGGTAAACCTGCGCCGGCTGGGATGGTCTGGGTCCTGCAGAGCCACCCTGGTTGCCGTCAAACGAGATATGAAGCGCGTTGTTTTCGGAAAAGAGCGGGATCTTGCCCACAGTCTCGGCAGTCTGGTCTCGGATGGTAAGATAGTTTGCATCTCGGTATCCATCACATGTAGAGCCAGCTCTGACGCATTGACGACATGCTGGTCTCGACAAGTCGCACTGGTCCCCATGGAATCATGTTAGTTATGCTACAGGATCCGGTTAGAATCTGAGGACATGTATGGAGTAGGATACCTTTCTTCTCTTGATTCGACATTCCGAGCACGCTTTACTAGGCTTTCCACGATAGACCATGGTGCCACATGATTTCTTTGCTAGATAGCAAGACGGTTGTCGTTGAGGTTCTGGAAGTCGCCATATGGGGCATCCCACCGGAGTGCCCACATCTTGACCAAATTTCTTCCATGCTTTATAATCATACAACATACCAGAACAAGACTAGTTGGGAGATTCTGTCGAGCTGGTTACTGGATCTGGAATAGCCGGATTTGCCCCAGGACCAAGCACGACCATGTGGGCACTATACCTTTATTCATCGCTTCCAGCCAGCGACGCATTTAGATTGATATCCTCGAGCTTTATGCCGTTTCTGGTAGAGCGAGAAGGACCCATGTGTGACTACACAGATTGCCTGTTATGTGGCCAGCTACTTAAAGCGCTGCAATTCCCTCCAAGTTTCTCTCTACAGGACAATCTCAGATCTCGCAAATCAATTAATTAGTCCACCTCTTTCTTCCCCCTCAGTACGTCTACCTTCAAGCTCGATAGTCATGTCTCGGCCTATCGCATTTGTCACTGGAGCCACTGGCCACCAAGGTGGTGCAACTGCGCGTGAACTTGTAAAAGCCGGTTTCAAAGTCCACGCGCTTGCTCGGGACCCGTCATCCCAATCTGCCATCCAGCTGCAGCGTCTAGGAGTGCAGCTGTTCCACGGCGATTTCGACAACATACCCGCTATCAATACCGCAATGGAAGGAGTCACCGCGGTATTCCTCAACGTATCACCCGTTCTCTCCGACACCGAACGAGAAATAACTCACGCAAAGAACATCATCGACGCTGCCATCGCATCCGGAAGCGTCACCAGTCTCGTCTACTCCAGCGTCACAATGACAGGAAAGCACGAATCATTCCCAAACTGGGACCCCGACCATTACCCGTTGGCGTGGTACTGGCTCAACAAAGCCCGGATCGAGGACATGGTGCGAGAATCAGGCGTCAAGTATTGGACTATCCTGCGGCCCGCGATGCTCATGAATGGCTACCATCAACCAATGGCGTCTCTCATGTATCCGAGCTTGGTTGAGAGACGGGTTTTTGCCACGGCGTATAAGCCTGATACGGCGATGACGGTTCTTGATCATGATGATGTGGGCAGGTTTGCGGCGGCTGCGATTACTGAACCTGCGGCGTTCAATAGGCATGAAATTGACTTGGGTGTCGAGTCTCTGACCCCGGCGGAGATTGTACGGGAGCTGAGCCGAGTTAGTGGAGTGGAGATAGGGATCGAGTTCTATAGTGAGAAAGAGGCAAAAGACCTTGCCATGGGAGACCTACGGATCTATGCGCAACTGTGGGCGAATGAAGTTGGGTATCAGGTCGACTTTAAGGAGTTGAAGAAGTACCCAATTCGGCTGACCACGTTCTCGGAGTACCTTGAAAAGCATCGGGACGAGGTCCAACAGACGTTCAAGTGAACATTCTTCTTTCTTCTGATTTTTTTTTTTTCCTGTTTGCAGCGGACGATGTATTAATTGCTTGAGGCTTTGCACAACAGCTTTGGCTCATCTTAGGGTGTCTTGGGGGAGACAATTGCATCCATATAAGAGCGAGTAAGCTCTCACCTGGAACTGAAGTGTTTGGAATAAGGATAATGTCCGTACATGCAGCTCGATGGCGTGGCTGCAGAAATCAATGAGTGTTGATTTGTATTATAGAAGGAAGACTTGAAAGAATAACAAAGACATTGTATTCATCTGAGCTGCTTTGGCACGCTTCAGCATCAATAGTGGTGACATCAAGAAGGAAGCTTGTGGTGAAGAGGCTTCATCAAGGTCGAAGGTCCTCATGGAGGCCGTTGGCGGCCCTTTGCTCCTTCTCCAACAGCGTCATGGCTCAGATATAGTTTACTGTCGCATTCTTCTGGAGGAAAAGAAATCCGGAGGAGGGGCTGTGCTGACTGTTCTTTTCCTGTCCAGGTCGCTAACGAGGGGTTCTAGAAGAATCGGTAGAGATTGATGTTCAATTCCATCGAAACAACCTCGTAAGAAAGAGAGGAGAATGGCTCTGGATTGCGCTGGACGTGGGTGGTCTGATCGACGCAAGACAATGTTTAAATCTCGGGACTCGGACAATGACAATTCTCTGCAGCACGCAGACGTGCTTGTCGAGGGAAATACCGGCTTTTAAGACGAAGCGGATACCTGGCGGAGACGTACTCAGTGCCGTCAAATCATCTATAACATGATCTTGGTTAAGCAACGGCACATCCGCTTGGCTTCGTCACCAAAGTAGACCCGTACGGATTGGAGATATTGTATAGCACGAGAGGTCCTCGCCATAGTTGGGCCCATGTCTGTTCCCTATCAGCTTCCACGACACCCTACCTCACTTGAGAGCTTCGTTTGATAAGACACATTGCTTGTGGGCTCCCAGATCGGCCTCCTTGAAACAGGAGGGCTCGGCGTTCACGTCCAGAGTTTAACAATTTGGTCTCGGAAGTATGCTCCGGCTTCTTTGCAACGAGCCACTGGTCGGAAGTCATCGTGGAGCCCTAATTACGAGGAAGGCTACACCCACACACTCATAATCGCACTGATCTCATTCCTCATCAGATAACAGGTTTTGCAGAAAGGGCCTTCTGGATTGGTTTCTGGCAACTGTTCTGGGGCTAGAAGAGCGAGCACACCAGTGAAAACCTGCCTTCAGAAATGGAGCGCCTGCCGCCTGAGCTCATTCTGTGCATCGAGATTCTCTCCCGACCGAGGACATCGTCTGCTTGAACTTATGCAGCCATACCCTGCACAGACTTGTTATAAAATCATGCGTCGACAGCAAATCAACCACGGTGTCTGCGCTCACCCCTATCGCCTCGGACCTACCGCGCATTTTCTGCTGTGGCCGGGGCGGCAAATTTCATCCGACTGACGACGTCGGACACCCATCGGACGTGTCGCCATCATGGCTGGACATCAATCATCCCTGCCTAGACAGAAGGCTCTGGCATGGCGGGTCAGAGAACCCTCTCGCGCACTTCCTCAGCGGCCGTGGATCAATACCCCTGTACTTTTCTTCCAGCACTGCCATCTCATCGTGGCAATGAAAAACCACTACAGTGGTCACAAACACGGTCTCCTACCCGAGTCGCTGGCGTACACAGAAGTGAGCAAAAGCGAATCGTTTCCGTTGGTTACCCAGCTGATTTCTGCGGAGCCCCGAATCTGTTCACTGGGAGGAGGTCGATCAACCCTGGTGTTTCAAGTACAGAACTGGGTGCTCTACCCATATTCTGCTGATATGAAGAGAGCAATGTCACTTCGGCCCGATATAAGACTTGCAAGCATCTTCACTTGCGGCCCAGTGCTAAGGACTATTATGCTAGAACCGATCCAGACTCAGATATCACAGACCGATTCAAGCACCTAGCCTGCTCAGTCTGTGGTATCGAGTTCCAGCTTGCTCTCCGGGACTGTAAAGGAGAAGGGAAGGCCGTTGTGGTAACTAAGTGGGTGAATCTTGGAGCTGGATTGGGATGGAACGATCCGACGTGGACACGCATAACAGCGGATGATCGGCGGTGTTCTCATCCAGTTCCGAGTTCACGAACGACCCGGCAACGGTTCCTTGGTGCAGTGTGCCTGCAGGAGCAAGTCAACACCCCAAACGACCGCACGACAAACCGGAATCATGCCTGTTTAAAGGAGAAGCGGTATCGCAACTGGATGGTTCGCAGAAGCGACACTTTACCCCGGTCTGCCCCTCTAAGAGGTTTACATAGTAACGTGAATTGAAGGCGCGATCTACCATCCTCTCCTCGCACCCGGTGCTCACCTCGTAGTCTCGTAGCCGTAACGGACTCGAAGGAAACGGGACTTGGGGCCGGAATAGTCGGCAGTCATCCCCCATGAGTTAAGCATACCTCCTAGATTTAACTTCTTTTTTTTTTTTTGTTTTTTTTTTCTTCTCTCGTCGACAGTATTCCGCTGAAGTGTCCGTCGCGCTTAACAACTTGCCCTCACCAACGATTAAGCTTCTCCTTCCCATGCGTTTTGCGATATTGGATAATTGTAGAGCTCCGGCGATTCGTCTAGATCGGTATGATGGTCCTTGTGTGTAAATCGGAGTAACGCCTATGCCGAGCAATGGGATCTAGCTTTTGGGCATCAGGAACAAGACTCGGTTCGGACAACGGATATGCAGATTATATTATACCTCGGGAAGCTCACACCGACGTGTTCCATTGGATGGTCCAGGATAAGATGAATGACTCACCAGGGATCCACCGGCGGCCCCCGGCCATGAGCGTTATGTAGGACATTGGCAGCAGCCCACTGTAAGGCGACGTGAACAGCGAACTATATCTACGACTGAAGCGGCGTGCCGAGCACGCTTACTGACTATGCGGGCAGCCAGTGCGAGTACCAAGATGATTCAGACCTCTGATTCGTTTGATCAGTGTAAGGATGAGTATTGGTGGATACAAGAGCAGGGGGGAAGGGCCGGTGTTTCCTGACCGAATCCAATGCGGATACGGCGGCTATGTTGAGAGCTGGACAGGGGCAATTGGTCTATTCCGAGTCTCATGGGACGTATATATATGCTCATTCTGCGGCCGCTGATGTTGAGTTGTCTTCATACTAGAAGCGCTAACGCTACATCGCCTCGTGATTGGTATCCGAAATGACTGCTCCTGCTCCTGTCGGGCCATGGTCTGCGTATGTCACATTGTACACTCCAACGCCTTATCCGAGTGGCATGGTGTAAGATGCCTGTACACTCTTCTTATCTCCACGAGCCTATATCAGACATCAGTTCGAACCATACCCAGGTGATCAAGGGAGGGGTCACATTGGAGGATTTTTGTTTCGCTGGATCTAAAGACAAATTTCCTAGAGTGAGGAAGATGCCTGTTCCATGGACTTCGATTGATGACGCTTGATCAGTCTTGAGGCTGAACAGTTGCTAACCCAGTTGTTGTCTCAGTCAGTATAGCGATTCGCTCTTCGAACCCCTTTGACCCTGAGTCTAGGCCCTTCTCTTCCGCAGATAAGGAGAATGAACTGCAGCAGATAAAACTCCCTGGTCAGATGGAAAGAGGGATATCTGATACCACGTCAGTCGACGCGAGATCGATGATAACACTCAACAGACGATGTCTACTTCCTCCTCGCCTACCTAGGTACAGCAAAAAAAGTCAGTCCATGCCGGTGTCCTCAATCTAGCGATTCGGTACCTGCTTTAGCCTCGCATCGGTCCGCCGCCTCTACTCTGGAGCACAGCCCGTGGTGACTCCGTCCTTTCTACTACAATTCCAGATCACAGAGTCTTTGCTTGGCGTGTTCAGAGCCTGTCAGATTGCATATAGTAGATCTGTACAACTCCATGCCTCTAAGTCCGCCCCTCGAGCCGGTGGCATTGGCGTCGAAAAGCCGGGATAACACCACCCAATTGGGATTTCTCCAGGGTAGCATCGCATCCCTCCTCCCTGTCTCGCCATGCAGCAGTCGATCGTGGCAGTGTTGCGGTAGATATCATCTCTCATGTCGATGGTTCCTGGTTCTGCGATCACATTCGGCGTGCCCGAAGATCTGCGCTCATGTATCAAGCAATATAGCACGAGTCCCCGAACAAGTGGCACAGCGACATGAAGAATCACTCGCTCCTCCATAGATCCGCCTCTAAGCTCGTTTCCAACACTGCTGGCTCTTAGACAGGCTTCTGACGAGGCCACAGGCTAAGAAAGTGACTGGATGGCTAGTTCCGATTGGATGCAGAAGCTGCTCCACATTGGGGGCCAGAAAGGACCCTGAACCCGTTGGTAACCGGTTTGTTAGCGAGGCTTCACGAACAACCAAAGGTCGGCCAGCATCTCAGCCAGCCTTTCATATGTGTCCCACACTGGGCGTTTAGAACAGATAGGTAGTATTCTATTTCGCTGTGGGATCCCGCAAAGACTGTAGAAAAGGTTGATGTCCTGTCGGAAAAAAATGCCGCACTTTAATGAAGAGGAATGAAGGCAGCGGCATTAGTCCTGCACATTATAGACCCCCCGCTTGGCACCTTATCACATGCAAAGGGGCAGAATGGAATTGAACTTTGAGCTTAACAAAGAACGGCGTTGATAATAGAATAAGATTTCGGGCGCTTTTGAGCTTCCCTTGACAGGGGACGATGGGCTGATGCGAGGTCGACCAGTCGGCAGGAGTCGCTGGTGCGATCGTTGGGAAGCCGTTGGAAATGGAGATGCCAGGTCTCGTGCAGGATTGCCGGAAATGGGGAGCTTTGGCCAAGCCTGAGGTGACATGGCCCGCAGGATCAATCTTCATCAAAGGAGCATGAAATAATGTCTTGAGTCTCGTCCAAGAAGACTCGATCTCGAGTCGTGGCTTGACAGAGAGGGAAGCGCAGGCACGTGTTCAAGACCTGAACCAAACTTTGCTCCCAGTCCTCCGAGTCTCCGACCATGTGTTCTGCAAGCCGTACAACCATGGAACACATTCAGGTCTCGCACCAACTGCCAATCACCTCAAAGGAGATTATCGCAACCTCATGTGGGCAATTTACCAGACTCCGGGTCCTTGCCAACGAATCACTGAAGCTCGCAATGCAGCTCCCTCAATGACAATGCCCGAATCAGTGGCCTCGACGGCAAACTGCTGAGTTAATGATCACGGACGCTGACTGCAGTCGCTGCAATTGGTCTGTTTAGATGGCCAGGGTTATCGCGCTGCTCTGGCTGGCCTCAAGGCCCCTGCTCCACTCTTCGTCGGGGTCGAGCACCCACATCGGCCTCATCTCATTCGTCTCTCGCACGATCCCAGCTTCCGGCCAAGGGACCAATTCAGCACGGAAAATGGCGCTTTCCGGGGTATTGCCTTGCCCATCCGGGCTGAATTCCCAATACCAGAGGCTATCGCGGTTGCGTTGCCATAAGCCTCCGCCCCAGTAATCTTAACGAGCTCTGCTATCGCCGACAAGTGACAGCTGGTTGACGTTGCGGAAAAGTGGGCTTCATCTCCTCTATCTCTGGAGAGGACTCCTACGAGTCATGATTCCCCGATAACACTGAGGGCAAAGACATCCCTTTCCTTTCATCATCTCTGCTCTCCGATCATTCCTTCGTCTTCGCTTTCCAGTCCCTCCTCGGCTGCCTTTCTTCACCTCTTTGTGGGCGCGAAACTGCCTACCCTGCTGATACCTCGACGTCACACCAGCGGTGAAATCGACCGATTTTCTTTTCCCACTGACGACTCACGATAATACCAAGCCCGACCCCAGCCACTGGTCCCTGGCTGTACGACCACGACTCGAGCTCTCTTTGTCGATTTGTGCTCCCAGTTCAAACCGAATCGATCGCGAACAGATTTTCCCATCGAGATCACCAGAAATTCTCCTCGAGCGCCCTTACATCAACCCCTCCAGGATCGTCGCGCTGTTATTCTCCGCTATCTACGAACCTTGATCCCCCACACACTGAGAGCTGGCACGTGCCCCTTCACCGGAACGAGGACGTCATGAATTATGATGTGACGGCCGTCAAGACAGTACAACTATACAGCGTCTCGCCTCTTTCTTTGTTACGGCACGATATTCCTTGATATTAACGCTTATCTATCGCTGGCCCCGCCTGGGGGGCGGTTCAACCGCCAGGAATATGTCACCGATACTCGAGCAGCGAGGGCTCTACTCGGCAGAACCCCCAGGAATCCGCACGAGGCTCGACGACAATCCGACACTCTTGGTCAGTTGGTGGGCGACGGGGGTATCGCTCGCCATCATTCTTACTCGTGTGAGCGGTCGCTATGTTCGCATCGAGCGCCTTTTCCGTGAAGACAAGATTATGATGGCAAGCATCATTCCCTTACTAACTCGGATGGCGCTGGTGCATGTCGTGTTGATATGGGGAACAAACAATACAACATTAGAGGGTTTGAGCGAAGAAGATATTCGACATCGGGAGATCGGGAGCAAATTAGTGCTCGTTTCGCGTATCTGCTATGCGATGTTGTAAGGCACCCGTTTCTAGACTCCCTTTGCAGCATGTTGACGCTTGCTTTCCATAGTATTTGGGCAGGCAAACTCACTGTTTGCGAATTTCTCAATCGAATCGCCGGAATGACATGGCGACGATCGGTCCGAATATTCCTCATCTTCATATACTATTTCCTAGCGTCGACCTTCATTGCAGTCGTGATTGCGACGCTTGCCGAATGCCAACCTTTTACCCACCACTGGCAGGTCATCCCAGACCCTGGTCCAAAGTGCCGCTCCGGTGTTGCCAATCTGATCACCATGGGCGCATGTGACATCATCACGGATCTAATCCTCGTCGCATTTCCAATCCCCCTGATTATGATGACGAACATGTCTGCGAGACGTAAATTCGCTCTCGTTACTTTGTTTGCCCTGTCTCTGATCCTCGTCGGTATCACCGGATACCGGATACCGGCAGTAATCGACCACAAGGGCTCCCAGCAGTATCGCTCGCTTCTTGCATCCTTGGAGATATTGGCGGCAACTGCAGTTTCAAACGCGGTCGTCATCAGCTCGTTTGTCAGGGACAAAGGCGTCAAGAAGGTCAAGTACAAGAAAACAATTGGTTCGGCCTCGGTCAATGAGAGCCTCGATCACAGCTCCAGCCGCCGTGCAACCATCACCCACCACCAATGGGGCAGTGATTCGGACCTTGCCCGCGATTTAGGAATCCGACTTGACCCTGAGCTGGTCTCCCGGGAGCCCTCAGAACCCCGTCCAGCGCCAATGGCTACCGGGGGGCTTGATCCAAACTGGTCCTTCAACCGCACGACATCGGGCTTCGACGACGACGAAACGTCTACGAGCAATAGCCTTGATATCAAAGTCAGTCCGCACGACTACATTCGCTCCCCACACAACAACCGTAGACCATCTGATGACTCCCTCACCTCACCCGACCAAGTCCCCATCTTCGACGTTGGTGGCCTCCTCGCCCAACCCACTCCTCCGTCCACGAGCCATCGTTTCCCTAACCACACCTCTCATCCTCCAAATCTAAACCCCCACCGCGTTAGCGATGGAAGCGGGCCTGTTCTTCAGGACGTTGGCGGACTCCTCTCGCCCCTCGAAGAGGTTCCCGACTTATCAGATTCACACTCAAACCCATACTCAGCGCCTCAACACCACCCTCAAACCTCCCTCAACATTCCCCGTCCCGGCGGCCTCCGACGCACTTCGCAACAAGGCCGACGACGCTCGAGTGTGCATTTCAGCGATGCTCCCGACTCGCCCGTCTCGTCGTCACGTACTCAGTCTGGCGTGTCAGCCACGATTTTTGAAAACGCCGATGAGTTTGAGCTGCAAGATGTGGGCGGGTTGCTCTCGAGGAATACGTGAGACAGGTACATGCAGCGATTGTGACACGCATGCATACATACTTATACGTTTACATATACGGCTCTTGACGGGTGTATGAATAGGTTTGGGTGTCTCTCTCGTGCATTATATCCCATATTTGGCATTAGCGATGGCGTTTTGGTTCTTTTGGGATTATTTTTGGGATTATTTTTGGGATTTATATACTTATACTAATGCACATGACTAAAAATATATACTTCTTACTGTTGAGACCTACTTTCTAATCTTGAACGCCTTGAAAGACCGGCCTAGAACATATCGAGTTTACGTTGGAGCAAAAGCGTACTACTTCTGGATATTTGAAAAGAACTAATATAGCATTGAAATCGTACACCATGAAGGACCGCCCTAAAAGGATTTCTTTTTCGCCTTTACGCCGTGCTGCCAATGCCTCTTCTCTCTTTCCGACTGGCTCGCGAAGCCCCTACCTCCGCCTTTGAGTCGTGCCGTCTACCTCTCCGTGTCCTTATGGGTATCGCGATGCCGTTACAACGGCGTGTATACGCAGAGGAGCGGTTGATAGATCGAACATATCCCCTTTCGGACCAAAATAGCTTTCAAGCCACTCAAATAACCCAGCGATAACTCGCATATCTTCCCGCCGTCTCACTGCGCCGAATAATCTTCACAACCTGCCCCCTCCGAAGCCCCAAGTACCTCGCAACGGGATCGGACACCTGAATTCTCGGCAACTGCGACTCCTTCAACCGATACCTCTGCAACAGCCGCGACTTCTCCTCGGGACTCAGCAGCACATGCTTGGGGACAAGTTCGTGTCGCGTGATATTAACCAGCAAATCCTGCTCCTGGAAGTGCTCGCATATGCGACCGGGGATGCCGGAGAGGAGGCGCACGGCAGAGGGGGAGATGGGCGTCTTGGTGATGAAGATGCCCGTGTGGAAGTTTCCTTCGTCGACGGTGTGGTTGAAAGTGCGCACTTGCTTTGTGCCGATGCCGCTGTCGTCTGGGCAAAATTCGATGTAGATTGTGCCGCAGTCTGGTTGCGGGTCGCGGTTTGAGGGGGTCGGAAGGGGTGTGTATTTGGCTTTCATGGCTTCGGTTGGGCGGGCTTGGATTTTTAGTTTGTCGCGGCTTGAGAAGGGGGTTTTGTTAGATTTTCTTTCACGGAATAGCTCCGGTTGTGACGGTGGTGGTGTACCTGGGATAACCCTTTTCGTTCACATATTTGTGCTTGAATTCGTCGAGTTCGATTCGGACTTCCTCATCTGTGACCTCGTAGCCCTTTATTCGCACTGTTAGTGACGTTGCGAGGGCAGACGAGATCAAAACGTACGCGGTCCTGCAGCATCTCAAAGACTGTTCGCCATGTGCGCCAGACCCGGATCGTCTCGCGCTCGGCGTCGTCGACCGAAAAATTGTACTCCTCGTCCATCTCGCAATAATTATCGACGCTAAAATCAAAAAAGCGGTGGTGAGCTGCAAGTCAGAGGCAAGTGAAGTTGAAAGGCGCCGGCAAGATTGTTGCAGTCGAAAAATCGGCTGGCACAGCGCTAAGAGCGCCAACGGTAAGCGCCGCCAATGAGACGGCAGCCGCAGAACCCCCCAGAACTTTAGAGCAAAAGAAGAGGCCAGAAAGATTAAAATCGTCCCCCCAAGAGAAAGTTCCCTTTTCCTACCGCTACGCTACTCATTCCCTCCCTCCCTCCCTCTCCCTCTCTCTTACACATTGTTTTTCTTTCTTTACCCTCTTTTTCCTATTCTTTGTTTCCCCGCTTGAGGGACTCTACCCCAGTTCTCTCTTTTCTCCCTCCCTTACCTCCTCTCTCCTCCCTCCTTGCCATTTCCCCGCCCATAATATGGCCGATGCTGTCGCTCCCGCTGCGGGCTCCGAGCCCAAGGTGAAGCCCACCCGACCTGACGAGGAGACCTTCAAGGCTAGCCTTGCTCAGGCTGAGAAGGAGCACGCTGCTGTTCAGGCGAAGCTGGTATGTGCGATTTTCAGCTCAATTGTGCCGGGATATAATCCCGGAGTCCTGTTTGGTTTTGTCACGTGAAACTTTTGATTCGGATCATTTACGTTCACATTTCCATGCAATTGACTTTAACGTTCTGCTCTCTTTCTCTGTTGAAATGCTAATCCTGTCGGAAGAACGAAGTCAAGGCCAAGATCGAAACCGCCAAGCCCAACAACCAGGACTCGCCCGCCGCAAAGAGACAGCAGGAGCTCCGCGCTGAACTCTCCTCCATCCGCCAAAAGCAGCAGGGATTCAAGGCCTCAAGAACCAGCACCCAGGAGAAGATCAATGGCCTCGACGCTACGCTCAAGGCCCGCATCGCTGAGCAGAACAACTCCCGCGGCCGCATGTCGTTCAAGAATGTCGAGGAGCTCGACCGCGAGATTGCCCGTCTGGAGAAGCAGGTCGACTCTGGCACCCTGCGCCTGGTGGACGAGAAGAAGATCCTGGCCGATATCTCGAGCATGCGCAAGCAGCGCAAGAACTTCGCCAGCCTTGACGACGCCCAGAACGTGATTGACGACCTGAAGTCGCAGATCTCTACGCTCAAGAAGACGCTCGACAACCCCGAGGCCAAGGCCCTCAGCGACAAGTACACCGAGATCCAAAAGGAGCTGGATGCGATCAAGGCGGAGCAGGACGGCGCATTCAAGAACCTCAACGCTCTCCGCGACGAGCGCACCAAGCTGCACGGCGAGCAGCAGAAGAAGTGGGCTGCCATCCGTGAGGTCAAGGACAACTACTATAAGGCCCGCAAGGCGTACAAGGAGTGGGAGGATGAGGCCTGGAAGATCCGCCGCGAGAAGCAAAAGGCTCAGCGTGACGCTTTTGAGCGCGAGAAGAAGAGGAAGATTGCCGACAAGAAGCTCGAGGAGGCTTCGCGCCCTGCTTACACCGACGAGATCATCGTCGCTCAGGGACTTATCCGTCACTTCAACCCTGCTTACGACTTTGCTTCGCTCGGTCTCGATGACAAGAAGGGTCCCAGCTCCGCCTTCCGCGCTGAGATTGGCCGTACCGTCGACGACTCTGGCATCAAGGGTATGAAGGTCCTGAAGAAGGAGGAAGACGACTACTTTGTCGGGACTGGCGGCAAGAAGGGAAAGAAGGGCAAGAAGGGCAGCGCCAACGGCAGCCCCGCGCCTGGCACCCCTGCCGAGGCCAAGTTCAACATGAACGTTGGTATCATCGAGGACTTTGCCAAGGTCAAGATTGACCCTCCCATGAACCAGTCCGACGTTCCGGCTGTTGTTGAGAAGCTTGCGGCCAAGATCACCGAGTGGAAGAAGGACCAGGCTTCCAAGACTGAAGAGGTACGTTACCTTTTGCGATATGTGTAACTATCGTACTAACGCTCTGTAGAACATCAACAAGGCCAAGGAAGAAATCGCCCGCCTGGACGCGGAAGAGACCGCACCCGCCGAGACCGAAAAGACCGACAAGGACGCCGCCGCAGACGTGGCCGAAGACCTTGAGAAGGCCTCCCTAGAGGAGAAGGCTTAGACGCATCGTGAAACCCATCCTGCATAAGCGTTGCACTTGACAGCATCATCAACAGCGGATATACTCATGACGATTAGATCTGCAGAGGTCCCAAAAGTCTAGCATTCCTATTATCCTATCCCCATCTGCATTATTACCCCCTCCTCAACTTTCCTATCCTCTCATCCCTATATCCATTTTTCGACGAGAGCAATTTTGTTTAACGACGCGCGCTTGTGTCTGTTTTATATTTCCCACTTGTAATTGGTTTTATTCTCTCTCTGCCCTCTGTCATCTCCTCTCCCCTCCTTCTTTTCTTGGGGCAGCAGGACTTTGAGCGAAGCGAATTGTACGTAACGAACTGAGTTGGAAAGCAAAGAAGCGGATTCGTCCAAAAATGTCCATAATCGGGCCGAGCATTGCGAGTAACCGTGTTCAAGTAAGGATTATTCATGTGAGATGATTCAGTTGAGGTGAGCGGGATTGCGGCGTTGCCATGGCCATCGTACTACGAGCAGTGGCTGTGCAAAAAAGACTCGTCGCGACTGGATAAACAGCGAACTAAATCCATCTGAACAGCCACTGTGTGTCGTAAGCCGGCCGCATGATTTCTGTAATCACCACTGTAGTTCTGCAGGATTAATTTGTGTTGGATGGCTTCGTTTCCGTTTGAATGGCGCTGCCTAATACGATCCATGGCGCCAAGTTTGGGTTTCAACTGGTCGAGAGCGTAAGAAGCCTTGCAAAACGATAAAAAGTAGTGGCGCTGGCATCTCGGCTTAACAAGCGCTTTCCTTTCCTTTTCTTCAGTTTCTTCTTCCTTCCACCCCTCTTTGAACTCCATCTTCCTCTCTCTTTCTCTCTCAGAAAACATTCTGTTTTGTGGTAGACAGACTCTCTCCTTTCACCGCTCTCCGACCACCTCGCATCCCTGATTAAGAAATACCGGATCTCTGGCGCTTAACCTTCTCTCCTCAGCCTCCCCAACTTCTCCTCAACTCCTCCACTTACACCCCCATTAACCCCGAAACCACCCTCAACCACAACCATTAAAATGTCCTACAACAAGCCCGTACGTCTCCTCCCCTGGCCCTCCCCTGAGTTCCCTTTCATTCACTAACAGCCCGAATAACAGGACGGCCCACCACCCTCCTACCCAGCCCCCATCCACGACCCCTATGCCCAACAACCACCACCGGGCGCCTCACACGACTACTACGGTGCCGGCTCCCCTCCTCCGCAAGGGTACGGATACGGCTCTCCGCCCCCGCAAGGTGGCTACCCGCCGCAGGGCCAGCAACCCATGTACTATCCGCCGCAGCAGGGCGGGTACCCACCACAGCAACAGGGGTATTATCCCGAGGAGCAGCGTGGGGGTTCAGGTGGTGGTGGTCTCTGTGCGGGTATCTTGGCTGGTTTGGCGTGTTGTTGTTGCTTGGATATCCTCTTTTAGATGGGGGACCCTTCAGTGTGATGCGGTTTCGGCGAACAAAGGAAGGGGATTGGAAAGGGCAAGGGAACGAACTCTTGATGGAAAGGAGGTTAAGCGTATGTGACGACGCTGCTCTGAGTGGGCAAGCTGCACTGAGCTGAGATACGCTTGGTTCCACTACGCTCGCGGCTGCAGCTGTGACTCACTTTCGCTATCGTGACGGACGTTTCGAGATTCGACTTCGATTTGGACTTCGCTTTTACTTTTCTCGTATGGCGCATGACTTGGTTGTGTTATCTGGGCATGGTTTCGTTCTTGTTGCTCCGCTACTGCTGCTGCTGCTGATGCTGAATTTTCGTGCATTCAGTCAAGTCCATATGTCGTTTTATGGGTTAATCTTATTAATATCACTTTACACGCCCCAACTTCTTTCCCCTACTCGGTTGGTAGAAAGAATAGTTATCAGGGTAACTAAGGCAATGCATCTCATCGTATTATCATCAATAGAAACATAAAACTCATAAATGGTATCCTCAATCGCACGCATAAATCATGAAACATACATCCAACAAACATATCAAGACATCAACATCAGCCCATCCATCACCTCATCAACACAAACCCAACCGTCACATAAACACAGTCCAACTATACCCATCATGCCAGATAAATCAAGACCTCCCACTGAACTCACTCTCCCCACCCCCATACGCCGACGGATCAACCCGCCTATATCCCCTCCCCCCACCACCAACCCGACTCTCACTCGTACTCCGACTCCTTGACCGATACCGCCCATGCCGATGATGTCTTCGACTCCCACTCCTCGAACTCGGCGGCGGGTCAATCACGCTCTCCTCCTCCTCAACCTCTACAACGCCCCCATCGTCGACCGCAGAATCCGTAATCCCCGTCCCCGTCACGCTCTCTTCAACAATCACCGTGTTGACACCTCCTCCTGCACCGCCGGGTCCGCGCCTGCGCCGCGGCCGAATACCCACATCGACGATTTCAGATGGGGTCGTTGATGTACCTACAATCGTCGATGCGCTGAAGCGGCGGCCTGACGTGAGTGATAGGTAGAGCAGGTACAGGAGGAAGAGGAATCCCGCGACGGAGCCGAGGACTGCGCCGGCTATTACGCCTGGGCTGGGGGAGGAGTGTTGGCGGCCGTAGGTGGAGGGGATGGAGATTGTGTTTGCGGCGATTGTTGTTGTGCTGCGTTTCCAGGGGTCGTGGCGGGTGGAAGGCGGCGCGAGGGTTTTTGTTTGTAGGTCGAGGAGGGTGTTGTATGTATTCGAGGGTGGTTGGAGTGGTGGTGTTTGTCTGAGTGGGGGCATTCTTGCGGTTCGGCGGCTCGGTGGCTTGGTCTGTTTGTTGCGGAGAAGACTCGGAGGTGGTGATCGGGTAGGTGCTGGAGAGATTATTGTTGTTGAGACATTGTTGTTTTGTTTGGTTTTTTGTTCGTTTGGGATTGGATTTGGATTTGGACTCGGGAATGCGACGATGTCTTAGGAGAAGAAGATTTAATGTGGTGGGTGTGCTGGTGGATTTGCTTTATTCGGTGGCTGGGCTCTGGACCCCTGCCTGTGCACCACACGTTGCTATACTTATTCTCCGCGCTTGCTTTTTCCACCGCGCTCTCCCACCTTCCTCCCACTCACCACACCACCTCCAATCAGTCGTACTGCTGGTAGAAGATATATATCCAAAGCTAGTAAGCCCGCTTTCTCTCTTTATACTTCGGCGATTCAACAACCTCAACATCAAGCGTCGTCTTAACAGGCGTATCATACTGCAACTCGAAACTATCCAGCCTCGCCCCATCTTCCTCCTGCGCCCACAGCGTAACCGCAATCCAGTTATTCCCACGGTAATTCAGGATCCCCTCTGGAACAGGGAAGCTCGTCTGCGGGCCGATATTATTGATATACTTACCGTACTGCCATCCATTAACGTACAGCTGCACGCGATAAGCCGGTGCGGGGGTTGTGTTGTTCCCGATGTTAAACGAGATCGGAACGTCCCAGCCGCGCGGAATATCCAGGTCAAAGGAAGCAGTGTAGAAACCGATTCCAGGCCCGTCGAGGCCGGTGAGTGGGGATGCTGATTTCCACTCACTGCTCTTGGCCGTTGGCGGGTAGGGCTGATGGAAGCCGTGGCGCTCGGCGAAGAGGCCGCCCTCGTTTAGTGGGCCGCGCGACTTGTCAATGTATTCCTCGCCGCCGAGGTTTCCGGTGAGTTTCCAGGTGATCGAATCCGCGGTGTGGCCGGTGAGGTTGTAGTTGAGGATTCCGCGCGGTTTCTTCATCTCGTCTTCACCGACGATCCAGTTTTCGTTCAGGCCCATGTTGTCAACTACCACTGTGAATGTGTATTTCTTTCCCGATTTGAGGCTGGGCAGTGTGTATGTGGCGTTGTGGTCCTGGTAGCTGTTTGCTCCCGTCCAGGAGCCTAGGTGTTTGCCGTCAAAGAAGACCGAGCTGCCAAAGGCTTGTCCACCCTGTGTCTGGATGGAAAAGTTGGTTTCGCGGCCATTTGCTGTGAAGTGGCCGCGGAAGAGCAGGTATCCCGTGTGGAACCCGTAGTCACCCGCATAGAGCGAGGTTGGGGTGCGCAGAGGGTAAATGGTGTTTTGAGTTGGGAGGTCTGCATCTGGCCAGGCAGAGTCGTCGTAGTCAGGCTGAGCTTCGGGGAGGGTGTCGATATACCTCCATTTGAGAGTCTCTAAGTTGGGAAGCTCGAGATCAGGCGGGGAGTACGGAACTTCCGTCGCCCAGATCCCGTTCTTGTTCACCGAGTAATGCGCTTTCTTGCCATTAATGAAAAGATTCTTTGCCGTCCGTGGTGCGCCGATGACCTCGACAGGTGTTGTGGAGTTAAAGTCTGCTGTTAGGTGCAAATCGCGGCCCTTGACATAGGCGTTTCGGACGAGGTATCCAGCCTTGACGATAACAGACGCAGCTACGCTCTTCTCTGTGCTATAGGGGATGGTGGTCTCTGATCCGAGTTGCGGCACCCAGTAATTGTACGCAGAGTTACGGTCTACACTGTCAGCGAGGTACAACAGTCTCTTTGGGGCAACGTACCGAGAAGAAGCACTTTCAAGTCACCAAATTGGATGATGCGACGAGTGGTCTCGACATCCCAGGCCACCACAACGGCGCCTCGGACCCGTTTCGAAGTAATGCTCGACTTTGGCCCCTCCAGGACTCTCGCATCCTCCTTGGTCGACACAGCCAGTTCGTGGTGCTCTCCAGGCCCACCGTACAGCACAAGAACTTTGCCGTCATGGAACTCCTTCCAGGTAAACACCTCCGCCGTCGAGTAGAGGATGTTTGTGCCTGCAACATCATAGTCGACAATGTGGACCTTAGAGTCTCGTCCATTAAGCGTCAGTGAGCTGCCGAGTTGAGGGACAGTCAGCTGTCCGGCACTTGTCGGGAGGTGAAGTTTATAGGAAGTAGACTCGCGGCTGCGATGGTCAGAATGGCGGAGCACAAAAAATGAGGCTGTCTCGTCGCCGATCAATGGCGTCACTGTTAGGGCTTCGGTAGTAGTATATGTCGTATTCGTCAGTTTTCCCGGTACTGCGAGGAGGTACGATGGTGACGTTTTGATGAAGTTCCCGAGCAGCTTCAGTTCGCTGTACTTCTCTCGAGCAATTCCTCTCGTCTCAGTGATGGGTGAGCCGTAGTCGTACGAGGTGTATCCGCCTGGGTGGCCGAGGTTGCCCCAGTTTGTTCCACCGAAGGTCTGCAAGTCAGTCGAGGTACAACTATGTATACGGAAGTGTCTACCATGTACGCCCCAAGAATAGATACTCCGAAGCTGAAGGTATTCTTGTACATTACTCGTTCAAACTCGTGGTTGGTAAGCGCAGCGCAGCTGTCGAAACCGGGTCCCCCCCAAGGGTCGAAAGCACCTTGTTGGTACTAGATTTGTCAGCTATGTAGGCAATATTATGAGAAGACTCTACCTCGACGATAGTGTATGGAGTTTTCGGGCTGATCTGGAGATGCAGATCGCGATAGTCGGTTGGTATGGTCTCCGGCCAAACATCAGGGTTGGACTGTCTTAGTTAGCTACCCAGTAATCCTCAAAAGGCATAGTGCTCAGTTATACGCAATCAAACCCAACGCTATCAGAGTTAGCCAAGTCATACACACATTATTTAGGTCAACTTACGGGTAGTTATCATGTCCATAGATATCAACCTCTCCCTTACCAGTCCCAGGAGCATTATGACCACCCGGCCATGCATCGTTACTGATCATCGGCACCACAATGCCCGCTCTCCGAGCCTGGTCGATGACATACTGGAAGTAGTCTGGGTTCGGAAACTCCTGCCCACAGCAGCCACCACTGTACTCGTTGTCGGGCTGGTAGAGGATAACCGGTCCGCCATTTGTGATCTGGTATTTTGCAACAAGCCCGGCGATGTGTGAGACGTAGCTGTGGCAACCGCGTATTAGCACGAGACGACCCAAAAAAAAAAGAGAGAGGAAAAGGAGAGAGAGAGAAGTCGACGTACTTCTCAGTCGCATCTAAGTATGCTTTATCCGACGACCGAATCGTCCCGTTGAGTTTCTGCAGCCATCCCGGGAATCCACCGCCGGATGCTTCTGCATTGATATACGGTCCAGGGCGAGCGATCAGGTAGATACCAAGGTCAGCCGCGGCGTCGAAAAACGGCTCCCAGGCAAAGCCTCCTTCTGCTCTGTATTCTCCGGGGTTTCCTTCTAGAAGCGCCCAATTGACGTAGATCGAGACGGCGTTGAAGCCAAGGGCTTTGACTTTGTGCAGAAGGTCGGTCCACAGAGAAGGGACTGGGAGTCTATTGAATTCAGTATCAACGGACTAGAGGGGTGCTCAGAGGTAATACCTCCACGGATGAATCTCAGCAGCGAAAATCATGATCCTCTCCCCCTTGACAAAGAGCGACTTCTCGTCCCAGGTCACCTGCCGCAATCAGTCCTATCTTGGTAGTGTTGAAAATAGAGGCAAGGTTAAAACGTACATATTCCTGCAACTGATCCCTCTTTTCCTGATCTGGGTGCTCCACGATCGTCAAGCCGTTGAGCTTATGGGTAATAACAGAGCCCGCCGCCTGTGCTGCGAGCAACACAGCCGCGCAGGTTGAGAACAGCCTCATCCTTATACCTTGCGCGGAGAAATACACTTGTGTCTGTCCGCCGGTGAACTCAAATGCGCATTAACAGGCCCTTCCCGAAGTATTTATCCCATCCTGCACCAGGGCCACTACCCCTCGCCTTCTTCTCGGTGGTGGTTTGATTGCGAGCGGGCGAGACGGACCGGAGGCCGTTGCGTGTGTGGTGTGAGTGCATTGCGCTAAGCCCGGTCGAATGATGAAGTGATGCAAGGAGAGTACCGGAGATTAAAAAAGGGGTCCACTATCCGGGGGTATATTGGCAGCGGATGAAGAGGACTTCGGCTGGGCTCTTGGAAGGTGTCGAGCCTCTCATTCGTTGTTGGTGTGGCCAAGGAATGGGGATCATTGAAGCAGTGAGGGGCGTTTTTAGTCTCGACGATCGCGGGGGAATTTCTCCGCATATGTCATTTTCGGCTTTTTGATGTCGGGGATAATTTTGAGGATGAAGATAAAGTGAGGAATGATACGACGTACGGCTATTAGGGGCTCGAAATTATCTTCCGGATTCAAATGGCTTCCTCCTCTCTACTTATACTCCCCTCTTGGCAGTCTCGATCTGTAGCTGCTGCATACACGGAACAATTCAGTTGACGGTGCAGGGGTAGGCTCATTTAGGTAATTATCCGGTTGGGTGAATTTAAATTAGAGATACTAGGTCATATGGCGATAAGGGGTATAGAAAGAACGGCCAACAGGTCAGCACAACAATACGAAGAATTTTGCCAGCATATATGTAGCAACTGGCGCTTCATACAGTTCATTCAAAGAGAAAACCCTCGTCCACAGATCCAGTCAGCCAAGTTTGTACCTCATGAAAGGCATCAAGGTCCTTTTGTTCGCGCGAGATCTCAACAGAAGGGTCATACCAGTGATGAGTTCTTCCGGCCGTGCGCAAAGACTCTCCGATAGGTCGACAGCTACCAAAGTCGATTAAAATAAACGTGCCGTCTTCGTCGATCATGATGTTCGCCGGGTTGATATCATTGTGCACGAGCCCGAGCGAGTGTAGATGCTTGATTGCAGCCAAGACCCCTTGCAGGTTTCTTTTCATATCCTCCGTCACGAGCTCGCGCGCACTTGCGCGAAAGGCAATTTTGTTTCGATACCCAGGATTGACTGCTTCAAGAAGCCTAGACGGGTACCGCTTGAAGCATAGCCCTGAAACTCGACCGTTGGTCTCTTGGTAGCCGTAATATGTCGCAATATTCGGATGGGGATTTTTGCGGAGGATCTCGCATGCTTCAACTTCGTAAATGATTCGCTCTTCGAGGTTCTTGTTGGCGAACGAGAGGAGGCTGGGTGTTTTGATGTGGACAGCTGACCACGCGCGACTCTGGACCTCTGGGCCCCTGTCTTCAGTTGAGATCTGCTTGACTTCGTGGAGATCCTCCAGCGTCTTTAGTAACTCGAATCTGTTCATCAATTTTCCGGAGTATAGCAGCCCGTCTTGCTTAACGTAGACGTCAACGTAGGCAAATTGCATTTTACCATCGGACCTCTTGAAGGCCTCGTGCTTTTGTATGACTTCCATGTCCGAGAACTGTGCGGGCAGACTGGCGTCAGTGGACAGAATAGAATTCAAGTCGTAAAAGAGCTGGTGTTACTTTCGCTTGTGGTTACAAATACACGTGATTGAACTGTAGGCAATGGCGTAGAAGACACCCTGGTATATTCAAAATCTGCTCAAGACAGAGCACTTTTAGTATCTGGTGTATAGAGAGTACCCGTAATCAAAACAGATTATACAGTCGTGTTAAACCGATCCTCCTCCTCGTTCGCCTGCGTGTACGTCTCCCTCGTGTCCATGTGATCCTGCTCGTCCTGGCCGATAACGACATTCTCCTCCTTGATCGCCTCTTCTTCCGTGGCGATAGCCTCAACCGCTGCAGTAGATGTGTTGGTTGCCGCAGCGGCGCGCTTCTGCGTTGTATTCACGACGGGTGTGCTGTCGTTGAAGATGCGGAGGAGCATGGCGCGGCGGTCTTCTTTGGGGAGCATGAGGTTGATTGAGTGGAGGGAGCGCCAGAGGGGAAGGACCATTCGTTCACTGAAGTTTGTTAGCATTGATATATCGGTATTGAAGTGCGGTTAAGAAGAGTGCAACGTACCTGAACTTGTTCTCGCCTTCAGAGTTGACGTAGAGGATACTGCAACCCATGGGGATGTCGCGCACACGCTCGCCAATCTCTCCAAGTTTCTGCCAGCCGCCGTCGTCGACCTTGGGGAACATTTCCACGAGAAGCTTGTGGAACGTCTCCTTTTGCGTGAGGGTAACCGCTCTAGCGGGGCCCAGCCAGGGTTCGACGAGCCGCAGGCCGTCAGTCTGGATGCGCCACCGGCAAACATCTGGGCGCTGTGCGTCCTGCTTCACAAACATCTTGACACCGCAGTGCACGAACTTGAGGCCGTGGCCCTGGTTGGCGACAAGGATGTCGCGGGCGAGAGCGCTCGTGTAGTAGACGGTTCTTGTGGGGGTTGCGTCAGCGTTGCGGACCATGAATCGATCGCGCGGGAAGCGGTCGGAAAGCTCAAAATACTTGTAGATCGGCTCAAGTTCCTCGTGGTTCGGGTCTATGTATCGGAAGGGTTCCTCGATGGGCTGGCCGGGTTTTCGCTTCAGAGGCTTGGCCTGCTCGGGGGCGGAAGCTTGTGGGGTATCTGCGCCAGGGGCGGGAGTAGCATCGGAGGTCTCTGGGACTTCAGATTCTTGCTCTTGTTGAAGAGGTGGAGGTTGATGGACGGGGCGATCTCCAATCACGACTTCGGTTCCGTTATCGAGCTTCGTACGCTTGACCGGAAGGCCATCTTCTAGGCTCTCTGCATCCCGCTTGGTAGAGACCTGGTTTGTAGCAGAGTAGGGAAGTTGGTGTGTAGCTTCGGCGACGGAGGCACTCTTCTGCCTTTCCAATTCGGCCTCTGCATCGTGGGGCACCAGGTCATCTAGCGCTTCGATCTTCTCCAGAGGCTCGCCGTTCTTCTTGTCGAGCTCCTCGGAGAGAGCGGCAACAGTGCCCTTGGGAATGACCTTGGTCGAATCTTCTGGCTTGGCACGAATTTCGGACTTCTTCTCGAGGACCGTGATGAAGAAACCGCCAGTGTCCTGCATATGGGGGTAAACGCGCATGCACCTCTCGAGGGGCAGATCAGAGCTCGGCGGGAACATGCCTTCCCCGATGCGGCCGAGGCCAGTGATGCCTGACTCAGCGCGGTGCTTCTCAACCTCGTCCCAGGTGCTCCAGAAACGGTTTTCGCGGTCCTGCACCTTCCATGATTTCAATCCGGTAGCCCTCTTCAGTCCGGGAAGTTGATCCTTGCAGTCGACAATGTTGACGTTGTCCAAACCGCCACATCGCTCGATAGCGCTTGAAACAACAGCCTCGTTCTCGATGGGGTTGAGACTGCATGTGGAGTACACGACACGACCGCCAACCTTCAGCATCTGCAGGGCACGGACGAGAATCCGGACCTGAACCGCGTGCAGACCAACCGCATTCTGGGGAGTCCAGTCCTTCCAAACACCGACGTTCTTCCGAGCTGTTCCGTCACCAGTGCAAGGCACATCAGCGAGAATGCGGTCAAACTTGAGATACCTATTCGGCGCCACCTTTCCCTCGGCTGCTGGCAGAGGCGGGAGTCTAATCGAGGGGAACATCGTAGCATCGTGGTTGGTAACAATAAGGTTCGGTGAGCTCAGTCGCTTCATCTGGTGGACCAACATATGCGCACGCTTATGGTCGCTATCGTTCGCGATAAGCAGACCCGTCGTCCGCCCATCGTCCGCAAGGCCCTCCGGCCCGAAAGGTTCAGCGCTCGCGCCACCCTCCTTGACCTGCTTGGCCACCTGGAGCATCGCATCCTCCTCGCCAGTGTGAATCATCTCCATCAACTGTGCAGACTTGCTTCCGGGCGCAGCGCACATGTCCAGGCACGTCATGCCGGGTCGCAGGTCCATCAAGAGCGGCGGAATCATACTGACAACCTCCTGTCTGCTGATGTTACCGACATCGGTCTCGGCAACGAGGAACTTCTGGAACGAGGCGAACGGCGCGAAGCGACGGATAACCTGCTTCGGCGTCGTCATCGACCACGCGAGTTGATCAGGGTACCATTCCACGGGGCGGGGAGGCTCGACGTTTTGTCCTTCATACTGGATAGAGGTGATTTCGGGGATGTAGTAGTCCTTGAGCCGTTCCTGGACGGAGAGCGCGTGGCTTTAGGTATGTTAGCAGCATACCCTAGAGTATATAAAATAGAGAAAACCAAGGAAAGGTCCGCATCATGCGACCTCGCAGAGTTCCGCCAACTGATAACATACCCTTTCGACCCGGTAAACCGGAAACTATTCGGCAAATCCTTACGCAGCGTCTCCCAGAAGATCTCTCTCTCCTCCTCCGGAATGATATCCTGTGAGTTGTAATAGTTCTCGAATCGCTCGTTCGACCTGGGAAAGTCCTGCCAGTCGCGGCGCTGCGCTCCTCCGCCGCCGCCGCCGCCACGGCCGCCTTTGCCAAACTGCACGAGGATTGTCAGGTCTTGCAGATATCAACTGAGACGGAATTCAACAAACCTTCTTGCCGCCTCTCTTACCCATATCGAAAACCAATTCAGCGCGCAGCAATGGGTTGGTATGGAGCGTGCGTGTATCGCTGGAATTTTTGAAGCTCCAAAAAGATCCAGCCTACTCGGAAGCATGGTTGTTCCAGGCCGGGCCGCAGGATACTCTTATGTAATCGCACCCATTCGCAGCGAACGAACCAACCAACAGTAATTATCTATTTCTGGGTCCGCATAGGGAAAACGACAGGAAGTGATGGGGCATTCGAAGACAGGAAAGAAAAAATGAAAAAAATGAAAGCCCAACGCGGGGGTTGAACCCGCAACCTTGAGATTAAGAGTCTCACGCTCTGCCGATTGAGCTAGCCGGGCTGTTGTTGAAGATGCGGGCTTTACATTGCACTTATATTCCATGCACAGCAATCTGAGTCGTCCACTTTTCTTGCAGTCGTTCCTCCCCGTACCAGGTTGAACTCGCTACAACTACCTAGTTTACGGTACATATCTTCGCTAATGAAACCGATTTAAATACTCTAATTGAATGATCAGACGGAACATCTAAGCATTCCCTCTTTAGTACTGCATCACGTTATCACCCGCTGCTATAGACCTGTTAGCCCTAAATATATATTAGCAGCGCAAATCTATACCCCGTCATCGGACGGGCTACTGTCGACGGTGCACGTAATGATGTCAGAGATCTAGACTCGAGACAGCACTCTGGCGATCTCGTCGGAAGTGTATACATATAGAGCACGAGTGCTAGCATATGTTGTATGAACAATGCCTAGCCAATGGCACCATGGCAGGTTAGAGCTCAGGCGCGACCCAAGCATCCCTTGTGATCATCATAATCATATTATGTGCATCCGGGTCCCTTGTCTCATGGAGCTTAGTGAAGCCGAGTTCTCTCAGAGCTGTTGTGGTACTGGTATGTGTTAATTCCATGTCCCACGAAATAGCAAGGTACGTACTCAAGGTTATCCGCCCTATACTCAAAGACGACAGTGCGCGTCCTCTGATCATAGAGCCAGCAATGATGGACCAGTGCACTTAGGCACCGCTTGATGCAGTATACCTGGAGAAAGTCCCTATCGCCTAGAAAGCAGCGAACCCCGCGGTCGTAATAGCCCACATTCTCCAAGGATCGGCCCAGAGGGTCCTCCAACACCCAGAAGAGTTCAAAGTAACCAATAGGTGTTGAGTTCCAGCACACGAGAGACGGGAACGAATTTTGGCTAGAGAGACGGTCCTTGAGAAAGTCTGATTGTTTTTCTATCGAGTCTCCTTGTGGGAGAACTGCATCCTTCGGTCTCTTATGGGTCCATTCGTACACGAGCTTCAGATCATTTGCTAGCTCCGAGTCCAGGCATAGATCCGGCCCTTCCCCAGAGTATCTGCCCGGCTCTGTTCTGCGCCGAACATTACTCTTCACGGGCATGACAGGTACCCGGAACATGAGGTATTCTCCGCCGCTTGGGACGAATCGGGCATAAAACACCTCGCCCTGCCTGTATGGTTTTGGGCGTAGCGGATGGCGGACGCCGCCTGTGTAGACATACTGTACCGGCCGAGGAGGGTAGTACGAGGGAAGGAAAGAGCCTGAGGTGTTTGGACCGGCACCGAAAGGGAAACCCGAACCGAGAGAATCGAGCGCCGACGTTGGGCTTGGATATACCTGACGAGGCGTGATCTCGACTGAGCTGAGGCTGAAGAGGTATAGTCTGGGATCCAGCTGCCAGAAAGCTCTTTGGCTAATAAACATATCCGTAAAGTCATCCATTTCGTTCTCCGCGCCAACCGAGGTGTCTCTGCTCGCGACCAGGCCCAACCGTTCAAGCTTCATCATTTGATCCTTCCGGCGCAACATACCACGGCGTTGAACACTGAGCCGCCACACCGGATCTGTCTCGCCGTCGCGCGGCGTCGATTCGGGGATTTTGCGACTCACTCTCGGACTTGGTTCCTGGAAATACCAGAGGAATGTGATCCACAGGACCATGGCTACCTGTCTCGTAGGAGCACTCCCCGGTTTCTGGTCTTGGCGCGATGGTAAAGACAGGGACGTGAGATATAGGGCATCGTTTTTAAGGGAAGGAGTGGTGAACGGTTGCGAGGACTGCTCAGCGCCGGACGCGTCGGACGCGGGATCATCTTGGTGAACTTTTGTATGAAGGCATACTCTCCACTCTGGAGGAAACGAGTTGCACCGCGCGTGATCATTGGAATTGAACCTGAACCCCTCAAAGACGGGAGTCACAGTTACTTGAATCCCGTTAGGCAAATTGCAGCGGTCGTACTTCATTGTTGGGCGACATTCTCAAAGCGACTGCGAATAAGAAGATTATCTGACCCATTTTTATTCTGTCAAGCTCGGGATGTCGGTTTTATTGTTCGGTCAAATTGACGTCAAATCAGAACTCCAATTCCGCGGTTGTTGTTTGGTGGTGGCAACCTCATGCTTTTCTGGTCGAGTAAAGACCAAAAACTGCTATCAATATGACGATGCCCATTGGGTATTGCTGGAGGATGTAAACTGGGCACACTGGAAGCTATGCAAGTGCTCATGACGTCCACCCTCTGAATGTGCTGGCCGTCCGTGGACGCTCGTATATCAGCGCCCAGGAAGCCTGGACATGCATGCGACCGGGGAAGTGTTCAGTAACCGACCGTTTTAGAAGAGCGCTTTTCGACGAGAAGACAACGTCGAGGGGGAACCGAGGCAGTGTGGGTTGAAGATCTGATCTTCTTCGCAGCCGTGTCGAGGCTTGCTGTTGTCCGCTCAGACGCCCTTTTCCTTTGACGATCCTTCCCACATCACCTCAGCTTGATTTCTTTTCTGGCCGTAATCTCAACCTTGTGATACTTCGAGTTGAGTGGTCTCGGCAAAGGATCGCCGTCATTGCCACAAGATCATCGGAAAGCAACATGCGAAGCTCGTATCCGCGAACGTGGATCGCCCTGAATGGGCCAGACTCACAAATCCCGTCTCCTCAGATACGGACCATGTCAATAGAGCCTCCAGCCATCTCCTATCCAAGCAGGAGCCGTGCTCATCATCATCAGAAAGGGCCTGCATGACTGTTCGACCCTTGTGCTTTTCGTGTTTCGTTCAGCCGCACCCAGACTCTGGACCAAGCGTGCCAATCATCACCCACCCAGCCCCGAAGCATCGGAGCTTGGTGTTGGTCTCACAGCCTCAGCCAGACAGACTTAGCCTCAACGAGAAATATGATGCGGTCGCAATTCCGCTCATCATGTGTTTGGCGAGTCCTGTTGCTTGGGCGCCCAACTTTAGCCCTTGGCCCCGCTTTCTCGTTTGCAAAACGAAACGATCATCAAGAGGCTTGGCTTCGACCGACTGTTTAAAGCAGCTTACTCCCTCTGAGTTTGCTTTGAACTTGATTCTGACACTTTTCGGTTCTTGATCGCGTACTTTCCAAGATATATCGGATACTACATACAAAATGTCCAACGAATGGAACAACTCGCTCTGGGACTGCTTCAGCCCTGTCAAACAATGTCCGCTACCCCAGATTTCCCTCAACCAATCCCAGCCCAGAACCCACTAACACAATCTAGGCCTTCTCGGCTGGTGCTGTCCATGCGCCCTGTACGGCCGAGCCGCAGAGCGACTTGAAGACCCCGCCCTCAAGGAAGGAAGCTATGTCAACGGCGACGTACGTCCTATCCTTTAGTTCATATCGTCCACACCCTAATTTCATACAGTGTTGCCTCTTCGTCCTCGCCAACTGCTGCGGCCTCTGGTGGGTGCTCATGATGATGAAGCGCCGCGACCTGCGCGAGAAATTCGGCATCAAGGGTTCCGTCGGCGAAGACTGCATCCTCTCCTGCTGCTGCTCGTGCTGCGTCCTTGTTCAGCAAGAAAAGGAGCTTGACGCCCAGGCCAACCGGCTCCAGACCGGAGGCTACCAGGCTCCTCCGAATATGTCGTACCCAGCTAATGGGGGCCAGCCTGATGGGGCTTACCCGAATGGCGCGTACCCTCCTAGCCAGGGGTACCCTCCGAAATGAATCAATCGTGTTGTGAAAGCGGATGTCTTGGGTCGGAATGCGATTTGAATGCGAAAACATGATACCTTGCCTTGCTTTTTTTTTTTTTTTTTTTTTACCACACCTTTGTTTGTTGTGATTGCTCGGGTGAGCTGGGATTTGGAGACAGCTTTGATTGATTTTTGTTTGTGCCTGTGTGACTTGACTGCGGAGTAGGTAATCATAATGAACTGTCGCAATTTTGAATGGATACTTTTAGCAGCAAACACTGTACTTTACAAGCGCAGAGCGATACTTGCTACTGACCCAGGGTTGAGCCTCTCCACCTTCTATCCTGTAGTACTCAAGCAGAGATACTATCCAGAAGCCCCTCGCTGTCCAATTAGGGCTCAAGGAACGAACGAGAGATTCGGAGCAATCTCACCCTAATTGTCCTCGCGCTCCAATCCTCGATTTCTTCAGCCATCGCACCATAAAGCTTAGATTTCGCCAACAATAATAGCGTTAGGCAACAGCCTAGCCTGCCCCTTCGAGCACACCGATCCTTCAACGGGGCAGCATACTCGTCCACATGGCCAGCCAAAACGAAGCAATTTGGTCTTTTAGAGATGTACCATTCTCTCCTCACGCAGAAAACAGGAATCACTACCCGCTCTAATCGTTTCTGGCGGTTAGAATAGCCAAATGAATACGGTGGGGTCTATGTATGGGAAGCCGAGTCTCGACTCGGGATAGATACCCTCAGGTCATCCTCATCAGGTAATCGGAGCCGCGGAAGCGTCGGTTGCACATACCCCCTACAAAAAGTTTGGTTCAATCTTCCTCATGGCGGGGGTATATAACCCGTTCAAATCACGATTGAGATTTCCATTGTTTCGAGAGAAATAGCAAAGAACCGAGTCGTCCATACGCATTCTATTCGCCCCCTCTTTACCCTCTTTCTCACCAGACCTGCATAATGGCCAAAAGCACAATCACGCTTGCCTCCGGGCACGAAATGCCCCTCGTCGGCTTTGGCCTGTGGAAAGTCCCCAAGGAGACGACCGCCGATACAGTCTACAACGTATCTACTCCCGTTCCCAACCCACTCTCACCAAGCACTTATACTGATGAAATATAGGCCATCAAATCCGGCTACCGCCTCTTTGACGGCGCCTACGACTACCAAAACGAGGCCGAAGCCGGCCAGGGGATCAAGCGCGCCATCGCCGAGGGCCTCGTCACACGCTCCGAAATCTTCATCACCACGAAACTCTGGAACAACTACCACAGACGCAGCGACGCCCTCGCCATGGCCCGAAAGCAAAACGAAGCGTGGGGCCTCGGATACATCGACCTATACCTCATCCACTTCCCCGTCGCGCTGAAATACATCGACCCGAGCGTGCTCGAGTTCCCGGCGTGGTGGATGGATAAAGAGCGCACGGTTGTCGAAACGGATCGCGTGCCGATTCGCGAGACGTGGGAGGCGCTTGAAACCGTTGTCGACGAGGGGATTGCGCGGAGTATTGGCGTTTCGAACTTCCAGGCGCAGTCGCTGTATGATATCCTCTCGTACAACCGGCATCCGATCTCGGGGTTGCAGATTGAGCATCATCCGTATCTTGTTCAGGGGGATTTGGTGAGCCTGGCGCAGGAGAAGGGAATTGCTGTTACGGCGTATAGTAGCTTTGGGCCGCAGAGTTTCTTGGAGCTTCCGGCGGTTTTCTCGGAGAAGGCGAAGGGGATTTCGTTGCTCTTTGAGAATGAGACCGTTAAGAGTTTGGCTGGGAAGTATAATGTGACTCCGGCGCAGGTGCTTCTGAGGTGGGCTACGCAGAGGTATGTTTTCTCTTCTCTTCTCGCTTGTTGTTGTGGTGCTGACTGTTTGTTTAGGGGCATTGCCGTCATCCCCAAGTCGAACAACGCTGCTCGACTGGCGCAGAACCTCGACGTGCTTGGGTTCGATATGACACAGGATGAACTCCAGAGTATTAGTGCGCTCGACAAGGGGTTGAGGTTTAACGACCCTGGATTTTATCTTCCTAACCATCCTCTGCGGATTTTCTAGATGGATATAGATATAGATGGACATTGAACAGACATATGCTGCATGGCTTGAAGACTCGTAAAGATTTCTTGAGTAATACATAACCACGTACTGACCAAAGACATCTATACGAAGGAGTCCTCTGGCGGAAACATTGGCGGCACCTGAGCCTTTGGCGGCCACCCAACCTGGCTATTGTACGTGGATTCAAACGTATACCTCCCCGACCCAACCATCTTCTCGTCCTCGCTACCGGGAAGCACAACCTTCGCCGACGAATTCGGCGGCACGATGAGTTCCAACTTAAACTGGTCTCCCTCCTTAAGCTCCCACCGCGCCTCCAACCTCCCATACGCCGTCTCATACTTTGCCTCTGCAGAGGTAACCGTCCCTCCTGGCAGCGGCTTGACAAGGATCTGTCTCCAGCCGGGCTCGAGCGGACTCACACCCGCAACAGTCTTATGCAACCAATTGATAATTGAGCCAAGAGCGTAGTGGTTGAAGCTAGTCATTTCACCAGGGTTAATGGATCCATCGGGGAGCATGCTATCCCAGCGCTCCCAGACGGTCGTCGCACCCATACGGATCGGATACATCCATGAGGGGCAGTTGGATTCTTGGAGCATGCGGTAGGCGAGCTGGTGGTGGCCGGATTTCGTGAGGGCGTGCGTGATAACGGGAGTGCCTGCGAATCCAGTTGAGACTTGGAACTTGGAGATCCGTACGAGGCGCGCGAGGCGGGCGCCGGCTGCTGCAGCTTGTTCGGGGTTGTCGTGCAGGTCGAAGACGATGGAGAGGCTGAGGGCTGTTTGGGTGTCTCCGACCAGGAGCCCCGTGGAGGAGATGTATTTGGATTGGAAGCGGGATTTGAGAGTGCGGTAGTCTGTCTCGTAACGGGCTGCGTCGGCTGCTTCTCCGAGGACTGAGCTAATACGCGCTTGGATTCCAGTGACGTAGACAAGGTAGGCATCCGCTACAAGGGTTCCATCGGTACGTGCGTTGCCTGGCTGGTCTGGCGGAGCAGTAGGGTCGAGCCAGTCACCCAGTTGGAAGAGAGTATCGTCCCATAGACGGTCTTCGCCACGCTGCACGCCTCTGTCTAGCCAGCCAGTTGAGCTGGCGTACTGGCGGCGAAGGATGTTGATGTCCCCGTAGCACTGGTATAGGGTCCAGGGCAGGATAACAGCGATATCATCCCAAACTGCTTGGGGAAAGGCAGGCCAGAAACTTTCGTCAATGACATTTGGAACAACGAGTGGGGGAATGGCTTTGGGATGAGCGAGTTGCTCAGCAGAGAGATCCTGCAGCCAATCACTTAACATGCCGGCTGTGTTGTAGAGGAAGCTTGCAGATGGCGCAAAGATCTGGAGGTCGCCTGTCCAACCCAGGCGCTCATCGCGCTGGGGGCAATCAGTAGGAACGGACAGGAAGTTTCCACGCATACCCCATGTGGCGTTCTGGTGCAACTTGTTCACCATCGGGTGCGAGCAGTTGAACCATCCAGACCGTTTCAAATCTGTATGCATGACTTCCGCGGTCAGGCTCTGAAGTGTGAGTGGTGTGTCGGCATCGTCCGGACTCCAACCGTCTACTTGAACGTAGCGAAATCCGTGGAAAGTGAACCTAGGCACCCAGTCACGGATCTCCTGGCCTGCGGAGATGATCTCGTCCTGGCACTTGGCCACACGCAGCGGGCGGGTACCCAGTTCTTTGTTTTCGAGGACCTCAGCGTGCGTGAGGACTGTGGAATGGCCTGCTGGCTTCTTAAGAGAATGAATCCGGATTCGCCCAACGAGGTTTTGACCGAAATCAAGAACCACCTTGCCAGATGGCGTGCGGATTATCTCGATTGGGTTGACCACCTCAGTGACCCGCACCGGAGGCGCATTGGGCGCCACGAGATGTGTGTTGGGGAGCTCGATCTCCCGGGTAGCCTCCCATGAAGACTCTGGGGCAAAGGATGTACTCTTCCAGCCTTCCTGCTCCTCTCGTGCGTCGTACGCCTCTCCGTCGTAGATCTCGCTGCGAAGGATGGCGGACTGATGGCTTTTCCAGCTCGAGTCTGTGGTAACAACCAATGCATCTCCCTGCTCTGGTGTAATTTCCAGCTGTGCGAACAATGCTAGCTCGTCGCCATAGATGAAGCGTCTGCCACCACCAAAGCCCAATCGAGTAGCCCACCAACCCTCACCGACCTCCACAGCAATCGTATTCTCACCGTCCCTCAACAGCGAAGCAACATCAAACACCTCATAGTTCAATCTGTTATGATAGCTCGTCCATCCAGGAGCCAAGCAGTGATCTCCCACCGGTTCTCCGTTGATATACGCCTGGAATACTCCGAGGCTCGTAATGTACAGCCGAGCGCGGCCTACAGCGCCAGCCGAGAGCTCAAACGTCTTTCTGAACCGAACAGGCCGCAGCGGGCCTTCTGTTTGCTTAACGCGACTGGTGATAGCACGCGCGCTCCATTCTTTTCGATCCAGTAGTCCGGCCTCAACTGTACTCCAGGCGGACCACTCGGTTGGTGCATTCTCGGGGCCTCCGTAAGCGCGAACTCGGATCTTTGCGGTCTCCCGCGCCTGCAGGGGCTGGCTTGCCCACGGTACAAGCACGGATTCCGCTGATTTGATGAGGTAGCTCTGTGTATCGTTGCCACGGGCGACTTCGACTTCGTATGCGGTCTGCTGCCAATCTGATGCGGTGCTTTCGGTAGCGTTAAATCTCCACGAGATGCGGGGTTCGGGAAAGCCGATTCCAAGGCCTGTGGGGTGTTGTTCGAAAGAGGGAAGGGATAGAGTTGGTTGAGACATGGTTTTGTTCCTAAAGTCTGTAAAGCGAAAAGAAAAAGAAAGTTAACAATAGCAGAGGACTTGCTGATGCTCAAAAATAGAGCGCTGGACCTTGAATGTCCACATTCCCGACATTATCGATCGACCCCGCGTTTTCAGCACAGTTCGATCTCGGGTCTGGGACAATTGTGACCGAACCCGGTCTTACTTCTTTGGTAGGAAATGTTGGAGGGTCATTAACGCGAGTCTGGCCGGCAAAACTTCGGCACTCGCGGCATAGTGAGGTTCCGGATGCCGGAAGCATGCCTTGGTAGAGGATCTGGAGAAGACACATGGTGGAGTCCACGTGGAGATGAACCGTGGGTTTCTGGTCCACCGTCCACGATGTTCCGAGTCGACTGTCGGAGAGCCGGGCCGCTTCTCCTGCACCTGACACAGTGACGCCTGTCAATTTCAATTGTTGACTGGCTTTTCCAGCAGTTAGGTTAGCGGGTCGTAGTGGGGAGTGCGGAGTCTGGAGGGGTCTATGGGCCAGCTTCGGCACAATTTGAGTGCATCCTCACAAGATGAAAAAGGGAGTTTTAGCCGTTCAATCTATGCAGCTCATCATCAACCGTAGCCAGTATTAATCACATTTCAGAGACTATTCGAATAAAGTACATAGGAAGTTATTCAAGCTCTGCCATCATCTCTGCCATCAGATCACCAATGGCATCGGCTCCCTTGCCTCCGCCCTCTAATCGAGGGTTAGTCGTTTGGATCAACACCCGCCGATAGCTTGTAAGAGCAGGGGTTCCGTTGTCCGTCACCTGCAAAATCAGGTGTAGAATCTGACCCCGAGCAGTCGGCTGTCTGGTCATCAAGTCCACACAACATCTCTCTGCTGGCGGAACCGTAACTTCTACCTTTTGACCCTCACCAATTGGTTTAATCTCGAGATCGGCAACTTCTGCGTCTACCCAAGACTGAGTTGCGCTCGGGTCCTTGTAATGGAACCACTTGAATGTCAACGCCCCTGAATCCGGGTCATAACTCTCTGATGCGTCTAAAGTGAATGTTGAGCCAGCCTCGGCGTCAATCTCTAGAGGCGTCAGGCTAGTATCGCCATTGATGGAGATCAAGGGGGCATGGTTCGCCGCAGAAAAGTCCGGAGATAGTGTCCACTGAATTCGAGCAGCAAAGTCATTCTGGAAGCTATCTCGCCAGCGCCAGATAGTACCATGATTTGTTGTGTAGGTGCGGCCGTCGGCTCCAACCACTCGGTCAACAGTATCGCCGTAATGTAGGCTAGCAACGCCACTGGCGCTCACGTCTGAACGCTGGTATCGGCCGCCCCAGGAGCCGTACTCGGGATGTTCGGGGACCCCTAGTCCGTTCTGGATCAAGTACAAGAAAGTAGGAGTATCGCCCTCGGGAATAAAAAGATAATTAGGGTACGCAGAGCCCAGTTCGCCAATCTGAATGTTCTCACGAATCCAGGTCTTTGTCACTTTTGAAAAGTCTGGCCCTCCCTGATCAAAGTTGTAGTACTTGTCGCCCGAGATACCCGTCCACGCGGCGAGGCCGTAGTGATTCCAGCCGTGGACAGACGCAATATAGAAAACGTCAGGGTACTGGTGGCGGATCCAAGCGCCGGTGTCGTCTTGGTCTGAGATGGCATAAACACGTAGTTTTGAGCGCAAGCGAGCTGCTTCGTCGGGCGAATGTAACTTCTGAATGCGCAGGAGTACCTGCGCGAGAACATTGGTGCCACCCCAGCAGAGAATCCAGAGAGGCTGCTCACTGGAAGCTTGAATACGCTCAAGAAGCAGCTCGCCGCCTTCGCTCAGTGGTATATCGTCTCCCACCGCTGCCATACCATATACCTCCGCGCCCTTGCAAATAAGCGACCGGAAGTAATCCGCAGGCTGGTACTGCGCACCGGGATGGACATGGGCGTTCAAGTTATCGACGACTTTCTCGTACGCGTCAATGATCTTGTGCATATCTTGCGGGCAAACTTTGTTCTTCATCCATGTCGAGGTGCAGGCAACCAGGCCTTCTGTTTGGAATTGATGGGAGTAGAGCAGATAGCGTACGAGCGACTCGGCATCGTCAGGTTCGTTGGAGATATCGGAGACAATGAACACCCGCGGCTTGGTCGGAAAGCTTTGAAGAGTTGCACGAGGGTCAGCCATGTTGATTTGGTGGTGAAAATGTCGTGCAAAACAAAGGAGACTCGAAGCCGTCCATCCTGGCAGATATATTCAACTTATTGCGAGCTGCTCGAATGCCCCCGCATCATGCCTCCCGATCGACTGCGGGGCTCGAAACCCAGCCAAGGGAGGAAGGTGCAGGCTCTGGCTGCTGCCTCGTCGCACGTCAGGTGACTATCATGTGATCTCTCACAAAGGACTAGCGTAACAGAGACCTGGCTATTCCCAAAATAGCCAAACAGCCAGCGCCCGAAGATTAGCCGATCAATTCCAAGCGAACGGCCATCTTCCTGTCGGAACGAGTCGTAGCAACGACTCATGTGAACAGAAATCAACCGTCAACGGCTAAATGGCCCTCGTCATTGATCCATTTGATCTCCACAGCATGGCGCAACGATCCTTCATGCGGGGCTGCTGAGAGTACACACCCGGGGAGAAGCGGCAACATGAGCGCAATATTGCCCAAGTGTTGACGGCGTTCTGGAGAGAAACGCCGAGGATGTCTCTTAAGGAGACATCTCCCTCCTCTTTCTTCTCCCAGAATTCAGCTCCGAAGTATCCGCGCGCAACCGGACACATTCATCATGAGTTTCAAGAACGTCGACTCTGCGCAGATCGAGAGTCTGCTCTCAAAACTGACTTTGGAAGAGAAGGTACGCGTTTCGCATATACCACCGTGAAAAGCGAGCGATATTAACGAGAGACCAGATTACTCTTCTAGCCGGAAAGAACTTCTGGGAAACAGCTGACTTTCCAGAGAAGGGAGTCCCTTCTCTCAAGGTTTGTAGTGTTATGCCACAGATTGCCTTGTTCGAGGACTGACTCGTTACAGACATCCGATGGCCCGAACGGTGCACGAGGTGCCACATTCAAAGGAGGCATAACCTCTGCTTGCTTCCCTGCGTCGTCACTCCTAGCCGCGACTTGGGATCTTGAAGCTGCGAAACATATTGGAAACGCTTTAGCGGACGAGACACGGTCAAAAGGTGCACGAGTGCTGTAAGTGGCCCCGCTCTCATTCATGCATGGATCATATACTAATAACACTCAGTTTGGCTCCCACCGTTTGCCCTCATCGTCACCCGCTCGGAGGTCGCAACTTTGAGTCCTTCTCCGAAGACCCATTCTTGGCTGGAAAACTGGCCGCGCAATACATCACTGGTCTGCAGGAGAAGGGAGTTGCGGCCACCATCAAGCACTATGCCGTGAATGAGCAGGAGACCTGCCGTTTCACGGTCAACGAGCTTGTTGCAGAACGGGCCCTTCGAGAAATTTATCTGAAGCCGTTCGAAATCGCCATCAAGGAATCCAAGCCCCTGGCAGTAATGACTGCCTACAACCTCATCAACGGCACACATGCAGACTCAAACAAGTTCCTTCTACAAGATGTGCTTAGGGGCCAATGGGGATGGGATGGCCTCGTCATGAGTGACTGGGGTGGCACCAACTCTACCGCTGATTCGCTGAATGCCGGTCTTGATCTAGAGATGCCTGGTCCTACTAGGTGGCGTAAGGTCGACGAGGTCGTCGCTGCCGTGAAGGCTGGCGCTGTCTCGGAGAAGACCATTGATGACCGTGCCCGGAAAGTCCTTGAATTGCTCACCAAGCTGGGCTGTTTCGAAGACCCCACTATTCCCGACGAGCAGGCTACTATCCTGCCTGAACACAATCGCTTGATTCGTTCGGTGGGAAGCCAAGGTCTTGTCCTTCTCAAGAATGAGGGCGGAGTTCTCCCTCTGAAGAAGGAGAAGCTCGCCAAGAAGAAGATTGCATTGCTCGGCTTTGCTCGTGAAGCTCTTATCCACGGCGGTGGCAGCGCTAGTGTGAACGCCCACTATCGGGTTACTCCAGAGGAAGGTCTTCGTGCTGCTCTGGGCGACACTGTTGAGTTTGAGTTCGCAAAGGGCGCACATACCTTCCGCCAGCTTCCTTTGCTAGTTGAAAATGTGGTCAACCGCGAGCGTAACCCCGGCTGGACGCTAGACTTCTTCGTTGAAGAACAGCCCACCGAGAAGCCCGCTTCATCGAGCTCTTCTGAGGCGCCGACTTATATGCCCATCTTTGTCAAGGAGACGTGGGGTAGCGTTCGGGCATCTACCCGTTACACGCCCACACAAAGTGGAAACCACTATTTTGGCATGTCTGGTTTAGGAAAATCCAAGGTTCTGATCGACGGAACGGTCGTTTATGACCAGAAGGAGAACTGCCCTGACTCGATGGCATTCCTCCTAGGAGGAGTGAAGGAACCCGAGGTCCAGTACAGCTTTGAGGCTGGCAAGACATATACAATTGAAATCGAAACCATGAAGCCCACATCCAGTGGCGGCCTTGCTATGCTAGAAGGCTTCATCGGCTTCCGGTTCGGACTCATGACCGAACAAGAACACAACAAGGACTTGGTCTCGGAGGCAGTAGAAGTGGCCAAGAATGCTGATGTTGCGATCGTCTTCACCGGTCATACCCCCGACTGGGAGACTGAAGGCCAGGATCAGCTCAGCTTCCATCTTCCCAGCAACGGCTCCCAGGATCGCCTTGTTGCGGCCGTTGGTGCCGTGAACCCCAACACCATCGTCGTCAACTCGACCGGAGTCGCAGTCGCCATGCCTTGGTTGAACGAGGTCAAGGCTGTTGTTCAAGCTTGGTTCCCTGGACAGGAAGCAGGTAACGCCATCGCCGACGTTCTCACCGGAGCTGTGAACCCTGCTGGTCGCCTGCCTGTGTCATTCCCGCACAAACTCGAGGATGCGCCCGCACATGGAAACTTTCCTGGCGAGTACGTCAACCATGATGGAGGTCGCCGACTTCAGGTGTCGTACGAGGAAGGCATTTTCATCGGTTACCGACACTATGATCTTTCGGAAGACACCCGCTCCAAGGTCCTGTTCCCGTTCGGTTATGGTCTCTCTTACACTACCTTCGCGCATGCCAACCCCAAGGCAAGTGTTGCTGGTGAAACGATCGAAGTGACGGTCGACGTCACCAACACCGGCTCTTATGCCGGCGCCGAGGTTGTTCAAGTGTATGCTGGCTCCAGGCTGGTAGTCCCAGGGAACCCTGTCAAGGAACTTGTCGGATTCGCCAAGGTACACCTGGCGCCTGGTGAGACTAAGACTGCCAAAGTTACCCTCCAAACTCGCCAGCTGGCTCACTTCAGCGAGAAGAGCGGCAAGTGGGAGCTTCCATCGGGTGACTATGAGGTGTCCATTGGGCAGTCTGTGAGAGACATCACTGGGCAGGCGACAGTGCATGTGGATGCTCAGACTTATGAGCCATGATTTAATGTTTAATGTAGAGATTGATACCTAGCTTCAAAATGATGTTTCCAAATTTCCATACTTCTACTCCCCAGGCAGTCTTTGATGTAGCACCCACGTGACTCGGCATGGATTCAGCTTCCTAGGAGTGGTTTGCTCTCGCCGTGCCATAAACTTGGCTCACGAGCCTATTGATCCGCCAACAACAACTTCTTCCTCGACGTTTATAAGCTGACGCCATGCTCCTGCTCGGTGTATTAATCCCCGAAGTTGACGCAGCCAATGCTTGCAGTTGACAAAAACGATCACCACGAGCTTTAGAACGATCGAGGTTCTCGCTTTGCAGGCCCGCAAGTCGGTGACAAACACAAGCGGAGGTGGTTGGAGCTGCCCTGTTGGCGGCAAATCCTCGGCCGGGAACCACTTCGAGCGAGACAATATCGCCTTTGTGGCGTCACTGACTCACCCCATCCGGTCTGGAGCCTTGAACTGTTTGAATTGCGTGGGCTTCCCCATGCCGAAACCCCACGCATTCGTCTTGTGTCAGTTTCACAAACCAGAAAATGCCGGTCCGGAGCAAAGCTCTTCCAGTCACACGGGTCCGTTCTCCAGTTTCTCCCCGATTCCGATCATGCGGGCCCCCGGATACGAAAAGGGCGCCGGCTAGTGGGTTGAGTTTGTCGGCCTCATCCAGCGTTTCGCCAAAACTAGCCTGTTTTCTAATAGTTTCCTGGCATTCGACTTCCCATTCCTGATTTCGATTCGTGAAGAGAACCAATCTTGGCACCCAAGCCAGATATCGATCCTCGTGGCACAGAATACTGCATTCGATCATGAAGGGGGGAGGCGTCATGCCATTTGAAAAGCGCAAAGGAAGATAAATAGAAGATCATCCCCGTGGGAAAGTTACATTGGATTGTTGTTCTCCACACCTCTATTCCTTCTCTTATCCCTTATTTCGAATATCTCTACCCCCCTTGTTGTCCCCAATAACTTGCGTCGCCATGGACAAACCCGATGTTGACATGGTCGAGCGGACCGACGACCAGCAGCTGGGGTACCTCGCCGACCAGGAGGATCATGAGCTGGGCAAGTGGGACAGTCTGAAGAAGTACCCCTGGACATTCGTCTGGTGTGTCTACGCTGTCTGGTGTATCCTCCTAGTCAGCTTCGAGAACCAAGCTGCTGGCAATGTCACGGGTATCCCCCAGTTCCGCCAGGACTTCGGCAGCTTCTACGAGGGCAACTGGGTCCTTGATGCCAAATGGCAATCTGCTTTCAACGGTGGGCCCGTCGCCTCTGCAGTCGTGGGCGCTCTCTGCTCCGGTCAGATTGCTGATACCTTTGGGCGAAAATGGACCATGTTCATCGCCCTCCTCATCTCAGTGGCCGCCGTGACTATCGAGTTCAGGGCTACCACAAACGAGATGTTCTTTGGCGGCAAGTTTCTAAACGGCTTTGCTCTTGGTGCCCTCGCATCTGTCCCCGTCACCTATGTTGGTGAAATCGCCCCCCTAGCCCTCCGCGGTACCCTCACGTGCCTGACTGCAATGGCCTACTGCATCGGCCCATTCATCGTTGCCCTTATCACCAACACGACTGGTAACTTCACGAACCGTTGGGCCTACCGCGCCATTTTCGCCGCCCAGTACGGCTACGCCGGCGTCGCCCTCGCCTTCATCTTCTTCATGCCCGAATCCCCCTGGTGGCTGGTCTCCAAGAACCGCGAAGAGAAAGCCCTCGCCTCCCTCCGCCGCCTAGGCTACAGTGACAGCCAATCCACCAAGAAACTTGCCTCGATAACCACAACCCTCGAGCAAGTCCGCGCCGAAACTGAAGGAGCAACCTACCTCGAATGCTTCCGCCGCTCCAACCTTCGCCGCACAATCATCTCTATCGCACCCCTCTCTATCCAAGCCCTGTCCGGCGTTGTCTTCGCCGCTAGTTACTCAACATACTACATGCAGCTAGCTGGCTACAGCAATTCCATGTCCTTCCGCCTCCAGATCGCGCAGCAGGTCATGTCCATCGTCGGCAACGCCATGTCCTACTTCATGATCGACCGCCTGGGCCGCCGGAACCTCATGCTCCTCGGCCTCTTCATCATGACTTGCATTCTCATGGTAACGGGTGGACTGGGCGTCGTCGCCTCGGATAAATCGAGCCCCAATGCCGATGGTGCAGTCAAGGGGACCGTCGCCCTCATCCTCGTCTACTGCTGGTGGTACAACGCGACTATCGGCGCCGCAGGCTACACAATCCTCGCTGAGGTCTCGACGTCAAGACTCCGTGTCAAGACCATTGCTATTGGTCTCGCTTTGCAGAATGGTCTGTACACCATGTGGTCTTTTGTTCTTCCTTACCTCTTCAACCCGGATAAAGCGAATCTAGGCGCCAAGGTCATGTTCATCTTTGGTGGGCTTTCAGTCATTTGTCTCGTGTATTTGTGGTTCTATCAGCCTGAGACGGCGGGAAGGACGTATGGTGAGCTGGATGAGATGTTTATGAAGGGTGTGTCACCGAGGAAGTTCAAGAGCTATCAGTCGGATGCGCAGGCGATGGGTATGGCGGTTAAGGAGGGGCGGGAGGAAAGGGATGTTTAGATAGCCCTTTTTAGATGATATGATGTGTTTGTTCCTTTATCTAATATTGTTATATACCTAGCTATGTGGTCACCACTGGGAGTTGTATTCTAGTGTTTAGGAGCCTTTAAAGTGCAAGCTATTTATTTTTAACATTCATTACATGTTCCATAAGGTAGACAATCGATTTTACATCTTAAGACAGGAACTTGGTTTAAAATGCAAATCGTACAAAGTGAATATGTCTATTTGTTTTCACCCACTCTATAAATACCATATCTCATCCACATCTAGACCTAATTCATTACCGCTTACTTTCTCGACGCGATTTCACCCCCGCCAAGTATGTCGCCAAGAACAAGCTTGATCTCCTCCAGGAACCTCGTAACCTCCTCCTCTGTGCCAACCGTTATTCTCAGACAGCCCTCACACCCAAGCTCCTTCCCGCGGAACCGCACCACAACGCCACGCTTTTCAGCCATACCCTCGTACGCCGCCAGCGCGACAACGTTGCTAGGCTTCCCGCCCTGGTCCGCAGGCCTATCGAGGACTTCAACGAGGAGGAAGTTCGACTCCGTACCGCCGCGGAAGCGCCCGATACCCGGGATCTTGGGAAGTTCAGTGAGGAGTCGGTTGCGCTGTGTGATGATTCGCTCGCGGTAGTTGCGCATGACTTCAAGGTTGGCTGGGTTGCCGAGGGCGGCGGTTGCGAGCGCGCTTGTTGGGCTGGAGATGTTGTAGGGAGCTTTTAGGCTGTTGAGGAGGGTTGCGATGGGCGGGCTTGTGAATGCGACGCCCAATCTGATACCGGCCAGACCAAATGCCTTGCTGAGCGTCTGCATTACAACGAGGTTGGGCCATTCGGCGACCCACTCAGCGAGACTGGACCCTTCGGGCGCAAAATCGATGTATGCCTCGTCGACAACGACGACGCCGTTCCATGTCGGGTGTTCGAGGACCTTTTGGATGTCGGACTTGGCGATCAAGTTCGCCGTTGGGTTTCCGGGAGAGCAGATGTAGACGAGTTTGATTGTGGGGTCTGTGGCGAGCGCGGCATTGATCTTCTCGGGCTGCAGGGAGAAGCCGTTTTCGGTATCTAGGGGGACTTTGACGATTTCGACATCATTGACGTCGGCGCTGACGGAGTACATGCCGTATGTTGGGGGGCAGGTGAGGATCTTGTCCTTGCCGGGGACGCAAAAGGCGCGGAGAAGGGCATCGATGGCTTCATCTGAGCCAACACCGACGAACAGGTTCTCGGGGCCGATGTTCTTGTCTGTGTGGGTGTGGGTGTTGCGGAGGTTGCAGAAGAGTTGTTTAAGCGGGTGTTGGTGGCTGGAGAGGGAAGCAATGCACTTAGTATATGTATTCCTCCAATGAATACTAATTGAAGGAATGTACGTACGGATCTGGGTAACGGTTCAATCCCAGGAGGTCAATCTCCGGCTTCGACGACCCCGTCGAGCCGCCATTGACCGCTGACTCCTGGAGGGCCCCTTGGTCGTTCAGCGCCAGACCCGGACCGTAGGCATTCTCGTTCGCATCGAGGAGGATATTCGTTCCGTCATCTTTGTAGTCACTGAGGCAATTGCATTAATTTCGGTGTCCGTTGCGGAGCAAGGAGGGGCGAGCGGGGGTCTTACTCTCTTGCGCAACGGTAGGGCTGCAATTTCAGGATATTCTTGCGCGCGCATGTGGAGAGGTCGAAAGCCGATTGTCTCGTAGCCATTTTGACGGTAATTGCTGGGGGGAGAAGAGTGCGTTGCTTTCTTTTCTCTCTGGGCGGGCGGAGGAAGTGAAGAAATAATGGGGAGCGGAGGACAATTGGAGTCATAGGCGGAACCGGCCCTGACGACCACCAGCGTCTGCAGGTGGTGACTCAGAAACTCGTCCATGTTTTGCTAGAGGAACTATACTATTTTCTTGGTACTGTAATCCTTGAGAATCGGACGCATCGAGGGGACCAATCGAGCGGATACATCAATTGATGCAGAAAAGACTGTAGATAATGTTTCTATTGTCACTCCTGTGACGCCGGAGTATGTATATAAATTTTAGTTAATAGAACCGCCGTCCTCAATCCCAGTTCAACGCCGTGGTATGCTCTAATGTGACGACAGAATGCAATGTGGAAACCGTCTATTCTTGCTTTGAGTTCTTCGGAGGATCTCCGCTTGACTCTTTCGTTTTCTTGCCCGAATTGCGCCACTTGTCTTGCTTCGCCTTGAGGTACCGCCAGGTTCTGCTAACCCCCGCGGTAAACAGGCCTTTAACCGTCTCTACGGAGCTTGGCCATCGGATAGTCTTTGTGATTGCGGCCTGAACCTCTTTGTTGAGACCCATGTCGCTGGCAATGCGCTGTTCGAACTTTCCACCCTGGCGCCGGCGAATTTGTTCCGGGTTGTTATCACTGCTCTCTTTCATCATCTTCATGAATTCTGCTCGAGGAATCTGGAAGCGTGTCTGGTACTGGAAGTATAGTTTCTCCCTGAACGAATCAGGTAGTCGACGCACCATATTGCCGCGCTTTACCGGATCCATGTCCTGGGAAAGTCGCACGTTGGCTTCAGGGTCATCGATCCAATCGTTTTTAGTGCAGCGTTTGTCGTTGAAGACGACGTTGGGCAAATTTTCAATAAGCGGAGCATATAGCCGTCTGAAGTTCGCCATTTGTGATGAGACAATGTTGTTAACTTTCCGCGGATCCTCTACCGGTAATGCCATGCGGAGATCACCCATGTAGCTGATTGAGGCGATAGTGCTGTAAAGTTGGAACTCCGTGAATTCTTCCGGCATCAGCAGTAGAGCTACCCGAACAGCAGACAGGAGGTTCATCTGGTTCGCTAGCCGGACCTTAGGATGATCTCGCAGAATCTTGACTGGTTTCTGCAGGCGGCCAGCAAGGTACAGTGAGTTCCATTGACTCAAATCATTGCACAGAGTATCGATGTTAACGACCCCATACTTTATCAATGTGCCATTGACCGTGACGTAAGGGTTGAAGTAAACACCAGCGCCGAATCTGTCCTGCACTTGAGAGACCATGTAAGATCCCAAGGCGCCGACGCCTGAGTAGTGATCGCGATGTTGCGAAAGGTTTAAAGCATGCCAGTGTTGAGAGTAAGACACGCCGAAGATAAAATCTATCATCTTCCCCTTTCCCTGTTGCATATTTTGGATTGCCGCCGGCGCTGACGGATGGCATTGCTCGGAACCGGACGCACTCCCATGCTGCGGGAACACGCCGGATCCATATGCGAAAGCATATCGAATTGGTGCTTTGAACTGCCAGAGAATCTGTCGCAATGCTTCTTTGAACTCTTGGTTGATGATCATGTGCTGGTTGATCCCAAAGTCTTTCGAAGGGAGCTCCGAGAACTGTGATATGGCCAAGTTCGGATTCGCGTCCCAGTCTCCCTGGTCGGATACTTTAGAGGAGGTAGAGAATGAAGCCGATGATGGCGACAGCAGATAATCTGAGCTGGTGGATTGTGCATTGTTGATGCCATAAAGGCCGGATCGGTTCCCGGGAATTGTCAAACGGCCATTGCGCGGAGGAATTGAGTTCGACTCAGTCGACAGGCACCGGAAAAAGCCTGGTCTTCGACCACACCGTTGGAGAGTCGGGTGAACTGAGCGCATACGCAGGTAAGAAATCGGGGTAGCGTTAGAGAAGAGAGACTTTAGGGAGACGTCAATTAGCATGAAGCCGAACGAGCAAAAAGGGGAGGCCCAGGGGATGTTTTTACAGTAGCTTCGCGCATTGTCGCGAGAGGAAAGGAGGGAGACATCACACACTCCTCAGCTAGACCATGATTTCAAGGTCAGAGAAAGAGGCAGTACGAAATGAAGAAGTAATCGAATGAATTCGGCGAGGTGGATTTCAGCGTGGAATTATTCATCCAAGTCCGATCGAGAATCGGCCACTTGCGCTGACGTACCCTCGGCTGTAATTCGCGGAGGCTCGTGAGTGCCTCAGGCGGTAATACTATCACGTGACTTTGCCGATGGGAAGGCGCCCTGTTGAGGAAACAATCTGCCCACCTGCAACGACGCTCTGTTTCTCAATGATATCTATCCTCCTGACAATCGCTCTCACAAGACCCAGCAAGGGGGTTGAGTCTGGAACATCACTAATGGGCAATTTATTAGCTGTATTCCGTGGCCGTAAAGTGCAATTGCCACGGGTTGAAAAGAGCTAACTGCGGAACAAAAAGCACCGTTTTTATACCCCCACAGCTCTGAATACGATGGTCACTAGGGGCCCTGGAACTTCATGTCGATGGTACTATACTTATGGACTGCTTGTCACTGATCAAACACCATTGACGTCGTTTCAGGGAAATGGGACCGTTGGCTCCACCCTCCTCGTGGCCAATTTTCTTCACCAGACTCATTAACCATCCTGAAAACCTTCCAGCAGAGTCTTTCCAAATCGATTAAGTTCAAATTGGAAGCTGTCCCATTTCCCACACCACTTCATTCTCAGCTCGCTTATGTCTATACCATTGATGTAGATGCCGGCTATTTTACAGTCACCCAGTGGATATCGGTTAACGGGGCTTCATACCTAAAATCCCGATGGGCTACGCTGGCCAGCGTCCAAGAGACATCGCTTAGTACAATAGACACTCCGTTGGATGATGTTGTGAAATAAACTGGACACACTGATCACCCACTGAGCGTTGAACGACAGAAACAAGATAAAGCACCTAGTCGAATCCTTCGATAGCAAATCTAGAACGCCGACACGGCTAAATGAACTCCAATTCCAGCTCTTGACGGTTTTCGTTTTCATATGGCGGTTCTACTTTGACAACCTTTCCATCTGGACACACTCTTTCTCCAATTTCACTAGCCTTGCTATTGGACTATTACGTATCGCAGCTTTAGGCTTTGAGGTCAAATACATGGATACTGAGGAAGTGCCGATTACATTCCAATCACTTCCTCAGTGGAAAGCGCCTACTGAGGATGTATTCTGGTTTCACAAACATGTGGTAGTGTTCGCAGCAGTGGTCAAATAGACACTTCTGTGTCTACCAGGGCAAATATTATTGTGTCCCGCAGCGACGGCCGAGCAAGGATTATTCGTGGGATAGCCATTGCCGTACGACATATCGCACTCTTTACGATATTTAATGACGATATATCTCAATCGCTAACCTGTTGCGCTTATAAGCAATACTGCGGCACTGCCTTGCTCTCCCGGATTCCGGCTACTGGCTCATATATTCACTTCAGATAATTGGGGTGTATCACCAGCGGAGCCCAGAGAACACTACGGAGCTATGTTACCCAAGGAGCTTCTCGAGATAATCTTTGAGACATCGACACCAAGGAACTTGGTATCAATTAGCGCAGGCGTCTGTTTTGGTTAGGAAGTGGTGCTACTCTTCCATTCCCCAGATTTATGGCTTCAAGGTACAGAACTTTGCACTCTGCATACCATGGAGCGGCAGGCGAGTTAGGCCGAGTACTGCCCGTATTTATTGCTCAGTCTGCTACAGCTGGCCGCACATGAAATGTATTGCACTATCATCTAATGTGGCCACTGTCACTGATGACTATATCTGCCTGGAATGTCAAGGGGGCAGGACTTGCAATTTCCTTGAGACGAGTGCCATCCACCAAGCTTACCGTGCAAAGCGAAAGCGAAAAGCATGCAGCGTACTCCGTGGAGACAAAACTTTGGATTTTCGATTTAGAGATTCCAAGCTGTCATCTCGCAGGCCAGAGTTATGGCTTATTCGAAGCCACGCCGCCGCGCGGTCTGTTTCGAGGTTGCAAGACCAACGAAGAAACATTATCACAATCGGACATTTACAATTTGCATCAAGTCGGATACCTAGAGATCTCTCGTAGGTTCTGGATGCCAGTAACTTATTAATGCGTTGTAGAGACGCAGCTTCTTCTCAGGCACCAGGGGAACAGCCATCCAAGCCGGAAATAAAGAGTGACTCAGCTACCTTGAAGGTATTGAGAACGGACATATCTACAGCTCAGACCGCACGTATCTCACAGGCTCCTCCTCATCTGGAACGCACCAAGCAGGCATATAACAATAGTACTCCATGACTTCCATGCCAAATCGTGCAATTGCGGCTGCCGCTCTGGCGCCGTGGAATAGTAGATTGTCCTTATACTTTCCGAGGCCGAAATCTGGACCCATGTAACGTTCGAGCACTGAGGGCTGAATATTGTCATGGCGATCAAAAATCTCCTTGAGTGTGTGGAGCAGGTTTGGCTCCCGGGCGTGTGAACCAAGAAGCACGACGTAATCGACCGGTGCATCCTCTATAGCGCCCCCTAGAAGCTCCTGAACCTGGCCCCAGTATTTCTTCGTATCATCATGCTGTAGACATTCAGCACCATGTTCTAAGCTTTCTATGACTTGCACTGGCTTGGGAAAATCCCAATGATCTCTAATCTTCAGCGAGATTGAGACTCGCTAGGTTGTAACTGATAATCAGCATGGCTCTTGTGTCATCTTCTAATAACTTGTCCGGATAGAAGTCCATTCCCTCATCCTGGAGAGTGGCAATGGAAATGGAAACAATCGTGCCTGCATTTCCGAGTGTCTTGAGACCAGCTAGGTGGCAAGCAAGCTGGAATCTTTCCTTGTATGTATCTCTCGTCTAGTAACGAGGAACCGGCCAACTAAGGTAAACATCATTCAATTCAAGCGGTGGGTCAAGAGTGTCAATTGCGGTAGACTTGACTTCTGATAGTATTGCCGTAACCGCGAGGGTCCACTCATCGGAGAAATGCTCGGGTGCGCTTTGAGGATAGAAGTGATTGACCAGTTGGCGTGGCCATATTGAGAAATTATACCACCAGGCCCGGGGTAATCTCCAGTATTTTCTGATAGGGTAAGGATACCGCCATGTAGGGTCTTGGAGTACACTCGCTCCGTATTGATTTGCTGTTCTTAGAATGCGTACAGAATAAGGCTTGCAAGGGTGATCTTACAAGGAGGAATTGAGTCCGTTCCGAATGTTCGTAGCATCTGCTGTTATTGCTCTCATAGCTGCACTGTGCTCCGCGGAGCCATCTATCTTGGCGAGATCTCGGACAGTGCCATTCTTGAATTGCATTGCGGCGGTGCTTTTGCAAGATGAGCGAGCTGAGCATTCTCATCACGGCAGTAAACTCACGCGTATGCCATTGTTAGGTCAATTCCCACACCTAGACAAGTCAGCAGTGCTGTCTACCCTGAAAGAGGAAGATGGCAAAGGTAGTCCACTGACCTGGAGCACTTCGTTGTCCCGGAGGCTTACACTCAGGACATTGGGTACATCCACAAATGCCTTCTAAGCTCGAGGCTGATAAAACAATCGAGGCCATGATGAGCCAGCGCAACACCGAGGAAGCTGATTGTCCGAAAACCATTATTTCGTATGGTTGATGGTAAAATGAGGAACTGAATGGCGGGGCTGAAGCCAGATATATCAAGCCATCTTGCATGTGATGCTGGCCTCACGTGTGCCAGACCATGGGCGATAGATGGGTTGTTGGTGGCGTACAGTTGCTACTGGTGTAGCCGGCATCAAGGCTGGCGCTTCACTCGGCCTTTGGCAATGTTGGCCTTAGGGCTCCGATAGGACAATGTCTTGTTTCCCAGGCACCCATCAGTACAGATTGCGCGAGCGTATATAATGCTTTTCCAGCTTGACATCTAGCTAGATACAGTCACAATCCCCAATTTTGGTAGCAGGCCCGGTCTTCAAGATCTGCAAGTATAGGCAAAGGCGTGGTGGCTAGCCGCAGAGTTGGAACAATAATTATGCCTCAGGCCGCAAAAGAGTCACGTGCCTTAGTTCCTCCGCAGCGCGTTCCCACCCGCGGATCCAAACAAAGGCAGTAAACAATCCCATCAATCGATCTCTCCGTCACAACAACTCGAATCACGTCAACCTGGAGCCTGGAAACAGTCAGTCCCCAATGTTCATATATAATGGCTAACGACATGGAATTATTTGCCGCCCGCCTGGCCAGTTTCGACACTGTCATTCACCCAGACAGGCGGTCTTCGAGCTCAAGGTCCGCAAAGCCGATCTCTTGGCCGCACAGTAGCCCTTCCCCAGCTGAGGTACAATCCGACCTCTTCGCATCTACCGTTGAGATATCGCCATATGCTAACCAGCCTGTCGAGTAGTTGGCGCACGCCGGTTTCTACTACAACCCTTACGAAACGAACCCTGATAACACAACATGCTTTCTTTGCCGGCGAGCGCTCGATGGGTGGGAGGAGGAAGACGACCCGATAACGGAGCATTTGAAGCACACAAAGGATTGCGGATGGGCGATTATGATGGACATCCACCGGAATAGCTCGAATCCCGCCGAGATAGAAGATCCAACAAGCGAAACGATAGCTCAGGCTAGACTGGCGACCTTTGGGGAATCATGGCCGCACGATGGCAAGAAAGGGTGGTTGTGCCAATCCGACAAGGTAACATGGCCTCTTTACTGTCGCATAGAGAAGAACCAATGAGCCTAACTGCCAAAACGTGAATATAGATGGTTGAAGGTGGATGGTATTTCTGTCCAAATGAAGAAAGCGCCGATATGGCGAGCTGTGCCTACTGCAAGCTGTCTCTCGACTGCTGGGAGCCCAAAGACAACCCATTGTGAGGCCCCTTTGCTCCTTCCTTGGTGCTTCGGCTGACCATCCAAGCGACGAACACTACCGACGTTCCCCCAAATGCTCATTCTTTGTATTCGCAAAGCTTGGCAAAGGGAAAGGCTCCCGATCAAAGAAAGGCCGCACCTCCAAAACTTCTCGACTCTCTACCCAATCTAACGCTTCCGAGATTCCCGTATCCGACGTCGAGGACCAAATGGATGAGCGTGTGCTAGCTCCTCCGGTGAAATCCAAAGCCAGCAAAAAGCCGTCCAAATCAAAGGCAAAGAGCACAAAATCCAAGAAAGATGAAGTGCAAGAGACTGCGAGTCAGATGGATATGGACGAAGCGGACTTCGCCCAGCCGGAACAGTCGAAACCTAAACGCAGTACTAGGGGCACGAAGCGATCAAGTGCTGATTTCGAGAAGGACAACATGAGCATCGCCGATGGAGACAGTGTTGGCCAGCCGGAACCGCCGGCAAAGAAAAGAGCCACAAAGTCTCGCACCAGTCGAGCACGATCACAGAGTGTTGTATCCACCGATGCAGCATTGGATGTCCCTGGATATGAAAGTGATGCCACTCAGCATGAGGAGCAACGACCGGGCCGAACTAGCAAGAAGAAGGGCTCCAACAACCGCAAGGCTTCTGTGTCCTCCACTTCGAAGTCCACCAAGTCTCGTGTTCCCCGCGATTCTGAGCTTGATGCTGCGATTGAAGCCGGACTGGAAGCTGATGATCCTCAAAACATGGAGGTTGAAGAGGCGGCCATCGAGAAGACCCCTCCCAAAGCTTCAAAGAAGTCAAAATCGAAGAAGAAGGCCGCGAAGAAGGACCCAGAACCTCCCGCCGACGTGGCTGACCGTGCTAGTGTATTCGAAGCTCCTGTCGCGTCAAAGCCAGCCGTCGAACAAAATACAGAGCAGACGGACGAATTCATCGCACAGCAAGAGCCCATGCATACAGAAGAAAAGAGCAAGCCCCGGAGTCAGAGAAATTCAGTCGAACAGCTACAAAGTAAGAGAACCTCTGCGGCTCAGGAGCAATCGACGGCACAGACGAATGACGAAGAGAACGATCAAAATCATGATTCTTTCATATCAGTGGAGATTGTCTCCAAGCCTCCCGCGGAGTACAGTGTTCTAGAACCGACTAATAAGGACAGCAAGAAGTCTAAGAAGAAAGCTTCGTCTGAGAAACCCAAAAAGTCGAAGAAGGCAGAGAAGGCAGATAAAAACGGCAAGTCCGAGAATCCCGAGAAGGCGAGCAAATCAGAGGAAGCAGAGGAGCAGCTTCAGAAACGAACTTCTATGGAAAAAGAGATCGCCCTAGAGCAGTCCCCTCTCCCTGCCCGGTTAAGCACCCCCGAGCCAAAGAAGGACGAGCTTGGTGAAGAATCGTCTCATCGCCGATCATCAAGGGTGCCGCCAAAGACAGCCGAACGATACAGTGACATTCCCCACGAGAAACAATATGCCAAATCGCTTGTTGAATCCCAAGGATCTGACCGAGCGGATGGTACACGCCGCACCAGCAGAAAGGACCAGGAAGATGAGCCAATGTCACCTCTCCCACCTGCATCCAGAGGATCCCCTTCTCTATCACCGCAGTCCTCGGACGCCGAAAATCATCCTCCGTCTATGAACTTCTCAGTGCCACGACCACAGCTATCCTCGCCATCTAAAAAGGCCCATGTTCGCATTCCCCTGGCGGCTAGTACTCCGTCTCCTTCAAAGAGAAATGCTTCTGCCCAAAGAGTGCATACATCCCACCCCTGGGTCCCAGTTGATATCGATGAGATCTTGCTCGTCGGCGCAAGCGATAAAGAGAACGTCGATCTGAGCGGACCGTTAAGTAACGCCAAGAACGAATTGTCAAGTCCCGAAAAGAAAATGACGGTGGAGGAATGGATTATGTGGAACGCAAAGAACGGGGAAGAAAGGCTGAAGCGAGAATGTGAGAGGCTTGTCGGGCAATTCGAGAGGGAAGGGGCCCGGGCGATGCGCGCATTGGAAGGAATCGAGTGCATTGACTGACGAAGCAGGACTTCGGATGCCCAATCACATATTAGGAGTTCAGGAACTGGGGAGTTGGACAAAGGAGTTGGGTAATCTGGTTGTCTATATGTTATTGAGTGATATCTACTATGCAATTTTGCCGAATTCATCGACGGCGTTTCAAGCGCCGTTTTCCAGCCAAAACTCCACCCATCCTGAATATGAATCAAAACGCCAGGGTATATGAAGACCAGTTGTACAGGAAAGTTTTTTGCTGACGAGATAAGAGATTTCGCCTAGGCGATAATTCCCAGCCGGCCTTCCCAGCTGTCTTCCTGCTTGATATTATCTCCACCTTTTCGACGCTTCTCGTTTCGCTTCCGCCTCTTCTCCTCCCGTTCTTTTGAGATCTGTTCTTCCCTTTCCTTCAGTCGCTCGCCCAGGTCCAACTGCCAGACTCGTCGCTCTTCCTCCTCCCTCATCCGTTTCTGATGAGCAAGCATCCTCAACCGCTGCCTCACATCCTCCACTGTTGCCCGCGTAACCTCCCCGCTCTGCCCCGTAGCAATCAAATGCTGTTTGCTATTCAAATGCTCAACGAGCTGCAGGTTATCTTTAAAAGTCAAGTCACAGTCCGAGCAGTAAAATCCAGCGCCGCGCCCGCGCTTGCCAACCGCATTCGCCGCAGAGACAATGGTCGTCTTGCCAACCATGGATGCGACATCAAGTCGCTCTCTGCGAGAGGTGGTCGCCTCAAGGGAACCGTAATCGACGGGCGCATGCCATTTTTTGCCGAGAAGTTTGGCTTCATAGCGCGCTTTGCCTTCTTCTCGTCGCTTCGCTTCGTCTTCTTTCGCCTTTTGGGCGTATTCTTCGCGGTCCCAGGATTTGCCGCCGAATGTGTCGGAGGTTGGGGTGCCGTAGGCGGATTGTTTCGAGGACATCGTGGAGGGCCAAAGTCTTCGGTAAATCTCGCGAACGAGGGTGCTCTGGGCGACGAAGGTAGTTTTGATTTTGTGGTGATCAAACGTGATGTCAAAGAGAAAGTGATAGCTCTGGCGGCAGAAACGCAAATGCGCACGGGATCAGAGGGCGGTGAGAAGGAGCCGGCTTTCCCCTCTGATCGGCCCAGCCGCACCACTGCCCCAGTTTTGAGGAATCAGGACGGCGGGCTCGACTCCGCCCGGAGCAGGCAGTAGTGACGCTGATGCAGTGGCTCCCTCGTTCTCTCGTTTCTGACCTCATGCAGGGTCCTTTCTGCAGCTGCGAGCGATAATTCCTGTCTTAGAGCTACAGTACCGAAATGGGACTAATCACTCGTTCAGGACGACTCACGAGAACACCCAATTATGACTGTCGTCTCGTATCGCTCTCATCCAGCCTCTTTTGACTCTCAAGCTTGCGGAGGCTGAAACATATCCATCCGCTGGATTCTCTATTTTTGTATCCTGCTTCGCTGGCCAGTTTGACGCTATAAAGGTGCCTGGTTCCTGAACCTTTAGGCAACAATTGCAGCTTCCTCGTTCTTATATCATAGCTCGGCCCTCAGCTCCCAAGAATAGCTCTCCACTCCATTACTGTGTTGCATTGCACTGCCCCTGCGGCTCAGGCAGATCCCCCCCGGTCTCGTCTTCTTGATAAGAACAACTTCCGTCGACAGCCGGTTAGCTCCCAGTATACCTATATTTCTCCCGTATTTATCATCTTTTCTCCAAGGCACGACCACAAGGACCTGCAAGCCATCATGGCGACGTCTACACTCACATTCAACACCCCAGAACAACCCCCACACTTTCGACTCATGGAACTCCCAACAGAACTCCATCTGAACATTTCCTCATTCCTCACATACCCAGACGCACTAGCTCTCAAGCACACCTGCCGCCACTTCTACTCGCTCGTCTATACGGGCGTGCACCTGAAAGTCGACTGGTTAGTCGAGCGCTTCGAGCGGAAACTCGAGTGCCCGATGGAGAAGTGCTCGTTTCGAACAGACGAGGCCTTTTGCAACAGGCGGATTCGCAAGATTATGGAGCGCAGGCGCCGGCATCTTGAGTGTCCCCGGTTCTCTCGCGGTTGCTTGGTTATCGAGGGGAGGACTTGTCAGATGGACCTTGTGCCTACGTGGTTGAAGAGGCAGGGAAGGGTGAAGGTGCTCAAGAAGGTTGGGAACGAAGGTTCGTTGTTCTCCTCTACGTTTATCTCCTTTGCGTTTTCTCAAGGGAGGTGCGGGAGTACTGACAAGCACTCGCAGTTCTCATCCACGGGCTCATGGTGCTCTGCATGCAATTACTATGGGTCATCTGCCAGAGGTATGGCTTCCCTACAACCGTGGCCTGATCGAGTGACTCATAGGACAGATATATCTTTCCTCACCATCCGCTGCGTTTACCGCTAGGCTCCAGCGGATCAGACTAGCCGATACGGAGTTTGACGAATTTCCGATGTCATCCACGCGTCCGATCTTGTGTCGGCCCTCCATATAGGGCTCATTCGTTCTATTTCTTCCGGGCACACTTTGTTCACGTGCAGCTGGCTGCGCGAGGACCTGTTTGAAGAGCCTCCTGTTATGCTCATATCATGAACAAGACTACATCTATAATATGTATACAACAATAATATCTAATTACAATACCCAACTGCTGTTTATGCACCGTCTATCTTCAGATACGGAAGTAGGCCGACATACTCAACTTTGCTGCGAGTGCTCCCGCAGATCCCACAGGTGCCCAGGACACACGACCCTACCACATAGCGAAAGGTGGCAGTTAGTCGAGCACGCTTTCATACAAGATGTACAACAGCATTAAGTTAAGATCAAAGACTCAAAAAACCCACTGATCAAACATGACCCCAAAGTCCAACGTATCCAAAAACTCCATACCCTCCGCAGCCCAGGACCCGTTCCAACCGTCCCCCGCTGGGGCCCCTACACCCATATCAACCTCAGCAGACCCCGTCACAGCACTCTGGACTGGCACAGGAGATTCCAGGACTTCGTCGAGAATATTGGTGAACATCTTCCCCGCGCGCTCGAACAATGCATGATTGACATTCAATGTCGTTGGCCGCGTCAGTAATTCTATATGGGAGATGAAGATGCTGAGGTTGCGGATGAGTTCTGCTCTTGAGCCGGTGTAGGCAAGTGGTTGTCCGGTCCGGACTTGGGTTTGCAGGGCTTTTATTAGAATGCTTGCGCTGGAGAAGCCGTATAGGACGATCTTTAATCTTCAATTAGTTGAGTGGGTTGTGGTAAGCCTGGGCCAGAAACTTACGGCGCTGATGAAGTCACGTTGGAGATCGATCATAGGCTCTTGTTGTCTGCCTAACAGCAGGACAGATGAGAGTAGTCTTGAGCTCACGTCAAGCAATGCAGGCTCGGCTGAGCGGTCGTGCTGAGTAAGAAGTCTTTGGACAAGGAAAATGTTATATAGATAAGCCATGTATGCAAGAACCAACATGATGCGAATGCCTATGGGAAGGCTTTCGTCCCAGTCTGTCGACGAATAGCGTAGACGAGTTGGCATGGAAGCCCAAGTCTGGGTGCAGCGCAGCGAGACATCTCTATAACGCACAAATCAAAACGTGATCAGACAAACGACATTTCAGATCTTGTAGCTTACTTTAGCTTTTCCGCAAGGTCAGAGTTCAGTGGCCGCAGAGACAACTCTAGTATCTCCTCTCGGAACGTGCTAATCATGTATCGTTGCCGGTACCATGAGGTGAATTGGTATACCTTGTGTGTGTTCCAACCATCATTGTCTAATTCGGCTAGAGCCTGTTCTAGGTCCGCTCCGTCAGAAAGGAGACCAATATCGCTAATATCTAGAGGCGGCTTGGTGTCCGAATACCTCCAAGATAGGTGTGGAGGCCGCCCAAGAAAGGTGGACAGGTTCTTGTCTAGTTGATAGAAACCCGCAAAAACCCGCCGTCGTATTTCTCGTAGGAAGAATGGCATGTCCTCGGACACGTGAGATTCTCGATGTAAACCTAGTTCAAAGATGCAGCTCGACAATTCCCCGACCCGGTGCCATGTTGCAGAACCTATGCATTAAGTCAAGTCAGCATTCTGTGAAACCGACACAAGAGGGGCAGGAGTATGCTAGGTAAATCTAAAATGAACATACTGCACTCTCCAAGCACCATACAGCAGAGCTGCCAACTCTCGTACAACAGCCAGATCATCAAATCGTTGACTGGGCTAAGGATCCTACACACCTGCAGGGCAATGTCGCTTGCTGCCAACATCTTTCGGGCAAATTTGATGCGAGCCGCAGATACTGACCAGGCAACCCCTTTGAAGAACCTCTCATGGGCAAACCCAAAAAAGCTAGCCTGGGCAGCTATAACATATACTGTTGCGACGATTTCCAAGCGCAAGCGGCTGCCAGTGAACAACTGGTGGAAATCTTTCCCTTTGGTGCCCGGAGGTATGTGAAACTTGCGTGCGGTATTTTCTAAAACCTGGGTCGTCTTCCTATGTAAAATTTGCGGCGTATCGCCCTCTTCAATGAGGCCTCGCATGGTAGCTATAGATTCAAGAATAATAGGTCTTGGGACAACAGAGGCTTGAGTAAGGGAATATAATTCACGGACAAGCTGTTCAATCGTAGAGTAATGTGCCAAATGGGTCAACAGCTTAGTGACCTCTGGTACCCAGAAAGAGGGCAAATGCGAGGAGCTCAGTATTGGTTCTTCCGCCTGTAGTTCAGCGGTATCATACGAAGGCGAAAAGCCAGTGCTTGGGCTGTTCTCAAATGCAGCCACCCAACTGGTAGGCCCAAAGTAGCCTGATGGAAGTGCATGGTCTGTTCCTGGACTCCTGACAGTGATCTCGACAGAGGAGGGTGCGGGAGATGCGGCCCTTGGCATCTTCTTCCGACCAGCCTCTTTTGTAGCGCAGGCATTTCGGTGAGTCCGTGATCGAGGAACCGGATTTCCTATCTTTTGGCTCAAGGGTGCTGGATGGTAAAAACAACGATCGGTTGTGTTTCGCTGCTGGCATCGTCCGCAGAAGGGCTGTCCATGGTCACAACGCACCTTGTTTTTTCGACAGGGCTCGCATGAGGCTGGCTGGCCATTGCGACGGCGAGAACTCATATCAATTGAGTGGTAGTGGAACTGAAAGCCATGGTAAGATCGAAGGAAGCTTGAGGGGGAAGGAATCACCATTGCAGGCGCATCGCTTTTTCGGAGTTCGGCGTTCGGCGTTCGGACCTAATGCAACCTCAGATCAGGAAAACCGGCAACGCCACTGCAATAAAATAGACTATTGGTCCAGGTTTGTACTGTCAGGCGCAACTAGAACCCTAGAAGCCATGTTTTCTATTGTTCAGACCAGTCGGCAAGCTATGGGAGTGTTCGTGAGGGACTTGTTCGAATTTTTTGGGACGAATATATGTAGTGGCAAACCATTATTAGTATTACAACTTTATCAAAGCAGAATACTAAGTCGGGGTTGAATAATGGCCGGAGAGCAGAAGAAATAAGCACTAAGGATTAACTATTGAAAAGACTGACAGATTAATATAGAATCCTACGTAACCGCCGGACACCCACCAACTCAAAGAACTAAAGGCGCCTGTCGATTATCGTACATTCATAAGATGTGGGTATCTCCGCAAATCCTTAACTCCCTTGCCAAAACACCAAGCAGAAGTTCCCAAATTTCAGATCTGAGTAGATTAGTAAGAGCAATGATCGAAGACAAGAATGAATGACATACCAATCTAAGAGGCATGCGGGCAGGAAGGCGGCCATTGTGCAGGAGCATCGCAGTGTTCTTGTTGGGAGTAGCCTGCAACTTGCGGTACGCTTCGCGGATATGACGCGGTTCGACAGGAGTGCGGCCTTCCTCAGGAGGATCGAAGAGTCCAGTCTCGCGCTTGCGCTTCTTGGTTTCAGCCCCGTTCTCAGCTCCTCCGCGGCGGTTTTTCTCGCGGTCTTCGCGCTCCTTGACCTTGAGAGCTTCCTCGGTCAGAGTCTGTACAATCTCGAAGGTCAAGAAACCAAGAATATCGACAATGTCATCGTTGGGTTTCGACTCGGTAACAATTCCAAAACCAGCCCACTCTCTAAAACGCTTGCTCTTGCGGTAGGTAAAGGACGCCTGTCGACACTCAGACCAAAAGACGTATTCCTCACGGGTCATGTTCTTGGTTCTTTCGTCAGCGGCAGCGAGGCGCTGGAGGGTGGCGTAATTTTGCTCCTCTTCCTCCTCATCTTCTTCATCTTCCCTCTCGGGAACTTGAATGGAGTAAAAACTGTTGACATCCCAAGCAAGTCCAACACGAGCTCTCTTGTTCTTGGGCTTGGATGCGACATCCTGGGGACCTGCGACAACCCCGCCGGCGATCGGGTCATCAGCTCCTGCAAAATCGGCGGCGTCAGCGCCTCCTTTGTCGTCGGAGTCTTTCACATTCTTGCGGACATCCTTCCAAGATAGAAAAGTTTTCAGGCGCGACACTTTGGCCTTGTCATGACGAATGAGAAAGATCAGATCATCTGTAGAGATAGATCGAACCCCACGACGAGTCGCTAGGGCGGTGCTACGAGCAAGCTGAATACTGGGTTAGCACATATCAAAAACCAAGAGGGAGAGAGTAACGTACGATTTCAACAACCTGTTGGCGCACAATGTCCTCAATAAGAGTAGTGGTTTCAACAGAGGCTTCGGCGGTCTCTCCAGAGACGAACATCATCTGGCGAAAGAAGTGAGTCTGTCTGTCTGCAAACATTTCCGCGTTTATGATTTCATCGTCGGACGAGCCTCCATCTTCAATTTGGCTGCTGCCAGCTTGTGACTCAGTAAAGCTCAAGGCCACCGAGGAATGACTGCTTGAGGACTCATCCGATTCACCACGGTAAGAGAGGCTGTTTTCAGTCTCCGAGTCTAGAGTCTCTGTCCTCTGAGGACTAGAGGGGCGCTCCTCGAAGTCCATGCTTTTAGAGTGAAGAACAGTGTGAAGACTGGGAAATGGTGCTGGGGGAAGACAGCAAAACAACACAGAAATAAACCCCCATTCACTTGGGTAGCAGAGTGTGTGTTATTTTCTTAGAAGCAAGCCAATGCGACATTGACGTTGCTGCTAAGGCCATGACTTGATGTTCATGGAGATATCATAGTACCAGGACAAACCACTTGAAGCAGAGAAAGTGACAAAGCCCCATCCGCTCTCAACCCAAAGAGGCGCAAAGAGCGCCCCCCAGGAACTACTAAAGGAATGATGCTTACCTGCTGGATTTCCTGCCGATACTTCGGAGTACGATCGGAAGACATGTTGAAGCTTCTTGAGCGATTTCAGACTCGATATCCCAGACAAAACTGACAGGCAAACGGTTCAAATTTAGCTGGCACTCCCAAGACAGCACTGTAGCCTATCGGGATCCGGTGAAGGTCATTCTGAAGGAGTAGTATAGTTCAAGTATGAGAAACCTGTAGTGGTCAACGCCTGTCCAAATGAGGAGCCTCGTATTAACTGTTTCTCCGGCTTCCGGCTTCTGCTCGATTTCACATGGTGGGGGTCCAATTTTTGAAAACAATAACTTATTACTGTTTCAATTGTTGCCCTCAAGTATACAGTATGCTTTACCTTGTGGGACTCGGTCTTGCGGACGAAACCGATATTACCGTCCGAGGCTTGGAGGTGGTGAAAAGGGCTGAACGGGTTTACCTCGAAGCATACACCAGCATTCTGCTTGTCGACAAAGCGAGATTAGTGAGATCACCAGCACCGGATACCGTCTGCCTCCGGAGTGGCTTTTGTTAACTAACAATGAATCGCTTCAGTAGGAAGCTTTCTATGGACGAGAAGTTATTGAAGCCGACCGAGAGCTCGTCGAGACTGGTAGCGACGATATCCTTGCGAATGCGGACAAGGTCGATGTAGCTTTTCTCGTGGTCGGAGATCCCTTCGGGTATGTTGCTGCTGCGCGCCTCTCCTACCTTCGTGTCTGACATTTTTTGCCTGACAGAGCTACGACGCATACCGACCTCGTACTCCGCGCGCGCGAGCTAGGAATCGAATCGAAAGTTATCCCTAACGCATCGATTATGTCCGGCATCGGCTGTACGGGTCTACAGCTGTACAATTTCGGACAAACAGTAAGCATGGTATTCTTCACAGAGACTTGGAAACCGTCCTCCTACTATGACCGAGTCAAGGAGAACGTGCAGCTCGGGCTGCATACTCTGGTTCTACTGGACATCAAGGTCAAGGAACAATCCCTGGAGAACATGGCGCGAGGACGCTTGATCTACGAACCCCCGAGGTACATGACGGTTGCACAATGCGCCAGTCAGATGCTCGAAACCGAAGAAGAGCGCAAGGAGGGTGTTTGGGGCCCAGACAGTCTCGCCGTGGGTGCCGCCCGAGTTGGAGCAGCCGATCAGAAATTGGTCGCAGGAACACTGTCAGAGTTGAGCCAGGTCGACATGGGCCGACCGCTACACAGTCTGGTTCTCTTGGGTCGGAGAGCGCATGACTTGGAAAAGGACTATATTCGACAATTCGCAGTGGACGGGGCTACGTTTGACGCGGGCTGGCAGAAAGGCGGATATGGGTCCAATTAAGAAAAAGAAAAAGATATCACAAAAATACAAAATATCCGCCCCACGTAATCTGAAAATATACCGAGACGAAGACTCCCACAGACACCGAAATCCAGCGCGTTGACAAAACCCAATCCTTTTGTTTGACTCCTCATCACTCGTAATATAACCCGTACAACCATCACGAAGACCTCTTGGTAAAAAACCGTGTAAATGACTCGGGAAGCCGTATCTGAAAAAGCCACAGACGGAGTTAGCCATGCGCTCATGGTGAGAGAGGTCTTGACTGGATGAGAACATACCGTAGGGGTCGATGGGGCCTCGCTCGAATTTGAATGCGAGTTCCTATCCCGATCATAGTCATAATTATCGTCGTAATCTTCATCTTCCTCCATGATATCATCATCATACTCTTCCCCCTCTTCATGAGGGTAGTATCGTTCAGGATCCCCGTTATACACAATCCACCAGCCTATCCGCTCCCCAGCGGCATACTTGTCTCGGAACTCAGTCAACGCCTTGTCCCCAGCAGCATCCAAAGGATTCTCCTGAAATATATCCGTATTCCAGGACGTCCCTGCAGTCGCCGCTCCTTCTTCAGGGATACTGATCACTTTGGCCCCGACATATGCATATGGTTTGCTCACAGCGTCGTCGCTCTCGTCTTCGGGGTCGTATTGTTCGATGAACCGTAGCTCGGGGAGATTGGCGACAATGCCAGGGTCTGTCTTCGAAAACGAGTCGATGAGCAACTTGTTCGTAATCGGCTTCTGGACGTATTCGGCAGTTGCGTCTTCGAGGTTATGCAGGACGATGTAGACTCGAATGCCGGTAAACCCAGCCCGAGGCCATCGGAAGCCGTAGAGCATGTAGACCGGCATGGCGAGAGAGAGGACGGAAGAAGGTCCTGGCCGGCCGAGAAGAAAGAGCCCAGATGACCTTTTGAGATTCCCGAGGAATCATATTAATTATCTGGGAGATGGGACGTCGTTGTAACCATGCTGTGGCGCAACCTCGTATGGAACTCGGCAGGTTGTGTCGGTTTGATCCCTCAATCGACGCAACGGTCCTTGGCGTTTTCTGTCAAACTATATTTAACCTTATCGGGAATCCATGTCGCACTGGGCTTTTTTCTTGGGCACAATGACCTTGTTTCTGGATTGGAATGAATAGTTATATAGACAGGATAGTACTACAGTTGCTTGTCCACGAGTGCAGAACCGGCCTAGACTTGCATTAGATTTGAATAGTGTTCCCAATAATAGAGTTGATAGGACAAAAAACGTTGAGGGCGGTCTGAGACGGCAGTATGGCGCGATTAGCCCCCCGATGCGGAGTGATTGCGAGCTTCCGAGATGATAGCTGCACTCCTCCGTGGTTCTTGCTCGGAGCTCTGCGAACCATCATCACAATGGTTTTGTCTTTCATCATAGTCCAGAATCGCCAGTATGCTTCCATCCTAGCGCTGGATCATCTCAACTCCCGGCCGCCGCTAACAATGATTGGAATAGGGGCAAAACTCGCCTTGCGAAATGGTATGCGCCCTATAGCGTAAGTCTTCCAACCCCTGTTACCCATGGATGTGTATCTCATGACAGTTCTTTGTATAGGATGAGGAGAAAGTAAAACTCAAAGGAGAGGTTCGTCCCCCCGGCCCCATCGCAGCTCCGATACCCCGCGGTTCCCGTCCATTGCGGAGGATTAACATCCCCAGGTTCATCGATTGGTGGCCCCCCGAGACCAGAAATACCAATCGAACTTTGTGGAATTCAAGCGAAGTACAAAGATCGTATACCGAAGATACGCAGGCCTTTTCTTCTGCGCATGTGTTGATGCGACGGACAATGAGTTGGCCTACCTCGAAGCAATCCATTTCTTCGTTGAGGTCTTGGATCAATTTTTTGGCAATGTGTGCGAGTTAGATCTGGTTTTCAACTTTTACAAGGTGCGTTGTCAGCTGTAGCGTGGTTGGTTGCGGCATAGTGTTGTCAAAAGGGGGTGTTGTACAACCGGCTAACCGTACAATACTTTATAGGTGTATGCGATCCTGGACGAGGTTTTCCTTGCAGGTGAAATCGAAGAGACCAGCAAGCAAGTTGTCCTGACAAGATTAGAGCACCTGGACAAGCTAGAGTGAGGTTGATCATCTTCGAGCGGATGCGAATATTCTTTGCCTGCATACTTGAAACTTTGCATGAGCGGCCATTGGATTTGGCCACCACTGGAGTTATAGGAGTCTTTTGCTTATCATATTTTCGAGCGTTTCTCTCTCACACACGGCAACTAGGCTGATATACCTGCTGATTCCTCATTGTCAATACCCTTTTTAAATTTCCACATACCTTGGCTCAGCAGCCGGAGCCCGCGCACTCCGCACAACACTTTGCGCCCTCCACCTTCTCAATACGAGGGATTTTAAACGGTCAAATAACAACGACGGATCACTGAGTCTTTGGGGAGAGGGCAAATCAAAACCATCCGATTGCCTGCTGCCTGGAGGCCAACAACCGAAACTATTGCCGTGTCTCAGACAAGCTTTTTCAAAACTGCAGTAGAGTCTCCATATCAGCCCTACGGAGTATGGCTTCAGGGGCGATCAATGGCGCAATAATGTAGCCTATTTATGAGAAGTGAGGTTAAAAGAAGCTCTGGGGACGGTTGGTCCCTGGATGGAAAAAGTGGTTGCTCTTACCCAGAGTGGGTAAAGTCAAAAGTGAGGTGATCGCGAGCATCGATTGCGAGAGTATCACCAAAGGTGACAACATCGCTTGGCAACAATACTTTAAAAGCACCACATCACACAATCGGGCCCCTTTCTTTTCTTCTCTTCGAGAGTGCTTGGGCTTCTGAAGTCCTTATCTTGCCGTTTGAGTCTCGCAAGCTTTCACCGTCGTTCCTATCCAGTCAATTGGTGGCCCCTTCACTGCTTTACACTTCCGAGCGTCCAACTCTCCCTGTGAACGAGGACTCTACATTATTTGAGCACTACTAGTACTCATATGGCATTTTGGTTGTTAACGGCGCATCATCCTCCGTACTAGGCATGCTTCACCCTCCAAAGCCGAGTGGAAAAGGGGTCCAACAGCACAGTGAAGCTTCGGAAGCTGCGTCGCTGGAGACATCACAGGCAATTTCGCCTCGACGCTGAATTTTGAAAACAGTTCGTCTCTACGCCTCGCTGCAGACTGTCAGAAAGAGCAGGTACTTGGTGATCCTCATCAAACTCAAATCTTCACTCTTCGTTCTCCGTGACGCACTGGCGACCATGTCTGAAAAGCCGTCTTGGCGATCAAGAACTCGGCGGGACGAGCTCAACAACTCAAAACGAAAGGATCAATCGAGTCTCGAAATGATTACTGCCTCGAAACTACTGATGTTTTCCATCAATGGCAGCGCAGTTCGGCCCTCAATGCTCTTGCTACAGTGATCTTTGCGAGATGAGTTACCCCTGAATACGGCGTCGTCCCAAGGATCCAAGATTGAGCCTGAGTGGGGCGCATGCTCCCGCTGATTACCTTCAATACTAGCGCCCAACACGAGGTGTCAAACTTTGTTCGCATGGCAGACCGGTCATGGAAGGGAAATACCAAAGAAGCGACAGGCTGAGAAGCCCAGAGCAGCGCCATAGGGTGAGATCTCCTATTATTCCTGGAATTATGACGCGATGACTGCGCCCATGACGAATCCTCTGCGGCTGAAGGAACCGCAACTTCATCTTGTTGCCATTTCAAGAGCTGTTATTTTGCAGTTTGGGCCTTGTTTTAGTCGTCCGAGCCGGCGTGAAAATAACGATATTAAGATTGCCCCCACTTGAGTTATCAAGATCGAAGTTGACACTGGACACTGCAACGCCATTTCCCGCAATGATTCAAGCGACCGATTATCAGATTGAAGGAGGTTAACTGGTCATCGCAGTTGCGAGAGCTTACGCAGTATTCGTGCTTCAGTGGAGGGCTGCGTTTCAAGCGCCTCTTCTCCCATGCAGTACTTACGAACACTTAGCAGTTATGGGGAATGTACGCGTCACTGCGATTGACGGTGGACAAGCGCTGGAGAAATTCCAGAACCGCATTGATTTGCGAGCCTACGCGGCCCAAATGGCGTTTGGTCTTGGCATTTCCTCATACATCCGTGGGACCGCTTTTTTCCCAGCCGCCTCAAGCCACTCACGACAACCTTCAGGAGTTGTGTGGATTATCCTTGCATTATGACCACCCATGCTCGGCGATAATCTTGACTTTCCACTGGATGCGCTCGCTCCCCTGACAATCCCTGGGTTTTGCAAGAGAGGCAATTTACTGCTTCTTCTCTTCCATTATGCCTTTCCACAATCCAACCTCGTGCATGCAGAGGTGAGTAGCGGGGTTCGTGAGATGTATACGCATACAGACTACGTCTCGCGGCATTACCGTTTACGAAGAATGGCAGGAAACAATGGCCTTGGAAAAGAGAGTCTGAGAGACGGAACGCACTGACGATCCTGACCCAGCAGCAGGGGTTATTTCGCAAAGTTGTTACACGTTTGTGATTGACAAATGACGATCCAGTGCTCAATCTGCGAAAACCCCAGCTTGCACAAATCCAGACCGTTGGAGTTCCAAGTGTGAATGCCAGCGTTGCCACATGAAGATTAGTCGCTGTTTCCTTCCTGGGCACATCTTGGTCTTCGTCTCCTTGTTCTCGATTAATATTAATGTTTCTCAGTGAATCAAAATAAATTATTATTTACTTGCAATTCCTTCCCACGCCACTCGTTTGGACATTACAACACTAACTGCTCAAACTTACAACTCCGAGTTGATGACTGATCGAGGATCCCAACACTTATTATCGCTGATCAGCCCAGTCTCCTTTTGACAACTTCAAGTTCCATCTCGCTTTGTCCTTGAAGTCCGTCCTTTGTCATTGTGTACCCTCTTTTGAACATTGAAAGTTTTGCCCAACTACAGTTCCCTCTTTACAACTCGCATCACGACATCTACTTTTAGACCACAGCAAAATGTCCTTGACCTACTCTGACAACCTGGCGCCTCAGCCCATGACCGATATTTTCACCAATGACACCTGCATCGACAGACGGCAATGCCACCGCACCGTGCCCATGAAGGTGCTCGCTCTGGGAGTCGGAAGAACAGGAACTGCCTGTATGTTTTATGCCTTAAGACACTCACTCTTAGAAGCTGACCATGTTCCCTATGGCTAGCCCTTCGCATTGCTCTGGAGCGTCTCGGCTATCTGAAGTGCTACCACATGATGTCTGCCAGTATGGAGAACCCGCCAGACTGCCTCATGTGGCACGATGCTCTCCGCGCTAAGTATGACGGGGTGGGCGAATTTGGCCGTAAAGAATGGGACCAACTTCTGGGAGAGTGTCAGGTAAGCACTGTCCTCAAATTCTATCTTGAAAGTAACTGACGCTAATCCAATCTCAGGCCGTATGCGACTGGCCCGCCTGCGCCTTTGCTAAGGAGCTGATCGAAGCCTATCCCAATGCTAAGGTCATTCTGACCACCCGTGAAGTGGACTCATGGCACGCCTCTGTCATGAAGACCGTCCACTGGCGTGTCTCCGACCCCGAGCACCGCTTCGTTTCGAACTTCAGCTGGGCTGCCAGCATGTACTACCCAATGTTGAACAAGTTCTTTGAGACATTTTTCCGTGGCGACTTCCCCAACAAGGGCAAGCAAGTGTACGAAGACCATGTCGCGGAGGTCCGCAGCCTTGTTCCTCCCGAGAATCTCCTCGAATACAAGATCAGCGACGGTTGGGGCCCGCTCTGCGAGTTCCTCGGCGAGGAAGTTCCAGACACTGCATTCCCTCGAGGAAACGACATGGCCGACTTCTTCAAGCGCTGCCGTGGCCGGAACAGGCGACAGATGGCCAATGCCGCTCTTCAAGCTGTGACGATGGGCGGCGCTGTCATCGCCGCCGGCTTTGTTGCTGCTACTATTTTCAAGCGCTTCTCCCGGTGAACCATTGCGCTCATTTGACTTGTTTTATCGTTTCTCTACCGTGGTGAGCGCTGGCCGCTGTCGCTGCGAATTAGCCTTCAACCTATTCTAGGACCTGCACATCTTTCCCTCTTATTTCACCCAAAACGTTCATAATTCTCTGCACGTCTTCCCTCTTTGTCTGGATTTTCTTACTATACCTATTAGCGGCTTCCTTGGGGTACCCTAATGTGCATGTTTCTTGATTCACACGACAACTGAACCAAATTTCACTGTTCCTCTTAAGACAGGACTCACTGGAGTATTCTTGCCATCAATACATAGAAGGGGCGTAAAAAAAAGACTACCAAATCCTGAATTCAGAGTTCAATCTTGTTCAGCCACACTTGTATTATCATCATTGGCCAAATCTTGGAAGAAACCATAACCCCGCTCACTCCCTCTCGAACTTCAACTTGGCCAAGTAAACCCCTCGCAAACGGCCAGCAGCCCAGATATTGGCTAAGACACGAGCAACCACTGATGCACGAATGAAAGCGTGGAGCCGCGCCCTACGAGGCGAGCTGCGGTTTACCATTCGGGGCCAATAATGTGCCATTGTTGTTTGCTGGCTTGGCATAAGCGATGTGCTGCGCTGTGGAGGTTGGCTCTTGGGAGGTTGTCTTCGGAAACTGCATTGAGACACCACTGGGCAATTGATAACATTGCCCAGTGGGGTTGGCGCTTGTTATAGTTCGATTTTGTGCCTTTTATCTCACTCGGATTTGAACCTTGCGAGAAGGCTGGTCAATAGTGGGCTTTCTCTAGCGGAACTCCAAGTCGCGCGTCTGAGTGCATGGATTGTACCGTAAAAGAAACCGCGGAATACTGGAAGTATGTAAGGTGTCAGGTAGAAGAAGACGCAATAATATTTGCAGAGTTCATGACTCGCAGAGGGCCGCAGTGAGGTCAACTCGATATAGTCACAATGTGCGATGTGCTGATGCCGGACAGATCAGATTACGATGGCTACTACTTTAGGGAATACTACATATCCCCCCTCCCTGATTTTACCGGGATCAAGATTTACGTTGATTCTGCATATTTTATTGTTTAGTTATTCTAGTATTCTACCACCTAGCGTGCGCCTAGGTACTACCTATAAAGCAGCCATGGTAGCTATGTATAATAGTGTATAATATCAGGTATAATGTTACTATTTAGCTCTATATTGTTCTGCATCTGGCTCTGTATCTGTTTCGCTTGTAAGGATTAAATCTCCGATACGGCTCTTTGCATGATGACGGCATTACAAAGAACCAATGGTGTCAGCGTTATACAGTAGATTGAGAAGTCAACTACGGGAAGCCTCCTGGGGGTTGGTTATAGTTTGCAAAGCTGCCAGAGATCGGGCAAGTCGGGTGCAAGCTGCAAATTGACGTGTGAAACCAACTTGGAAGGTATCGCAAACCAATCTAAAAGATCAAAGCACCAGGGTGGTCTACCTATCATGGCTCGTACTATTGCATGCGTTGTTCTGTTATGCGCTTTTAGAACTTCAAGGGAGCCTATCTTTCTAACCTAAAATAAAAACCGAATTTATATAGGCAATCAAGAGAAGAATCGCCTCGGGGGTACTCTGAATGCATACTTTGCCGACAGACATAGGAGTACTATTTGTTGAAGTAGATAGTAGATACCGAAGTGATTGAACACTGCAAACACAAGACCAAAATCTGAACCTATTCGTGACCTCCTCCATCCAAGCTGGTATGTGACGACAGGCTGCCGGCACTCTGATCCGTGCAAACTCATCAGTGCAACAGAACTGCTGGCTATCCGATTCCAGTAGCTCGTCTCGCCAAGTGGGTACGGAGATTAATGCTCCAGCCACGTTCTTGGCAATCTGTCACTGGCGGTGCTTCATCCCTCCCTCGAAACCGCACAACCACTCCTCACAGCATGACTTTTCCATTGTCAACGGCGCCTTCGGGCATTCGTCACGCTGCCTACGTATGCACATTCAAAACTGACTCGACGAGGCGCTTTCGGTTGACGCGGCCTCGACTAACTAGGGCATGTGTCTATTTCTCAAGAAGCTCCCACACGAGGCGCCGAGGGCCCATGATTAGTCTCCTCGCAAGTGGGACGAAAATTGATCCCCCCGATTTAGTGAATTACAGATTCGTATTCTCATTTCGGATGCTCGAACCGTTTTTTAGCAAGTTCGTTGTGTGTTTATGATGCTTGATTTTATCTCGCATTTGAGGCTGAATGGAGGATCCCAGAGACCTATTACCAGCTCAGCTCGCAGAAATGATGTCTGATTGCAAAAGCCGATGCTGGCTAGTTGCAGAAGCACTGCAGTACGTTTCTACCACGTTGAAAGACGGTAATTTCGCTTCCTCGGTCAACGAGTCGAGTCCCAACCTGCCGACGTCAACATGGGCATGCCCGCTAACACAAGTGCAGAATGCAGGTGGAGGGCAGTACATAACTTTCCAATAGCACCAATTACCTTGCTCATAGGACCAACTTTTGAAGCCGCCGCAGTTTCCGAGCGGGTGTGGGGCAGCCTTGCGGTGGAATGATTCGCATCCTTGCGAACTGGTTGACGAGGCAGGCCATCCTCCGACGATTCGACCAAAAAACTTGCTAAGGCACTTCAAGCATGGCCGGCAGTGTTGACGCGGGCCTAGCAAGTCGTTCGACCGCAGGCGACGAAGGCATTCTTCGTTTGTCTTCAGCTCCTCTCACGTAGATCACTGATCTTCAACTCTCTCGAGACCCAAACAAATTCATAGATGCCCCTCGAATTTGCTGCTCGTCTTAATATCATTACGTCGATCCTGCCTTCACACAGCTTGCAGCGCCTTTCTGGGGTAACTCTCCTGTAGATACTTGAAATATCCTCGAGCTCTTGATAATCTGCCACGACTACCCTGTCTCGCTCTGGTTTGGTCTATAACAAACCAGAGCTTGGGATGGAAAGGTGAATCGCCCATGCACTTCTTCGCTGCCATCCTGTTGGGAGCGTCTGCCCACCTTTGCGCTCGACTTTCCGTCACTTGCGTCTTGATCCTTTTACTCGGCGGGTTACAGAAAGCTGCTGCTGAGATCGATTCGGTCTTCAAATCGGTAAGTAGAAGCGACTGGGTCACAGTTTGATCGTTAGCTAATTTTCATATCTCAAGCGGCCTGACCTTTACCCTCCTGTCTTTACCTTTGAGCGCCGCATCCCCCAAAAGCTTCAACCGGGCTATATATTTCTCGGTCCGTATGAAGCAGACAACTCTGGCCCGTACATCTACGATAACGATGGGGTGTGTAGCCCCGAGAATTCACCTTCACGCTGATGCTGATGAGTATAGAACCTAGTATGGAGTGGTTGGGGTAATTCCGGCCCAGGAAATGCCCATGGCATGCACGTCTGTCAATACAGAGGGAAAGATCACCTCTGTTTCTTCCAGGGAATCCAACAGAATGGATACTGCAGAGGTCACGGTGTCATCATGGACGAGCATTATCATATTGTCAAGACCGTTGTCCCCGGCGGAGGAATGGCTGCCAGCGACATGCACGAGTTCAAACTCATAAATAACGGCAAGACAGCCTTGATGACTGTCTACCAGCAACGACAGTTCGACATGAGTATTTGGAACGTCAAAGGCGGCATGGGCTGGCTGATGGAGAGCGTCTTCCAAGAAGTAGACGTGGAAACCAACAAGGTTCTGTTTGAATGGAGATCGCTCGATCACGTCGACCCGTCTGTCAGCTATACATACCCTGGCCATACGGATACGTCAGGCACCGGGCTGGAACCGCGCTCCCCCTGGGACTACTTTCATATCAACTCTGTCGATAAGAACGCAGATGGGGACTATCTCATCTCCTCACGCCACACATGCGCAATCTATAAAATATCAGGCAAGGATGGATCCGTATTATGGCAACTACATGGCGCAAACCCATCTTTCAAGAATATCAACTTCAGCTTCTCGCAACAACATGATGCCCGGTGGCTCACCGAGAACGGAACACATACCTTGCTGTCATTGTACAACAACGGATTCAACGGCTTCAACAGGACGCATGACTATTCATCAGGCATGCTGATATTGATTAATCATGTGGATCAGACAGCCACGCAGTTACACGAATATGGCCCCCAAAACCACGACATGATCAGCTCCAGTCAGGGTAACATGCAAGTTCTACCGAACGGAAATGTCTTTATAGGCTGGGGGAACAATGCCTACGTTTCCGAACATGATGCGGAGGGGAACCTGCTTCTATGGGGCTACATTGACAAAGGCCGAATCATGAACTACCGCGCCCAGAAGTTCCATTGGGAGGGCAACCCAACAGATATCCCGGCTCTCTGGACCTATTCCAAGACGACTGACGCCGCCTCGCCCACTACCTTCTACGTCAGCTGGAATGGCGCCACGCGCGTGAAGCACTGGCGATTCTACGGCTTGAACAACTCCACCGATAACTACACGCTCATACATCAGTCGCCAAAAGACGGGTTTGAGACCTCGTACACGGCATCTGAATTCTATCGCTTCACATATGCGGAGGCTATCGACGCGCAGGGAAAGGTTCTCGGCAAGTCACGCGAGCAGTTTACCTTTACTCCTTCGCCTGCTCTCCAGGAGTATTGCAGCGACACGACCTGCGAGAACACGCAGGCGTATGGAGTCCCCGGCGAGGAGGACGCAAAGGCGATAATCCCTCAGATTGGCCTTAATACGGTTCCTTGGGTAGATCCTGATCAACCAGGAGTTCATCTCAACTGGGGAAACAAGTGGCCCCCTGCACCCGAAAATGAGCCTTCGGGTGCCCTGAAGAATGCTTATAGTAAGTTTGACTTTATCAATCACCGCACATGATCGACACGTAGCACGAGGCACGTAAGCTAACAATCTAGACCGGGTTGGATGGGTCGCACCGTCCTTAGGCATCATTCTGACTGTCGTCGCCATCTATGTGGTGGTTCGTGTGTATAGAAGACGCCCGAACTCCAGCGGCATGCGGCGGAGGTCGTCCGAAGCGCTTGGGGCCAAAGAGTCGAAAGCTTCATTGCGCGTTTCGAGTTTACTGTGGTGGAGCCCGCGTCGCTGGAGGCAAACTGAGCCAGCACGCTACTTTCCATTATCGGAGGAACAAGGGCGCATACGCTGAGAACTCGTGTGGTGTGAAGCTATTGACTAAATTTATAGTGTGTATGATAATCTATATAGACATCAGCTCGCGTGCTTCTTGATCTGATCTTCTAGCCAGAAATACGAGATTTACTAGTACTACTAGATTTGAGACACTTGCCGGCAGATCAGCTTCAAAGAATGGGGCTGCAGAATAAAGTGAAACCGCAGCGATGACAGCCCACTCTGTATTGAAAATACCGACGGACGGTTGATGCGGCGTTTTGAGGCGTTCTGAGTGGGGATAGCGTCGCAAGCTCCGCGCTAACAAACTAATGTAAATTGAAGGAACCATGTAAATTGAATACACGTGGTAAGTTTGAGGGGCTTTCCGAGAGTCAGAAGTGGCTGACAGGAGGAATTTCTGATTGATAACCTAGGAGGAGGTAGGAAAGAGAAAAGAAATCATTCATATCGGGATAATTCGATCAGCCTTTTTGATGTGGTGACTGATTGAGCAGGCGCATTGATGATCGGTTGGCAACAATAATTGCCAGTTTCCACGACTCTGACATCTTGTCTTCTCTCCACCTCCGCACCTCTTGTTTGTTATCTCTCTTTTCTTCTCGTCTCTCGCTAAGATTTCTTGAGCTATTGTTATTGCAGTGTTTATTGTTGCCTTCGGAGAACCCGCATTCGTCTCCCTCCCACTCTTTTCTGTGTCTGACGTCGCTAGCGCCTTGAAGAAGAAGACGCTGAACGGTTCCGATCTTTCTTCTCAAACCTCTCCGCCCTGATGACTGGATCCAATCGCCAACCTCTGGCTTCTTCTGTTTCACCTAATAACAGCAGTAATCCGTCCTCTTCGTCAGCAGTTAAGAACCCCAAAAACCGGAATGCCCACCACTCTCGCAAGACTTCTTGGGCTTCCGGTCTCGATAAAGGCGGCGAACCATCCCCGGACTTTCCTTACCCTCAACAACGCCGTCGCGCGGACTCTCTAGCCCACGTCTCAGAGGGCTCTTCTGGCCGCTACGAGGAAGACGACGAGGCTGCCTCAGCCTCTAACATGGCGCTGAGGAACACCTCCCTCGATTGGACTGAGGGCCATGCGCGCTCCCGGTCTCAGAGTCAGCCGCAGATGTCGGCCTTTGATCCGATCGAAACGTCCCCCGGGCGCCCTGGGCCCGTGACCTGGATGTCGCTGCCCCGGAAGAAACAGCTGGCATTGCTGGGTCTCTGCCGTGTGTTTGATTTTCTTCAGATTGCCTCTTTGCAAGCGTATATGTTTTATCAGCTCAAGTCTTTTGATGAGACTCTTTCCGATTCGGATGTTTCTACTCAAGCTGGGATTCTTCAGGGTGCATTTACGGCTGCGCAGTTTGCGACAGCTATTCCCTGGGGTCGGGTTGCAGATGCCGAGTGGGGTGGGCGCAAGTTTGTCCTTCTTGTTGGTTTGTTAGGGACTGCGGTCTCCTGTTTGGGTGTCGCCTACTCGACGTCGTTCGCGCAGGCCGTGTTCTGGCGGTCGTTTGGTGGCGCCATCAACGGCACCGTTGGAATTATCCGCACTATGATTGCGGAGAATGTGAAGGAGAAGAAGTATCATTCAAGAGCATTCTTGATTCTACCAATCGGCTTCAACATTGCCGCTCTTTTTGGACCTGGTACGTCTCCACCCACGTGGCGTATGAGCACTATTAACTTTTATAGTCATGGGTGGAATGCTTTCCGACCCGGTCAGGAGTTACCCACGGCTCTTCGGGCCCAACTCCTCCTTTGGAGGTGAGAATGGTGTCGAGTGGCTTATGCGCTATCCATATGCGCTACCCATGTTGGCTAATGCAGTTTTCCTCACATTCTGTGCTGGTTGCGTCGCTCTCGGCCTTGAGGAGGTAAGAGTCTGACCATCAGATATGCAATACAAACTAACATTCTTAGACCCTCCAAGCGTGCAAAGGAAAGCCTGGCCTCGGCGTGTTTTGTAAACGACTTGTTTCTCGCGGCGTCAAAGCGGTTATTCCCTCATCATCGCCTCTATACTCGAGATTACCGTTCGCCGACTACGACGAGTCCGGTCCACTACTCAGTCGCCAAAATGAGTCGTACGAGCTTGAAGAGAAGGCAGCCAAGCCTGGCCGACATGCTCGTGTCCTTCCATTCCGACAGATCTGGACTAAGAACGTCTTGAGCACTCTCTTGGCACAAGCCTTCTTCGACTTCCAGATGGGGTATGTTCAGCAACCTGGTCAACACAGGTCGATACTAACTTTCAATAGTGCATTCAACAACCTCTGGCTCCTCTTCCTCTCAACGCCTCGCTACGACTCCAACGACCCCGCCAGCCCCGTCCAAAGACTCCCCTTTGTCTTCACCGGTGGTCTAGGCATGCTCCCCCAAAGCGTCGGCTTCGCCACCGCAATCCTCGGCGTTATCGGCATGATGCTTCAATTCACCATCTACCCCTCCATTAACAGCCGTCTCGGAACCGCCAAGAGCTACCAATACTTTCTCACCCTCTTCCCTGTCGCCTACGCCTTCGCCCCCTACATTGCCCTCGCACCGTCCACCACCCCACCCCCAGGCCAAGCAAACGGAGGCTGGGTGTGGTTCTCCATTATCGTCGTCCTCTTCCTGCAAGTCACAGCCCGCACGTTCACGCTCCCGACGTCAATCATCCTACTCAACAACTGCTCCCCGCACCCCTCTGTGCTGGGCACCATTCACGGAATCGGACAATCCGTCTCCTCGGCCTTCCGAACCATCGGACCGATTTTTTCGGGAGCATGGTATGGCTATGGCCTTGAGATTGGAACAGTCGGCTTCGCATGGTGGCTTATCGCACTTGTCTCTGTCTTTGGCTGCGTCGCTGCTATCTTCGTCTACGAAGGTTCTGGACACGAGGTTTACCTTCCCGGTGAGGAAGAGGATATGTGAAATGGGCTCTGCTTCGGTGTATATTTATTCTTTTTTTTCTCCATCTATTTTATTCTTCCTCTTCCGCCATTTACACTCTTTTTCTGAGCATCTCGTGCATTTTCTCGCGTTTGTACTACATATATGGTTTGCATGTGCATATTCGGTCCGTGTCTTGCTTCTTGGGCATCCCTATTCTTTCTTGTGTTTAAGAGATACCATTCTAGCTTGTCGGTTACGGATCTATGAAAAAGAACTTGGAAAAAGATGGGATATGGGTGTTGGTAGATCTGGATACCTAACATAATACATAGAATGCCATGACTCGTCAGTATTAACAACAGCCTTCGATGCTGGGGTGCTTCAAGCTTGAAGGAGAGAGAAAGAAAAAAGATCATGACCAATAAGTCTACCGCTTTAACGCCGCAAACCGTCTGGACAGCTCGTCCACCTCCGGGATGCCACTCTTGTCTCTCCCCGCGCGCTGTGCCGGGCTTGGACTTGGGACCTCTGTTGGCGCATTCTTGTCGTCGGGAACCTTGACCCGCGGATTTGGGTTATCAGATCTCGGACCAGGAGGTGCAACGCTCACTGGACTCTTTCCGGAGAGCTTGTCCGCATGTAAGCCTCTTGGCGGGGTGGCGCGAGTTAACTCTGTCGTCTCCGATGCCCGGCGGACAAGCTCGCCTACTTCGCCTCCATCACCATTTCCATTTCCGTCCACACCATCACCACCAGCCAGTACCTCTTCCAGGACCGCGTCAACTTCCTGGTCATCCGCATCCGTATCCTCTCCCCACTGAACCTTGTATGCCCTCGCGATCTCGATTAGATAGCTCTCCACGAGCTCCGCGCTTGGCGGCCTCACCCGGAGTCCCTTCACCAACCGCTCGGGAACTTTGATATCCGCGAGCTTATTCTCCGAGGCGAGCGTCATATAATCCTTCCCGTAGCGGTCCGCAAGTAAGGAGCGAAGGAGTGTGAGTTCACGCACTTCGCTAGGGAAGCGAGACCAGGCATAGAATATGGCTGTTGCGGCTTCGTCAAGCGCCGGATCGAGGTAGAATGTGTCTCCCGAGTTTGCAACTGCGGCTTCGGAGTCCGATGGAGTAGGTTGATCCTGCCCTTGCGCCTGCTGTTGCGGTTGCGCAGCCTTCTTCCCCCCAAAGAACCCAAAGAGACCCCCTCCCCCGTCACCCGGCTTTGGATCCTCAGCCATCGCCCCCTTCCCTCTTGCATGATTATACGCAACAGCCTCATCCCTCACCCTCACCCTCATCCGCTGCCCAGCCTCGCCAAACGCCAGCTGATCGAGCACGCCTGCTCTCGCGAGTAGAAGCTCACAATACAGCTCGACCATCTCCATGACCTCAATGGCAATGTCCGTCGCAATGACATTCTCGACGCGGATGCGGGCGCTTGCGTCGCGATTGTTTTCGAGTAAAGAGGCGAGGTCGCGGCGTTGCACAACGGAGGATGCGGTGGATTTCTTTTGGAGGAGGCGGAGGCGCGGAATCAGGAGGTGAAGGGTCGAGGTTAGTTTTGCCTGTGGTCATTTGTTAGTTTGGATGGTCAAAAGGAGGAGAGGGTGTTTGTGTTGTGAATAGGTGAGGGAGCTGGTGAGGTGGTGATGGGATGGGGGAAGTGCGGGGTAGCTGGATTGCTGTCCTAAGGTTGGTGGGTTTGAAGGGAGTGAGCTGGGAGGGCTTACGGTTTGAGGTGATGGTGGCATTTTGGCGATGTTGTATGATACCTCGCAGTGTCGAGAGAAAGCGAGAAGAGGAAGATGCGAGCGTCTGTCAGTTGCGACAAGACCAGGCAGGCGCAAGGCAGATAAGATACCGCGGAGGCAAGAGCGGAGGAGGAGTGCTGCGTGCCTCAGGCACACACATATCTACTCCACCTGCTTCAGCCTTCTACATCATGTAGGTAACAGAATTGATTATGATTAACTGAGCTACTAATGCGAGTAAATGCAGGGTTAGGAGTATTTATACATTTTCGCTGATATGAACATGAAAGTCACCCAAGTATGCAGAGAATGAACCAGTCAGACTGAGCTGATGAAGCCGGCGGGGGTTGTAAATCATCATCCAATCAATGTACAAGAACGTTAATCGTAAGAGGTATCCCAAGAAGTAAGAAGTCAATATCAAGGTAAGAGGTATAAAGGTAAGATATCCAAGAAGAGAATGGGGAAGAAGAATATAGAAGAAAAATATGTGCGGCAAAGTGGTAGGCATATGGTATAAGTCGTGGAGGCCAAAAGGTATGATGTGGTTATGTGGCCCCTAGAAGATAGTGGGTATATAGTCGTAGCCTAGAATGTAAAGGCTGCCATTGCGATGACGCCGAACAGGGCCATCATCGCGTTCTGGCTGGTTTGGTGGGCGCCCGACGTCGGGCTGGGGGATGCTTCTTCTGGTTCGCTGGTCTCCGAGGCGAAAGCTTCGCCGTCGCCGGTTTCGACAAGCACATGGGGCTTGTAAGTGTAGTCGGGGAAGCCGGAGCTGCTGGGAGATTCGTGCGATGAGCTGGAGTGGGAAATGACCTCTGTAGAGGAAGAAGACTCGGTGGCAGTGGTTGTTGTGCTGGTCTTTGTGCTCTTGCTGGTTGTTGTGGTCGTGGTACTTGTAGTTGTAGTGGTGCTCGTGCTGGTGGGCTCCTCGGTGGTGGTGGTCTCTTCCTCTTCCTCCTCCTCCTCCTCGTCATCGTTGTCGTCGTCATCATCGCTGCTGCCGCTACCACCGGACCCGTCAAAGACAACAATGCTAGCCTTGCTGCCCTTGGGCACGGTAACAACACAGAACGAGGCACCACCCGCACCATCGCTCGAGGAACCTGTGACTTCGTTGACGCCGTTCTCAGCGGGGTCGATCTTGCAGGGGAGGCCGTTGCATCCGCCGCCTGAGCATTCAATCTCAACTCCAAAGTCGGGGACTGTGTTGCGGAAAGGGGTTGCAGGTTCCAGGTAGATAGGGTTCCATCCGATCTTCACAAAGGTGTTTCCATTGCTGTCCGTATTGGCGCCTGCAACGTATGGAGACCAATTGCCCCAGGGGTTGTCGGACGTACCCCAGACACAGGCAGTGGCGGTGTCCTTTCCTGGGGGGTTGATGTAGAAGCTACAAGATTAGTATAAGATTGTCTTTAACGTGTGAGGTAACTTACTGAGCCGCTGTTCCGCACCAGTAGCTAGTATCCGGCACAGCAAGAGTAGCAACGGACTCAACCAGGGTGGGGATCAGCATAGCCTCGTTACCAGGTAGGACCGTCTGGCAAATTGAGACAACGTCGCCGCATCGGTTGACGGCCTCCACGGCACCAGTTCCGTCCTTGCAGTATGGCTTATCCGGGAAAGGCTTCTCGATTTCCCCGTCCTCGTTACAATACAGACCGCCGTTCTACATAATTAGTATGCGCTATGCCGACTAGGTCGCTGAGAACGTACCATGGACATCGGATAGGAGTATGAGGTCGCCTCCGGATCCCACTGCATCGATACCTGGCCGGGAGGACAAGCATACGGACAGTAGTTGCCCGGCTCACAGGGCTGATCAGGGCTCATGGCCCAGCCAGCATTCTTCGAACCCGGGGTGACGGAAACCAGTCCAGCATCGGAAGGGAACGCGCAGGCGCCGCCTCTCTTCTCGTGGAGATCCTTCTTCCCATGGTGATGGCGATGTGAATTGCCATGGTTATGCTGGGCAGCCTCGGCGGCGACGGCGCAGAGCAAAGCGGATGCGTAGATGAATCTCATATTGGAGCGAATTGAGCCTGCAGTGCTGGTCGTGAAAAGGAGTGGAATGCGCAACCGCAACGGATGGAGACAAGTCCACCGGGCGGAAAAAAACGAACGAAAAAGAAAGTAAGGCGTCTCGCGACGAAGCGGAATAGGGGGAGAAACGAAAGACTCTGGTCAGGACCCGGATAATGAACGACTTGGGGGTGAGGAGGGAAAGGGAAGAGGAAGAGGGCAGAGCAAGAAATGAGATACGAGGTGCAAACAAAGCCGCCGTAGCGCCAGAGCCCCCGAAGCCCCCGAACTCCAAGTGCCCTGGCCTCTGACAGGCCCGCCTGACTCCGACAAGAGAAAAGTCGTGCTCCGGGCTCAAAAAGGGACCACCATTCGGGCCCTGGCGCATTTCCTCTTGGGGCCTACTTCGAGGCTATTGAAGCGAACTATACCTCATTAAGCTCAGCCTCCATACCGGCGCCAGGGGTAACAGCCAATAGCATGCCGCTACCAACTCATCATCCCCCGCGGTTCGTGGAATTTGGATCCACTGTGCCAGAATCGACTCCATCGCACCCAATTTCCGACGAGCCAATCAAGGCCATCAACGATCCCGCCGTGTGATGGACTCGCCTCATGTTGCTCACTCTGACAAACACACCACCGCTCTCAGCCAAAAGTACGACCCTGAAACACCTCGAGAGATGCCGCAGTTCGTCGTCTTCAGCTCCGGTTCTGTCGCTACACAAAAATGCTCCCACAGCAGCTCTTTTCGTGCGACGAAAATATCGATTTATTCTGTGCCTCCCTATCACTGTCACTGTCACCGTGACACACGTCTAGGCCCAACGATCGTCATCTCTACCAGCAGAAAGGGGCCACATGGCCAGCCTTAGCGACGATACTTTCCAGTCGCGGTGTCAATAGTGCGCTGAAGAGTTTAAGTGCCAGTGTGCCGAGTCTCCGAGCCCTGAAGCCTTGAAATCTGAATGAGCTCACTCAGAGGCCTTGGGAGACTATCACGTGTTACGCATGACTGGGGATTCCCATTTCCTCAGTGATGAACAGCACCATTAGATTTGTCGAGCAATTTTATTTGTACAGAGTACACGCTACATCGATACGGGTTTGCTATCCAATTAGTTGTCTTGACGATGCATATCTCTGGCGCCTCGACCTTGTGTTCTCGCAGCTGCTGCTAGCCGCACGAATGGCGCGGAGAACGGGGTTTCTCAGGGGCGCTTTCACGAAGGATTGACTCGTCATTCAGCCAAGCGCAAAATCAGCCTTCCGATGACTGTCCCTCCAGGTCATTCCATCCGTCAAATTGAACACTCCCTTCCCGCCAACCCCAGGCAACACAATAGTGCTGCGCGAGCAGCTTCCATTCTTCCATCTCATCAAGCATCTCAAGCCCAGCAACCCGCTCCTTCTCCTCCTCGTTAACCCACCGTTCCCACAGAAAATCCACATCCGCAGCCGCCTGGCCCGTATCAAACCCCTGCTGACAGAGCCGCCTCCGCTGCGCCTCCAACGACGCATACTTGTGCAGTGTCTGGAGTTGGATCCCGCGCGTCGCAAGGTTGGCTACCATTGTCCGTCCGAACGCGTCGTCAGGTCGAATCGGTTCGTAGAGCACAAGACCGAGGGTTGCTGACTTGCCGCCCGATGGCGGAAACAAAGTTTGGGTCAAGTAGCGCACGACACCCGCGGCTTCGTCAGGGGACAGATACACCAGGCAGCACTCGGACAGTATTAGCGTTGGGAGTGTCGTATCCACCGTGTCTCGTAGTCGGGTCACTGATTCATCGTTCGCGCTGCTTTCCGACTGCTGCGCGAGCGTTCGAAGATCGATCGGATGGATATGATAGACGGGAGAGTGCAGCGCATCCCCCGCCTCAGATATTGTGACATCTTCATAATGTCCGAAAACCCGCTGTAGGATAGGCGTTCCCCGAATAGCCTTTATTTTCGCTGCATTGTTGACCGCAAAATCGATTTCATGGTAGACAACATCCGGCGTTGGGTCTGATTGCAGAAGTCGAAAGACACGCGTGTCAGAGCCAGCACCAAGCGAAATGATCTGTTTCTTCTTTTGCTTCCATGCCGAGTCTGATTCTGCCGTCAATCCCAGAAACCTCGCAACAAGTTCATCGATCGCCGTCGTGCGCACATAGGTCCCTACACGATCAATCCACACTCAGTCAGCAACACGCCACGCACGAACACAAGCAAACTCCTAGGAAGAGCAGAAAAGACGCTGAAACGTACCGCGATTGATAATTGGCAACCTCCTTGTCTCTTGTCCTAACGGCGTCAACACCCTGGCAAAGGGATCCTCAAGATACCCCAACCCCACTGCGCTCAGCCGGGAGACGCTGGCGTCATTATCCGTTCCCTGCACGACCCGGTCTTTCTGACCGCGAGAAGTAGATCCAGGACCCTCGTGTCCGCCTCCTCGACCTCGTAAGCGGCCGCGACCGGCTCCGCGACGGAGAGTGTTCAGGTTGGGTATTTGTGGTGCGGACATGGCGGGGTCATGATGAAGCTTGGTTGTGGAGGGGTCGTTGGAGAGCGGTCTGGTTTGCATGCGGTGGAGAGTTCCAGACCTCGTCAGAGCAATGCGTCCATGTCTCACCTGGCGGTCGTTTGCGAATAGGAGTGGTACCGGTCTAAAAGAATTTAAGCTTAAAAAAACCAATCTATATATTCAATTCTAATACATATGCAAGCGCTGATGCTGGAGCAAGTGTCTGCTATGTATGGAGACGGGAGACAACAACAAGACCGACGTCATCGATTTCTCAGAGCCCAGCAATACCCTTTACATCCCCCATGCAACCGATAAAAATGTTTATATCCACATTCATGCGAAGCTGAAATGATTCCGGCACAGTGGGCAAGTGCTCTGGTTACTGCTCTTGAACCACCGGAAAAGACAGACCGAGTGGAAGGCATTCTTGCACGTCGCACACCGTTTGTTCGGCGTCTGCATATCTGTCGAAATGACCGAGTAACAAATCGCACACTCGCTCTGGCCCTTTAGTGCGCCTTGCACGTTTCTGCGGAATGCTAGCAGTCCGTCTTCGAGGGCGCCGTTGGAGAACATGATGACTCCTTGGATCGTGAGGAGCCAGCTCTTCCACTTCCTTTCGTCAACCAGCACTCGGCTTCGACCGACGACCAGGGCGGGGTGCAGGGGATATGCAGGAGGGAGGGATATTGAGAGTGAGACGGGTGGCGAGTCTTCGTCAATTGGAATGCTCGCGATGATCTCGGCTGTTTTCGATGCAATCTTTACGTTGAGCGCTCGCTCCTCGTTTGGATCCTGGGTTGACATCCATTGAGTTACCCTTTCCAGAGCATCCTCGGCAACTAACGGTGAGATCTACAGCCCGGTCAGTACATTCCAAATGGAACTTGGATGTCTATCACTTACAAATTTCTCTGTCCACGCTTCCACCGGGCCTTTGGTGCGCTTTTTTGAGTCGATCCACCAGGCTTTAGTCAAGTTGGCAAGGTGCTTCAAAGATAACAAGTACAAATGAACAAGCAACCATTGTGTCTCCTTTTCGTAGTTTTCTGACTGACAGGGTTCAAAGGAACGGATATCCAGCTTCGAGGCATCCACAAGCTTTCCATGTCCTTTTTGGAGAAAATCGAACATGAACTCTAGCAGTGGAGCCAATACATCGTGCTCCTTAATGTCAGATGCATACTGCTCTTGAAGAGCCAGAGACTAGAAATTAATTAGTTAATTGGCCCCTCCTTATCAGACCGTGAAGTGGTACATACCGCATTTACAAAGTGATCAAAGACCAATTTCCAGCTCAACAGATAGGACCTAATATCAGCCCAGGTCTTGTCATCGCCGTATGTGGCAGATATCGACTCCATCGTCGGTGCCCCAAGGAGCAGGGATATAAGTTCGTACGGGAGCTTGACCTCCGATTTGGACAATGCCACGTCAAATGACACCTGCTCTTGCACACTCGGGATGTAACGGTGGAGGAGAGTGTAGGCTGTATGCTGGAGAGGCAGGCTGTGGGCAGTCAGAAGAGGGAAAACCTTGGCGACGTTCTCGAGATCCTCGACCGGGAGAGTCTTGATTAAGTCGCATAACCGGTCGACGGTGAGGTCACGCGGCAAATTAAAGGTTGTGGAGGAGTCTAATCCGACCTTAGCACAGAGCTTTTACTAATGATGGGCTTCATCCTTACCAAATATCCATAGAGTCGATGTCAAGTTGTTGAGCAAAGCTTTCTTCCGGTCAGCCCAGGCGTCCTTCACGTCATCATTACTATCGTCATCCTTGACAATGGAGTCCAGGCAGCTGTAGAGTCGGTAAGATGCATATAGGACAGGCAGAGCACCATCTGCTCCACCGATGTTTCGCCATGTTGAATTGAGTAGCTCCAAGCAATCTTCCCAATGGGGGCCATACATCTCCTTTACGTTGGGAAGTGCAAATGTCAGAGCCTTGAGGGCTTCGGCTGTGAGGCTTAGTGATATTTGCTCCGATTGGAGGCACTGTATAAGATGCTTGACGAAAAATATCAACCGTTGAGTTGGCATGGACATCATCGGGTTAAGGTCCTCCTCTTCAGACAGAAGAAGGTTGAGCAGCGACAGCTTTCGAAGACCTGTATCTTGTTAGCGAAGTAATCTCTAGGGAGGATCGGTACGCAATACTGACCATTTCCCGTCTCATCTTCGACCTTTAGTCCGGTAGAGTCTGCTACAAACTCATTGCAGGCTCGAACTCCGGCCGGATTTTGAAGAATAGATCGTCGCAGAAGAGCCATCCGAGCAGCAGAACGAATAGGGTTGTCTGTCCGCATTCCTCTGCACAGTTGCCCGATCGCCTCAGAAGAGAGTGCGATAGAGGATGGGTCCACGCTTTCCATGACTTGCGTAAAGGCCTGTCCAACCCGGTAATCTACCGGCGATATACCTTGCAGATTCTCAAGCCTTGTTTCCCAGACAGAAGCAATGGTGGCAGAAACGGCTCCGCCCGTGGACGCAATTTGTCGGGTAGATGAAGACCATCCCTGAATAATCTTTCGCGCATCCCTAGCAATGTTTGCGTACTCTTCTCGCTGCTCCTGAGTCAGGGATCCGGCGATATAATTATATCCCTCAATGACGAGATCGTCTTCAATCAATTGTACCACGAGGGGCAGGTTGTAAAATAAGACCTCAAATTCCTCCAGGCCGATATGCTCGGTGATATCCAAAGAAGACAGGGCCCGAACAGTATAATGGGCAAGTCGAAACGCGGCTGAGCATTGACTTGAATCGCGTGCAATATTCTCGTAACGTTGGGAGAATGTCTCTGATAACCCTCGGTCAACTAGATGCACGATGCCTGAAAGTGGACTAGTGATAGCGGTCGATAAACGTGGTGGAAGTTCGAGGAAAGGTCCCAAAGCTTCTTCCCACATCGGTTGTGAAGGTAAAATGTCCTTAGAGAGCTGTGCAACATCTTCAGGTTTAGAGCTGCGCAACAACTCTTCGGCAATGCTCAATAGAGATTCAATTCTTTTCTCGTTAGTGCAACGTCAAAGCTGGATCTAGTGAAGAAGTACTTACGACAAGGATTCCTCATTGACTATTGCAAGGTTCTGCCGCAGAATTTCGAGGCTCGCCTTCGTGCTTGTTTCCCCGACTACAGACTTCTTTAACAGACCTAACAATGATTCTGTGAGGGCAGCAACCTCTTCCGATGGAGATTCCGTCAGGAACAGAAGCTTGCCTGCCAGTTTCGAACCTTGAGAACCACTCTGAAATCTTGCAACAGCACTGGGGACAGAGGAAGCTATTTGAGTTAGCCCGCGCAGAGCATTAGCAACTTCTTCTTCCGAGGACAGGATATCAACAAGAGAGAGGAATATCGAGTCTTCCATCTCGCCCTGGGATGTCGGGTTCTGTAGAGCAGCAATAACGACCGACCAATGTAGCTGGCTTCCTCTCGAAGCCAGTTCCAAAGCCCGCATGATTACTGGTCCAATAATCTCCTTATCCACTTCATTAAAATCGATGCTCAAAAGCAGCTTCTGAACAGCGGTTGCATTAGTCATGACATTTTCGAGCTGTGCAACTTGCTTGACGACCATCTCAAAGCTCGAACCGAAACCAGGCCAGGAACGACAGGCAAGGGCAATTGTGATGATTCGGTCACCGGAAGGAGAGTACAGGAGTTCTGGCGCATCGTTTTGAACGAATTCCTGGAGCTCCCGCGACGTATGCGCAATTTGCGGGACCTGGCGCACCATCTCTTCAACAACTGCCGCTGCCCCATAGGGCTTACCTTTCCGAGTCTGTAATACCTGCAAGCAATCGTTGAGTAGCCCCAAAGTCAGACTTTCAAGTGTACGTAGCGTGCTGATCTCGTACTCTCTATCTGCGAGATGCGACAATAGAGAGTTTTCCATTGAGAAAAGGCGTCTAGCTTGTGCACACACTGCGTCCTGCGAAATTCTGAAGTCTTTCGATTGTTCGGGCGAAGATAGTCGAACGGCCTCGAGTAAATCGTTCGCCAGTCTGGTCCACAGATCGTTGAGTGAAACCTCATAACCAAACGCAAGCAGAGCCGTTAGGTATTCGGAGCAAATAGCTTCAGAAGACTGCGCGGGTAGAGACCACCGCGATCCTTCCTGTTCGGGTTTCACATGCTGCACCACTAACGGACAAAGCTTGTCTTGTAGGAGCTTGACCGTGTCATTATCGTTGAGTCCCTGAGCAAGCCACATGGCCACTTCAACATAAATCTTCCAGCCAAGCGTTCTATTCTGCTGAGGTTCGTCCCTTGAGCTCAGCCCTTCATGCAGAGCATCCATCAAAGCTGTTGCGCTCGCCAATCCAATATTATCACCAGTCGAATTCGAGTCCAAGCTTGCCAGTGTCTGTATCGGAACAAGCTGCAGTAGCTGATATAGGTTTGACCAAAACACCTCCGGTCCACTCTGAGAGCCCTTTCGAATATATTGCAGCAACCGTTTAGAAGCAGAGCTCTTTCCAGAATAGTCAGTGGTCCATATTTGCGGGCGTATGGATGTCACGAGTAGCAACGTCTCTGAAAGCTCAGACGCAGACCCGAGCTGCGGAACAGAAAGTGATTTACCGATCAAGGCTGCGCTGAGCAGCTTCCAGTCCAACTCCTCGGGTTCTCCGGAGACGGCAGTTCGAAGTAGAATATAAAGTGAGCGGCGAACAAATGGATCATTATGATAGCAAAATGCCCACAGTGATTTGCTGCCGAGCAAGTTTACTAGCGTATGCGAATCACTCTGGCGATCTTCTTTCGTGGTGTTCCCTAGTTTCGTCCTTAGCAACGTCACTGTCAGCTCGATAAAGGAACCACATACCTAATACGCGATTGAGTAACAGGATAGCAGTTCCGACTACACGCGCGTACTTAGCCTCCGCATCATCAGGCTTGACTGTTCTTTCATCGCTTAGCGTGTGAGGAGTTTGTTGAAGAATGACATCATCGACAAAGTCCAAAATGTGGCTTTGATAGATCTTCCACACGCCAGCTCTCTTTTCGTCAGTAGAAAAGACCCGAGTAAAGGACTCTAATGCCGATTGATGAACCGGTTTATCGTTGTCATAAACTCCAGCCAGCCACGCCCCAATCACTTTGGGGAGAAAGCGGGCGATGCGCTTCCCCACGAGGCTAGCAGCAGACCCTTGAACTGAATGCGCGGTCTGCCTCACTCTTCGGTAGACATCAATCGATGCCCGAGGATATATTCGTACCTGTTCAAGGTCAAAACTGTATATCCAAGTCCCGTGGAACTTTCACCCACCCAAGCTTCTAGGAAACCGTCATCAAGAGTGCCACCATTCTTCTCTACATCAGAGACGTAGGACCGTATATCGTCTAGAGCTTTCGTTCGGGTGACTTCGTCTTTCTTCGAAAAGTTCTTGAATGCGATCGCCAATTGCGGTTCGGAGATTCTCGATAGGTCGGGAGGCTCAGCGACGTATGTAAGAGAGGAGAGCTCTCTCCCTTGACTCGTCCCAAGCGAGGAGAACCCTCCGAATCCTCCAAATGCACCACCAGCTGCCCGACTGCTTGACGCCTGGGATTTGAACTTTTTGCTCATAGTTATAGTGTGGGGTAAGCGGGGTGAAGTGAGAATGAACGAGGGGAACAATGAAGAAGATGAAAGCGAAACAAAAGGAGGGAAAGGGGAAAGGAGAGGAGATCAGCCAAAATCTTGTTCCTGACTCACTGTCATCCCAAAAACGTGCTTGTCGAACAACTCGCCTTATAAAAAAGTTCAAGCAACAGCCCAGCCTTATCATTGCGGACTTGGTCGGCGTCCTTATCTGGTAGACACGTGACCTGGTGTCATCGATGGCCCAGAAGGGAAAAGCTCAACGCGGTCTGGCCCAAAAAGAGCCGCCTCTCTTCTTGCCTGACGACTCCGTCGAGCTGCGTTTGTTCAGCTTCACGCCCGCCTCTCACAATGAAATTTTTCATTGAGTAAGTGCCGCATGCTTGCGCGTAATGGACCACAGTATCTGATAGCTCTTCTCTTACTAGTGATCTGCCCGTCCTGTTTCCTTACCCTCGTATATACCCCGAACAATATGCCTACATGTGCGATCTTAAAAAGACCCTCGACGCTGGGGGTCACTGTGTCCTGGAAATGCCTTCGGGCACGGGAAAGACAGTCACGCTGCTGTCTTTGATTGTCGCCTATCAACAGCATAAACAAGAGCACCGAAAGCTCATTTACTGCTCCCGAACAATGTCCGAGATCGAAAAGGCCTTGGCGGAGTTGAGAGAACTCATGAAATATCGTGCTGAGCAGCTAGGCTATGTTGAGGACTTTCGTGCTCTGGGACTTACCAGTCGGAAGAACCTGTGTCTGCACCCCTCAGTCAAACGGGAGAAAAGTGGAACAGTGGTTGACGCCCGGTGCCGGAGCTTGACTGCCGGGTTTGTCAAGGAAAAGAAAGAGAGAGGTGAAGATGTTGAGTTATGCGTTTATCATGAGGTATATATGGCGAGGCTGCAGCTTGACTCTTGGTTAACTATCTCTAGAATCTGGATCTTCTCGAGCCACACAACCTCGTCCCTCCGGGCGTTTTCACACTTGACGGTCTCTTGAACTATGGAGAACAACATAAGCAATGCCCCTACTTTTCCGCTCGTCGCATGGTATGCTGCTGCTCTCAGGCCTTTTGATAAACCGGCGTATCTAACAGCTGCTTAGATGCCGTTTTGCAACGTTATCATCTACTCCTATCACTATCTTTTAGACCCGAAGATCGCCGAAAGAGTCTCCAAGGAGTTTTCGACAGACAGTATCGTGGTATTCGACGAAGCACACAACATCGACAACGTCTGCATTGAGTCTCTCAGCATTGATATATCTGAAGATTCATTACGGAAAGCCACACGGGGGGCGAACAACCTGGAACGTAAGATTCAGGAAGTAAAGAGCTCCGACGCCGAAAAGCTGAACAACGAATACATGAAGCTCGTTGAAGGATTGCGGGAGGCTGAGCAAGCTAGAGAAGAGGATCAGTTCATCTCAAACCCTGTCCTTCCAGATGATCTACTTAAGGAAGCCGTCCCGGGTAATATACGACGGGCGGAGCACTTTGTTGCCTTTCTCAAGAGGTTTATCGAATACCTGAAGACTCGAATGAAAGTCACGCACACCATCTCAGAAACGCCTTTATCATTCTTAAGCCATGTGAAGGAGTTGACCTTTATTGAAAGAAAACCTCTAAGATTTTGCGCAGAACGGTTAACTTCTCTGGTCAGAACGCTGGAGCTGATCAATATCGAGGATTATCAACCACTTCAAGAGGTCGCAACGTTTGCGACTCTAGTCTCGACATACGACAAGGGTTTTCTTTTGATCTTGGAGCCTTTCGAGTCCGAGGCAGCCACAGTGCCGAATCCGATCCTACACTTTACATGCCTAGACGCCGCCATTGCCATCAAGCCAGTATTTGACCGGTTCAGCTCAGTTGTTATCACCTCGGGAACTCTATCCCCACTAGATATGTATCCCAAAATGCTCGACTTCACTACTGTGATGCAAGAATCATATAGCATGACCCTTGCTCGTCGATCCTTTTTGCCCATGATCGTGACTCGCGGATCGGATCAAGCTCAGATCTCGTCTTCATTCCAAATCCGAAATGACCCAGGTGTCGTCCGCAACTATGGAAACATGGTTCTCGAATTTTCCCGCATCACGCCAGATGGGATCGTGGTCTTCTTTCCGTCGTATCTCTATATGGAGTCTATCATCAGCATGTGGCAGGGCATGGGTATTCTTGATTCAATCTGGAACTACAAACTCATTCTGGTGGAAACTCCTGATGCGCAAGAATCATCACTAGCGTTGGAAACCTACCGAACAGCATGCTGCAACGGTCGCGGCGCCATACTTTTCTGTGTCGCTCGAGGGAAAGTCTCCGAGGGCATCGATTTCGACCACCACTATGGACGAGCGGTGCTCTGTATCGGGGTTCCATTCCAGTACACAGAGTCGCGTATCCTCAAAGCACGTCTCGAATTCCTTCGGGAGACGTATCGCATCCGAGAAAATGACTTCTTATCTTTCGATGCAATGAGACACGCCGCTCAATGTCTGGGGCGTGTCCTTCGAGGCAAAGATGATTACGGTGTCATGGTTCTCGCCGACCGACGCTTTCAGAAGAAACGCAACCAGCTTCCAAAGTGGATCAGTCAGGCGATGCTAGAGAGTGAAACAAATCTTAGCACAGACATGGCAGTAGCAACTGCGAAGAACTTTCTGCGCACCATGGCTCAGCCTTTCAAGGCCAAGGACCAAGAAGGTATCTCGACCTGGAGTCTGGCGGACTTGGAAAAGCATCGCCAGAAGCAGATGCAGGAAGAGGATAGAGTAAGGCGGGAGGATATTGCCCATGGGAATGGAGTCAACGGTGCTCAAAATACAGGCGCCGACGAGTTCGACGACAATATTGACGAAGACCTCATGATGCTAGATGCATAGTTGGTTTCCTAGCCTCAATTGTCCATTCTCAGGCAGATTCATTTGTGTTCTTTTTGTGATTTCCTACCATCACCTGGAAAAGGTTAAGCATGATACCACGGACGTTTGGTGTTAGGTTGGTCGATTATTGGGACTACATTTCAAATTTTAGATCTGATCAAAATACGGATCCTATCTATTCTTCCAGACATACAATGCTAATCCAAAGTAAGACCGCCTGAGTAAGGGAACTTTTTGAATTTCCGCTTTAAACAAAACTCCAGAGCTCATGGGGCACATCATGAATGAATCGCGTGCGTATAAACAATGAGTAAACCCTCTTGATGAGAAACATATACACGGGCGAGAAAAGGACAGAAAGAAGAAATCGTACAAGCCAATCGCAGGCCGCGAACCATGTCTATGCCACGGGAGCAAGGACATCAAACGCACCTGTACCAATAGTGCCGGTCCGACCGACAACAATCCGACTACTTGGGTTGTTGAGGTTATCCCAGTCACGCTCCCGAACGGCGTCCTTAAGGAAGCCAACGGTGGTCTCGAAACTCATCTTGGCCAGAGGAGAAGAGATATCTTTGACAAGCTGGTTACGGTTGAAGGCTTGGAAGCCACCAGCGTGTGTCATCACGTCACCGATGAGGTTCAGGTGGCGGTTGTCGACGGAGATGCTGTGACCCTTGAAAACGGCGGACATTTCCTTGACAATGGAGGCACGTGCAGCTTCAACACCGTAATGGACAAGCATGTGGTCGATGGAGTTTGTGTAAATGGAGTGGGGCTTGATGATGTCTTGGTAGTCGCGCATAGCGAGCAGGTTGACACCGTCGGTGATGACGCAGGCGGGTTCGCCCTTTGCCTGATCTGCTTCCACAAATGTGCAGTTTCCGAGGCCGGGAATCGACTGTATGACTGCGTTTCGGCAGGCGTCTTCGACGAGGGGAAGGAGCAGGAGCTTGGGGGTCGCGATATCGTACTGCAGCTGAATGGTACATGTGGAGCCCTTGTGCTGGTTGAACTTGAATTGAGTGACTTCGGCGAACTTTGACCTCACGTCGTCCTCGCGCAGTTTTGAGTCCTTGGTATGTCCTTCCTCGTCCAGTTCGTCGTCTGAAGAGTCGTCCATGTCGACATCGCGGTCCTTGTCCATATCTTCGTCATCGTCGTCCTCCTGGGCGTCCGTCTGGCGGATCATTCGCTCTTCTTCCTCCTCGGGGCCTTCATATGAAACCTGGTTGGATCTGTTCTGAGCTCCGCGAGCCCGCTTCGCGTCATCCTCGTCATCTTCGACGTCATCATCAGCAGGCTGTTCTTCAGTATCAGCACCTCGAGGGGCTTCCTGAATCGTGCCAACTGAGACACCAATCTCAGGCTGCGCAGATGAGTTCTTGCTCAAGGACTTCTCGTCGTGTCGCTTCTTCAACTCGGCCTTGGTGAGTTTCACGAGTCGAGGAATAAACTTGTGTTGCAGAGTCGCCTGGACATCCCGGATGGTAATCGCATATTCGGCTGTGTATTCTTCCGCCGGGAACAGGGAGATCTCAATGTCGTATATTTTTGCTTTTGTACTTCCGGAGGAGACTCTCTCCTTGACTTCCACCTTGTCGACAACCTCTGCGATGCTGAGCTTGCTAATGGCCTTAGCAAACCTCTCGCCATGTTGCTGAGGTAGCTCCTCGTTCAGAATCAGGGTCATTGTCGGCGTCATGATCTGTTTGCTGGCGGTCATGACAATTTCACGCAGACGGGGAATACCCAATGTCACATTCTTTGCAGAGTGACCTGCCAAGTGGAAGGTGTTTAGGGTCATTTGTGTAGACGGTTCACCAATAGATTGGCCAGCGACGATTCCAACAGCCTCGCCAGGGTCGACAACAGATTTCAAGTATTTCATGTTCATCATGGTGTTGAATGCCTTCTTGCTCAAGAGACCCTCGGCACCCTTCTTCTTGTCTCTGAGAAGCTTCTCCTTGTTCTCGTCCTCGTACTGTAAATGACGCGGTTAGCCTACTAAGTGGAAATTGAATAAGGATGGGATAGATTTTACCTTCTTAAGCGCCTGGGAGAACGACTCGGATGTACTACCCAGGTTGCCTCCAGGGTGATAGACAGACAGGACCGGGTCCATAGCATCGAGTTTCCCAGTCTTGCGCACCTTCTTCATGGCGTCTTTGTGCCAATTCGTCACAACATCCTTCTCCAGGTGGTGAAAGTTTTCAGTCAGTTCAACTTGCTCCATAATAGAAGTATGGTTCGAGGCCAAGAAGTCGAAATTCTCGAGATGGACCTGTTTGGTGATGTCAAGGCCGTCCTCTCCGTACAAGAACTGGACCATGGAGCCATCAGACGTCTCGCGGACTGAGGAATCATATTCCGCCCTCAACCCCTCCATGCCCTTGATCAAACAACGTTGCAGGTAACCCGATCTAGAAGTTTTGACGGCAGTATCAATGAGACCTTCACGACCAGCCATGGCGTGGAAGTAATATTCTTGAGGCTTGATTCCGGTCAAGAAGCGGCCGAGAACATAACCACCAGCCATAGGATTTGTGTCATATGCCCTGAAACTGGGGAGAGTTTTACCGCTGATCATTACAGGCACACGACGGCCTTCCAAAACCTGCTGTCCCAGGTTGCAAGAAATCAGGTTTGCATTGACAGCAGAACCCTTGGCTCCGGTGACAGTCATAGACTGCATTTGGTTCCACGGGAAAGGCTTCACTAACCCGGCAGGAAGACAGGCCTTGGTAATCGCTGTGGATAGCTGCGCCGATCGGGCGTTAAACACACTATCAAGGCCGCTCTGCTTATCATCGTCACGCAGAACTTCTTCCAGGCGTCGCTCCAGCTCGGCATCCTCGTCCGGCACATTTGTCTGGTCAAGTGTCACATACTTGAGGGCGACCTCACGACCGATCTTCGGAGCCTCACTGAGCAATTCTTTGCGTTTGCGGTTGCCCTCGTCGGTTAATCGAAGATCATCAATACCGCAAGTAAACGCGCGCATGTTCAAGTATCTGGTCAAAAGTCGCCCGAGTATACTAATCAACTTTCCAGCAACGGTGTGGCCGTAGATTTCGTGAATCGAGTCAATCAAACCCCCTGCAGTAGGACCAATCTGCTTTTTATCGAGAATACCACAGAGCAGCTCACCGTCTTTAAAGATAACCTGGTCCTCCTCGTTGCCCTTGCCCCAGCGGTCTCCGGGAGTTGACGACTTACTCTTCAGGTTGAGTCCTGCTCTGTTCGGTGGCATGATGTTCTTGAGGATTGTTGTAATAACCTGCTTACCGGTCCAAAGAGGCTTTGGTCGAATAATAGCCGGACCCACTGTCACAATCCTATCCGACACTGTGTGAGAGTTCTCGGGCCTTAAACAAGAGTACAACAGCTCGTGGTAATCCTCTCGGTCAAAGAATGCATCTCGGCATGTGAACCAGGTACCCATTGAAATGTGATCTTGGATCAAACCTCTGAGAGGCTTGCCTGAGGTCGCAACGAGATACTGGTGGTCCGCGTCTGCAAGCATCATAGCCTCTGCTCGAGCAAGTTCGTTCTGAGGGAAGTGCATGTTCATCTCGTCACCATCGAAATCCGCATTGTAAGTATTACAGTTGGCGTAGTGCATTCGAATGGTTTTCTCGTTGGGGAGGACACGAGCCTTGTGACCCATGATAGAAGGTTTGTGGAGTGTCGGCTGTCGGTTCATCAAAACAACATCGCCAGTAGTGAGGTGGCGATAGACCTTCTTGTTGCGGGAGCCCTTCATCCTCCAGTTTGAAGGCGCGAGAAGCTGATTAGCTAGTGCTATTCGCTCATCGAGGCTCTTGAACTTGAGGTTTGTGACTTGTCCAAGCTCATTTTCGATGGCAGTAGCACCGGGATACTTGTCAGGGCCGTTGATGACCGCTTGCTTCATTTCCCAAAAGTTGTGATTGGTGACAGGCTCGGGGTAGGTCAACTTCTTTGCGAACACGTGTGGCACACCAATTTCATTCGTTTCGATGTTGGGATCGGGCGAAATGACACTTCGAGCTGCAAAGTTGACACGCTTTCCCATCATGTTCTTTCTGAACAAACCCTCCTTCTTTTCCAAGATCTGCTTGATACCATTGGGGGCCTTAGCCGCCGCCGCTCCCGTAAGACCACTTCGGTCACTATCGATCAATCCGTTCACAGTGTCCTGGAGCTGGACGATGGCATGGAGAAGATCGCGGTAGTCCCGAACACGAGTAGCTGAATCGTCGCCGAGATTCTGTCTTTCTTTGCGAATTTGATTGATGATGTCACAATTCTTCAGGACGTTAGTCAATGGCGTATTTTGTTGTGCTTCCATGATCGCACCGGCGCCCTGCGCAGCAGCAGGTCGATATTTGTTTGGCGGCACCAGAATATTCTTGATGAAGAACATTTCCGCAGTGACTTTCGAGTCTTTTTTTGACGCAGGTCGAGAGTTATAAATCAGGTTCAATACCTCACCCTCTTTCTCAAAGAGCAGTGTAATCGCCGCGTGAACTTCGGAAGATGGCACATATTGCTGAGTCTCACCCTGGCCCTGCTTTTTGCTCTCAACTTGAGCCACAACGGCGTTTCCACGCGCAACCTCCTCCTCCGCGCCATGAGCCTCCGAAGTAACACTAGCAGTGTCAGAAAAGCCGTTCGCGAGCGCTTTCTTATCCTTGGTGCTGAGCTTCTTCGCTTGTTGGAGGAGAATCAGCGAGTTTGGAATCTGTAATCCTGCTTGTATCATAGCGAGTCGAGCCTTCTCCGTGAATGGTCGGCGGAAGATCTTCGACGCCTTGTCTTTTCGATAGCCTGGCGAGATTCTTTTGTGATGTTAGCCGGTGTATGGACAGAAAAATATGATCAGCGTATGGGGCCACATACCCACTGCAGCTGGCGCATTTACCGGCCGCCGAGATATCCTTGAAAAAATCCCTGATCAGGTTCTTTCTTTTCTCCATGGCCAGAGGGTTCTTGATTCCGGCCATGATACTTTTCAGCATTCCAGCTGCTTGTGCTTCGCGGATAGACTTTTTGACGTATGCATTTCTGCGAGAAATCAAATCATCCTCATCCTCGTCATCTTCTTCGTCCGAGCCATCCGCGCCCTTGCCCCTCTTCGACTTGGGTGCTTTCGAGCCCATAGTGTCGACAGCTGCTACCGCATCAACCAATCCGTATTGCAGAAGGCGCAGCTTGCATGAGTATAAGTTTATCTGGGTCCGGGCAAGTTGGAAGCGATGGCAGAAAACGCATTGCGCCCGCAGTAAACGATAAAGTTGGTCGAGATGTGTTACGTTGTAGACATGGACTGGCAGCTCGATGTGTCCGGAGTGTCCAGCGCAGGCCCAGGAATTCAATCGGCAAGTAGTGCAACTGCGAACTGTTAGCTTCTGGAGATCAAGAACATAATGTAAAAAGAGCAAGTATGGATAGAGAAATTCGAGAAAAAAAAAAAAAAAGAACATACACATGGTCACCCCAGGCACCTAGTGCAGGATCATATAAACCACCAGGCACAGGGTTGTTGAAAGAATCCAAGGTGGGTGTATTATGGATCCGCTTCACAGATACTGCTTTGATATCTTCGTCGGTATAGGGCTCAAAATTGATTCCCGCAATTGTCGAGGCCACCGGGCGTGCGAAAGTCGCCATTGTCCCTGTCGCAGCTCCTCGAGCAACCAGAAACCCTGGGAGTGCGAAATCTTCACGGGGTTTGACTTTCGGTCACTGGCGGAGAAGCGGGTGTGACGATCTTGATGCTGCGAAGAAAAAAATGTCCCGGCTTTTTTTTTTCTGCCGCGCGGAACCGCCTCCACGTCCACGTTTACTTGCAGCTCCGGATGACAGCCTCTTTAATCCTCCACCTCCGACTGTGACGGCCATCGCGAGCGTCACGAGCAGACACTCGAGTCCTGCTCCCTCTCCCCGCATCACCGTAGCTACAGCCTTTTCGTGGGTGAGTTAGCAACCCTCCGCCGCAAACGCGATGTCGGACGTATCAGGCAACATGCTGAAGCGACCTCGCCCTGAGGACGAAGACAACCATGCGCAAAAAAGACCGCGTTCGAACAATGGGTCTCCTCATCCTGGGCAAGGAGGGACGACTCCTGGAAATATCGATATTGCAAAGGTAGTGGCCGAGGCCAGAGCGAAGGCTCAAGCCGTCCGCGACAGGCTTATGGCCGAAAAACAAGGATCTGCGTCTCCTTCACCAGGACCGGCAGGGTCCGGTGCGAGTCCTGCTCCCCCGGCTGCTGGCTCCGCGATGTCCAGACTGGAACAGATGAAAGCTAGGGTTGCGGCCGCAACAGGACGAGCGAATGCTGCCGCGCAGCAAAGGCCGAACGTCGCAACTCCACCGCCGCCTCCTCCACCCTTCGAAGATGAAGATGACGGCTTATCGCGAGCCCGGGGTGGTCTTGATGTCGGTCTGCATCCCGCGCTTCTCACAGATAATCTCGAATATCGGGGGAGCAAAGGGCGACAATCAGGACAATTCAAAGGCCGTCGAAACGATTCCTCGGCTGTTGGTGGGAAACAAAATCGGCCAGGACTTGACCTCTCGGGGCCTTCTCTCGAGGAAATAAAGAAGAATCCATACTTCGATCCAAGCCTAGGTCCTAAAGCTACGATATCTAAACCTCGCCAGTCGCGGCAACTCCTCTTCAATCAAAAGGGTAAATATATACAGCAGGCCGCTGCTCTTCGTCGACAGGCGCAACTGGAGGCTATGAAGAAACGCATTGCCGAACGAGCAAGGCAGGCGGGCATCGATGAAGATCTGGACTTTGAGAAAAACTTCGTGGTACCAGCTCCACCAGAAATTGAGTGGTGGGACGAGGGCCTAGTAAACGGGTCTGATTACACGGCAATCGAAGACGAGAAGAACCTCAAAATCGAAACACCCGACTCCATAATCACGCTCTACGTCCAACATCCGGTTCTTCTCGAGGCTCCGCAGGAGAAGCTCAAGCCAGAACAAAAGCCGATGTATCTCACGTCGAAGGAGCAAGCGAAGATTCGTCGACAGCGGCGCATGGCGGACCTAAAAGAACAGCAGGCGAAGATCCGTCTTGGTCTCGAACCAGCCCCTCCGCCAAAGGTCAAAAAATCAAACCTCATGCGTGTGCTGGGTGAACAAGCCGTCAAGGACCCTACTGCCGTCGAGGCACGGGTCAACAGAGAAATCGCAGACCGCCGTGAACAACACGAGACCGCTAACGAGGAGCGCAAGCTCACAAAAGAACAACGCCACGAGAAACTCGCAAGGCAGCAGGAGCAAGACGCCGAAAAGGGTCTATTCATGACAGTGTATCGGATTGATACACTCGCAAACGGGCGTCACCGATTCAAGATTAGCAAAAACGCAGAACAAAATGCCCTTACCGGGGTATGCGTTATGCATCCGAAGTTCAACCTGGTCATTGTCGAAGGAGGCGCCCATTCGATCAACAACTATAGGAAGCTCATGGTGAACCGAATCGACTGGACGGAGAATGCGGGTCCCGGCGCAGTACGGGAGGGAAATCGCGAGGCGCAGACATCGTGGCTTGCTGCCGAAGATGAGTCGGGCGAACTGAAGGATCTCAGTTCCAATACATGTACTCTGCTCTGGGAGGGTCAGGTCAAGGCCAGAGCTTTTCGCAAGTGGCTTGGTGCTCGAGTTTGCGAAACGGACTCCCAGGCGAAGGATGTTCTAACGCGGGCGAAATTAGAGAATTTCTGGAGTCTGGCGAAGAGTGCGAAACAGAGCGAGACATGACACCATTTCTTACATCACTTCAAGATGCTGCACAGTCTATTTCAGCGTGGCGGTGCGATACTGTATTTTTACTAGACACGATGAAGAACCGATTACTCCACGAGAGTTCTTGCAAATCATAAAATGGAAGTGGTATCCCAAATATGTAGTACCCTAACAAGTAACCATGCCCCTTGCAAACCCGATCCGAAACCTCAAATGCAAAACGCGAGCAAAAAGAGAACCAAAACAACAAAAGAAGGTATCATATTATCATTGGCGAGGCGGCCATTGATTTCCATTCCTCAACTGCTGTAGAATCTCCAGCTGTGCCTTGACCCCTTCGAGATTCAGCGCTTGTCCGGTCTGAGCCTGCGGTTGCGCTGCGCCAGGTTGCTGTGCCTGCTGGCCGTACTGCTGCGGCTGCTGGTATGGTTGTTGCTGCTGATGTTGCTGCTGATGTTGCTGCTGTTGTTGCTGGAATTGTTGTTGCTGTTGCAGGGCAGCTAAGAACAGGGGATTGATATGTGGCTGCGACTGGCCAGGCAATTGCTGGTATGGGTTCGGTTGTAGGTAGGCCTGTTGGTAGGGCATTTGGAAATTAAACGGCGCTGCTGGCAGTCCCGGGTGCGCATAAGGCTGCTGTGGCTGTTGTTGAGGTTGAGGTTGCGCTTGCGGTTGCGGCATGGGCTGGTAGCCGGGGTATTGTTGAGACGGGTTGTAAGTAGGATACTGCTGGGATTGTGCCTGGTGATGGGATTCGTGTCTTTCATGCTGATGGTAAGGCTGACGATCGTGCTGGGACCTATGCTGGTCTCTAGGTCTTCCTTCTCCACGTCCACGGCCACCTCGACCACGGTCAGAACCACGACCTCGGCCTCTACCACCGCCAAAACCAGAGTGCCTGTTAGAGAAGCCGTCGTTCTCGACGGGCGCCTCGTGTCGCATCATCTCGTGCAAATTCTTGGGGCGCGCAAGCGGAGTGTACCCATCTTCACCAGCGTTATCGTCATAGTTGAGTTCGCTTTGATTGAGCTTTGAAGGGCCGGGGCCGCCTCTTCCGCCTCGCCCTGAGTTGCTGTTCTCATTCCTTGCTCCTTTCCTTTCCTGGCGCTTCTGCTTCAGCTTCCGTCGGTATTCAGCTTCTTGTTCGTCGTCAGAGAATTCAACTTCGTCCTCGGCAACTTCCTCGTCGTGGAAGTTTGATGCATCACTCCCCTTCAGGCCCTTTAGAGGCTGGGTGAAAACGAATGTAGAGTGTGCCTCCACATAGTAAATGACGGTGCCCCTGGAAAGACCACGCTCCTCGACGTCCGCCGCTGTTGGAAATCGAACGGCATATAGAGGGTTCTCGACTCGCCCCAAAGTCTCGGAAACGACACCAGCAACACGACGGTCTTCCAAGCAGAGGAGCGAACCCGCCTCAAGCACTTGGTACTCTCCCGTCACATTGGCCGCGATGAGGACTGTGTTGTCAACCACAGCCTCCACGTTCCCCAGGAGCACGATCTTCGTTTCAGGGGTGATGGTGATTTCCGGGATAGGAAGGACTTCTTCCGGTATTTCGTTCGCCGTCTTGAGGGCACTGCCGGATTTACCCTTGCCTTCGCCCTCATCATCAGAGCCTAGCTCTCCTTGCATCAAAATTCGAGCCTGCTCTTCGGGACTCAAAATGGGATAATCCTCATCCTCGTCATCACTATCGGAAGAATCCGAGTCGGAGCTGTCCGATGACGACTCGTACGGTGAAGAATCGATCTCCCATTCAGGATGCTCCTCTTCTTCATGCTGTCCAATCTTTACCGGCTCAGCCATTACGGCATCAGAGGCGCTCGCTCCTCCATTTGCATCGCGGTTTGCACCAACAGTTTCTTCCTTATTTTCTTGCTCCACTTCCATCGCGTCTGTGTCTGCCAGCCCCGAATGTTCTGGTGCGTGATTTCCCGTAGCAGGTTCATTCTGTGAAGTGGCAATCTCGGGTTTATTCGACAATTCAAGCGCATCGGCATCGTTCTTTCCTGCTTGAGTCTTCTTGAAACTGTTGACCAGACTCAAACCGGGAATCAGGGAAGGCGGATTCGATGACGCCGGCGGTTCCGTGACCGGTACTTGAGGCGCATTACCTCCAGCATGGTCAGCATTACCCGGAGTTCCTGAAGTCAGAGGAGTGTTGTAAAAATCGCTTCCATCGTCTCCTGGTGTCAAGGCAATGGGTGGCGTATCGATCACGGAGGGGTTGTTCACTGGGAGGCTTGCGGAGGCAGCTCCGGGAGTGTTCTGGTTATGAGACTCAGCCATGATAGCCGTGAAGTCTCTCAGCTGGAAAATAACCTCGAAATCAAGTCGAGTGTGAGGTATGTTGAGTGTTCGCCCAGAATTTCTTCTCTGGATTTTTTTTAATGGAACTGCCACAGTTGCCGTTGCGGTCACCGCACCAGCTCCTTATCGATAAGCTATGTGGCTTGACGATCCAGTTACAATCCAGATTATTCCTCTGACATTGTTCTTCCCTATCTTGAAGAACAGGCATCATGTCTGGGAAAGACATCAGGGTACCGTCAGTACCGCAAGGACATACAACAGCACGCACGAAGCCACGGTAATTTCGCCAATTGTCTCTCGCCAACCTAGCCGACTAACCTCAGTATCGCAGTCCACCGCCGCCGCCCTTCCTCCTTCCTCTTCATATCACACTCTACGTGTGTGTCATCTCAAATGGAATCGCTGCGTTTCTCGCTCCGATACAGGACTGCGATGAGATCTTCAACTTCTGGGAACCCGCTCACTACCTGAACCATGGGTACGGGCTTCAGACTTGGGAGTACTCGCCGGTGTATTCGATACGCAGCTGGCTGTATATCTCCTTCCACAGCCTCATTGGGAAAGCCGCCTCGTTCGCGCTCGCAAAGAAATCTTCGGAATTCTACTTTATTCGGTTCTTCCTTGCAATGGTGTGTGCGGCTTGTGAAACCAAGTTATATTCCGCCATTTGTCGAAACTTGAATCCGAGAATTGGCCTGTTCTTCATCATGGTCGTTGCATTCAGCCCTGGCATGTTTCACGCTTCAGCAGCGTTTCTTCCGTCTAGCTTCACAATGTATACGTCAATGTTGGGCCTATCGGCTTTTCTGGACTGGAGAAAAAGTCAAAAGACCGCACAGGGAATCATGTGGTTTGGTCTTGGGGCGATTGTCGGATGGCCTTTTGCTGGAGCTCTATTGCTTCCCCTTTTGCTCGAGGAGGTGGCAATAGGCTTCGTCTCAGCGAACCTGCGAAAAGTCTCTCTTGAGATCCTCAATGGAGGCCTCAGGTGCTTGGCGATACTGGTACATTCTTGTCCATTCACCAGTTTCTTTTCAGTACTGACCAAAAACAGATCGCTGAAGTCGCTGTTGATTATGTATTTCTTGGGAAGATTACCGTCGTGCCGTGGAATATCGTGGCATACAATGTTTTCGGTGGAGAGGGTAGAGGGCCAGAGATTTTCGGGACAGAGCCTTGGACGTTCTATATCAGAAATCTGATTCTGAACTTCAATGTCTGGTTTATCTTGGCGATCTCTGCTGGTCCACTGGTGCTGCTCCAAGCTATCTTGCGCTCCCATACGACTAACAATGAGACGCTGCTGAGAACTTTAACTCTTATATCGCCCTTCTACATGTGGTTTGGGATCTTCACCATTCAACCACACAAGGAAGAACGATTTATGTACCCTGCATACCCTTTCCTTGCCCTTAACGCGGCGATCTCATTTCACATGGTCCTTTCTTATATCAGCTCGAGCAACCCGAAAGAGCTGATTGGACGAGTTCCTGCCAAATTGAAGCTCGCAGCTGTGATGTCTGTGCTCTTACTTGCCATCAACGGCGGCCTTCTGAGGACACTGGGTATGGTCACCGCATACAATGCGCCATTAAAGGTTCTGGAGCCGCTGGGACGGTTAGAGATAGTTCATCCAGGTGATTCCGTTTGCTTTGGCAAGGAATGGTACCGCTTCCCGTCGTCTTTCTTTCTACCCGGAGGGTTGCGAGCCAAATTCATTCGCAGTGAATTTCGTGGTCTGCTCCCCGGAGAGTTTCTTGACGCTCCAAACTACTCGGCGCTGCTTGAAAGTACATCGCGCATACCGGAGGGTATGAACGACCGCAACGAGGAGGACGAAGGGAAATACGTGAGGGGTCAAGTCTGCTTCTCTCCTTAATACTTATCTAACGCTGTACTAGACCGATATTTCCCAATGCTCCTTCCTCGTCGACTCGTACTTTCCGGGTCGCGAAGCCACCCCGCTGGAGCCCCATTACATAGAGGATGAGCCGCAATGGGATGTGGTATCTTGTAAACCATTCCTTGATGCTTCTGATACGAGTCTTTTAGGTCGACTCATCTGGATTCCTGATCTGCCGATGATTCCCGATCGTTTGCGCCGCAGATGGGGTCATCATTGTCTACTTCGGCGGCATACCACAGAATCCGAGGCGGCGTAACTAGACAACAGCCTAATGCCACAAACTGTAAATAGCCGAATTATTAACCTCCAGTTGTTACACTACATCCGTATGCTGGTTGCGATCCCAGCGCGGAGACCAATGCGTAGATGCGCGACTTTACCTGATAAGGTAAAAATATCCCAAACTCACCACGCAGCCACAAGACAACATGCGGCCCTGATAAGCAGCTCGCAGTCCACCTCTGCGCTTATCAGTGATTTCAACTGCGGGGGAGTGACAGGATGGATGCGCTCATGTCGCATCCGATTAACAGAACGGGTAATCTGCTCTGCTGTCCAGGCCAGGGCACGCTTGTTAAAAGAATGGCTTCCCAGTCGACTTCGTTCTGTATAGACCGTCACTCTCAGACTTCTTCTTGCATAATCCGAGAGAATGAATCTAGAGACGCTACACATCAGCCAGCATCACATCAGGAATGTGGCTGCTGCCTCTGCTCTAACCGCAGCCTGCATCTGGATCCTCGCAACAGTTCTACGGAGATGGAATATCTTTAAGCAGTCTAAGGGTCCAGTAGGATATAAATATGAGAAGACCACAAGGAAATTTGGAGGTAAGGGCCTCTATCAGAGACTCTGGACCAAACTAAATCTCGAATGCAGAATGGACCCCATCCGACTTCAAACGGCCGCCTGCTTCCCCATACCCAGACTGGGATGTCCACACAACGCAGCCCATCCCCTACCGGCCATTCCGATATGGACCGTAAGTTTCATCAATTGCTCTCTTTTTCCGTCAAACTAAACCGACGCAGCAAATATTTTATCACAATGGGTCTGCGAAACATGAAATGGGACGAATGGATTGGTATGCCTAACCCTATCTCCCCATGTACTCTGTACCTGCATCGCTCCACAACACTGACGCACGAATACCAGAGCTCGACAACCATTACCTACGCTACCACGCCGACAAAGCCCAGCGGATCAAAGAACGCGGCGACAAATGCTGCGCAACCGCCCCAGAAGCATGGGACGCCGCAATTGAACTCCTCGAGGAACTGTATGCGCCACCCAACTATTCATTCATAACCCTACAATCACTAACTCGGGTGACCCTACAGAGCCTCATACCTTCCCGAACGCTACCCAACCATGTTTCAAAAGACCCCCACCGGCCTAACAAACCTGGTCACAAACGAAACCTTCAACATAACCCAACGCCCCCTCCCCGAAGACCCAATGCAAACCTGCGCCCGCCTCGTCCAAGACGACCTAGCCATCATGATCGAAAAGCCCGACGGCGAGTACTACCTGCTAGCAGGTGCAATCCTCCTCGCAGGCTTCTGGCGCCTCAGCGACAAATACGGCATGCGCCTCTCGGACATCCACTACTCCGGCGACGTCCCCGGCTACAAGGAGAAACTTGAAAAGGGCATGATAAACTTCTTCCGGCGACTGAAACCCTCTGACGCTGTCGTGCGGAATAACTACTTCATTCAGGTCGATGATAACCTCGCCTGGTCGCATAGTATTGGGTCCGAGGATAGTCCGTCTGTGAGTTGGAATACCGCGGAGAAGAATAAGGCGATTGAGCATCATTTCTTCCGGTCTGAGAGGCAGAGTTTGAGGAGGCTTCCTAGGTCTGGGGGCGTGGTGTTTACGATTCGGACGTACTTCGAGCCGATTACGGAAGTTGTGAAGGAAGACTACGTTCCTAGGAGGTTGGCGTCGGCGATTAGGAGCTGGGGCGAGGATGTTTCGAGGTATAAGGGAAAGGAGAAGTATGGTGAGGTGCTCTTGGAGTACTTGGATAAGAAGCATGAGGAGCAGGTTGCCCGGGGTTTAGATTTGGAGAAAGAGGATGAGGTGAGGAGTTACCCGTTGTAGAATTATGTTGACTAGTCTTGATGATAGTTATAATGTTCAGAGCCATGTTTTTTGATGCAATGCCATGAATGCAGCCCTAAATCATATCTAGCTGGTCTAGCTACCAATATGTGATGTATCCGCCTAAATAAACGTGAAGATGCAACGATAATAGAAGACAAAACGCCACCAAGCCGACCAATGCTCCAGGATACCCTATACGCCAATTAAAGCCCCAATGAGAGAACTAAATAATCACGCAGCAGCATCTAATGACGTTTGCCCCCTCTTTCTCCTTGCATATGCCCACTCCCTCTCCTGGCGCCACTCGCATTCGTCTTGAAACTCGCAAATACGGCATTTCCAAGCCTCCATAACCTCGACGCCGCGCGGAGTTCGCTGACCTCGCCACCAGTTCATCTGGTCAGATACATACGAGTCCAAGGAGGTCGGGTCGAAAAGGAACGATCGACTACCGAGGACACGGGAGTGGAGGTCGGCGTTCGGTGCAGAGGATAGATAGCGGGCTGTTAGGAGCGGAGAGAGGATGGTTGGGTAGGCCTCGAGCATGGGAGGTTGGAACTCGGATGGAATTGAGGGAGCAACCGCAATGGATTTTAGAGTTTGCGGGATGAAGGTATAGCGTAGTTGGTCTTTCATTAGTTTCCAGAGTGTGGTTAGGTTGTTATGGGCCAGGAGAACACTAGTAGAGTCCTGGCTTCCAGATGGTGCCCACTGCCTCGGTTCTGTGTCGTCTGATTCCTGTGATGACTCGTGTCGAGTGATTGCATCTTCGGGAGTAGGGATGTAATCCGGGTCGAATTCCATCGAGGATAGAGCATCGAAAAATCTGTCATTCAATGAGCCGACCTCGGCGATAAAGGCGTCGCTGAAGACTTTCTTCGCGTCGAGGCTGTACTGCGAAGCAAGGAGATCAATAGTAACGTCATCGCTTAGGACAAGACGGTTGAGCATATGGTAATAAAGCTGCAGTTGGAGCATTGTCGGTCGAAACGAGGAGCTCTTAACTGTCGGTGTCGAACTACTCGCGCGAGTCTTGATGTCTGTCAGGTATATACGAGGCAGGTGCTGGAGCTCAGAGGAAGACTGGCTGCTGATCGGATCCTCCATAGCTTGAGGTTGCACCTCGTGACTTGACATATCCGCAAGTGTTTTCCCCCCCTGCGCAGGAGCCAAGAGGTAGTCGTTGAGGGACATTTGGTACTCAGGCATAACTGCTCTCGACGCCGCCACCTCTGCATAGTGAGACGCTGCCGAAGCCTCCAGCTCGAGATCAGGACACTCGTAAGAAAGCTGATCAATAACACCGTTGACCAGCTCACCCTCCACGAGGCCCCATATCTCCAGCTCCCGAGTAATACCAAATTCTCGCAAGGTCCGCAGCCCTTGTATGATATTCCAGATCCGCAGCGCCAAGGCATCTTCTTTGGTTGTAATCTCTATCGGCACGGTGGTATAGATTTCATCCTCCAGCGACTTGTGCATGGTGGATCCCCGTTTCATCGCCGGTGTCCTCCGCTTCCTGCCATGTTTCGTCAGGCTATACCAGTACTGTACTTCGCACCAAGCAGGCGAGACAAGATCAGTAACGGAGAAAGCCTTGTTAGGCGGACGTCTAAAGCGCTCGACAGGGGAACGAGTATCTGGCGCGGATTTCACATCGCCGGTTCGATCCTGCCCACGGGCTGCATCCCTCTCGCGCTGCTTCTCTCGCCCTTCAGTGGAATTCGGATGCTCAACTAAACGCTTCGCAGTCAGATCGTCAGCGTTCTCACATCAAACCAACAGACAAGTATACATCACCAATACCAAACAAGGTGAAAAAAAAAAAAAAAAAAAAAGGGAGTAGTAGGGATCTCTCACCAATCGCGGCCCCCCCAAAGACTGGACTCCAACCCGTCTTGTTTGCACCCGCGTCCGAAAGCGCACCATTTCCAGCCCTTCTGACCTGCCAGGGAGGCTTCTCCTTCCCCAGCACCCTCGGCTTCCGACCGTTCGATACATCCTCGTCGCAGTCTTCAACGTCCCTCACTATTACCGCAGGAACCTGAGTTTGAATCTGTCGCGTCGGGCTAAGCTGTTGTTGCGGTGCGAATGGACCGAGTGGCGCGGGTATCACCACAGGCAGTGGCACGGGCACGTCAGCTTTGGCGAGTAACTGGTTCACCAGCTCTGTTTCGTCGGCGCTGAAATCGGATCCGTAGTCGCTGTCATCGACATTGTTGACGATGGACTGATCGTGGCGTTGCGATGGCGGTAGTGGTTGACATGACATGCCTAGGGGAAAATGCAGGTTTAGAGGTGCGAGTCGGAGGCGAAGGGATGCTGATGCGATAGAAGATGTAACGTCATTTTGAGGTGGACTTACTGTTTGGTTCTTCGCGTCTTCCATGTCTTCCAGGCAGTTGGTCAAGAGGGTCTAAAGAGCTCGTTTCTCTGTGAGTAACCTAGGTAACTACGACTCTACCTTGATCCAGTCGGAGATTGACTCGACTGGGCCGGCTGCTCGAGGTCAACCGAAGAGGTCGCAATCACGACACATGACGAATCAGCGACTAGGGATTCGTCTCATGGTCTGTCAAACACGTTCTAGAGAGAATTCAAGGGCTCATTACTGAATGTAGAGGGTCTGGATTAAATTTAACCTAGTATGCAGGGGTACAGGCTTGTATCAGTATGAAGGTTCCCGATGTATATATTTCGACGCTTACCGGCGATGGCCTTATCCTGTACCACGACCTTGAAAGGGCCACGAATACGGAGTATATATTCATATAACCCCAGGGATAACCTCATAAAACTGATCTATATCATATGCAATGTAAAATGGGATATGCTAATCTATCATCTAACCAAAACCCACCAGAATCTAGGTGTAGGGTACGCAAAACGAAACCAAGGAGAAAAAAAAAAGGATGAAAGACGCTAAGAGGATGAGACGCTCTATGCCTTCAAAGTCACGGTAGACGCCCCGTCAGCGATCTGCGACGAAGCCGACTCCGCCAACGCGTTCTCAACCTCATGCGCAGCCTTCTGGTTCAACCAGCTCAGATACGTCTGCCAGCCCACGGCGATACAGCCGGAAAATACATTCCGGAACTGCGGCGGCACATACATGAAGCTGAACGCCGTAACCATCGGCCAGAACTTGGCGCTGTTAACGATGCTCCGCGGTAGAGCGACCTTGAGCCGCTCGAACGTTTCTTCCAGTGACGCCCCGGAAAGCAGGGAGTGGACGCTGAAGAAGTAGGTGTTGAAGACGGGTGTGAAGACAGCCTGCTGTACGACTACTTTGGTGAGAATGGAGAGGAACTTGGAGGTGAAGTTGAAGTTATTGTGGAGAAACATGAACCTTTACACACTGTTAGTTTTAAAGGCTTCGAAGAGGAGGCCTCGGAGGGAGTTGACTCACCAGTTGTACGATGGGATGCTTGACCCAATCCCAACCGTCAAATGGCGCATTGTCCGCCACGGGTCATACTCTCCCCCTTCCTCGACAACAGCATGTTCTTGACCCTTCTCGCCGGAGGCTAAACTCTTCTGTTGCGCGCTAGAGGGCTTCTCCGGAAACAAAAACTGTGCGCTCAAGTCGCCGCAGAGGTATATCACAATGGAACTGCATACTTGCGTCGTGTATGGCCGTCGCTCCTGAAACCGAGAGTATGACCGTCCCAGCCTTCCTACAGGACCCGCCTGAATTATCTGGCGCAACGATCTGAGCCCCGACGGGGCGGGGACTGAGGGGGATGTTTCTGACGGCGGCAGGGGAGAAGACGGTGTATTGTGTGACTCAGCGTGAGACGGCGATGATGCTTTATCCTTAGGTACGGGTTCTGACTCCGATTTTGTGGATTTGTATCGTTGTGTTCGTAGACGCGGGGAGAGTGAAGATCTGGAGGGGGTAGAAGTCGTCCGTCGGAGAAAGAATGTAGGTCTCATATCGCGGGCGCGTGGCGCTCGAAGCGCCTGTTGAAGAATATTATGCTTGTTTCAGGTCGTCCGGTTCATCATATACTTGAAGTACATAGATAGTGATAAATGCGAGCCAAACGATCGATTGAATTTAATGCGAGGAGCGGTAGTATGAAAAGCGACAGCCAGGTACAGATCTAATCTGATCACCAACGCATAACGAGTAAGATAGAAAAATGAGAGCTAAGATCATACAAAGGAAAAGAAATCTATCGTTGGAGTAAGTCCAAGGACAGTGAGATTGATAATCGCCCGATGGCGACAGACAACAAAAAAAGGAATCGGCATCAGCGCTGGCAATACTGCCGAGGTCGGTGTTGACTTCCAATCGGAGCAACCAGGAAAGGAGTTTCGTCTCCCCTGCATAACTCCGACAGCCTCTGTTTTTGAAGTCTCCGGCTTACAAGCAACATCTCCTTCAATCAATCAATTACTGAGGACCACTGATATAAAAAAGAGTTCATTATTACTATAAAATGCCCAACAACTCCACCGTCTATAATGCAATTCCAAACCGTCATCCAGGGTATATCAACAATGCAAAAGGCCAAATGCAACCACTTTTCGTTCTCCCTTCACTCGCATTTCACATCCACACATCGAGGTAGCGAGCGCTGATGAGAAACAAACAATAAAAATTATGTACCAGGTAATATATGGGTATAGTCATAGACAGCGACGGCCAGTCTATTTTTTGAAGGACTCGCGCGTGTTGACACGGTCGATATCGTAAGGGTTGCCCTCGTACAGCGACATGTGCGATCTGTGAGACGCGACCGACCGGGCCGAGGCCTTGCTTCGGATCTGTCGCATTGATGGGAGCTCTTCAACATTGGAATCAGCTTCAGAACTCACATCCTCATCACCAAGATCAGGAGCGGGTGCTTCGGTGCGGTCGAATTTTTCGAGGTCTTCTCCTTCTCCTTCCTTTTCGCGCTCCTCGGCTTCGGGCTCGGACCGCTGCGTAATCTGCTGCATCTTACGCATGAACGCCTCGGACTGGGCGGCATATTTGCAACGCAGACGGATCGGCTTGCCGTACTTGTAGAAGAGGAAGGGGAATGGCACGCAGGCAAGGGCGAGGAACGCTGGAATCGAAGAAGCCCAGTGGATACCGAGGTCTTGATACATGTAAGAAGTAAAGAGAGGGAAGACGGCACCGAAAATCGAACGCAGAACCGAGTTGGCGGCGAGGACAGAGGCGGCAAAAATCGTGTAGGTATCGATAAGGTAACTCATGATGCTCAGGAACACGAGAACCATGCCGAAACCAAAAGGAACACCGGCAGCGATACAGGCCATCCAGTGAACAGAGGGGTAGTTGGTCCACGCGAACCAGAACAGACCAATGGGGATAGCAACACAGGCCACCATGCACGGAGGGAGGCGTGCCTCGGGAGGAGCAAACCCATCATGCGCGTCTTGGGCCCGCACGTACCTCTTGTTATCCCAGATGCTGTATGCAACGGCGAAGAGCATTCCAACCATAATGCCCAGGAAGGGAAGCGCGCCGATACCTTGGTTCCAGCCGCGGGTCCCTTGGAAAACGATGGGGTAGGCGGCGAAAAGCATGTACAGGGTTCCATAAACGATGGCCATGTACAGAGACAGCAAGAAGACGATGGGCTCGCGGAATAGTAGGATCCAGGGCCGAGAGAGAGCAGTCTTGAAAGCCTCACCAAGCGAAGTCCTACCCTGATCAATATCCATCTTGCTTCGGTATACTTTGCCAGAGAGCTTGGACAACTTTTCAGCGCGGCGACGCAGGAGAACAGGCGCATATGTCTCGGGAATGAAAAGCGATCCACCGATCCAAAGAGCACCAGAGAAAGCGCCCAAGAATCCCATCACCCATCTCCAACCAGCGTTCATACCGAGGAATCCACCAATAATGGGGCCGAGAACGGGACCTACAGGCGACGCAAGTCAGTCTTGGGTTGATCAATAAACGAACTCCGATGCAGCAAAAACATACCTAGGAATGGAGCAGCAGCGAACAAGCTCATGGCAATACCTCTCTGCTTAGCAGCAAACATATCCGCAATCACACCACCCGCGTTGGTAAGGGGCGAGGAACCGAAAGCTCCGGCCCAGAAGCGAAGGATGATCAAGGTCCAGGAGTTCTTAGCACCTGCGCATCCACAGTTGAATGCCGTAAGCGCTAGGTAGGTGAAGAAGTAGATAATCTGACGACCAAACATCTCACTGAGGGGAGCCCAAAGCAGAGGTCCGATGGCGAAACCGAGAACAAAAAGAGAAACACCTAGAGTCGCAACCTCGCTGCCAATGCCAAACTCGGCTTCAATCTCTGCAACACCACCTGTATACGCGGACGACACCAGGGCAACTGCCAAGGTAGCAATGGCGGCGGCTCCTGTGATGAACCATTTCAGAGTCTGCGAGAAATCCTGGGGGTTTCGGGGATCATTGGGGATCCAGACGACAGCGTAGGGATCTTCTTCCGTGCCGGATCCAGCATATTTGTAGTCAAAAACTTCTTGCGTGACGACGCCCTGGTCAAAAACCAGGCGAAAGAATGGGATCTTGCGGCTTTCGGGTGCCTCTATCTTCGAGGCCCTGTTGGGGGTTCCATCGGCCATGGTGAGTGTTTCGATATCGCTCAGATTCGATGGCGTTTTCTGAGCTCGAGGAAAAGGAGCCGAACGGTGGGGTATAAAAAGAGCTACCAGGGGCGTGGCGCGATATGCCTATACTAGGAGCTTGAGGAGGGGAAAGGAATAACCGTCTTGGTATTGAGAACGATCGTATAGCCGAATGCAGTACAATGCACCAGCAAAATCCTCTTTATTTTCAGAATAAAGACAGCTATATATCTGAATAAGTAGACCGTCGCAGAACTACGAGGCAAGTCTGCCAGGAACCCCCTCCACCTTATATACAGACACCGAAACGACAGAAAAAATCCGGCCCCAGTCTTCTGACTTCATAATTATGGAACCAGAATCTTGACTCAAGTAGCCTCGGATCTCAGACGGTCTTAGGCAAGACCTAGCACGCTAGTTCGCCATAAGAGGGCCAAGAGCCCTACATCCAGCATTAAAACGGGCCTATGCACATTTTTCGACCATTATTCTCGGGATAACTGGCAAGATCGGGACCAACCGAGAGCCATGCTTGCGCTCGGAAACGAGAACCCATGGCGTCCACTGGGTCAGCGCCACCTCCGTCGCGTCTTGATTTGTCCATAATGCATCCATTATGCTCAGTTATTCCATAAATCCAAGGGAGAGATGTCGAGAACGGACGTGAATTTTCTGTCGACGCCCATGAGGTGGAGTTGTGTCATAGGATCGGCATCTGCTGTCACAACACCATTTTCAACCAATGCGCTTCATAGCTTCCTATCTCCGAGAGTTCAGATTTTACCGTTGGATATGCAGATCCCAGAGCATTTAGGCATTTGAGCTGATGAATCGGGACCGGATTTAACGGCTCCTCATCATCAAAAAAACCATGGCGGGAACTGTCAGGACTCAGGAGGGGTTTGATGGTGGGTGGCCGTTATGTCCAGCGTCGTTCACTCATCGTCCCGCATTCGGCTCACACGGCATCTTTGTTGGTTGCACTCGGACTCGGTCGCCCTCGCGCCTCGTGGCTTATCAGTGACGGTCAGTCAGATATTCTCCAGCTTGCATTTCCGAGTCGATTAGTCGATGACTTTAGACTGCATTCATTGCTGTCTATTCAGTCCGTCCAGTATCTACTCCAATCACACAAGTCCTTGAAGTCATACTCGGATACGCCAGCAGGCAAAATCTCGGCAACGGCACACAAGCAATCCAGGATTCCAACGGCCGTACCCCTGGATCCCAAGGTCCTGAATATTACTGTCCTACTGCACCAAAATAATCACCGATCGATCAACCAGCGCCATGCATAGATTGATAGTGGACCTATGGCAAAAAAAGACAGAAACTTAGCAGCATCGGCATCTCCGTCGCCCCACTGTGCCGGACAGGAGAGGAGACTCTCCGATTCTAGAACCATTTTATGCGGCAAATTTCTGAATCATTCAAGGAATAGTACACATTAATGTCGAGACCTGGGGCTGTGCCTCGGTAGTTGACAGATATTGATCTTTTTCTTGGGTGGCGAGTCTCGACAGCCATCTTGCAAGAGCCTATTTCGATTAGCAGGCACTGACATCGCGCTGTATTGCATCCATCGTCTTTGGTGCCTAAGCGTATTAATAAGAGCGACCCGAAGGAGGCAGATGATCAGTTCGTGCTTAGATGCCTTGGCTTTCGGGCCCTTATGCTTCAATTCAGTGAACAAGACCCTCATAGATGGAGCAACCTTCGTCTAGTGCGCGTTGCATAAAATTTTGTCCCCACCCATGACTGTATCAACTTCTTATAAGCATGTAGATACATCTCTACATCCTTCTTTTAAAGACTAAATCTTGCGTCGTGTCCTCCTCGTAAGCTGTAACCTGTTCGTGACTCATCATTATTACGAGGCTAGCTGGCGTTGACGATGCTATTTCCGCTGTATCTACTCCGTACCAGGCACGAAATCCTCGTTCAGCGCCCAGATGGATATGCAGGCCCGCGTCTTTGAAGGATCGCAGACGAGGTCTGATCTGAGCCATCAGCATCGGTGAATTTTTATCTAGTAAGTAGCTAGCAACCGGAACATAGAAACGGAATCATCGCGTCCAAGGATATCTGGACGGATTCATCTGAAACTCTGCCAGGCATCAATATCACTACTCACAGTTCGTAGATTATCGGGCCAGGCGGCGCTGTGGTGCGAGGATGACAGGAACAAACTTGATTAAGCTCCAGAGTCCAATGTTTATCTTGAGGGACAATGAAGCTAGATGATGTGGGAATACTATACGGCATACACAGTACGGGTGCGATGGGGCGATGCTGAGGCCGCGACGCGGTCAGGCACCGGCCAACGACCTTGTAGCTCGGGGATCGCGCCACGGTCGCGTCGTCTACTGAGAGTACGAAGATATTATGATCCAGACTGTGATTGACTGTTCATAGGACACTGGATTCGCTTCTATGCCATCCGGTGGCATTGACAAAGACACCGTTCGAGGATAGAAAATTCCTTTAATGTACATAGCATTCGAAAGCATCCATGATGATCCGTCCAGCCGCTGAATGGGCAGCCTACTATTTATCGATCGAGAAAAACACGAAACCCATTGCCGAACCCATTGATATTGGAAAAAGAAAACCCGTCATGTATCGCCAGTCATGAAAAAAGAGAAACAAAACCCCATTATCGCCTTCCCAGAAGAACCAACCGCGAAATCGAACTTAAGAGCGCTCACCACGAAGGCGGCGGGCAAGCTGGATGTCCTTGGACTGGATGGTGACACGCTTGGCGTGGATGGCGCAGAGGTTGGTGTCCTCGAAGAGGGAGACGAGGTACGCCTCAACGGACTCCTGGAGAGCACCGATGGCGGAGGACTGGAAGCGGAGGTCGGACTTGAAATCCTGGGCGATCTCACGGACGAGACGCTGGAAAGGGAGCTTGCGGATCAGGAGCTCGGTGGACTTCTGGTAACGACGGATCTCACGGAGAGCGACGGTACCTGTTTAAGCATGTTAGAAACGAGGCAGTGAAGTAAGATCATTACAGTGTTACTTACCAGGCTTGTAACGGTGAGGCTTCTTGACACCTCCGGTGGAGGGGGCGGCCTTGCGAGCGGCCTTGGAAGCGAGCTGCTTACGGGGAGCCTTGCCACCAGTGGACTTACCTAGATTGGGAGTTAGCGTGATGTTATTCAAGAGGCGCGTCGACAGCGACTCGGTCGCGTCACAAGAGGAAGGACAGCGATGTCAGGACTTACGGGCAGTCTGCTTGGTTCTAGCCATTGTAGATGATGAGGTTTGATGGATTTAGTTGAATTTGGGATGAAAAAGTGATGATGTCGATGGAAAGTCGATGGCTAAATTGGTTGTCGACTGAAAGGATAGATAGTTGGAAGAAAGATGGAGGGGGCGGGTGGGGGAAGGTATTTGTAGTAAGCGAGAAGCGGGTGGGTGATCTGGTGTTTGCCAGTCAAGTTGGGTGGCCTTAGCGCCGTTTCCTTTGATCAGAAAAAGTGTTCGGAAAGCAGCACACCATAAGCCGTGATTTCGCGGCCCCGTTTTTGCTGGGAAAATCAAAAGGGTTGCGGGACAGGGCGGTCAGCCCTGGCAGTTCGTCATTGCGCTAAGCGAGAGGAGGCCTAATGGTTCGGCCAATGGGAACCCAGGATCACGGATTTAGAATGCCTCACTGCACCAACTGATCCCAACCTCAACGCTGGTATGTCGCTGGATCAGAAGAACTCTGATGGTTTCTTCGCTACGTGGGAATTCAATTTTGTCGCTCTGAATGTTGATCACCGTCACGACGCGTTGTCGCGCCGAGATCAAGCTCTTCCCCAGCGTAATCACTGGCGTCATGGTCACGTTACCGGGGCCGCGAGCCCGCTGCACGGATCCTCCGCTCTGATTGGACGATCACGCTTTTCGCGAGTGATTCCAGTCCGCTCCCCACGCGCTTCGCCTGACTATACAAATATCTCCCGTCCCATGGAAGTCATCCGCTTCTCCCTATCCCATCAATCTCTCGACCACCATTCGACACCCAACTTATCTCCACATCTCCAACCTTAAGTTTATTCCTTTCAACACATTATCAACATGTCTGGACGTAAGTGACCTCCAGCTTCCTGATGGAATCGATCTTGAAGATCCTCGGACTGATGTGTTTCTTTGGACAGGCGGCAAAGGTGGCAAGGGTCTCGGAAAGGGTGGCGCCAAGCGTCACCGCAAGATCTTGCGCGACAACATCCAGGGTATCACCAAGCCCGCTATCCGTCGTCTTGCCCGCCGTGGTGGTGTCAAGCGTATCTCCGCCATGATCTACGAGGAGACCCGTGGTGTCCTCAAGACCTTCCTCGAGGGTGTCATCCGTGACGCCGTCACCTACACTGAGCACGCCAAGCGCAAGACTGTCACTTCTCTCGATGTCGTCTACGCCCTCAAGCGTCAAGGACGTGAGTGTTTCTCTTCTGCAGCTTCTCTTCTGCCTATTCTAACATTGATTGCTATCAGGTACCCTCTACGGTTTCGGTGGTTAAGCGTGTTCTTTCTTCATTGTTTTCGTTTCCACCATCCTGCGCGGTCGGCGCGTCAGTTGTCCTTCCGCAGCAGTGACGCGACGGTTTGCTTTTTCGGGTTGGTTCACGGTATGACTGGGACGTTGGGGTGTTCTTGATCTTTTATTACACAAGTGTCATGGGTCTCTGGGTTTTTCTTAACGTACTTTTTTATTTACTTTTCCAACGCGTCCACAACTCGTCTGCTGGTGGTCGTCTTTGATTTTCTGTATCATATCAGCCTTCATGCTTCGGCTGGTGCCCTGGGCTAAATAGGATCGCGCGGCATGAGACGCGATCATGAATACAAATGATCAAAAAAATCAACTTCGTCCGAGTAGTTTTCTTTTTTCACTCGGCTCTTGTGTTTTTGGCGCATCGGGTCTTCCCTCGGTTTATGTCCGGCTGGCGCATCGTTGGTCGTGATCCGCTCATACTTGCGGTTTATTTTACTATGAGTCCCTATCGCAGTACTTGTGCTGTCCTATATCATTGATTGCGTGCTTGTGTATGTCTATCTTTACCTTTATGTCTGATGGCCTGCATTCTGTGGGCTGTGTTGTTTGTTTGCTCCTGTGGTTTGCTTTCGTGTCCTCAATGTGGCTTTATCCTTGATCTTCCAGTTTTTCGATTCTGGTCTCAATGAGCCTGTGATGTTGTTCGGTAAGATCCAGTCTACTTATAGGTCCGTCGTAACACTTGTCCTCTTGTTCAGATTCCTGCTATTTCGCTGTTAAGTTCTGGTATGCACGTCGTGGAATGGATATCCGTTCGTGGTGGTAGATATGGGAGTGTGGTGGGTATAGCATGATGATATATATAGTTCCCGCAGACAGTGAAGACGGCATGTAGTACGGAGTACATGGGACATGGACCCAAGACGCGCACTAAATGGACGTAGAACACTCAATAGCCATACTAATAGCCTACCTAGGACCTCTACAAACGAGCCAACCCAACCATGGGGGACATAAAACGCCATTGTTCATCATTCGATATCGAAGCCAGAGGAGAGCAAATCATGCCAAGACAAGCGGAATAGGAAATTTGCCACTGCGTTGCAAGCTACCGCCAAGATCCCAGACTAGGAATAGTCGACACCCTGCACTGATCGGCCCCAAGAGTCGCGAAACCGTCGCGCTGTCACGATGTTGCTGGAATGCATTCAACCGCATCCCTGACGGCCGATGGCTCCGCAGCAGTGATAAATTTACGCGTCTGATATTCTGTACGTCTAATGTTGACCATGAAACTCGGCGAAACCACGCGAATGGCTTCAAATGGCACGGCGACAATGCATTCGGCCGCTCAATCGCGAAATGCGTGGAGGACCGGTGACCGACAACCGCAAAACCAACGCAAGCCCACCACCAGGTGGATAGGATAAGAGACGCGCAGGAAAAAGTCAGAATACCGGTGCCCCATGCCTAATTCCCTCACAGGGTGACACACTTCGGAAACATCGATAGAATGCACACACTTCATGGGATACATACAAGCCGCCAAAAAATACAAATACGCCAGAGACAAGGGCTATGAGCGGGCATGGCTGGATACGTCTCAATTGAGACATGGAAGTCTACACGTACTGCGATAACCGAAGAGACGACTGGATAGTCGGACCATATACAGGGAACATAATATATGGGCGATTCCAGAACACAACACACTACAACACAAAGAAAGGAATGCCCGAACCAGGTAGCAAATCATCGACCCGAACGCAAAAATGCGGCTAACCAGCGGACCCAGGATATGCTTCGTCCATCAGCCCAACTACTATCTCCCCCCAACAGAAACTGGACAGGGCAGTCGTGACTACATGGTCCCATACCGCGTATTTATAGGTCTGCTGGTTTCAGCCTTGAAGATTCCGCTTACAACAGCTTGGTGCTTTCCACGATGGCACAATGAATACCACCGAAGGTCAGGTAAAGGCCGTTTTAGCCTTCCGCAAGGGCTTCAAGAGCTGCATGCCCAGTCGTTCCGTGAAAGACACATGAAAGCTCCCATCTTCACCAGCAAGATTGAAACCCCTACTCCTGAACCTACCGTGGATAAGGCATTGCGCGACTGGCTTCGGAGTCTTTATAAAGGCAAGAGCGGGGGCTTGGAGAAGCTTGATCCTCCACTGCCCTCTGTTATCGACAAGGGTGAATGGATTGCCGTCGAGAACGAAGCAAAAGACTCAGACGCCCTGCAGCCCAGTGTTAATGACCACGAGGCTTTCAAAGCAATACAGACAAGCAGCACAAGTGATGAGACCCTTCTCTATCTGTCGGGAAGGCGCATGTTGTAAGCAGCACGCATTATTATTTCAAACATCCTTACCCAAGGCAGGCGCTAATGGAATATCATGCAGTCGTGCTGACCCTCCTGGCGTGCGTCCATTGCACACTCAACTCTGCAAGCGCAGTGGGTCGCGGGTCTTTAGCTTTCAGTACCGACTCGTTCCGCAGCATACCTTGCCGACTCTTCTCCTCGACGTCCTCGTTGCCTATTTTTACCTCCTCTCCCCGCCTCCCGGGTTCTTCCATGAGTCCATAGACCCAGAGAAGCTGAGTATCGTCGGGGAATGGGGGTTGCAATCCTCCACCTTCACCTGCTCCAAGTCATTCAATCGCTGAACCGCTCCACGGGGCCAACACGTCGCTTTAATTGTCGAGACGTCCCGGCTGTAATGCCAAAAGGACGTGTATTTATCTCGCCCGGTTCCGGCCTCGCCTTATCCCTCCCATCCGCGAAGAAGTTCAAGTCATTCGAGTGGTTATCAGAGGGCGCACCCTGGCTTCAACCTGATTTCCCAGCAGACGGTATCTGGCCGTCCAATACACAAGGGGCGACTTGCATTGTGATAATTCTGCTTTGTGCCATCCGCTCATCGACCCTTCGATCTGGACCGACTGGACGGGTATGTCGCCAATGTGGATTGCAGCAGGGCAGGAAACGTATGCGGATGGAATCGGGTTCTTGGTCAAGAATATCAACGCTTCCGGAGTTCCTGTGACGTTTGTGCAGTATCAGACCATGCCACATATTTGGAATGTGGTGATGCCTTTCCTGCCACAGAGCCAACATGTGACGAAGCTGTGGGGCGAGGCCTGCAGGAGACTTGCCGAGAGCAGGACACAAACGTCAGCAGCTTACTTTGTTACACTTGGGGCGCTGAAGATGCTTCCAGCTGATTCTACGAATCTACTCGATCTACCGGACGATGAGTTATTGAGAAGCATGCAGGCAGCTAGGGATAGACTGGCGAAGTATGTTTGGAAGGGACCGGAGAGTAAGGATGCAAAGCTATGGACCCGGACTCTTCAGAGTACGGCTTATCATGTCTATGACACGCGGACAATCCCCCAGGGTGTGAGGCATGTCTTGATAACGCCCTGCTTATTACGTGCCGTAGAGTTAGACTGCCTGAGCACACTTCATCATTTCTAGAGGTTTAACAGTTCAGTCCGTCAGATCCGCCTTCGTGCACTCCTCGCCATTCCACAGAAATAATATCAACACATTTATATCTGCCCTGACCAAGGTATCGTCTGTGCCCATGCGGACCAGTTTATTGTAAGAAGTCGCGAATGTGCATCCATTGATTTGGCCGTGTCAGAATCTTTAGCGATGCACTGTATACCATGGGCATCATATGTGGCTGTTCAGCTGATCTAGATATCCATCACTCATTCCCTACCTCATGTCGTCACTAATTGCCATTCCTTCGAGATTACATTCATTCCTTCTCAAAGAGGATACGACTACGAGCTTGCGCCTGGAGGACAAAGGTCGTTTGCTATTCTACTATTCCCAGACACTCCAGGAACGGAGAAGTATTTCAAAGGCGATGGGCATGGGAGGACGGAGGCGTGTCATAGATACATAAAGGAAGAATCTATAAGCTACCTAGGGTAGGTAAGAATGAGAAGGCTTTATAAGAGCACGGCTACCTGGGTGCTGATCTCATGAACAAAGAGCTAAGGTCCTGACAAGTAATCCTCACAAGGAGTAAAGCTCCGATGGCAATGAGGACTCGGTCCAGACTCAGCCTCGCGATTTCTCAGGGCTTTTCTGTGGTTGACATTGGTTTCGTTGCTCTGAGGCCGTCAGACTCATAATTCTAGTAGTCTCAAAACATGTTCTTCGGTGATGCTCTTGTTGTCGTCCTGGTGAATGACCTTTTTATGCACACTGGGATCGAGCTCTAGTACATAATTTTATGCCGCTAATCCAAGTACTAGTAGCCAAGCCGCTAGGCAACCCCTGAAGCTTGGTTTGTTGCGGCTTACGTGAATCCTGAGATGGAAGGAGCAAACAAGTTCCAAGTTAGACCTCAACACTCAACCTACAACAAAGCTTGGTCTACGGCTAAAATGCTTTATTCACAGCTCTCTAGAGCCTTAGGCTCGGTGCCTTTATACTAAACCATGCATTGGAACAATCGGCTCTAGGTCGCCTGAATCTTGGCGCAGCCCCCACATAGTCATGACTTCCAAGCTTCAGCTCCGCCATGAGTCTTATCCCCCTGTTTCCTGAAGCCGCTGTTGTCAGCTCTATAATATTCTGGCTCTGCAAATATGGTCATGCAACCTCCAAAGAGACACAGAAAGTTCGCGAAGCGATCATCTACAGGATGTCGAACTTGCCGGTAAGGTCATTAATCAACCAGCGGATGAATGTGCTTAGACTGATTTGTCGAATAGCGCTCGCCATATCAAATGCGACGAAGCACCAGGTGCATGTAATAAATGCACATCCACGGGTCGAAAGTGCGATGGATATGACCTGGCTCGTTTGCCTGTCGCAAGGCTTGCGCTCGCCCTCTACCCCGACATCGCTCCCCGACTGGCCTGGTTGACAACGACGGACGAGAAACGCTGCTTTTCATATTTCATGCACTCCTCCATCCCGAGTTTATCGATGTTCTTCGACCAGCCGCTGTGGGAGAAAGTGGCCATGCAGATGAGCCACGTCGACCGTGCCGTCTACCATGCTGCCAACATGCTTGGCGCTTTGCACGAGGACTCGGAGCAGAACCAGATGCGTTTGTCGGGGGAAGATCTCAGCCATCCTCGACATAGGTTCGCGCTGGATCAGGCTTCTCGCGCCTATGAAATCCTTCACCGGCGCCAGGCTTCGAACGACCCCCAGCTTCGGGAGGTTATGCTGCTGTGCTGCTTGCTTTTCGTTCTCTCGGATCTGCTGATGGGACGATATGACAATGCCCTACAACACCTGAGAGGTGGCCTTCGCATTCTACAAGAGACACAGCAACAGCGGCAGCAACGGTGTATACCGGAGCTAGACGATGGTTTGATTTACATGTTTCAAAGGCTGGACACCGAATTTTCTCATTTTGGGCCAGGGGAGCCGTTTCTCTTTTCAGGCGGCGGACTAGAGGAGGATTGGCCTGAGACGGACGAGTTGCATACCCTAGATGATGTGCGTATGAGTGTGAGATGTGCATTAAACGTGGGAATACCTTTTCTCGCCAAAGCCTGGTTGCTCACCGGGACCGATATTGCAGCGGATTACGTTGACCTGCACCGCAAACAGGAGCGAATTCTCTCTGTCTACTATAAACTCCAAGCCCAGATACAAACGCTTTGCGACAAACCCCACTCTAGGTTCGGTTACAAGGAGCAACGAGGACTCGGCCTTTCAAAGCTGCAATGTTTGGGCCAGATCCTCGCTATCAAGACGTGCCTCATTGACGGGCCGTTGCCTTCCAGCTGGATTCCCGAATTTGCTGCCTTGCTATCGGCTCTTAGGGGGTTTCTCGCGGAGTTCTCGGAGCGTCCAACGATCACAATGGACTACGGTATCATACCGTGCCTGTATGTCGTGACCCGATGCCCACACTACTTGATTCGCCTGCAAGCAATCGAAATCTTGTTGAGTTGGCCGCATTGCGAAGCAGTTGTCAACTCTAACATGGTGGCTTCGATAGCCCTTGAAACCCTCAGGAAAGAAATGCAAGCTAGTGACCGGCTCGAGGTCTTGGGTGTTGACGACGAAGCCGCGAAAGCGTTGAACTCGTATCTTTCCAAGATCTTCGAGTCGACTCCGCATGCTGTGAATTGGCCCACTGTCCACGCTTCCAAGATACTCCCCCCGTCAACACATACCTGGACCAATTCAATACAAGATGTAGCTACCCAGTGACTGTAATTTGGTCTCAAATTCTATACTTTAAATGGAACCTTTAGCGGCTGCGTGGCCATCGACCTTCTGCGACTTTACACGATTTCCCAACTGATGATGTATTGGCCTCTCCTGTTACAGGGTCGCCTCGAATAAAGCAACGGGATGTGTGTTCGACTGACCCTTCCAGACCTTAGCTACCTTGAAACCCGCCTTTTCAAGAAGAGTGACCCATTCCTTCTCAGTTCTTTCCAAGGCGGAGAACATCTCCATCATATGGAAATCGAGCGTCGCGGCTAGTGGCGGCACATTGGCTCCCTCAGGGGTCGTGTGTTCATGAATAAGGAGGATAGAGTCCTCCGCCATCGCCTCACGAATGCAGGAAAGAGCCTCCAGGGCTTGCTTCTCCGGCCAGTCGTGCAATACCGTTCGTAAATAGTACGCTTTCGCACCCTTGATTGGCTGTGGCTTGAACATGTCATGGCCAATTGCAGTGATACCACCAGGGAGTGGCTCTTTGATGGCGCCAATGACTTGAGGGAGATCCTGAAGGATTAGCTGTCCCGTGAGCTTTGGGAACCTGTTTCTGAAAGCTTTGATGTCGTGGCCAACGCCGCCGCCAATGTCGACGAGCAAGGCTCTATCCGAGGGCTCAGATGTGTTCAGTTTCAGCTTCTCAGTAACTGGAAACATCTCAAACCAATCCTCTCCGCGGAACTGCTGACTTGTCGTCATGACCGCGTTGAAAGCCTTTTGGACTTCAGGATTCTTCTTGAGCCAATCAAAATAATGTTCCTTGGTATTATATGCCAGTTGGAAAGGGGCATCGTAAGCATCCTCGGGGTTTTTATAACCCCTTTCTTCAAGGTACGCGAAGATCTTCGCACTTGCTTGCATACAGGCATGGCTAAAGAAACGAAATCAGTAAGCGTCGGGGTGGCAAAGGCTGAAAATGAAGCATTGTGCAACACCTACAAGTGCTTAATCATCTCTCCTGGCACAGACCCGGTTCCGAAGGCCATCGCCAACGGCAAAGGCTGATATGTTTCACCAGCAACTTCCTTGAAGATACGATGCGCGCAGAGGAAGCGCATGACACGCTCTACGGATCACAGGCGTCAGTGTTCCTGACTCTTGAGAGAATAGGAGAAGATCGATACATACTCAGAAGCTTTTCATCACCCTCGATCTTCGGAGAAAGCTCTTGCAGGCTCAAATGTGCACCCTCGGACTCGACGAAAGCGTCGAAGACCCCCATGCCTTGGGCAACCCGAATGATCACAAGTGAGTAGTGCTGTGCAACATTAGCCTGACCATCCGTCTCAAAAAAGAGGTACATGGATTAGACGAAGACCAACCGACATACCGAGAAACAAATACGTCGGATTGATACAGGAGGTGGCTCAAGCTCTGCTTGCAAGCGGTTAATTGCCTCGAGGAGCTGCATACGCTCAGCATCCTGGATCTTGTCTTGTGGTGGGAGGCTCGAAAGAGCAGATGTTATGGTCGCAGTGAGATCGGAAAGAGTGCTCGCCATGGCTGTACTTCGAATTGGAAAGGACAAATTGAATGTGATGGAGAGACGAAAGAAGACGAGGAAAACGGCCTGTGCGATGCTCTTATACCCTGGCGGCAGACCATGAAAATAAGTCGGCCATGGCCATTCAAAAACCCGGACAATCTGGTCCGTCTCTTCCATGAGTCGCGCCAACGTTCTTAGATGCGGCTGACAGCGATCTCATGTAGCGCTAAGCCTCCGCTAACCTTTTAGCTTGACCAAGTACACGTTCGGACGAATCACAGACACACAATGCCCCTTCAGTGGAGCCTGCACTGCAGACAGGAGACGATCTAGCCTGCCATGTTTGACATCCAAAGACACTATGCAGTGCGCTCGAATTGAAGACGTTTCGAGTATGCACTTTCAGCCCTCCGGAAATAATGTGACTGCTAATTAGTGCTGACAGAGTGAGATCGTATTGATATGAGCTCATCTAATGGCTCACGGAAACGGCACATATTTGTAACTGTTCTCAATTTAGCCATAGAACAATTTGCTCCCCACCAGAGTGAGGCATGGCGTTTTGTCTGTTGCAACTTGCATAGATATTGCGCTTTCTGACTGGGATCCTGGTAGTTAGAACTATATCTGCTCGCTCTCTACCGTCGGCAGCAGGCAATAGCTCAGTGGCCTTGTCCGTTTTTCGCGTCCATGCCCGAAGTACCTGAGAGGCGCGTTCCCATCGTTTGGATGATGTCCATGGCATTTCTCGACTTATATCCTCAATCTAGGCTTACTGGGCTCTATAAGGCATTCACTCTTGTGAATCCTCTCACCACCTGCCGTTACGACATTTCAATCCCTGAAAAGGGCATTCAGAAGAACATGTGCCGGCCTTGAAAACTAGGAGACCTAGGGTATTGAAGAGACGTACGACCGCGGGGCGTGTCTCTGAATGATTCCGCCGGCTACCACGTCCCAAGCCATGATTGATCTGGATTTGAGTGCTCTGTCGACTTCGAGTTAAGTTACAATGACCAATGACCGGGAAACTGAGCCTACCGGGCTGGCTTGGGCGTCACAAGCACAGATTTAGGCTTCGGCGCAAAGGGATATAATGACGATTACTTCAACCTTGAGGGCGCTTACTCTTTCCGGGCTTTGACAACGGATAAAGCATCCCGTGGCCAGGAACCAGCCGGTCGATGGCCGCCTGACCCAAGCTCAAATTTGAGTTCAACAGGAACCTAATGAAACGCTGCAGGAACCCGAACGGCGGGAAACTGCCACCCTAAATCTTGAGGCGAAGGAACAACACTTCATCCAGACTTCAGGCACGGCTTCTTCGTTGAACACCAGAATAAACTCAAACGAGGGTGCGCCGCGCTCAGAATCTGGTAACGTCGGCCGCCAAAGCCTGATGATAGAACAGCTGATACAGTCCTGTGATCTTGGATGTAAAACTCAATACAGGTTCATTGAGTATACTCCATAAACCCTGTGGATCTCGTGACACGGCTTCAAGGACGCTCGGGATATCGCGGAGGATCGAGGGCGTTGACGACCGGACGCCTGGATAGCACGCCAGATGCTTCGATTCGGGGACCAAGGATGAAGAATCTGCGTCTGTGTAGTGTATGCGCGGAAAGTAAGGAGTTGACTCACTTGGAAGCTTTGAAGGTGGTATGATCTAAGGTGGTTTGAGAACCTCAAGATCGTCCGACTCGCGAGGACGCAATTGACGGCCTCACATGTTGATCGCGTGCTGTTCGGACCGCACGAAACAAATGAAGCGCCTTCAGTTGAACTGTGAGATGTGCTGCGCTCGAAGGAGCTGGATGCTCTTCGAGGCCATTGCCACGTGACGGTCCTATAAGGGAAGGAGCGGAGCGCCTCGGCAGGGCTGGGGACAGTGGCTTCTTCCTCGCTTGGCAGCGCTTAGTACTTACTACCCATATCACTAGAACTCATGTAGAGAAACCGGGGCCATCGATGTCTCAATGCCAATCCTGGGAAAAAGTCGAGCAGCCACCGTCACAGAGCCCAACCAAACTCCCAGCATAGGGTCACCAAGATCATCACGAGCCGGAAGCCACAACTCCCTTGGGTATCCAAGCACAGCCAAACACCCAATCGAACCCCTGCATGACCCCAGTCTACTTTGGGGACATAAAGTACATACTATAACTACACAGCCACGGATCTGCAATTCTACAATCGACTCAATAGCACAGGGTCCTTGATCGTCGACGCCTACAACGTAACTACTCCTCTGTACGACTCTGCACCCCGGTGGGTCTGCACCACAGGAGCTGGGTCCTGGTAGCAGGGGTGGGGTAATGGAGTCCGACCCTCCATTTTTGAGGTTGGGTTTCATACTAATCCTGACGTTTGATCGTCGTCGTGTCTTTTACAATGCGTTTCAATGCATACGGGACCCCAGTCTTCGACGGGGGCGTTTATCATATCCATATTCTATCTGGCATGGGGACTTTTGTTCCATTTTAACTAAAAGGTTTCACTCGCAGTCTAGTAACGTAGCGATTTGCAAAGCGGTTTTTCGGATGAATGATAATGACTTAATCATTCCAAATTCTGGTGGAATACATCATAGAAGCTCAGAGAAGACAATTTAATCATGGTCACCAATTCGTAATGATCAAGTGCGTAGCATGTTGTTGTACAATTGCAAAGTACAGAAATAATGTACAGTCAACTCGAACCTTGTGCGCGCCTTCGAACCCAAGCTCTGCTGGTCCAATGCAACTGTATCAAAGCGAACACCGAATAATCATGCAAAGCATCATAGCATCGTACATATCAATATAGTACAGCGTAACCCGTGAAGAAACCAATCCCACCCATGTCTAAAGAAAACAATCTGCTTCTTTTGATGCAACGATTTTCCCCATCCATGCCGCAAAAAAAGCAAAATCTATGACCCAATCGTGAAAAAAGAAAAAAGCAGAAGGCTGGCTTGCTTAACAATACAGAAGAATGACAATTAGAAGATGTAAAGGAGGACGGAAAGAGAAAGGAATGCGTCATTTCGTGCCGATGACAGTTGTGATAGTGATGCCCTTTTCGAGAACGGGGACGTCAGTCGGTGGTAGCCATGACATCATGAATGCGTTCTTGGGCTGCGTCGACGCCCGCGCGCTAGCCCAGTATGGAAGTCTCCGAGACGATCTGGTTTGGTAAGCAGACCCGTTCCACATTGGGCGGCGCCAATGACATCAGAGGCTGGCTCATCTCATGTCGAGTCATTGAAACCATTCGATGTGGAAACTCGAAGCAGCTCGTCTCATTCGTTGCTCCACAATTGGGAATTGCTCTGGCAAACTCAAGGGCCCTGTGCGAGAGAGCGCGAAGTCTAATCCCGGCCCCTGCGCCTCTGTTTGCCGGGCCAGTCAACTTCAGGGTGAACGACACGCATGTGCCGAGTCAGAGCATCATTGCGGGAGAACGTCTTTTCCTCGGTGCACAGATGGCAGCGGACCTTCTGCTTACGGGCGTTGTGGATCGTATCCTCGTGCCGCGTCAAGTCGTATGGTCGAGAGAAGATAGACCCGCATGGCTTGCCTGTCTGAGGGTTGATCCTGTCGCACCTGTGGGGACCGGCCTGGGAGTTGCGTGATGTTCCATCGCGCCCAGGCTGGTGACCTCCGGGGGTGGTTTGACGGTGGGCTTCACGCTTGTGCTTTTGCAGCTTGCCCGGCGTCTCGAAGCGCTGAGTGCACCCGTGGTATGTGCAGGTGTAGGTGCCACCATCGGCGGAGGTGTTCTGAGGTCGGCTGATCGCGTTACCATGCTGAGGGATGGTCTTTGACAGAGAAGGAGAAGTTATGCCATTGGAGAAGACATCGCTTCCAGTAGACTCAAATCGTGGCAGCGAAGCGGGAAAATCTGGAGTTTGATGCAAAAGACTGCTTTGCTGCTGCGATGGTCTCCGACTCTGCTGCTGAGGCTGACTGAAGACAAACGGCTGAGAGGATGATGCTGGAGCCTGGCCGAGTTGCTGAGGGAACGATTCCATCGACGGGAAGCTGGGAGCTGGCTGGAATGTGTTGTCCTGTCGTAGCCCAAGATTGTCACCGAGGTTGAAGTCTGACTGCTGTAGATATGGCAATGAATGATCTTCATTTTGATCGAAATCGTGCAGTACTGCATCCTTGGGCGATATCGTTTTCGGCTGCTCGACCTGCGTTTGTTGCATGCCAATTCCAGAGTGAGTGTTAGGCGCGCTTGTGACTGCAGGCTGTCCGAAGGCATCATGATCAAATTCTGCCGCAAGGGGGGAATTTTGTCTGAAAGGAGAACGGTCTCTGTGAATAGATCCTATGGGCGATCGGTTTCGCGCAGACAGATGGCCCTGGTTTGCGGCCTTGAGGCGGTCGCTTAGAGGGTTCTGATACGATGGCGCAAGGAGATTTTGCTGCTGGTGGCCGGGTTGCTTCGGAGCCTGTTGCGCCTGCGCAGGATTGTATAGCTCGTCCTGGTAGACATCGGTGATGGTTCTGTTGAGCTTGGGAATCCCCAGGGGAAGTCCGTTTGAGCTGTTGTAGTCTGGAAGCGCATCAAGGCGTAAGTATTCATGCAACCATCGGTCATCAGCGGGTAATTGATTCTCACCATTGTGCACTGCCCTTGGAACCTCCTCGTCCTCGAAGCCTGTAAGAGGAGTGGCGGGCGAGTTGTGGCTCACAGTCGAAACCGAGGGTGCAAGCGAGTAATCGCTGTTGGCATGTTGGTGTTGTGAGTGCTGCTGTTGCTGGTCCGCCATGAATAACCCAGACTGACTACCATCATGCGATGAGAATTCGTTCTTATGATATTGAGGGGTTAGGTACGACTGCTGCTGCAGTGGCGTGTGCACAGGCGTGGGCAGCGGCTTCGTAGGAGCACTGTAAGTAGCAGGGTGTTGCTGGACAGAGTTCCCCGGCGACCGCCCTGAAGACGAGCTTGGTGTCTGCAGATTGTGCAGATTGTGGTTCCAGGTGTGGTTGTTGGGGATGAATTGTTGCGTCAACATCGGCGAGTTATCAAAGACAAACTGTTGTGGCTGGTATTGGGAAGGCAAAAAGGAGTGCTGTTGAGGAGAGCCGGAGTAACCGTCAATCGAAGGGTTGTATGAAGAGGCAGGGGTCATCGAAGGAGCTTCAAAGCTGGAGCCGTCAAAGACGGCAGGAGAGTAGTCGGCAGCGACTGCCGTCGACCCAGGCAAGTGAGAGACGGACGAAGCTGGAGACGAAGGCACGGATGAGGGTGGCGAGACGAAGTTCAAGCCCTGGCGGTACTCGAAGGCGGATTGTAGCCGCGGTTGTTCGTGACTGAAGTACTGGAAAGGAATCTCTTGCGAGTAGTCGGTGAGAAACTGGTCGTCCTGTATGAAGACTGAGTCGGGGTAGTTGATAAAAGGAACTTGAGTTGTTGGTTCTGTGATGGCAGCTTTACGCGAAGACTGCATGAACATGATAAAGTAATGGACGTCAGGCGCTGGAGATGGGAGGATTCGCCACCCAAGTGGGAGAAGGAGGAGCTTATAAAGTATTGGGTTGGCACCAAAGGCCACCGGGCAGTGGTAGAGTTTGTTGCAACCAAGTATCGCGGAGGCGAGATCCGTTGGGCCGGCACTGAAGTCGCTTTGCGATTGGATTGTTCTGGAATAGTCTGGTCACTCAATAATCACGGATTGAGCGATAGGTTGATTTTAAATCGGATTTTGGTTTCTGAAGTTGTGTTTGGGTTAGAACCTGACTCACAAAACCATATGACGATGTCCGCTGTCAGAGTGATATGATGGTGGGAGTTGGTGGGGATTGGGTGTCATGGTTCGATAAGAGAGCGCCGCTGGACTCACCTGTAGGATTAGGTTCTTGGTTGATATTGTGGTTTGAAGTGTAGCTGAATGTTGTCTGAGGCGAAATATGAGTGTCGACAACCGGCCGGGGATCGAGCATAATTAATAGTGCCAGGTGAAGCCTGATGAGGTCACAGTGTAGAAGCTCCTCTTCCGAGCGGGAGTGAGAGACAACGAATCCCAGTCAAGCACTAAAATCAGTAGTTGGTAATCGTACGGTAATGCAGCTGGACTAGTCCCAAGCTGGATAAATTAATTATTTTCTTTTCTCTTTTTCTTTTTCTATTTTTTCCCCCTAAGCGATGATCAGCGTTGTCAACCCAGAAGATCCTTCAGCGTTAACCTCCCTTTCCAGCCCTGTCTCCCGACGATTGGATTGCTTCCAAGCACTTGGCCCAAGCCACAGGAAAAGATTTTCAAGCGCACAATGCACCTCCATCTGCGCTGTTAGCCCGTTGGGCTGGCGTGGAGTTTCTCCGTGGCTTTCTCGTTCTCTCTGGGGACTTGTTATCGATTCATCCGACACGGAGCATGCCATTCCCCCATGTCCGGAGCAGTCAGTCACTAGTTTGCGATACTCGCCGATTCTCACTATTTCCAGCCCGAGTTTCCCCCGGGAACAACCTTATTATGCTTACAATAGGATTTATAAGACTCGGATAACTTGGAAATACACTTGCTGATGCTGACCCCGGATATAGAGTATCACATAATCTACAACTATCCTGTCAATGCCGCGGGCAGCAGATTGGGCAGTTAGTCGCGACCCACCGTCGCATCTTTGATGATTGCAGGTGATCCTTGAGCACTGGCCGTGGCTCTCAGCCACAGATCAAGAGAGCCGGCCATCCGAAGATCTCTCCATTTTTTCCTCGATGACAAATGGAGAACAAAGGGCCTTGCATTCCCAAGAGTCAAGCTGCGCTCTGGATACGTGGATGGGACCCAGTCGAAGATCATTGTTTAATGCTCCACACTTTGCAACAATGAAGCTGCCTGACTGGCCCCAACGGCACTGGCGTACCCGAGACGAAGACAGTGCGAACACAGCCACAACTTTTGATTACCGATCGAGGACTAGCATGTGGCTTGAACCTATGCAGCCAGAAAGGGTCCTCTCGGAGTCACCGAGCTACTCACCGGTCGCAAATCAGGGCGCCGCGTTCGAGGAACCGCTTACGATCGCTCTCCCCTCCTCAGATCGGCGAGTAGTCTTGCTAGCCCTGGGGGACTCGTCCTTTGACCACGTTTTTTTGTTTCTGCATGCACTGCGCAGGGACCGGAAAACCCTCGGCCCTGCGGTTAACTCTATCGCCGTCCATGGTGCTGGGTTTTCGGCCGCCTCCTAACACCGGATAATGCTCTCACGGCACGAGCCTTTCCGATTCAACTCGACTGAGCTCGTCTAGTCTTCCAAGTTTCGTCTCGCTGAGTTCTCCCCAACGCTTTCAGTGACAACGTGTTCTTGCGATCGGCTGGAGGCTCAGCCAGGCAACCTCACTCAGTCAGCTGATGAGTTAACCCGGCCTCGCACTCTGACTAGGGTAAAAACGACCGACGCTTTCCGTGGTACTTGTCCCCGTCTGCGCTACTACTGGTATCACTCAGAGAGCTAAACCGGGCACATGACCATTTTCCATGCAAAAGAGTCGCGATTTGCGAACAACGTGATCATAATCCATCATACAACAGATCCTGACAGAGTCTGAATGGGGGATAATCAGCCTCAGCCTGATTCTATCGCAACGTATTGCCCTTTACACAACTAGTAGTACTCAAGTATTGACTCCGAGTCTACTACCTGCTAGCATCTTCGCTCCGCTTACTCCGCACTGCGCAGTAGTCGATTGGCGCTTATTGCCACCTGACATGTCTAGTGCCATGTGGTTCGGAGGTAACTCGTACCTTCAGGCAGAGACAATGTCTGAGTCGAATTTACTCATGATTGTCCACTCTATTCATCTTATGCACTGTATTGTGTATCTCATATTAATTTCTCCCATAATTTCCAAGAGCAACGCGCAGCTTTTCGCCGCGCTGAACTGGAATTGAGCTGCCTACAAGGTACCTTAATCAAGGTTGTTGAAAGGGCAGTGTAGGTAGTACTAACGGCGCCGCACGGCGACCATTGGAAGTCTACATGCGCACCTGCCAGCGAGGATCCAGCTGGGCAGTGGGAATCACGGCCGGGGGCAGCGCAGCACCATCCATCTCCGCTCAGCGTTTTGAAGCCCCGCCAATCTCAGACTGTCTCGCTCGAGATCCCCCGCTTGCAAATCAGCTGGCCAAAACTCTCCGCCCCGGTGCTCACCAGTCCGCGCCAGCGCCTGAGACTTCACAGTCGAGTTGAGACTTGGTTGTCTATCCATAGTGGCGCATACATGGGTCTCCTCCGCATGGGAGTGGATCAACCCCAGACAAAACCTCCACCAAGCAACCATCGTCCGCCCTACTAGCTCCCAATCGAGTAGTTCGCCCGTTGTTACCCACGACAATTCAGTCAGCCTAGAGCAGCTGAAACCAGTGGCGATGCCATTGAGCAACAGGTAGATGATAGCCAACCACTAGCTACCGGTTGAAAACTTGAACCTGATACGATAAACGGGCTGCGATGCTTGTCGGACTTGCAACCAATCCCGTTTCATCCCATTCAGTCGTATTCCCAATCTGCCCTAGCCACACCTCTTAGTCTGATCCAGGTATATTCTACGAGACACCTGCACAACGGACGTGGTTGAGCTCGCTTAACATCGCCCTGCCAGGGCACCTCGGCACGAAGTCCATCTCAAATTTCAGCCCCGAAGTTAAATGGGAAAAAAGGAATATGGTAGTAGCAAGTAAGAGTGTGGGGATCAGGATTACTGTCCTTACCTACCGAGTGACCAGTAAGTCGCTGATCCTAGTTATGGTATGTGTGACTGTCAGCGCCGGATCCTGGGTTAGGACTGGTTACCGATTGCATTTCCGGAGGGTGCGGCCGCTATCAGGCCTGGAGGCAGGAGTAACAGTAAGCTCGAATAATGCCGAGCGGGTAGCCGAGTGTTCGGGATCTGAAGGCTGGAGCTAGATCTTTTGGCTTGGGCTGGGGGTGGTGGCGGCCACGAGACCAGATCAGCCAGCTTCCGGAAGTCCGGGGATTGATTACTCTGGTTTCTCAGTGAAGGAAACCTGGACGTTGGAATCTGGATAGTTCTGTACTTTGTCGGTCGGTCATACCTCGGTCTTCTCTCTCTTTTGCATGTCGCATAATCACGATGACTCTTGATGATTTGATCAAGACACGCCTCGAGTACAGCCTGCCGGAAGACATTTCCACGAAACGGATTCTCTGAGCGATACATCCGCCGGGAGACACCCATCCATCCATACGCTCATCATCACCTAAATGTCCAGCCTACTTACTACTACATCGCATCATCCTCTGAAAGAATGCAACTGCAACACCACTCCATCCGTAAATCCGGGATTCAGACTTGGCAGAAATTTTCAATCGGCATCGCAGCTGATAGGGTACACGAAGGCGTTGTCGGGCAGGGCAGTGTCAGCACCTTATTCATCGGCACGGTCTTCAGGTGTGCCATCTTGACATGGATTCCAGCGACTCAGACTGCAAGGCAGGTTCTTGGGGGATGGAAAATTTTTTTCAGTCCCATGGGCAAGGGAGTCAAGGGGGGTGTCTGGGGAGAATGATTGGTGGGCGGAGAGGACAAGCACAGCCTCGGCCGAGTCCACTTTCAAGCCACGTTTGATGAAAAGTCTCGACTCTTTGGGTCAGGTTGTGGAGGGTGGGTCGGGATGGATCATGGATGATGGGGGTGGAGCATTATCGATCTAGAAGTTGTACGGAGTACATCGGTGTACCACCTGTGGAGGAAGAAACAATGGATAATGAATTATCCACAGCCGGGGTTATTGTGGAAAGAAATCCATTTCCATTGATTTATAATGAAGAAAAGTCCAAGTCCGAAGACAATCGAATCGTCCACGTCCTTCCCGAGGCAGTGTAAAATACGCTACGGTTTTGAGAGGAAACAAACGGAGATTCGGATGCCGGAGCACAGAAGAGCGGTCTTGGCATCGGGCACTCCGCAAGGGTGTGATGGAAGTCCTCAGGCTAACGGCCTAAATTGTGCTAGCGCAGAAGAAATTCTCTTCTAGAAGCCTTCTAATTTTGGTTTCGGCCGTTTCGCTCCAGTACGAACTTACCAGTCCGAACCGAAGGAAGACGGCGGCGGCCAGTGCGCTGCGAAAAAAAAAATTGATCGTGCATGAGACTAGCTCTGGTTCAGGACAAAGGATTCAAGCCTGCAGAAGGATGGATCGCGCTAAAGGAAAATTTTCTTCTTCGTGTCTTCCAGAAGGTCTGCGGGCTTTTGTGTGAGAGGCTTGAGGCTTGAGTAAGGGCTTTCAGAGTCGCCGTCCGACTTCGCAAGCAGGGCAGGGCTATCGGAGGGATCCTACTGCCACCGGGCACTTGCGGGTGATGCGAATACGACTGCGACAGTGGCCGCAATAAAGTTTTCGATATGCAATAGTTATGTTACGATATTCTAATGTTGAGTCCACACCACCAGGTTCATTGAGTGGTACAGCGGCCGCAGCGCAGCATTGTGCCATGATCGGATATCAAAATGCGATACCCTGATACATAGCATCAATCGCCGATAAATCGATAGAGAACTTGATAAGGGATAACAAAGCCTGAGTCAGTCTGCCGCCTGGGTCGTCGGGCCGGCAGATCAGAACCAGAGCAGCGTGCACTGAGCATGAGGCTTGAGCACTGGAGTCCAAGCAGGGCACCTAGGGTAGAATCGGAAGCCCGGCACCGTCAGCCCTTCAAAGGCGAGAGCTAGAGTCAGATTCCCGAAGCAAGTCCGTGTCGATTTGGAATCTCTGTATTCGTGGAATATCTCCGGCCTGCATCGCATTCGCTGGATGCTACTGTCTATCTGCATCTTTCAGATAATCACGGCGGTCGACGCCCGACCAGGTGTCCACTCCTCGACCTCTCTACCTTGCCCGATATCGCCAAACAGCCAGATAACATGTTAATTCTCCGACCACAAGCACGTTATTGATAATATTCCCATCAAACGCCCTGTTCGCTCCTATCGCCTGTTTGTGTCACTAGTGAGGGTAACCGGTCTGTGAACCGAATACTAGCACAATGTCTCAGTTGTGACCGTTGACGCGCATATCCCCAACCCCAAAATAGATACACCCGTCCCCATCCATCACGGGTCCTTCCCAGACAAGACAAACGAGACTCGGAAACCACTGGGCCCTGGCAGAAGAAACAAACCCACCGCACCACCAGTCCACCACTTCTGACTCTCAGAGTCTGAGGTTGCGAGCTTTGTCTGGAACCTGGCTCCGTCGCGGTCGCATCAACTGACCAACTTACGTACATTAGCGCTCGTCTCTCCTGAAGATCAACATACCCGGTCGTAATCAACAAGACCGTCTTAGCAAAACCTCGTGAAATCGAGAAATCGGCCGTGATCCAGAACGCTGCAACGCGCAATCCCCCACTAAGCCAAGTACCTCCTCGTAATCCGTAGTGTCGAAGTAAGCGCAGCACACTTCCATACACCGGAGTCCGGCGCCGATTCTTGTCGACGGTCGCTTGCTCGCTTGCTCCGCCTATGTAACTGTCAGCACAGCCCCTGCCCGTCGTTCATGCACAAGGAAAATTCTAGACCAGGTCTTTTTCTTGAATTCGAGGTTGTCGATGGGAGTCTCGAACGCTCGAGATCGTGGAAGATTTTTCCTTTCTTTTCTTCGCGTCAGTCTTCTTGTTCGTCTGACCTGCGAACTTTCTCGTGCGAGTCTGTCTTCGCTTCTTGAGTCCGTGTTGTTCAAATCTCGAACCTTGATGGTCCACGTTGTTTAGCAGCACCGATCGCACTATCGCTATCGACTAGTATCAGCGCACCACATAAGGTCAAACATACATTACTATTATTAGCTCATCTATCTACGTACATAGGTTGGTTTCACTGATAGCGCGATAGTACAATAGTGCCGAGGTTATCAATGTTATCATTCGCCTATCTATATAGATTAAGACATCTTATACAACCCAACCGTGGCCCCCAAACCATGTCTCCGCGTCCGAGGTTAACTCGTCGCGGCTAAGGAAAAGGGTTTCGGGTGGTTGATCAGGCCAGGATTTGTCCGCGGTCAACTCCATTTAAACTGATAGAAGGGTGAACGTGGTGCTAGGCAATTGGTAGATAAGGAATAAAGTCAATTCAAGAAGATGTTTATATTTTAACATTGTCAAGAGTGTATGTACTCTTAACTTGAGATACGAAACGTGGGAATGCAACGCGCGCGCTTTTTGTTGAAGGTAAGCGTAAAGTAAAGGGAAAAAAGAAAGGTAGAAAAGGACCCTAATTCATGACATTTGTTCGACATCATGGGGATTCGAGAACGGCGGCCTGTGTCGCATAGTAGTTAGTCTCCGGAGCTGTTGATGGTGGAATTAAGAGGAAGAATGGCCTTACCCTAGCGCTTTCGTACAGCGGAGATATCCCCGTCCAGTATTTGAACTGTAATCCCTGTCAGTCCACCGGTGCTCAACTTAGACTCTGTAGGGCGAACTTACCTGATACCAACCCTGCCCGACAAGAACCTCAAGTCCCGGAATTGTTTTCCACCCAGAGTCAGACGCCAGTCGCATCAGTGCGGTTACCTGTGGCTTGTACGCCATCTCAAGGAGAACCCGTGGCGCGTGCTCGACAGATTTGATGGAAGTAGCATCGGCCTCCTGTGCGCGCTCGAACATGTGACACAGCGTCTCGCGCATACCCGGGTCAATGGGCTGGTCGGCAGGGATGGTGCCGATCGCGACGCTGGGAATCGTCTCGAGACTTCCAACGCCATCGACGACCCGGATGTTGTAGCTGCTGGGGAACGTCGACACCATGCCCTCGAGCTTAGCGGGGGATCGACCCACGATGTAGATCGGGGAGTAGCCCATGCTGTGGAGGGCGTAGATGGCCGCCCGTGCGGTTCCGCCTCCACCGACGACCAGCGCGCTCTGCTGGCCCTCGGGTCCGTAGACGCCTGCGTTGCGCAGGGAGAGGATCATCCCCTGCCAGTCGGTGTTGCGGCCAACCAGGCGGGCGGGCTTGCCTTTTCCGTCGGAGACGGGGATGATTGTGTTGACGGCGCCGATAATTTCGGCTTCCGCGGCGACTTCATCAAGGAGGGGCATGATGTCGAGTTTGAGGGGTATTGTTACGGATGCACCTCCAAAGTCAGGGGAGCGGATGAAATCCTGGACGTCTTGGGCGTTGGTGGTCTCTAGTCGGGTGTACTCGTGGGGAAGGCCGACTTGAGAGAAGAGGGTGTTGTGGAGGGCGGGCGAGCGGGATGCTGAGATTGGACTACCAAAGAGGGCAAACTTCTTGGCCTTGATCTCTCCCATGAGCGAGAGTCCCTTGCGGATCTCCGTAGCAGAGAGCTGTCCAGGAGCGGCCTTGAAGGGCAGGCTGGGATGAGAGACTGGAGTCATGAAGCCGTTCAGGATGCGGCTCAGCTGGCCCTGGTCGCCCATGTTGATAGCAATCAGAGGAACATCGTGAGCCTCTGCCGCCCAGTTCTTGAACTTTCTCAGAGCCGTGTTGTCATCGAGATTCTGAGCGACTCCGACAAGCTTGATGATATCACCCCACTCAAGTGCCTTGTTGTAGAACTTGATCCACGACATGTTCGCCCAGGAGAGCTCACCCTTGGGGTCGTGGTGTGACGCGATAATCTTCGAGTGACCCTTTATGGCCGTTACTGTTCGCAGCAGATTCTCGGGGAATGCAATCTCGAGGTCGACAAACTCGACTCCAGACCGGAATGCAAGAGTGTACAGCTCGAGCGCAGCATCGTGGGCCTCGTCGGGGAATCGACCGCCCTGGCTCTTGGTGCGGATGGTGAATATCACAGGAAGTGAGATGCGGCTACGGAGGAAAGACAGCTGTTCCACAACGTAGTCGACTGACGGGATGTCACTCTCAGATGAAGGATCCTTGAGCAAGTCGACTCGCAGCTCCACCGCATCAGACCCAACGCACACTTCCTCCAAAATATCTCCAGCCTCACGGAGATCCGGCAGGGTTAGAGAGACGAAGAAAGAGTGCTCCTTCTTCTTAATGATCGCGAGGTTGTCAACCTGACCGGTGACAACTTGCAGGAAGCGGTTGAAGCACTCGGATGCCCGAGCCAGGCCACCAGAGCTGGCCTGCTGGCTGTAGTACTGAATGTTACTACATTCCTGGAACCAGGGCTTGCGTCGCAACCACACGCCCATCATGTCCTCGACGTAGGCCGGGCGAGTCTTGTCGATTGACAGGAAATCCATGACCTTTTTAATGTCGCGCATAAGAAGTAAAACGTTGCCCTTGTTCTTGTGATAGTCAACGAGCAACTTGCGGGCTTCCGGCATCTCAACTACACCTCCGCCACAGGCAAAGACGTAGCCTCTCGGACGCTCCTTGAGCGAGCGCTTCAAGATTTCCAGCTCCGCATCTCTGAAACCTTGCCAGCCACGGGTTTTGATGATATCAGGAATAGTCATGCCTTCCGTAGTCTCAAGCTCAGTATCTAGGTCGACAAAAGGCCGATCGAGAGCCTTGGAAACCCAGTTTCCTGCTGTTGACTTTCCGGCACCACGCATGCCAATGATGTAGATTGACGCGTTGGCCTTGTCAGTGCTGCTGAGAGCCGAAGATTCTTCCTCCTCCAACTCCTTTCCCTCGAGTTTCACACCATACAATTGGCGAGCTGTATCCCACCAACCCGGCCATGTCTTGCCAACACACTCTTTTTCAAGGATAAGAGTAGGCTGGGGAGCCACGAGCGACAGCACGCTGAAGCTAAAGGCAACCCGGTGGTCATCGTAGCAGAAGACACCACCGGCCGGCTGGCGTAGCGTTGAGCGATCGACACCATCAATCTCAATACCATCATCGTGCTCTCGGCAGACCACTCCGAACTTGGCAAGCTCATCCTTCATTGCCTTGATTCGATTGCACTCCTTGACACGCTGGTTGGCGATACCGTAGATCCGGGTTGTGTGGTTCGAATCATTTCCACGAGCGACGGCTGCAAGAACAGAAGCACCGAGGAACGCATCTGTCATGGGTTCCATATCCACGTTGGGGAGTGGCCGCAAGATACCGTCAGCGGGACCAGTAACAGTAGTCGAGGTTTCTGTCTGCTCGACAGTGCAGCCCATGGGCCGCAGAACCTCAACAGCGAAGCGGGCATCGCCTTGCAGGGAGGCGGATCCGATGTTGGGAACTGTGCATGTAGTAGAAGTGATTGCTGCAATTGCAAGTGGGTAGGTGGCGGAGCTGGCATCGCTCTCAATGACATATTCGGCCGGGTTCACATAACGCCCTTGGGGGATATGATAGGTGTGTTCTTCGGTCGTGGACTTTTGCACATCAATGCCAAACGACCGCATCATTGCAGTTGTCATGTCAATGTAGGGCTGGGAGATGGGCTTGCCACCGACTAGACGTAAGGTCACAGGCTCCTTGGCGTAGGGAGCGCACATGAGCAGCGATGAAACATACTGAGATGACACTTTGGCAGCCAGGTTGATACTGCCTCCAGCAAATCCGCCTGAGGCGGCAATCTTGAGAGGCAGACTGCCGGTCTTCTCGACGTATTCGACGGAAGCCCCGTTAGCTGTCAGTGCATCCACCAGGTCCCCAATGGGTCGCTGCTTCATACGGTTGTTACCGGTGAGGATGCTATGATCGACAGTGCTGGGATTGGCAAGAGTGGCGACTGTAGTGAGGAATCTAGAAGCCGTACCGGCGTTGCCAAGGTACAACTCTGAGGGATGAGCGCGCAGGTCTCCACCCTTGCCGTTGACCACAAGCACTTCACCCTCGTCCTCCCATGCAAAAGTGGCAGCACCCAGTCTATCGAGTGCGTTTAGCATAACTTCGGTGTCATCAGAGTGCAGCAGATTCTTGATACGGCAGGTACCTGAGCCCAGAGCTGCCAGAACCAGCGCACGGTTGGAGATACTCTTCGAACCCGGAGGCGCGCAAACAACGTTCAACGACTTGGATACGCCTGGGTGTACCTCGATGCTGGGAGCGAGAACTACGCGAATTTCCTCGTTGGCGACAACACTGGCACGAGGCTCATAAGTGCGTCCAATGGCGGAGAGAAGGACAATCTTCTTCTTGGGGCCATCGTTCTTTTTGTCTAGGGCCATGTTGAACATCAGCTGGTCGACCGAACAATGCTTACCAGCCGTGAGCTTGCGAATACGAGCATCCTTCAGTGAGGTGGGTAGGCCGTAGGCAGCAAGGCACTTGACGATACGTGAAACTGCAACGCCCTTTAGGATACCTAAATGGCGAGCTAATTCAGCCTCCTTGACCATACCGATAGCAACACATTCTCCGTGGAGGATCTGCGGTGTCAGGATGGCTTCAATGGCGTGACCAATAGAGTGACCCCAGTTCAGAAGGTTTCGGAGACCACCCTCACGCTCGTCGGCCGAAACGACAAATGCCTTGTGCCGCGCAGACGCCAAGATTCTGGCCTTGAGGATCTCCTCGAGGCCCTTGAAGCGGTGTTGCCCAGGCTTGATATCCTGGCGGACGGCCTTCAGGATAGTCTCCGCATTGGTCTCCAGAGCCGTGAATTCTTCTTCGCTGGAGATGGCAGCGGTCTTGATGACCTCTGCCATTCCGTTGATGAACTCACGCACTGGTAGTGTCTCGAGGAATTCCAGATCAATGTAAATCTTCGTCGGTTGCCAAATCGCGCCAATCAGGTTCTTTCCCAGAGGAGTGTCAATCGCAGTTTTCCCGCCAATTGACGAGTCAACCATGGCAAGAAGTGTCGTGGGGACTTGAACATAACGAACACCGCGCATATAAGTCGCAGCGACGAACCCAGTCAGATCCCCAATAACTCCTCCACCCAAAGCAATGACAACAGTATCACGACCGCAAGGAGGGTTTTGGCTCAGCATCCAATCCTCAATGTCAGCTTTCGTCTGGCGGGACTTGGAGACCTCTCCTGGCGGAGCGTTGTAGATGAGGAGGCGAGGGGGCGGGGAGACGGCGGCGGCGGCATCTTCAAAGTTCTTTTGAAATCCGGGTGTGTATATTGAGCCGATATTCGTGTCGGTGATGAGGACATAGGTCGTGGAGGGGCAATCGTTGATCAGGTCCCTGGCGACATAGTTTCGCCAGAGGCCGAAGTCAGCGATGATACTCTCGCGACCTAAGATACTGATCTTTGTAGGTCCTGCCATCGTCAAAGGCGAGTAACGCGAACAGGGAAGAGAGACAAAAGTTGTAAGCGTGCGAAAATGTCGATGTCTCTTAGTTCATGGTCACTTGCGACGAAGCTTCCCAAGCAACCTCTCGACTGTTCAACTGCGGCGACTCGGCGGAGGTAAACACAGACGTCACCTAAATCAGCTAGAAGAGTAAGCACTTCGTCGTCATCAGTAGCGGACATCTTTGGATCAAGCTCGTTCAAATTGCGCGCTGAGTGGTGTCGGCCATCGGAGAATCGGAGACTCGGAGAAGAGTGGGGGATTTGAGGCGTGATTGCAGACTTACCTTGTCAAGGGAGTGAATTGACAAGAACAGCGAGTATAAGAGGCCTGTAATGATCACAGATGATGAATTGGACCTGAAGCTGGCAGCCCCGAATGTTCCTGACCGAGCGGGCACAGAAGAATGTTGACCAATGTTGACTCATTCAAATTCCCGCCCTTTCTGGGGATCTTTTTTTCTTCTCCCCGCAGCTCCGATGTCGTCGTCTCACTCTCGGCAGCGGCTCTTTTGCCAAAGATTTTGACTAAGAAGATTTTTAACTTGAGAAGGTGTTGTGATTCTTACTGAACATGTATTAAATGCCTTTCAGGGCATCTTGTCTGATTTTATCTGCATTGCACTCTATCTACAGGGGGAAATTAGTAAATTCCTGCAATCCGCCCTCCGATTGAACGCCGTCCTCCTTGCCGATTTCCAAGAATGACAATGGAAAAAGAAAAGTCAAAGCCGATGATTCCACAACATGTAACTTTTTCCAAATGTACGTATTTGCTTATTCTCGCGGAAGAGAACGTCCCGCACCATCAATTAGTAGCGACCATAGCCGCCCCCCTGGCCTCTCGAGGAGTAATTATCTCGGCCTCGGTGTCCTCCTCCCCGGTACCCTCCGCCACGACGCTCCTGTGATCCATAGCCTTGATTTCTTCCGTTATACTGGTCAGAGGGACCATTGTTGTAGTGTCCAGGAGGACCACCCCGACCATAGTAGTCGCCGTGACCGTAATTCGACTGTTGATAATCGCGCTGCTGTGGATGGCCCTGGTACGAGCCATACTGCTGGGAGCCATAGCCTCCCCGCGGGGGAGGTGGTGGTCCCCTGGAAAAGTTACCGGAGCCTGACGGGGGGACCCAGCCGGACGGCATCCCCATCGGGGCGCCTGTGTTGGCTGCTGGCATAAACTTTGGATCAAGGTGTGCCGCAAATGGATTAGGCCTATCACCGGCGTAATTCATGCGACCACCTCTGTGCCCACCGCGAAGAGGTGCGCCGCCATAAGAGCGCCCAGAGTGCTGGGCTCGTGATTTTGTAGCCTGGATGTCTGCATTATCCAGAGCTGGAGGAGCAAACTTTACTCCTCTGAGAAGCATGGACTTGTGAACATGAGAAGACTTGGGTATTTCGTAGTTGACGCTATCAGGGAGAGAAGAAGGTTAGTTAACCGGGATTGTACTTGTTGGGGGAGACACTTACGTTAGCGAGCGGTCGTCCTCCAACGTGGGCATACCATATTGCTCCAGGGAGGAGACAAGTGAGCTGTGTGGTATGTACGCCTCGTTCTTTTCAACCTTACCAGCTAGTCCTTCGCTGATACGCATGTTGAGTTTATATTTGGGAGCGCCTTGCTTCTTGGAGTAGAAATTCGAGACCAAGTCTTGGTACAGTGGATGACTTTCTGAGAGCAACAGCACCTCTTTACCCACAGTATTGCGAGCCTTTTCGTCATCTGATAGAAGAGGGTACTTCTTTTCCATAGCACTTAGAAGGCGTTTTTCATCGATAAAAGGCAGCAAAACGACTCCCTGCCAAGCAAACTTCTTGCCATTTAGATCGACCGCAAAGTCTTCCGGATAAAAATCGATGATTTCACTCTCAGGCTCGCTCATCAGGGGATGGAACACCTTTGGTATGGCGTGGTTTGAAGAGGCAGGAAGAACACCCATAAGCTGTTCGAAAGGTCTGAAGGGCGTCCCCTTCTCGAATGACAGCTCGATATCCCCAATATCCACAAAGTCTGCGGCGAAAGGCGCATAATGATATGGGTAGTACCAGGTCCAGGACGGACACCCCTGGAAATAGTATAACAATACCCATGCAAGACCTTCGGCATACGCTCTTGCGACTTTGTGGCGAAACTCCTTGTTTTGGGGATCAACATGGAACTTTTGTTCATAATATCGGTCGCCGTATCCCTCCTCCCATAGGCGGACGGTGTCTGCGGGCAGCTCATCGTCTTTTGGCGGTTCAGGCTTGCTTGGGGTCTCGGCGCCGTTTCCTTCAATCTCTGCATCACCCGCCTTTCGTTTGCCAAGGACGGATGGAGATGTCTCCATTTGAGCATCAGAAGTCTCTTCTGGTGCTGGTTCCGATTCCTCGGAGGCTTCACTCTCCGGGGCCCCACCCATAAGTTTGCTCTTTAGAACAGCAGCGGCGCTTTTGTTGGCCATGTTGGCTCGGTATACTGCACCGCGGTTGACTACCATGCTGTGTGTTAGTTCTCTGGTCTGCCGAGTCAGTTCACCCCGAGCAGGAGTGATTAGTTCAAGCTGAGTCGGAGCGGCACTTGCGGCTCCTCCAGCAGCACCACGAGGTTTGGCACTTGTCGGGGATTCGACGGGTTCATAAGAAGGAGAGCTTCGTCTCCGCTTTCTAGCGCGCTCCTCATTTCTGAGCTTTTCCTCCTGCTTGCGCCGTTTGTCGTTCGCAAGCTTTCTTTCCTCCGCCTGCCTGCGACGACGAAAGATTGCATCTTCTTGCTTTGCAAGGCCTTGAAGGATGAGCTGCGCTTTCTTGAAATCCACTCGCCCGTCCTGTGTTAGATATCCGCCCATGAGAGGAATGTTATCACGCCAGATTGCGATCAGCGTATCGATACCATCCTCGCGGATATCCAAGGAAGGCAGATGCGGAAGGAAGTCGTTTCCTACGAAGAAACACATGAAGACCCAGTCGTCAAGCGCCCGCTCAAGGTCAAATGGGAACGGTTGGTGGGGAACAAAGAGCTCCGCCGCAAGATATTCTCTAAGGACGGAGACATGGAGCCAGATGAACGGTTTGGGAGTGGCGGGTTTCCCTTTCTCGTCAAACTCTCCATTCTTCACCTTCGCCTGGCCCCTGCATTCTTCCGCTTTATGGCCGGGCTGACCACATAGATGACAGGTTCGCGGCCGGGATTCCTGCGCAAACACATCTTCTCGTAGGACTCTGAAATGGGGCTCGTGGGTGGCTAGGCCTAACATGATCAAGTCCGCATCCTAGGGAAAAAACGGTTTGAGGTTAGCTCTTGCTAAAGGCTCATGCCTGGATTAAAAAAGCGTACCAATCCGTAGATAACATGACGGGTGTTAGGGTCATGCTCAGGGGATGCACGCTGCGATCGAATAAACTCCATGATCTTGTGTTCACCCTCTCCGGGGACTGTTGCGTCGGAAATGATAATTTTCATCTATAGAGGATCAGAATCATGGCAAACACGTTTGACGACAGGCGACGAACCTTTTCCCAAGCAGGATCAGTATTGAGTTTGTACGCAATCCAGTACCGTAGAGACGCTGCAAGGATATCCATGAAGGGCGTTCCGGGGGTAATGACGTTGCTATCCCACGTCTTCTGAATGACCTGCTCCTGCAGTCCTTGGTCCCTATCTCCGTTCTGCTTGGCGAGCATCTTTTGGAATTCCTCCTTCTTTTCATCTGCCTCCCTCGCTTCCTGAGCGGACCGGAATCTACGGGCTCGTTGTTGGTTCATCTTCGCGCGAGGGGCAACTCCATCTATAGATAAAAAGCTTGAATCAGTTTCAAGTCCTCCGACAACGGGAGAAAAAATAGCAGTTCAACATACCGACGGCGATCATTAGAAGTTTCCTGGGGCGAACCATGTTCACAACGCGATCAGTGTACTTGAAGATCTCGATCATCATTTCCTCTTCGTTTGCTGGCGGCGGCCTGCCCTCAGGGTGCGTACATGGATGGACAATACCGTTCATGTCCAGATACAGATTGTCCATCTCTTCGCCGTTTGGATTCGGCCGCGTGCCGTCCACCGGAACCTCTTCTCCATTGATTTCGTAAGGAAACTCCTCGATTACCGGAGAGATAATCTTCGGATATTTCTTGGAGAGCCATCTGAATAGCGCTGGGACACCCATGGTGACAAAGAATCAAATCCAGGGAGATATACGAGGAACAGTAGAGATCGAAAAAAAGAACAATCGATTCTTTTTGAGCTTAATAAGGTAAAGTAGAGAATTTAAGCACGTCTCACGAACTGCTCCATCAGCAACTTCAACTTTCGAAGACCAACTACTTGGAGCAGATTTCTGAGAGAGAAAAAGTGTCAAGATAAAAGGAATACCCGGGCTGGAAGAGGCGCCGTACCCAGAGTAAGATAAAAGGCAGGCCGTGGCTATGTCAAAGAGAACAGGAGGAACAATGAAGTCTCTGCGAATGCGACAGTCGAGTTGCCTGGGGCCGAGTTGCGGCTGTTTCGGCGCTTCTTTTGTCGCGGTTCCGACAGCTTAGCGGCCACTTGGCGGTGGACTGGTTGCATGGAGAGCTACGGATACCTCCGAAAGAACAACTCACCAGCTCGCCATCCTTGAATTTCTTTTCCTCAATTGTTCGATGTATATCAATTGTTACGCCCCCGGCCGGCGGTGACCATGAAATATCGAGTGACCCGTTGCGATGTTTCGAATCCTCGAGTCGCAGGCGCCCGCCAAACAAACGGCGACGGACACAATCAACACATTAAGCAGTAGGCTGCAGAGTGCAACGTTACTAGAGGACCGCCGGGCCGCCATACAAGGATTGAGAAGCTTTGCGAAGATATATCCCGCATCAGTTGCGTCAGGTGCCTTACGACCCTTGATTAGCAGCCTCCGCAATGATAGGGAAGATGTGGACACACTCAAGGTGGTCCTTGAGACCTTGTTGGGACTATTCTCGCCGGATGAGAGCAGTGTACGTTTGTTTCAGATACCGGACTTGTCAATGGTGCGCGCTGATGCCATTTGTCTAGCCCGAAGCGTCGGATGAAATAGCTCTTTGGCTTTCGGACGAGTTTACTCAGGTATGGACGGCCGTTTGGGCGATGCGATTCTTAATCGCTAACAAGGCGAAAGCGACAAGATAATATCACAGCCCTACTAGATCTTTTAGATACCCGCGACTTCTATTCACGCCTATATTCAATACAGCTCATGTATCAGATCTCGAGCGCACGACCCGAGAGGACGCAAGAATGTATATTGACAGCGCCACTGGGTATCCCACGACTCGTCAGTGCTCTCAGTGACTCGCGGGAGCCCGTACGAAACGGTATGCCATTGCTGGTTCCTTCGGAATGGATGCTTCACTTCTATGCTAATCAATACACCTTGCTAACATCTACTCTATCTGTTAGAGGCGCTACTCCTTCTGATTGCATTGACACCCGCATCGGAAGAATTTCAAAAGCTTGTCGCTTTTGAGAATGCATTCGAATCCATATGCTCCTTGATAGAGACAGAAGGGGGCTTGACACATGGATCAGAGGTCATCGAGGACTGTCTTTCTCTGCTTGCCAACTTGTTGAAGCTCAACATACCGAACCAGTCATACTTCCGAGAGACTGGTTGCATACAAAGGCTGGCTAAGCTTCTTGCTGATGTCAACCGTGAACAAGACTCGTCTGAGGAACTTACACCGCAATGGGCCCTTGCTCATCGCGATAGGAACGTCTGGGGCCTACTAGTCATTATTCAGCTATTCTTAGTAAAAGGCGGCATTAACACGCATGCTAATCAGATGGCCTTTTGGAATAGCGGTGTGATGGAACAAGTCCTTAGTACCGCCTTCGGCCAAAAGTTCACAGTCAATGTTACAGCAAAGGTTAGTAAATCATTGCTACCTAAGATTTGATATTGACCGGGATAGGCTCTTGCAACATGTGCCGACTTGATCCGCGGGAACCAACCGCTACAGGAACGCTTTGGAGATGTTGAGGTTTTCTGGGGCGCCGGACAAGCAACAAGCGATGGTGTTAATGGAACGAAACCTGAGAAAGCGCTTCCTCGGATTAATGTAATCGAAGCCTTGCTCAAGCTATCGCTGGAACCAGCGCCCATTCAGCTTCTTGACGCACGCCTCGCCGCGTGTGATTGCGTAAAGGCGTTTTTCACAAACCATACAGGTATCCGTGTTCACGTCCTGGGAAGAGCAATCAACGGGCATGTTAGCGGCGAAGACGCAATACCGAACATTTTGACTGTGTTGCTCACGCCTCCGGAACTGAGAGGCAATGCCGACCCATATCAAACTTGGATGGCTGCTGTCTTATTGTTCCACCTTTTATTCGAGAATGCGGAAGCGAAATCAATCGCCATGGGAGTAACAGAGGGAGATGCCGAAGCCGGGGAGGAAGTCATAACTTGCATTCAAACAATTGCTGGCAACCTTATTACAGGTATAAAGCGTGGAGATGACGAGAGGATATCCATCGGTTACTTGATGCTACTTTGTGGCTGGTTGTTTGAAGAGCCTGATGCTGTGAATGACTTTCTAGGCGAGGGGAGCAGCATTCAAAGCTTGTTGCAGGAGACTAAACACAGGGGCGTTACAAATGTGCTTGTGCCCGGACTCTCCACGATCTTGCTGGGAATCATCTACGAATTCTCCTCCAAGGACTCTCCTGTTCCTCGCAAAACACTACACAAACTCCTTCTTGAACAACTGGGAAGAGAGCAATTCATTGATAGAATTACTCGGTTAAGAGAGTCACCCTTGATTCGAGATTTCGAAGTCCTTCCGCAAACAATCGGAGCAAACTACGAGGGCGGACTGCCCGAGATCTTCTTTGACAGAGCATTCGTCGAATTTCTGAAAGATAACTTTAGCCGTTTAACTCGGGCTATCGATCGTGAGCCTGAACTTGAAATATCTGTGATCACTAACGGGGTTGAAAGAGGTGTTTCGCGCGAGTTGGTTGATTCGCTGAAAGCCGACCTTGAAGAGAAGAATCAAGCTGTGCAGAAGCTTGAATCAGAACTGGTTTCTCTAAGACACAAACTCGAACAAGAGCAAGCCGAACATCGAAAGTCGAGGGACTCGGGCGGGCTAGAGTTTACAAGACTACAGCAGATGTACGACTCACTTCAAAAACGCCATGAGCAAGAATTGTTTGTGCTGGGTGAACAGAACAAGCAAGCGAGGAACGACCTGCTTAGGCAACATGGAGAGCAGCTCCGAGCCATCGATGCGCAGCTGCGGGACACCTCTGCTGAATATGAGAGAAAGAGTCTGAAGTTCAAAGAGCGACACGAGGCCGAAGTGGCAGATCTTCAGAAAAAGATCCGTTCTTTAGAGTCGGAACTCGCTAGCGTCAAAGAGCAGTATCACAACGAGGCTCGCGGTCTGACGACGAATCTTGTAGCTTTGACGTCGGAAGCTGCCCAAGCGAAGGAAAACCATGCCGCCGAAGTTCAGAATCTCAACAAGACCATCAGTGACTTGCAGTCACAGGCAGACAAGGTGGAACAGTACATGTCCCAAGTGGAAGAGCTTACATCGAAGATGGAGACTCTGAGGTCAGATGCGGACCAAGCAAGGCAACACCACACGGCTGAAGTCTCCGATCTCAATAAGACGATTCAAGAGCTGCGGTCCGGTTTGAGCGCTGCTCAAGAACAGCATAAGTCCGAGGTTGCCAAACTTGAATCCGCCAACGAAACTGTCCACTCCGAACTCAATACGATAAAAGAACAGTCTACGCAGGATATTGAGGCTGTGAGAGAGGATTACTCGTCAAAGTGTTCGGCTCTTGAATCCAGAGCCGAACAAGCCGAGAAAGAGGTGGCAAGGCTTGAGGCCGAGACACGAAAGACCACTCAAGCCCTTGAGGAAGCACAAAGGGCTATAGAGAAAGCTAAAGGAGAGGCAAAGGAGAAGGAGGAAGCCCGTCAGGCAGCACAGTCTGAGCTTGAGGATCTCCTCATTGTGTTTGGTGATCTTGAGACTAAGCGGAATGAGGACAAAGTAAGTCGTATATCACTATATTCAGCTGATCGGACGGTAAGTTGCTGATACGTGCTACAGAAACGCTTAAAGGACCTGGGTCAAGAAGTGTCTGAAGATGAAGACGAGGAGGACGAGGAGGACGAGGAGGACTAGTAAGGATATAAATCATAGACCGCGAGGGCAATTTTCTCAAAATATGCCCGACTTTTATATATTCGGATCAATGTAAAATAGGTCTGTAAAGACAGCATCTATAGTAGATAGGATCTATATAGTTGTGTCGGGGTGTATGTACATAGTGTGACTCAAGATGTGGGTGGGGCTTGGCGTGGTCGGTAAGGCGCGGGGTGACTCACTTTTTCTTCAAAGGCGACTCTACCCCGCGGCCACTCTCGAGCGCATCGACAATTCCCACTCTGACAGCTGCCACCACCCCGCTGCTCGTCATGTCCATTGATTTTCCCAAGGAGGAGGAACTTGTCCTCGCGAGGTGGAGGGAAATCAATGCCTTCCACCGGCAGGTCGAACTCTCCAAAGGACGGAAACCGTACACCTTTTACGATGGGCCTCCGTTCGCTACCGGTCTGCCTCACTATGGCCATCTGTTGGCATCGACTATCAAAGATATTATTCCCCGGTACTGGTCTATGAAAGGACACTATGTCGAGCGACGATTCGGCTGGGACACCCACGGCGTGCCCATTGAGTACGAGATTGACAAGAAGTTGGGCATGTCCGGCTTGGAAGCAGTCGAGAAAATCGGAATTGAGAAATACAACGAGGAGTGCAGAGCCATTGTCATGAGATTTGCCGCTGAATGGCGTGAGACTATTGATAGACTCGGCCGTTGGATTGACTTTGACAACGATTACAAGGTTCGTGAAGTTTCCCGTTCCATATATTTTGACTTGGAAATGCTAACACCCATATTTCATCATTCAGACTATGAACACTTCTTTCATGGAGTCAGTGTGGTGGGTTTTCAAGCAATTGTTCGACAAGGGGCTCGTTTACAAGGGCTTCCGCGTTATGCCTTACTCGACTGCCCTCAACACTCCCCTTAGCAACTTTGAAGCCCAGCAAAACTACAAGGATGTCCAGGACCCAGCCGTCGTTGTTACGTTCCCTCTCGTGGATGATCCAGAGACGTGCCTTCTTGCATGGACTACCACACCCTGGACCCTGCCCTCGAACGTCGCCCTCGCGGTAAACCCGGATTTCGAGTACATTAAAATATTTGATGAAGCCTCAAAAAAGCATTACGTCCTGCTTGAGGCACTCCTGCGAACATTATACAAGGATCCTAAGAAGGCCAAGTTCAAGATCGTTGACCGGTTTAAGGGTTCTCAAATGAAAGACTGGAAATACCAGCCACTCTTCACTTACTTTTACGATGCCTTCAAGGACCACGGGTTCCGCGTTTTAAACGCAGCATATGTCACAGCTGATGACGGTACTGGAATTGTCCACCAGTCTCCTTCATTTGGTGAGGACGATTACCGGGTTGCAATGGAAGGAGGAGTCATCAATGAGACCCGCCACCCCCCGAATCCTGTTGATGACATGGGCATCTTTACATCAGAAGTCCCCGATTTCCAGGGCCAGCATGTCAAGGCTGCTGACAAGGCCATTATCAAGCACCTAAAGGGAACCGGCCGATTGATTGTCGATAGTCAGATTACCCATAGCTACCCGTTCTGTTGGCGCTCTGATACCCCTCTCATCTACCGAGCTGTTCCCTCGTGGTTCGTCAAAATCGGGCCCATCATTCCACAAATGCTTCAGGGCATTGAAGAATCCCATTGGGTTCCTAGCTTCGTAAAGGAGCGCCGATTCGCCAGCTGGATTCAGAATGCTCGTGATTGGAATATTTCCCGTAACAGGTTCTGGGGTACCCCGCTCCCTCTGTGGGCGAGCGAGGACTTTAGCGAGATTGTCGCAGTTGGCAGTGTCCAAGAACTGAAGGAGCTTAGTGGCTACGAAGGAGAGATCACTGATATCCATCGCCACAAGGTGGATCACATCACCATCCCTAGCAAGAAGGGCAATGGTGTTCTCCGCCGTGTGAGCGAGGTGTTTGATTGTTGGTTCGAGTCTGGCAGCATGCCGTACGCTTCCCAGCACTACCCATTTGAGAATAAGGACCAGTTTGAGAACAGTTTCCCGGGAGACTTCATCGCCGAAGGTCTGGACCAAACTCGTGGTTGGTTCTACACTCTGACCGTTATCGGTACTCACCTCTATGGCAAATTGCCCTTCAAGAACTGTGTCGTCAATGGCATTGTCCTTGCCGAGGACGGAAAGAAAATGTCAAAGAGATTGAAGAACTACCCTGATCCTTCCTTGATCATGGACCGGTACGGCTCGGATGCTCTCCGACTATACCTCATCAACTCGCCCGTTGTTCGCGCCGAGCCGCTCCGATTCAAGGAATCTGGTGTCAAGGAAATTGTTGCCAAGGTCCTGCTTCCTCTCTGGAACAGTTATAAATTCTTTGAGGGCCAGGCTGCTCTCTTTAAGAAGACCGAAGGCACTGATTTCATGTGGGATCCCGAGGCAGAGGCTACTAACACCAACGTTATGGACCGATGGATCCTTGCTAGTACTCAAAGTCTTCTCAAATTTGTCAACGAGGAAATGGCCGGCTACCGCCTGTACACTGTCGTTCCTCGTCTCCTGGAGCTCATTGACAACACCACAAACTGGTACATCCGATTTAACCGAAAGCGCCTAAAGGGAGAAAATGGCACCGATGACACGCTTCATGCACTCAACACACTCTTTGAGGTGCTGTACACTCTGGTTCGAGGCCTTGCACCATTCACGCCTTTCCTCACCGATAACATCTACCTGCGTCTACTTTCCCACATTCCCGAGAACCTTCGCGGCGAAGACAGTCGAAGTGTTCACTTCCTCGAGTTCCCCGAGGTGCGCGAGGAGCTCTTCGACGAAGTTGTTGAGAGGAGAGTGGCCCGCATGCAGAAGGTCATTGAGATGGCTCGTGTCTCCCGTGAACGTAAATCTCTCGGCCTAAAGACTCCATTAAAGAGCCTCGTCGTCATCCACCAGGACGAACAATACCTAGAGGACGTAAGATCCTTGGAGAGCTATATCCTCGAGGAAATCAACGTCCAGGAGCTCATTCTGTCATCCGACGAAACCAAGTACAATGTCCAATACAGCGTTTCCGCCGATTGGCCTACACTGGGCAAGAAGCTAAAGAAGGATGCACAAAAAGTCAAGAAGGCCCTGCCGTCCCTGAGTAGCGACGATGTCAAGAAGTTTGTTGCCGATAAGAAGATCCTTGTTGACGGCATTGAGCTCGTTGAAGGGGATCTCGTTGTCAAGCGAGGACTGAAGCAAGACGAGTCTTCAGAAGACATGGAGCCCAACGCCGATGCTGACGTCTTGACCATCCTCGATGTCAAGCTGCATCCAGAGCTAGCCCAGCAAGGTCTCGGTCGAGAGATTATCAACCGACTCCAGCGCCTTCGTAAGAAGGCTGGGTTGGTCCCTACTGATGATGTAAAGATGGAGTATGTTGTTCTTTCCGACCCTGAGAATGTTGGCATCCAAGAAGCTTTCCAGACACAGGCGGCGGCTATTGAAAAGGTGGTGCGTCGGCCTCTTGAGCAATACGAGCTCGTTGATGGCAAAGCGCCTAGTGCAGATGATGAGGGCATGATTATGCAAGAAGAGCAGGAAGTACAGAGCGCGACTTTCTTGTTACGACTGTTGAAGTTGTAGATGTGAAGAAAGCGATGAACAATTTTTTCTCCCACTCTATCTAGACTCTGATTTTTGTTAGAGATCTTACATTGGTTTTTAGAATGATATCTCATTAAAAATTTATATTCAAACTTTCATGATAAAAACCATCAATAGCAAAGCACCTGATCGCGCCGCCCGTACGTAGTATACATCTGCTCCATTGCAAACCCCTTAAGGACCTGTACCCGCTTCTAGATTCAGACCTTCTTTGATGCTGCCTGTTCCTTCAGTCAGACATAGTCTGACACGGGTATGGCAAGTCACTTACCAAAAAGCAGTCTTTCAATTTCATGAATTCTTTGGCACACATATCTTTGTGCACTCCTTGATAGTCTGCGACAATGCACTTTCCATATGCCGCCGCCTGCAAATGCCCGCCCATCAACCCACATTCTCCCACTGCAGGATAGGAAAGGGGAACAGACCTCTACAGCACACTTTGAAGTGGCTTTTGCGAACTTCTCGATCGGCCGCGTCCGTGTCGATGGCATTTTTCTCTGCTGCAACACTAGATGCGCTTGATGGCTTTCTTCACCGTTGGCGATGCGAACTGGCCGGACGTTACATAAGCTGTTCACGTGACCTTGATGATTCCATGTTTTGGTTGGCGCGACAAAGCAAAACATTCTATGACATTTGGGGACAAAAGATTGGCAATCGAGGGCGACCATTGTTACCGCCAGTGTCGTTGTCTTTGGTTCAATCGATGCGATTCGGCATCGCGAACTCGAAAACAGCGAGTCATTCCTATTGTATTGACCTCTAGCGCTCGCAATGGTTTATTTGGTTCCCCGTCTCCATGACCCAGCTGCGAAAAAACACGCGTTAAGTCGCGCATATTTCGATGCCTCCCGTTCCCGCTCAGCGAAGAGCTCTACCCCATGAAGAACCGGCTCTCTCGGACGAAGGTGCGCGATCGCATATTTCCAAGTCGCAACACTTAAATGCTAATGACTGCTTCTGTGTGTTAGATGTCGGCTTCCTCTTTCAAGTCATCACCAGCGCGGAGCGCTATCCGGACGCCGATCGCCTACCATATAGAGTGCTGTTCAAAGCATATGATGAGGCAGTCGCGGAGCATGGTCCGCAGGCGGACCCAGGATTGGCCCTCATGCGCTTCCTGTTCAAGATGGGAAGCAAGGATGTCAGAGGGGATACCCTGTTCGAGCGGTTTGAGAATCTGCTACAGCAAAGGGGCATCGTGATTGAGCTTGGTAACGAGGAAAATGATGCAGATACTTACACTGATAATGTCTCTTTCTCCGATGCTCAGCCCAGAACGAGGCCCGAAGCGATCCCGATGGAGAACACGACTCAAACCATCGACCTGCCTCGGCCACGACGAGCGTCCTTCAATTCAATGTACGATGTTGGGGGCGATCCAACTACTCGGAGTTTTATCAATCGTCCGAGCTCGCGCTCCTCGTTGTCACGACTGCAAATTGGCAAGCCCGAGTTCGAGTTTTCAACTGTGGCGGATAGCAGAGGAGCCGAGTCGACCGATAGGACGCAACTGATTGCACAGTTCATGGATGTTGGACGTCGGCTGATCAGCAAAATGGATTCTTTCCAATCGGCGAGGAAACGGTCTGAAGAATTCTCATCTGCTGTCAAGCAAGACCGTTCGAAGCGCATGGCAGGCGCTTCCCGAGCCAAAGTATCTAAGCCCCGTAGCGTGAGCTCTGGAAGCTCAGACGGAGACCTTGGGGACGAAGAGGAGGAGGGAGGGGAGGATCTGTCGTTGGGTTCGCAGGATGCCGAGCCCTTCGCAAAACCAGATTTACCACCAGAGATGCTCTACCGCCCTTCCTTATCCGATCTATTGAGGGATGCCTCTACGTTCAACATGTATCGACAGCGGGCAATCAACAGACGAATTCTCACGCAATGGATGAAAAAATGTGCTCAGGCACGCCAGGCTCATCAGAACATGGAGATGGTTGCCGTCAACAGGGATAGGGTCACTCTTCTTCGGCAGGCTTTCGGCACTTGGAACACTATCATTCGGAACAAAAGACAGGTGGCTAGAACGGAGAGATTCTTCAAGCACTTGGAAGAGCGCGCCGCTCGGGCTCGAGATTTATACTTGTTGACAAAAGCTTTTACCCACTGGGCTGCCGTTGCTTCAGATGAACTGGAAAGAACAACTGCGGCTCGACGTCATCTCCTCGGTGTCAAGTACTTCAATGCATGGCGTGAAATAACCGCAGTTAATGTTCTCAAAGCTCAGCGATTCGCGTTGCACCGGCCTCTACAGGCTTTGAAGAGAAAGGTTGATCATGTCAAAAGCCTAGAGGCACAGGCCGTTCTCCATCATGATTCAAAGCTGAAACACGGTTTCTACTGGCAATGGTTCTGGAGTCTCTGTGATAGACGTGCTCCTAGATGGCACGATTATTGCGTAAAGAGGCGGGCCCTGCTCTCTTGGCTGCGAACCTTTAGAACAAACAGAGAGCGTCTCCACGAGATTGAGATGAATAACAAGCATTCCGTGCTGAGATCTGCTTTGCAGACCTTGTCTGCAAGGTCCAAAGCAATCGTATCCGCTGAACAGAATGCCGTATCCATGCAGCGACACCGCGTCTTACAGAGTTCTTTCGACGAATGGAAGGTCCAAGCCCGTCTAGCACCAGCTGCTTCCCGTGTCGCAGATACGGCTGATATTCATATTCTACACTCAGCATACAGTCAATGGGTGAAACGTATCGACATGCTTAACCAAGCAAGGGAATTGGATCGGCGCAGGATTATGCGGAATTCGTGGGTTGCGTGGAACGATACGCTGCGCTGTCAGGCGCTCAACGCACGCATTGAAGAGCGCTTGAAGATTGAGACCATGTATAAATGGATACTGGTGGAGCGGTTCCACCTCATGCAACGAATCCGTGAACAGCGAATCAAACGAGAAGTTTTTTCTACGTTTGTGACGAATATTCGTGAGACATACACGCAACTGCTCTATCACGCCGATAACTATGAAGATCGTCGTAATGACGACTTGCTGCGGACCAAGCTCGATTCCTGGCGGAACCGGCTGGCTCTTCAACATCAGCGCGAAGATATGGCATTTGAATTCTACGCCCCGCGCCTTGTGCAAGAATCCCTTGTGGCATGGAGGTCAAAGCTCCAACATACGGCAAAACTGGAGGAGTGGTCCCGCGACGCTAGCTTCTATTTTGCTGCGACTCGCACATTGAAACGCTGGCATGCTGCAACACTGGACTCTGCTAAACGCCGTCGCCAGGAATCTTACGCAAGAGTTCGACGGTTGATCAAGGTCAACCTTGCCTCAAAGGCCTTCTCAGCTTGGCGGTCCAGAGCACATGATGTTGTTGAGATGGAGCAGCAAGCCGTGCAGCTAGACAGAGGAAAATCGCTAGACATTGCATCAGAACTGCTGGATCAGTGGCACGAGAGAACTGCAAAACAACTGCACGAATGCGAGGATGCCGACATCTCCTATTTCAAAAAAATTGCTTACAGCCAGCTGATACGATGGGCTGAGGGTGTGGTCGAGTCCCGTCAGTTGGAGGAGCAGGCAATTAGTGTGTATCGGCTTCATCTACTCGGCCAGGCCAATGCCTCACTTCGCAAGCTGAGTTTCCGCATATTTCAGATTCATAGCAACGCCGAAACTGCTGATGCCATGAAGGAACGCAATCTTAGGAAGCACTCGAGGGGGATGTTCCGCCTTTGGGTGGATAAAGCGAGGATGAGTCTTGAGGCTCGTGATTCTCCGGGACCCTTGATGAGTCCTACGAGGAACCTCAGCCGTGCTGCTACGAGTGGCACAGAACCATCCATCTTCGACCCTTGGCACGTCGAGACCCCGTTCAAGCTTAATGACTTTGTCCCCGAGCTCCAACCCACGTCCGCGACTCCACTAGCCACGCCCAACTTCATGACTTCACCGTCTAGGCGTGCAGCAAGGGCGCGAGCGCTAGCGCGAGCTTCTACAACTCCAGCAACGCCGCTCCAAACGCCGTTTGCCAGCCGACTTTTGCGAGAGGGGGTTTCTATACCAACCACATCGAGCCGACCAAATCGTAGCGGACGCCGGACGCCGTTGACCACGAGTGTTAGGTTCGCTGACCAGGATCCTGAGTCGCCCACCAATGGTAGGGGATCGTCCAACCGACGGCCATAATGCGAAGGGATTTTGTTTGCTGTATAGTCAGCTATTAGCGGGGGGTGCGTTGTATGATGAGAAGTATACTCTACTGGTATAAGTTTAGTATAGCAACAGTGATACCCATTTGCTTGAACAAGAGGCATGTACAGAATAGTATTTACGATAACGAATGAATCAAAATGATAGAGTCATGAGCCTAGGTTTCTGTTCCTCGTGATCTGCTCTGCTGGCTACAGTAAACTAAGCTAGGTACGTACTTCTGCGAGGAGGCGGAGCTTCAGCGCGTCATCGTTTGTCTGAGACTCTGGTCCCGCTCTGGAACCTCTTACACTTACCTGAGATTTCCGACCCTGTGCTGGCTCTACAGAGCTTCTGACATCGTTTCTTACTGTCCTTCTCTCTGGCCCGGCCTTATAAGAGCCCCACCTCGGCAATGGTGTCATGTCCTGTTTGAGCGCAACGAGCCTCTGACCTCCGAACAACAACCCCTATGCGAGCAGTTCTGCCGGGGCGACCCCCAGCGAAGCTCCAGTCTTTCAGCGCCGCGCTGTGGAATGGTCTTCGAGTTGTTGTGAGTCGCTTTGATGCATTGAATCTTCTGTTCTCCGACTGAAGCTGATCATGTCGCGTGTTTCTCTCAGGTGTACATCTCTGGCCAGGCACTGGTTATTCTCGGCGGCCCACACAAGCTCCTACAAACAATCTACGTCGATGACACGCCGGCCCTAGAAGCTGTCGCAATTGATGAAGCTTCAGGACGAATAGCTGTATGCGGAGGCCCGTATGCCTTTGTTTACCAGCCGTATGGGGTGCTGAACGAAACACTAAAGGTTCGTGAGTGCGACCGGGCAGCTGGAGTTGGTCCGAGAACGCTGCTGATATCTTTGCTTTCAAATAGTGGTCGTTATCCTCTACCTTCCGCTACGAAAATGATGAAGAGACGATTCGTACCATATCATGGGGTTCGTCCGATGAACTTCTTTTAGGGAACTCCCATCTGACACTATGGTTCTTGAACGATACACCGCGGGTGGCATGGAGGCAGAAGCTGGCGAGCCCGGCCAAGTTTGCGCAATTCTCGCCCGATTCGACCCTTATCGTCACAACGGGACCATATGATCGTTTCGTCAAAGTATGGAGGCGGCTCTCATTTGGCGCCGATGATGTGCGGTTTGATGTCTCGTATCTTGTACACCCATCCATCGTTACGGGATTTCACTTTCGCCGGCCCTATCACGGAGAACAATCGAAACCGAATGTTTTTTACACGCTATGCGCCGACAATAAGATCAGGGTCTGGGCGACAATTGATCATCATGCGCCCTCTGTGTTGCAACTATGGACACAGATTGATCTGGGCGTCTCTGTCCAGCCGAGGCATGCGGTAGATGGCGAGGATATATCCCGAAGGTATGGATTTATCATCGACAGTCGTGATTTCTGTAGCGCAACCGAGCGCGCAGTGCAGCGTGGTGCGGGGAACAGAGGGAACCATGCACTGGAACATATCATCGAGGTTGCGAATAAGAGCCCTGAAATATGTGTTGTCATAGACGGGCAGGGGCACATGTCTGCATGGGCGCTTGAAGATGTTGGTTCCAAGACCTGGACTGATTTGAATGTCTTCAATATTCTGCATGTTGAGGGGCTGGACTTTTCGTTCCTGCGGGGACTCTCAGCCGAGGAGGACTATGCGCAAATATGCGCATTCCAAAGCGACGATACCTCGGACTCGCTGGCGATTCTAATTCATCATTTTGACGGACGTATTGACTGGTTAGATTCACAGGTCGATGTGCTCTTTGATCCAGCACCCGTCAAAAATCGAACTATCCGAAAAGCGTCCTGGACTGGTCACATTGGTCCAATCCAGAAGATCGTTCGCAACGCTGTCGGAGATACTCTCACCTCTCGTACCAATGACAACAAAGTTCTAATTTGGAGACAGAAATGGAGAGACAGCGACTCGGGGCTGGTCCGCCAGAGCTCGCTATTTTCCGACGAACATATTCACCGCAGCTGTGTGGTCGAAGGCGGAGATTTCCTGGTCAATCTCCATCATAATGCAATATCTATCTGGGACGTTCGGTCTTTTCATGCTGAGAGGATTGCAGCCTCATCATTCAAGCTTTCAAGCAAACCGCTTTGCGTTCTGGAGATGCTTACGCCCGAGAAGGATGCTGGGCTCGTCTATATAGCTGCACTTGGGGCAGATATGAGCGGTATAGCTTGGGAGGTCCAACTTCCAGTGGCACAAAAACAGTCTACCGGCGGGCAACCGGGTTCCCTTTGTCACTTGAGGGAGTTTTGTACCTTTGATCTGGGGCTCAGGGAGGACATTTCGTACTTTCTTCCGGTGGACCCTGCGGGTCCCAGAACTCAAATGTCTGGTTTCTTCGATCTCTTCTCGCCGGATATAGCGCTATCCTACACGGCAACCGGCGTTTTGCGCACTTGGACAGCCAGAGTTGACAAGGGGAGGAGCCGGATAGAATGGCTCCTCACTTCCACTGTCGAAACAGGGATAATGAATCCTTCATTGGCTAGCGGAAGCTCTATAAAGAAGGCCGCGCTTGTCGATGAGGACCGCACACATCTCACAATCTGGGACACTAACGGTGCACAGCTGGAGTTTGAGGAGCACTTTTCTCAGCAGGATATAATACGTGACTTGGACTGGACATCCACTCCAGACGCACAATCAGTCCTAGCAGTGGGGTTCCCTCACAAAGTCATTTTGCTCTCCCAGCTTCGTTATGATTATCTTGATTCTCGGCCATCTTGGACCCAGATTCGAGAAATTTGGATCCGCGACCTGACGCCTCACCCTATCGGCGATTCTTGCTGGTTAAGCAATGGCCATCTTGCCATTGGGGCTGGTAATCAACTTTTCGTCTACGGAAACGAGATTGATGTGGGAGATCGCCTGGTCTCGCAGCTTCGGGTCCCGACTCGTGGTTCCCCGACCGTGGATCTCTTTGGGGTTGTTAGTCGACTCAATGGCCCGCTTCCTGTGTTTCACCCTCAGTTTCTTGCTCAGTGCATACTGAGCGGCAAGTCGAACTTGGTGCACTCAATATTGATGAATCTCCATCAAAAACTCAAGTTCCATACTGAAGGTGACGATATTGACGGCTTCCTGGACATGCCACTGCAGGATTTTTACTTTGAGCATGATGTCAGTAGGCCGCAACAAACCAATTTATATGCGAGATTAACATTATTATAGACACCACAGAAAGCGGTCTCAAAAGAGCTTCACTCGTCGTATGCCGATCTGTCTCTAGAAGAGGAGCCCACGGTCGTCGACGAAGCCATCGCAACCATTCTTAACGAGAATTTGGCTCGGATACCATTACCGCAGCTGACAAGTCAGGAGCAGTTCCGGTTAGTCGATACGATTGAATGTGTTGCCACCGTTGAGAAGCACCGGCGCTCAATGGATGACAATGCTGCTCGCTACCTCTTGTTTTTCCGACAACACATGTTGCGTAGGACTCAGGGGGTCGCAAACAAGGCTGCAGTGTCCTGGCGAGAAATCGTTTGGGCCTTTCACAGCAGTAGCCAGGAGATCCTTTTGGACCTCGTGTCCAGACAGTATGGCAGCAAGTTGACATGGAAAGCTGCTCGGGAGAGTGGCATGTTCATGTGGCTGTCAAGCCCTGCAACAATCGTAAGAGTCATCCGATCCTGGTGAGACATACGCTAATAGTCCACAGCGAGAGCAACTGGAGGTAGTCGCTCGGAATGAATATACCAAAACAGAAGAGAAGAATCCAGTCGACTGTTCTCTGTACTACATTGCACTCCGAAAGAAGAACATCCTTCAGGGCCTCTGGCGTATGGCCCACTGGAACCGGGAGCAAGCTGCAACATCAAAGCTGTTAGCGAACGATTTCCGGGAGGCTCGATGGAAAACAGCAGCTCTGAAGAATGCATATGCTTTGCTTGGAAAGCGGAGATTCGGTAAGTTACCGCTCGCTTCCCTCAAATAGCCGTAGCTCACGAATGGCAGAATATGCGGCAACGTTCTTCCTCCTAGCGGACCATTTGCGAGACGCCGCCCTTGTCTGTTTGAACCAGATTGGAGATATTCAGCTTGCAATTGCCATTACCCGCGCGTACGAGGGAGATGACGGTCCTGTCTTGAAAGAAATACTCGAAACTCGGGTCTTACCTGAAGCTGCTATTGACGGAAATCGTTGGATGGCTTCCTGGGCCTTTTGGAAGCTAGGTCGGCGTGATATGGCCGTGCGATCCCTTATTGTGAGTTATCACGCCATAACTAGTTGTTACCTTGCTAACTACCCGAGTCCTCTGTCGAATCTCTTATTCCCTCATCTCCCACCTCCCCGGTGACTCCTGGGGCGATTCCTTTGCAGGCCAAATCGTATCTTTCCAACGACCCTGCACTAGTCGTACTATACAAACAACTACGTGAAAAGACGTTGCAGACTCTGAAAGGTGCCTCAAAAGTATCTGTACAGTCTGAAACGAGTTTTGTCCTCCGCAATGCACGTTTATACACCCGGATGGGATGCGACCTTCTTGCCCTCGACCTCGTCCGCCATTGGGAGTTCTTAAAGGAACTGCCCTCCACTCAATTAAGAAAAGACAGCACAATCATCATGGTCGATGGCGAAGTCGACTACCGAAAGATGCTTCGGCGAAGAAGCAGCCTCGTCGTGGCAGATATCCCAGCTAAACTGAGTCTGGGACAAGAGCCAAAGTCTCCAGTTGCTCCGAAGAAGCTGCAGCAGCCACCTACCATGTTTCACGAGCCAGATGCAAACTCATTGCTTGATAGTTTTGGGTTCTAGGTTAATTTCTATTGCCGTTCTGTGCGTGTATAAATCCGGCGGAACTAGCTGCTTTTGAATTGCTTATTTGGATGGCGCAATCTGATGGAATAGTACTCATACTGATACGGAAGCAATGCTTTTTTATCTCAAACCATACCCGCAGAAGATAAAGGTATCAACTCACGCCCTCCAGGGAGACCACCTCTTCCGCTGCCTCCTCCACGTCAAGGGACTTGTGCTATTCCTGGCAGCGGTACCATTCGAGTGCTTCCCAAAAGCCGGCGCATGTAGCTTCGGGTGATGCACTCCACCCTTCTCCTTCTCCCTCTCCTCCCTCACACAATCAACCCGAACAAAAACCTCATTCAACGCAGAAAACTTCCTCTCTCGGCATTCACTCTTCTCCCCCGTCAAAGACCCTCTAACCTCCTCCACTAGAAGTGGATCACCAAGACACCCAGGACTTTCCCACAGCCTCACCACGCACTTTTCTGCCTCCGCGCCTTCTCCTCCCCTCCGCCACTCCCACTCCCTTCTCGCCCCCCGTAGCACGCCCTGCTGCTCCTGTCTCGTTGACGCAGAAACAAAAACATGGTTTACTTCCGAGGGATACAGGAGGGGGAGGGGGACAGGAACGGGCTGACAGATCCCGGAGCGGATCGTGAGCGATATACTGAAGGATTCGTTTAGCTCGAGGTCTGCCGGTTCGACGGCTGGGTTGGGGTTGGGGCAGGTTGGTGTGAATGTTGTTGTTACTCTGGTTGTGCGGAGGGCAGTTGTTGCTGTTATTGTTGTGAGGAGAAGGAGGAGGGAGGAGGGGAGTATTGTCTGGTTTGGGAGGGTCAGCTGGGTTCAATAATAAAGGGATGGCAGGGAGGATGGAAAGGTCTAGATACAGATTTCCAGTGCATGGTTTGGCTGTTCCTTGTATTGTACTCGTATCTAGAGCCGAACTCGAAGGAAGTAATATCAGGAAACAGTGAGAGCATTTAACAGTGATAGATTGTATAGCCAGATTAGATCAGTTCTATCTTACAGCGTCCTCTTCGTTCCTTATATCCCTTCCCCGGTCATAGCTCTTTCTGCCATCACGCGTCCTCGCGAATGTGTTTACACGGCTGGGAGGAACTCGGCTGCACGACACGTCTTGAATCTCAAAAATCTTGTGAGGCTTGCACTGAAACGCGACTTCTCGATGGAAATCCTTCGTGTGGAATGTGAGGTCTGAGCTCTGGCTTAGTTGAGGTATGTGGCGGTGCCTGAGCTTCACATTCCTTATACCTCTGAAAGGCAAAGAGTAGATAGCTGGTTTGAGGAGAGGTTTACTTCTTATTTCCGACTCTTGAGGAAAGGATTGCGGTATAATAATTAAGCTAGATTGGGTGAAGCACGAGACTGATGGATTAATTATTATCGAATTATTTGTGGTACATGATATCAAAGCCCAGCTGATACTTAGCAGAGCTTACAGACCAACACCCGACAGGAACCCGCCCTTGCCCTTGGGCTGTTGAGCAACCTGCTGCTGGCGGTTCTCCGCGCCCTCATCGTGGTCGTCGTCGTGGTGTTCATCGTGATCATCGTCATGATCATGTTCATCCTCACAGATCAATCGCACAGAGACAGACTTGTCAAAGTATCCATCCCGGACACAGCCGCTCTTAGCATCATTCTGGCCAGGCCAGAGGGGAACAACGGTCAACGGAATACCGACGCACTCATCGTTGGTGTAGACGCCGACAGCGTGGCAAGTGTAGGTGGTATCCTTGGTGATGGGCGTGACGTCGAAGGAGTACGCGTCAATGTCAAAGGAGTGCTTGGCCGGGAGCTGCGTGCAGGTGTCCTTGGTGACGACGGTGGACTCGGGAGTGTCAACGTTGTTGGTCGGGACATCACTGTTGCCGCAAGCTTCATGGTAGGCGATTTCGACGGTTGCGACGCCATAACAGTACACGGCGGGAGCGAGGGTCATTGCCGACGCGAGGATGAGCTGGTTTTGATTAGCTTATCTGTAGAGTAAATTGAGGAGAGTAAGCTCACGTTCGAGAAGTGCATCTTGTCTGTGTTGGGACTCTGAATTGAAAGGGCTCAAGGAAAAGTCGTGAATGTTGCGTGCTTGTGTAGAACTAAGCCAACATCAGCACCATGGCCTATTTATGTTTTCCTGGGGAAGGAACCAACGCGTCGGAGCATATAGATGTCCTTCATGGCCTTCATAGCGGAATCCATGGTTGTCCTTGGTTAGCGAAGGCGCTCGGAATGCAGGAGGCATTTGGCCGTGCTTCGAGTGCTTTTTCGCCTGGGTTTAGATCCTTGAGCCTGTCCATTCGATAGAATGATTAGGAAAAGATTTCCCCAAGGAATGTAGCTTTCCTTGAGGAGTCAATTATGCCTCGGGCTGTCGCGTCCGTTTAGCCTTCAGCCAAGGGGTGCCGTGCCTGACAAGAATGCAAGGGCCGCTGCCCATTTTGTGGACAAACATGAACCCTAAGCACGGATCAGCGGGAGTGGCTTCAGAGTCCATGGCTCCTTTCCAAGGACTTGCTTATACTATTGTATCTACATTCAGGTTTATCTCGAAGTGAGCATCTTCCAGTCCAAGTCCAGAGGTCAATATCGGTACAAGAAATCTTATATTGTATGTACGCTGAATCGAGAGGATCGGTCATGACACAACGTTCACAGGTTGTCCTCGACACCATCCATCAATCGCTAACTTGAGCTTTGTCGCATAATTGACCGCTGTCCTCTGGGATAGCCAAGCCAAGTGGGGTGTTGCAATTATATTGAGGTCTTTCGCGTCCTCCGCCACCAAAGGTGAATTTTCGGGACCTGCGGGTTCCTCTCTGAATACGTCTGTGGCTGCACCGGAAATCTTGCCCTCTCGGAGTGCCTTTACAAGGGCTTCCTCATCCACTGTGCCACCTCGCGAAACATTGACCAGAACTGCATGCGGAGACATGGATTCGAATTCTGGCGTCGAGATAAAATTCCGAGTAGAATCCAAGAGAGGTACGGCAACGAAAAGCACAGTGCTCTGCTTGATGACAGACTCAAAAGGTTCTCTCGAGGAGTCTGTTGCAGTGGACGACTTGCGGTCGGAGATTATTACCTTCATGCCCAGATTACTTGCCAGCATAGCGATTCTCTTTCCTGATCTTACTGTCAGATTCAGTAGCACAAGGAAAGCTAGATACTAGCACTCACCGACGCTTCCATTCCCAATTATTCCAGCGACCTCATCTTGACAAGTTAAAGGAGGTGTTCCATCCTTATCGACATAATCTAGCATCAGGAGCCCCTTCTGCCTCCACTTTCCCGCTCTCGTTGCCACATGCATGTCCAGTAGTTTTCGCCTAGCGGCAAAGTACATCCCTATCGCGTGCTCGGATACAGCCTCGATATTCGAATTAGGGCAGTTGCTGACCACGATTCCTCTTTTCCTACATGCCTCGAGATCGATACAGTCGTAACCCGTGGCCACCATGACAATGAGCTTGAGATGCGGGCTAACCTCCGGAGACAGCGCATGGGCATCAATTCGGACGGCAGACAAAGCAATTATGGAGGCATCGCGAATACGTTCTGGGACCTGGGCGGCCGTGGTCCAATTATACACCGTCTGAGAATATGTGAGCGGTGCGGGGAGGTCGAATTGAGGAATTTGTAGGACATCTCCTTGGAGAAAGACCATATGGTGGTGTTCTGCCGATGGGAGAGGCATATTGCGGGAGCTGTCTGGGATCGTTTGACTGCGAACTGTGTTCGAGTAGACGGCGAGTTGGTCTGCTATTTATCGCAGGACCGGCGGCTCATACAAGCAGCTTATCATACGCGGATATCGGGGGAAATGGTGGGGCGGGCGCCCTGTGGGTGACATGGTGTAGTGAACGGATGGGGCCGTGAGCCATCATATAAGGCTTTCGTAAGCTTGAACTGTCAAGTTTCAAGACCAGTATGCTGAAGATATCGCTTCTGGGTCTCCCGGTTCTCCATACTAGCATGAATGAGAGCCATAGACTCTGAATTGTCACGGTGCAGCCATGCTACTAGTTTGCAGGATCTCAGCCATCGATGCGGAGGTTATCGCTCCTCCGGACTTATCGCCTTTCTCTCGATTAGTCATAGGGATGCCTGTGACGCGATCTCCTCACTTCTCCTCATCCTCCCTTCCCATCTCTCTTTCTGCCTAACTGACTGAGCTAGGCTTCAAGGGTCGATGCAGAACCGAGCTGATGAACTACCATTCGATCGCCAAACCAGGCGATCCCGCTCGCAATAACCCCAATATGACATCGTCAACTGTCAATACTGCGGGCTCTCAGCCGTCTACGGAAATGCCACCCCGCAGCTTCACATTGCGGTCACTGCTAGTCGGCCTCGTCATCGGTGCCATGATCACCTTCTCGAATACCTACTTTGGATTGCAGACAGGGTGGATTAGTACCATGGCCATGCCTTCAGCATTGATTGGGTTTTCCGTCTTCAAAGTCTTTTCGAAATACCTCTCATACCCGTTCACTCCCATCGAGAACGTCCTGATACAGACAGTGGCTGGTGCGGTGGGAACAATGCCCTTAGGATGTGGCTTTGTTGGTGTCATTCCTGCCCTGGAATTTCTCATAAAAGATGGCGAAGACGGGCGGTTGGGCGACGGTGGTACTGGAGAGGGTGGCCCATTGAGGCTCAATTTCTGGAAGTTGGTTTTGTGGAGCCTGGGAGTATGCCTCTTTGGCGTAGTCTTTGCCGTACCGCTGAGGAAGGAAGTGATCATTCGCGAGAAATTGAGATTTCCCAGTGGAACGGCATCTGCTTTAATGCTCCGAGTGTTGCATGGGTCTGGGAAGAACGAGAAAGCGACGACCAGAAGCGCCGGTCAGGTTGAAGACGAACGAGATGAGGAGGAAGCCCGGGCACCTTTGCTGTCGCGAGGTTCCCAAGAGCGCGAGGCTGAACCGCAGCCGAGCGTTCTAGACTCAAATGATACGAAAAAAGACTGGAGATCTAAAATGCATCTTCTGGTTGGTGCATTCGTAGCATCCGGCATCTATGTAAGGCGAGCCCTCACATTTTTAGAACAGAGCGTTATATTGATGATGATAGACGCTCTTCTCCTACTTTGTACCCCAAGTCCGCGATATCCCGATCTTTGGCCTAACTCTTGCCCACGACTGGTTATGGACTCTCAATCCGTCCCCAGCATACGTGGGGCAGGGAATCATAATGGGCCCATCGACTTGCATGCACATGTTGTTTGGAGCTGTGTTAGGCTGGGGTGTCTTGTCACCACTTGCAAAAGCACGCGGGTGGGCTCCAGGGCCTGTAGACAGCTGGGAAGATGGAAGCAAGGCCTGGATTGTGTGGGTATCGCTGGCCATCATGCTCGCAGACTCGATTGTCAGTCTTGGCTGGTTGGTAGTGAAACCCGCCGTGGCGGTTGCACCGAGCCTTGTACGCGAAGTCGTCAACAGTCGGGTCGGGCGCTGGATCGCCTCAAAAAGCTCCGCAGTCACTGACCGCCACAACTACAACTACTCTGCCCTGCAACCTACTGAGGAATCGGTGCAGACCGACTCTGCTCAGGCTACCAATAAATCCGAGATTGAGGAGGAGGAGGATGCACGACCATCCCAGTTGATCTCCATGCGAACAGTCCTCATCCTCCTTCCACTAACTTTGATACTGAACGTTATTTGCATGCACATCGTCTTTGGCAACGTCATATCCCCCCTTCTTTCAAGCCTCGCCACACTACTCGCCGTCCTTCTCTCAATAATGGGCGTCCGCGCCCTCGGAGAAACAGACCTCAACCCAGTCTCCGGAATCAGCAAACTAACCCAACTCCTCTTCTCCCTTGCAACACCCTCTGCCCACTTTTCCCGGCGCTCTGCTCTAATAACGAACCTCCTCGCCGGTGCCGTCTCTGAATCTGGCGCCCTCCAAGCAGGCGACATGATGCAAGACCTCAAAACAGGCCACATCCTCGGCGCAAGCCCGAAAGCCCAGTTCTACGGCCAGATGATTGGCAGTCTCGTCGGTGCCGTGCTCTCCACAGCCGTCTACAAGATGTACGTCAACGTATACGAGGTCCCGGGACCAATGTTCCAGACTCCAACAGCCTACGTCTGGATCTTCACTGCCCGTCTTGTCACCGGGCAAGGTCTGCCCCCGATGGCGTGGGAAGTTTCCGTCCTCGCCGGCGCAGCCTTTGTAGCTGTAACTGTGCTCCGTATCATGGCTGCCTCGCCGATCGCCAATGGCGGCCGTCCCCACGGCGTCGCTGCGCCATGGAGATCGTGGATCCCCGGCGGCATCGCCGTTGCCGTAGGCATTTTCAACGTTCCGTCTTTTACGCTGGCCCGAGCCATCGGTGGTATCATCGCCTGGTGGTGGGCTCGAGGGCACTCGAGAAATGATGAAAACTCATCAGCTGATCGTCCCGCGATGCCACGAACAGACGCCGACGACCCTACGAAACCCACTGCCCGTGCTACTGACGATGCAGATGCTGCCTCGTCAAGCGTCGTCATTTTGGCTTCGGGGTTAATTCTCGGTGAGGGAATCATGAGTATTGTGAATCTACTCCTAGCTAGTGGGAGTGTCCCTCATCTTTGAGGAGTTGTTTGGCGTTCTATATATATTTCATAGCTTGTTCGGATATTTGGCAGTATCAACTAGATAAAAGCATGACTTGATGTGATAATTCGCGTTGTTAGAACATATAAATATGATGTCTCTCGGTCTTGGCTATGATATGAATGTTTTTTTTTTTTTCCCCTAATTTTAGGATTTAGAAACTTCATGATCCCTTCAGATCAATTACCAGATAGTACGGAATACTGAATCAGCGTCTCAAGAAAATGTGCCATACAGAGCGATTCGAGTGAAAACTAGGCACAACTTGATAGTGATCGCTATCAGTAACACTGTACATTAATGTATTAATCCAGCGGCACGTATGAAAGGAACTGAAGTCGCAAAAACACTTAGGCTAGCACAAGACAAGGCTAGGAGAAAAAATTGATTGTATAAAGGATATCGAGACAATAGTGTGTCAAGAAATGAAATAGAGCATATTTATCTCATACAGAAGATCTTACAAATATAAGGGGTATATCCCGTAAACGGACATACGCGTCTTCCTTCAACGAGGAGGGAAAGGAGCAAGGCTAGGTTCCCGCGCTTGCTGTTTCGTTCAATGAAGAAGCGTGGGGGTTTGAAACGTCAGCATGAAAAGTGAAATCAAAGTTGGAGAAAACCAAGTGTTGAAGTGGGATAGGTGACGAAAAAAGAGCAAGTATAGAAGAAGTTGGGTCACAGCGGCGGCCACTAGGGGAAAAGAACTCGCGTGCTCTCCTTTTGGCGGCAATATTGCTGGTCTGGTTCCAAGGCGCTCGATTGAGTTTCAGGAATGTGATTGTCGGCTAGTTCATGCGTCGTTGGTAGGAGCAGGTGCTGGGTTTGTGGGAATCGCCGGAAGAGCACTCGATGGGGGTGGTGCAACAGGAGCAGCTAGAGGACTCGAACCTGGCCCGGCAGGCGCCCGGGGATTTGAGCCAATGGCGCCTCCGGTGCTGTTGCTACGTTGTCGTTGATTGGCAGCGGGCATTTCCGGTCTCCGCAGGCCTGGAGGTCCATAGGGCCCAGGGCTCATTGATCGTGGCACTGGTCGAGGCCCAGGCCCTGGAGAATATGACCTTGGGACTTGTGGGAATTGGGCCGGAGACATGGATCGAGGAGGCTGGATGTGAGGGGGTGGAGGTCCGTATGGGCCTTGTGCAGGAGATCTTGGACGAGCGGGAGACATAGGGCGGGCTGGAGACATTGGACGAGATGAGGGCGAACTAGGTCTGCTACCATCCTGAGGATAGAAACGCGGAGGTTGAGGCATACGGCCAGCAGGTCCCATTGCTGGCGAGCCTGGAGGGCCCTGAGGTCCTGGAGGACCACGTGGGCCAGGCCCAGGGGCAGGGCCAGGACCAGGACCAGGACCAGGACCAGGACCAGGACCAGCGCCGGGCGGCGGTCGAGCGCGAGGCTTCACAGGACGCGCCGAAAGACAGGAGCGAGGCACCACTCCTTGTTGCGACCGATCCAATCTTACACAGAGAGCCCAGCCGTCATCATACTCGTGTAAGAGCCTAACCAGTTGACCAGCATGGAGTTCCAGCTCATCATCCATTGAGGGCGCAAAATCTAGCTGTACACGGTGTACGTTTGTCGGCATGGCAGCAGCCCCAGCACCAGGTAGTGGGACTGGGGTGGAGGCTGGGTCAACAATGTTGGAGTTAGGAGCCGTAGGAGCAGGAATTGAAGAGGCCTCTGAATCGGAGCTTGCAGGACGGCTTGGCGCATCTTTTTCGCTGCTGTGAGCAGCGGCAGCAACGACGGCAGCACCAACCATGACACCAGCCGCAGTGGCAGCGGCGGCTGCAGACCCAATATCTTCCCCCGATGGAGATGCACTTGGTGCTGGTCCGGCAGGAGCGGACAGTGAGGCGACAGGGCTTGGTCCAGTAGCTACAGGGGAGATTTCTGGCTGCTGGCTGGGAGTCGAGGCGTTGGTGATAGCAGAGACAGGGGAGGGAGGGACCTCTGCCTGGCTACCGAATGGATTGACCGGATCGCGGAAAGGGTCTCGGGTGCTCACACTGGATTGCGGTGTGTGCATTTGTGGGGTCTGAGGTGGTGAGTTACCGGTGAGGTTACGCGATAGAGCGGCGGCTGGTGCGATAGCTGCTGCTGTGCTGACTGTGGATACGGGTGTGACACCACCTTGGATTGGGGTCAAGTCCGGAGCGAATTGAGTGACGGGTCGCACATTGAGCTGGGGAGGACTGGACTGGGCTATAGGTGGGAGAGTTGGCTGCAGTTGCTGTTGCGGTTGCTGTTGGGGTGGTGAGCTGTAGCCTCCATACGACTTTTCGTTTGGTGCGTCGTTTTCTTCCAGCTCTTGCCCCTGCTGCTGTTGCTTTTTCTTCTTCCATATAAAGAAGAAGATCAAACCAGCAATCAAACTGACACCGAGGATCACGCCTATAGCAATACCCGCTTTCGCGCCCGATGACATGCCCTCGGAGCCAGAGCCAACGGCGGCAAGGGAACCTGTTGCAGTGGCCTCATCGGCGACAATAGTGGTGGTCGTACTAGTCTCGTCGGAGTCAGTGCTGGTCGACGTGATTGTAGAGAGGGTGGTGTGAGTAGTCGTTGTTGTCGAGTCATCTGTCGTGGTCTGGGTTGTAGTCACTTCGGTAGGTTCTACTGTTCGGGTTGTAGTTCGAGATGGCGCTCGGGTTGTGGTGGTCTCATCTTCCTCCTCATCATCGTCGTCGTCGTCATCGTCGTCCTCAGAATGTGTACTTGTCTGCGTAGGCTTGGATTCTTCCTCTGTGCTCGAACGAGTGGGTCGAACAGGTTCACCAACGACACCAGTCTTTGTAGTTGTGTCGTCCTGGCCCTCCGTCGAGTAGCCAGCTACGGGGCCATCAAAAGTTGGTTCCGCGGTGATATAGATTGTGATGCCGTCTGGGTCACGCGCCTCCAGATGGGTGTGGCCGTGATGGCCGTGAGCGTGTACCATTTTGTAGTTTTTGCAGGTGTGTCTCGTCCTTCACCGACACGATATCCGCTGTAACCCGATATTCAAACAAGAGACATATGCCCGGCGATTTAGCAGGTCGAGTTTTAGGGTCTGGGATAGACGTTGATGAACCGACGTTTCGCAAGTGAGCAGGATGAGCGGTATTGGGAATGTCTTCTTCGAGTACTGTCAAAGCGATGAGGCGCGTTTCGGGGCGAAAAGAGCGCAAGCGCGTAAAGGAATGTGAGGTGAGAAAGGAACGTCAAGTATGTGTATACTCGGAGACGGCTGGAGGACAACCGTGGAGGGAGAAAGAATGACAACGAGCTTCCAGGCCGCAAGGATCAAAAGAGGGAAAAAAGGAAGAAGAGAAGAATCACAGGGTCTCTGCGAAGGAAAGGAAGAAGGGAAGATGAGGAGGATGACGGGCTGAGGCTGTGGCCCTGGGCCTGTGCCAACAATGAGCGGAGCGAGTATTATTATTACTGTGATGAGGAGCAGGAACCCTCGGAAGACAGCCCAGCCTTACCGTACGTTGTATTTCTCGAAAATACCACAGCCTGGACTCTCAAACGAAATGAGATGATCAAACCTCAAGGTCACAAAGCTTGGAAGGCCAATCGCAGTCCTAGATTCGACCGGGTGAAGGAAGGGGCGTTAACTGACTCTGGCTAGCGCTTCGACCATCCCGCTCCTGTCAGGGCCCAGGCTTTTCTGATTGGAGATGGATTATTAGATTACCGTGCCTGGTAACAGCTTGACAGTACCTATGTAAACACGGACACGAGGGACTCGGGGTTGCTGGGATGAAAGCGAACAGCGAAAGGTAAAGATTTTCCTGGGCCTTGGAGGTGTGCCATTGACTCTATATTTGGCAGTCGACATGCTTTCCAACACCTAGGAAGAGTGTCATGACCATCTAGGTTGTCGGAAGCGACAAAACCAGCAAAACTCATGTCTCCAACATCACGGTACTCAGTACCAAACGGTCCCTGAACCCTTCAACCTTCGACTCAGGGGTCTGCTCACTGGGCGGGGGGGGAGGGGGGTGAGTCTTCTGGAGGAGTCGAACCGTGGCTCAGACACACCACAAGCAAGAAAACAGAGAATCACGGAATTCTCTCTCCTCATTTCACAATTATTATTATTATTATGATTCGTCAAAGGGCGAATTCGCATCTTGTCCGCACTGTGCATAATACACTGGATAAAAATTGAAGTGACAATGACTCGGATGATTGGTCTGTATCACCTCATCGCTAAGTGCCTGACTCCGTCACTCCGGCTGTCCCGGGCGAAATTTTGGCCTCTTCGCTTCTGACATGGTTAAACAAATCTCCAGCTTTTTGGTTGGCATCTCGTGGAAATCAGCCTTGTCGAGCCTGCAAATGACGATGAATGTCACCTTATAACTGACTTAAAGCCAAAGTGAAACAGACCGTCAAACTTAGACCCTCTTGACGGCCACAACGGTTGGCTGAGAGATTGGTCCTCAGCCCACGTCCCCCACCACTCCGCCCGAGGTTCGCTGCCAAAAGGCTGAAACCTATTATGTTCAAGGTTCAACAGCGTCAATGTGCTTCTCTCGCTATTATTCGCGGAGACTTATCCAATGAATATGAGCATGGCGACGAGTAAGCCGGTCGAGCGGTTGAATCACGATGCGACATCCTTGAGTTTTAGTAATCTCAACTCGTAGAAGCGGGGCCTTCACCGCCTTTAGCACGAGAAGTAGGGATGTTGCAAAGCCTATCGAATTGTTAAAACTGATCCGAATCATGATTGCTCAGCAAGGTATGAAGAACATACCTGTTCGGCAGATATACGCTGGCCACTCTCATAACAGACCAGCTTGCTCACGAGGTCACGTCCATTCGACGATGAACCCGGAAGAATCTCGTCCCAGTGCTTCGCTGGGTACTTGTAGAACTCAATCTTACCCCAATCTGGAAGACTATTGGTCTCCTGGCGCTTATCAGTAGTGTTTCTATGCTGCCCATGTAATGGGCTAAACTTACCGACCAGGAGTCCTGATCTGGCGTCCCCAGCGTGGTAAATATTGATTGAATGAGTGACAGATCGCTCCCAACGGGGCCTGCATCAAAGAGTTGATGATGTCCCACTGTCACCGCCTCTGCGACGACACAACCAGCGGCCCATAGATCGAGAGCTGTCCCGTATCCCTTGAAACCGAAGAGAACCTCGGGCGGCCGATAGCATGTAGTTCCCACGTCAGTAATCTTTTTATCAGCGGGTTCGGCCTCTATGCCCCCTTCGTGCCAGGCAATCCCAAAGTCTGCCAAGTAGGCTGGTCCATTACGTGAATCAAACAATATGTTCGCGGGCTTGATGTCTCTGTGTATGATTCCTAGCTTGTGCAGAAATCTTAGAGCACTAAACATATCTCGGAGGACAGATCGAGATTGCGCTGCTGTCAGCATATCTCGACGGAGCAATGTTTCAAAATCATGCCTCTTGAAAGGAAAGACGAGAACAAATCGGCCTCCATCGAGTTTGAATGTTTCCAGCAATGGTATAACATGATCGCTTGCTGCCTGGCGCAAGAGCTGGACTTCGCGCTTGGCGTCATGGGGTGCCTCTAGGAGATGAGGGACGGTGATCTTCAGCGCAACAAGTGTACCGTCATCACCCTTGGCTTTGTATATCGTCGAGTGAAGGCCATCAAAATGATGAAGACAAGCTTCGTATTTACCAATACTCTCGTCAGATTCCCAGCTTGTAACGTTCAGATCATCATCTGACTCGCCAGATCCGGGAACAGCTTGCGCTAAAACAGTATCCTCTGCTGCATCGAGTGCTTTTTGGCAAAGTAGCTCATACGCTTCCTACCTACACTTAGCAATATTCAGACAGCTATTGCATTAGTATGCAGACCTAACCTTTGATGTAGCTTGATCATATGCTTCGCTCTCTAGTCTTCTCGCCTGGTTCTGTGCTTCAATGAATGCGGCAGATGATGACGCTCGCTGGTGGGCGGTGGTCCTGGAGCAGGAAATTCAGCATGAGCATAGACGTATATGTTTTGAGTCCTTACAGCGATTGAATGACCTTTAGCCGATCCGTGAAACCCAAAGCTTTTTTCCATTCCATGGTTTATGAGAGGTTGTCGTCTCAAATGTAGAAAGACGTGACATGTGACCATTGGTGCCTTAGTCATGCTTCCCGCGGCCGGACAACCCATCATCGTCATCACCATTGCTTCCGTCGACCTCCACCGGCAAGTCTGCTCGCTCTCTCTTTCTTGTGTGTCTCAATCGCTCTGTATCTGCTTGCTTTGCTACGCTACTATTATGCGCCTCTCCGACAGTGGTTTCCCCTGCTGTGCTCTATGAGAAACAATGGATCTTTCTCGGCAGGAGTATCCAGCGTTGCTGGTACGGTCGACCCAACCCCCAATTGCCCGGCCCTTTCCGCTTTGTGCACACATTGAACTATAATCCGGCTGGTCTTATCATCTTATACTCTGTGTCTCACTCTTCGCTCTAGGCCTCTTTACAACCCGGCCAGGCGGCTACTGTACTTGCTGATCGTGTTCGCGTCATCAACAAGGTCAATGCGGATATCGCAGATTGGCTGCAGGTAAATGCCCTTTTGACCTGTGTCACACAGTTGGGATCGTGTGGGGCTGACTTTTCAATTCCTCTTGATAGGAGCGCCGCCGTATCGAAGAAGCATATGCGCAAGGATTGCGGAAACTCGCACATCGGCCTCAATTGGACAATGCGGCCGCCTTGGGGTAAGGCTAACTATCCCTGCTTGCTTTCGCTTCTATTCGCAGCCGTCATGCACAAAACATCACTGGCTACAGCAGGACTAATGGCAAGTGTCTGTTTTGGAACACAGAATCTTCCAGTTACCATGGCAGCGCATCGTGAACTCGGTTGAAACGGTGGCTACCTCGCATGAAACTCTCGCAAAGAAAATAGATGAGGACGTCGAACGCCCGCTGAGAGAATACAATACCAAGAACAAGGAACTCGCTGCGATGCCTGCGGTCCAAAGTGACCTTACCAACCTGGCAAAGAATCTGGAAGCCTCGCAGAAGAAGGTTGACAAGGCTAAAGAAAAGGGTCCAAAGGGCGCAGACAGATTATCCACAGCTGTAGCTGCTGCCCAGGAGGCGAATCAGCAATGGGAGTCGAGAGCGCCGTACGTTTTCGAGCAGCTCCAGGCGGCAGATGAAAGTCGACTGAACCACCTGCGGGATGTTTTGACCCAACTGGAAACTCACGAGTCGGATTCGATTGAGCGTTGTCGCCAGGCCGCAGAAAGCTGCCTGAATGTTCTCCTCAATGTGGAGACGGCTGATGAGATCAAAACGTTTGCCGCAAAGATCAATGGAGGACGACCAGTTGCGCCGCTTCGGCAACAGACATCATCGCCTGCCCTAGAGCCACCTCTTCCACCTCCACCGCGCATTCATGATGATGCTGCTAGCCAGCGCTCAGAAAGTTCCGGCCGCATTAGACCACCACCTCCTGGTGAGTTTCTCAAGGCGACGTAAAAGTGAATCAACTAAGTAATACCCCAGTACCTGAATCCCGACACGGCACGGCTTTTGGTGGCCTGAGACGGCTGGGCACGGTGATGAACAGGCGAAAGAGCGTTGCTCTCCCTTCTGGGGGCCCATCGGAAAAGAAATACCGCAGTCCCTTCTCCTTCAAGAGGGCTGATTCTCGTGACATGCAGATACCAGAGGACGCACGAACAGAGCGTCCAGGAACCGCACTTACCTCACAAGACAACTATACCGAATCCACCCGAGTCCAAAGTGAGTCCAATGAGCGGGAGAGCCATGATCGCGTGTCAGCTAGTCCAGTACCTCCTCAATCACCGCCTGGTGCTGTGAACGGACTCGGGTCCGGATTCACTTCTCAAGAGAGCCCAGCTGGAGCGGGCACTAATGAAGTATGTTTCGCTGCCGTTGTTTGGATTCAGAAACTAATGCTCGTGTATAGCCACGAGTGGATTCGGAAGGGTTCTCGGAACGGCCGCAAATAATCGACGAAATTACACTAGCTCAGCGCGAGGCAGCCGGGTATACTTGATATACACCCAATGTAGGGCCAGATAGAAAGCTAATTTTACTACAGACAAGAAGAATCTGGGCTGAACCTGACAATTCGGGACCAGCCGATTCCCGAGGATGAAAACCAGGCCAAACAGGCACTGGACGATATGGCCAATCAACTAAGACTGGTAAATTTTTTTTCCTGGAAATTAATGTTTGGCTAAATCGCTAATCTCTCTCTAGCAAGCCCAGCAGAGCGGCATCAGACGGAATGCAGGCACCATCCGTGGTCGACGCGATGTTCGTAATACGGTGTTTATTCCGACTACGCCCACGCAGGGCAATACTACCGTTCCTGGTCTAGCCATGGCTCAGAACGGCTCCGAGCCTGCTTCTCCGATCTCACCATCAACGAAACATGCTGCCTCTCCTAGCAATGCTACAGAGGACCACACCTTGTCGGACACGACTTCAATTCGTTCATCACATACTCTACATAGCATTTCCGGCCCTGTTTCGCACCCGGAATTGCACGAACCGGGTCTGAATGCATCTATTATAGAAACCGTCAACGCTTGGTTCTCAGAAGGAGCAGTCACGAAATCCTTTGTTGTGGGCGAGCTCGCACTGGCCTTCAATGGAACGCCCGAGGTCTCAACGGCGGAGAAAGTCCGAGTGCGTCTTGACAACTTTCAGGTTCTGGAAAAAGTGGCCGCAAACCCACACTTTACTCGCGAAATAAAAGACCAGGACCAGTCTGACGACAAAACGGGCGAATACGATATCGTCCTCTCCAATCTCATACGGCCTGTTCCAACTGTGGCTTTCAAATACCAGGTACACATTAACCCGGAAGATACCTCGGCCTTTTGTCCCGTCATCTTCAAGCCAGCCTGGAATATCGAAGAGTTTCAAGCTAGTGTTATCATATTTTACTCCTTGAACCCTGCATTCGCATCGTCTGCGTCAAAGGACTCGATAACTTTGACGAATCTGGTTCTCACTGTCAACTTGGACACTTCTCCCCAGGAAGATAGAGAGGTGGTGCACGCTACTAGTGCTGTCATGTACCCCAACACTGGAGCGGTTTTCCGGCGCAAGCAATCAGCAGTCATCTGGAAGATCCCAGAGTTCGAGGTGACCAGCGGATCGGACGGAAAATTACTTGTTCGTTTCTCAACAGCCAATAGCTGGCCACAGAAGGGCAAGGTCGAAGCAAAATTCGAGGTTCGTTCTGCAGAGGCTGGATCTCGACTTGGGATAAGTGCTGCTTCCCGACAGGGCGAGGCGGTCCGAACAGGAATCGATCCTTTTGCCGATGAAAGTGGCCCAGCTCAATGGAAGGAGGTCCCGACAATACGCAAGCTGGCTGCTGGGAAGTACATATCTTCCTAACACAACTTCGCATTGGATACCCTTTTCCAGCATACTCGACCCCAAGTCATTAATGACCCATATCAAGACCCACCGCAACGGCTTTACGATTCTTGGCTCAATTCGCCAACTATCATTGCAGAGCTTCCCAACAGTACATACTATCGCTTCAGTCTTGTACAACCTTTCTTTTCTTCTCTTTGGCCCCTCGTACCTCCGCTTTCCATTCCCTTCTACCTCTGTTTCTCCTTTTTTTTCTGCTCTGTCTATCCCTCTTGTGCAGTTCTCATAAAGTACCCACTGCTGCTTTTCTCCGTTCCCATGTTCAGATATCTATGTCCCATACCATTCCCCTTTCCTTGTCTCTTTTTCATACCAACCTAGTTCTCATTGGACCACACGTTGGCAACGACGAGTTTGGTTGAATAATGGCCTGTAAATAATTTTGTTGCTTACTGTTCTATGCATTATATCCAGAGACGTCAATACATAATCTGGGAACAGAGTACTTTAGGCAACGCCGAGGCACATGTACACTTTCCGGCCTGCCAAGACAATTTTACAACTGAACTTCCTAAAATTACCGTACTCTCAAGAAAGGATGACTTTTTGAGCATGGTATGGAGAGACTTGAATGTAAAAGAGTGCCGGGATATCATTCAAATCAAGGGAGACCTGACCTAGATAAGCAAGTATATATTGACACGAACAAAAGAGACCGAACAAAACGCGAAATAATTGAGTGATTTAGATACGCGCGGCCCTGGTTGTCTTATCATAGAAATCCAGTGTCATCGCCGCCAGAAAGCATGGTATATCTTTCCTTTCCTCGACCCAGAACTTGATAAGATGCTTTATCTCCATCGCAAAGAGACTATTTGGCCCGCTCGAGATCTTCATCGTCCCTTGCTCGCCATCGAAGATGATCGAATTCTCGTCCCCGTTACCCATGCTTCCGGGACCCCGGGAATCGGACCCGGCCTCGCTATCCCCATGCCTGTAGGCGGGGGAGAGGTGGAACATAGACGTCACGCGGACTCTGCCGTTGGGAAGGAAATCGAGCTTGTACCCTAGCAAGGAGGCGACTGCTTCGCGGAATTCGGAAGATTTGGCGGTCCAGATTTCTTTGAGGCGGCGCATGCGCTTTTCCTTGTCTGCGACCACGTGCTCCATGTCTTGGATTTCGAGCTTCATGCTTTCGAGGGCGCTGACGGGTACGACTTTGATGTCGGTGGGATTGCCGCAAAGTTGGGCTAGGAGATCCCGGTTTTCGGCCTTGAGAGTGTTGAGGGTGGAGAGTTTGATGTTTTCTGCTTGTGCGGTAGGGTTATCTCGAAGTTCGAGGATGCGGGTCCGTGATTTGGCCTTGAGGGATTTGAGCTGCGATTTTGTAGCTTCCAATTCCTTTCGTTGGAGTTTCAGAGCTTGCTCAGATTTGGACAGTGACTCCTGTAGTGTCCTGTTCTTTCTCGACAGGACGGCAAGCCGTTCACTTTCTGCGTCACTTTCGGCAGGTGATAGGGGTCGTTTCACCCCTCTGGGTTCTGAACTTTCTGTCTGGGCTGTTTCACGTTTGGACAATTCTTCATGAGCCATTGCAAGTTCCTGTCGGTATTCGTCAAGCATCTTTTCGAGGTTGACAATCTGCTCAGCCTTTTGTGCATCAAATTGGCCCTGCTCTGCGTTCATAGTCTCCTCCTCGGTGTCGAATGTCTTTAGCTGAGCGCGTAGATATTCGACTTCCTTCATCGCCAGTGCTCGTTGCCGTTCAAGTCGAGCTTTGACACGACTTTCCAATGCTATTGGCCCTGCAACTGATGTTGTGGCAGCACGAAGCTTTTCGACCTCTTGTCGCAAGTTGGATCGTTCAGTTTCGAGACTCTTGATGAGCTCGTCCTTTTCCAAGAATTGGGCTTCCACACTTCCAAGCTTGTCCAGGGCGCTGACTTTTTCAATCTGCTCCTTCAAGAGAGCCTTGACGACCGCTTCCGGGGAGTCATACTCTGGAGGCTGCTCGTTGTCCTGTAAAAGGCTGGCCCACGATCGTCGCTCGTCCTCTAAAACTTGCTTCTGGATCTGTACCGTCCCCAACTCTGCCTCGACCCCCTTCATGAGTTGCAGCTGATTCTCCAATGACTTCTTTTGCTCCTCGACCACCTCTACATTGCGCTGCACTTTTCGCAGGTGCCGCAGCTCTGCGCTCTGCTCTCTGGTTGTTGTTTCCAAGCCCCTAATATGGTTGACTTGATCGGAGAGCTCTCTTTTGAGAACAACGAGCGTTTCTGCATCGTTCCCCTCAGCCTTTAGTCGAATATTCTCCGCCTCCAAGTTGGCGACGTCTGCTTCGCGTTCACGAAGCTTATCTTGTGCCGCCTGGGCATCGCTCTTTGCATTTTCAAGGTCCTTGTGTAACTCCTCTAGGGTTTTCTGAAGGGACGAGCGGATCGTTTCGAGCTCATTCACCTGGTATTTGAATTGCCTTTCTTGGTCAAGCGATTGTGCTTTGTTGTCCTCAATTTCCTCCTTCAATCCCTGATTCTGGTCCTGGAGGCTGCGTACTTTTCGCTCGAGATCGACCTTTTCATTGAGTGCATTATCCTGTGCTTCTTTCAGCTCTTTTGCCAATGTTTCGCTTTTGTGACTGGCGCGGTTGCTAGATGATTCGGCGGCCTAGAGGAATACGTTAGACGAGACGTGTTGTATTAAGCGAAGTGACAGACCTGCGCTTTTCGAAAATCGGCGTCCGCTTTGAGCTGCAGGTCACGTAGCTCTTTATCATGGCGCAGAAGCATCAGGTCGCGCTCCTGCTTAAAGTTCTCCAGCTCATATCTCAGTGTATTCACCTGCACGCGGAGCTCGTCCTTTTCCGGGTCTAGAAGTTAATTAATACAGGAACGACGCGTGACTAGGTACAGCGACGTCAACCCACCGGGTTTCGAAGGGCCAGAGGCATGGACGGACTGTCGCAAAACGCTTGGAGCTGGGGGAATGGACAACGGCGAGGTGTCCCTTATCGGAGAGCCCAAGGAAGGGTTCGGACTCCCGATGAAATCCATCTGAAGCAAGTCAGCCCAATAGCCTTTGATTATCGGCCTTTTGCCATGTTGACGTCGAGCTGTAACGTACCGCAGGGGGTCAGGAGCTATCGGACCGCGGAGCTTCTCAATTGCTCGGACAATTATAGAAGCTCATATATAAAGCCAACAGTTCAGTCTCAGACATCCCCTCAATAATTGTAACAGCTTGAAGATTAAAGTCAAAGTTCATTGTTTTTGGATGAAGGCTCCCGATTGGGCAGGTGCTGAGTCATCGAAATCACCGCCCGCAGCAGAGAGCTCGCCCACTCGAACCGGACTAGCGTCAAAATTTTGAAATAATTTCGAATTTTGTCAAGTGACGGTTCTTCTTCCCAACGACCACACTTTTTGCGCCGACCCCACACACCTTTTAAAAGTTGCGATTCGATTTTATCGGGCGTCCGAATCAACAAAAATGGCCAAGGACAAGTCTGAGAAGAGGGAGAAGCACGAGAAGAAGGAGAAGCGCTCCGAGAAGGACGGCGTCCACAAGAGCAAAAAGGATAAGAAGGACAAGAAGGACAAGACTGTCCTGTCCGATTCCGTGCTGAAGGGAATTGAGCAAGAGATCTCCGCCAACACCCCTGTCAATGGTATCGTCAAGACCGATGAGGATGCCATTATCGACCGCCCCGTCGGAGCCCTCGTACCTTTCGCCAGACCTCTGCTCGAAGACAAGCAAGCCAAGAAAGCCTTGAAGAGTGTAAAGAAGGGTAAGCTTCGCCCATTATTTTTTTCTGCATCCAGAACCTCCTCATTTGGGATGCATCTCATTATCCATCTTATTTTTCACTGTTCCCAACCCTTTCGATCAATCCATCCTGCCTCCATATCACCTTCAATTCGCTAATATAGATTTTATTTATAGCTGCCGTCAACAAATGCCTCAAGCGTGGTGTTAAGGAGGTTGTCAAGGCTCTCAGAAAGTCGCCCATCCCCGCCCCCAACGAAACCGTCTCGATCCCTAGCGGAGTTGTCGTTCTCGCTGCGGATATCTCACCAATGGACGTGATCTCTCACATTCCCGTTCTCTGCGAGGACCACGGGATCCCCTACATCTTCGTCACATCCCGAGCGGAACTCGGCAACGCCGCTGCAACGAAGCGCCCTACAAGTGTCACAATGGTCGTGCCCAAGTCCGCCGCGAAGGGCAAGAAGAAGGGTGATGACGACGATGAGGATTTCAGCAAGGTGTTTGAGGAACTGGCCAAGCTCGCTCAAAAAGAGCTTACGCAGGCGAACCTATAAAGAAGTCAGCGGGACGTCTGACGTCGGCCATCTTTTTCTATTTTCCTTTTGCTATTCCTAATTATACGGTTCACTTTTCATGCGTCTTGCCGTTTACCACGACTGTATAGTTCCGCTTTGTTTGGCAAGACAGCGAATGTCTTCAAGTTTGGGGTCTGGTCTTCGGACGTTTTCATCTGGGTTGATCGATTTATGATTGTCTGTTGCAAAATTCGGCGTTTCTTGAATGGTGTACGAAAAGGCAGGAACTATCAAATACAAGACGGCATAATGCTGATTGCGCTTTTCTAGTAGTGCGGGGCTGCAGTGGTGCAAAACACACTTTGCCCTAATTCTTCAACTCGGGTGGCCCTCGAACCTTCAAGCTTGTTCGAAGGCATACATCAACCCTATTATTGAGGAAGTATGGAAATGGAAGAATGTTATTCAATATCCTTTTCAACTGAAATCGTTTCTAGTATACATAAACTTGTTCATCAAGAACACTTTGAGATTGTCATCGAATTACTCGATTGCCATAAAATCAAACCCGTTGGTCACTGTTCAATGGCTCATACCAAGACCCGTCACCGGCACACTTTTTGTGGGCGGGCACCGCGGCAGCAGTGACAGCAGCGGCAGTCTCAGCCTGCCGGCGCTGGAACTCTTTCTCAGCTAGACGGCCAGGGTCATCTTCGGAACCGATCTCCGAGTTGAAGCTGGCGTTGTACTTGGGGTCGGCAGGGAAATCATCCTGGTTTCCACTGCCCTGACCAGCAGCGGCAGTAGAGTATGGCTGCTGTTTCTGCTGCGCAGCAGTTGCGCTTCGAGTCTGATACCCGCCGCTTCCACTAGCCTTGGCACCGGTCGACTTTTGGGAGGGCTTGTTGGAGGACTGAGAAAGCTTCTCTGAAGCGTGGTATTCCTTTTGTCCAATGCCCAGGTCCTTCTTTGCTGCTGTTGACCCGCCAACGTAGCCGCTCTCTGGAACGTGGGCTCCCGGGTACTCTGCTTGGCCGCCGAGACCCTCCGGGTAGGGTTCTTGTGCGGAGGGATCATCGCGGTCTCGGGCACTAGCGGCTGAGGGCATCTTCCTGGCGGCAGATGTGTCGGTGGTGTTTGTGGTGGTGTTCTGGCCGGTGACGCCTAGAGGTTGGGCGCCGCGGTTCTCACTGTATGAGCCACCGCGGTTGATGGATTCGGCGGCGAGGGAATCGCCCACAACGGGTCCGGAGGGTTCCTGGAGTGGTTGATCTGATTTGACCTTTGAAGGAACTATGTTAGCCTACAGTACAAAGCTACGGGTTAGTAGCAGACGGTGAATTACCTACCTTGGCGCCTCGCTTTCCAGAGGGGATGGGCTGTCCTTGGAGATCCATTGTGAGTGTATGGTTGATTACGTGGTCGGTAGGGTATGTGCGTTGGGATATGTAACGGAGACGAGTGGAATTGATGGTAAAAGATTTAGTGTGTGTGAGTGGTATTGAAGGCCTCTCTACTTGCTACTCGGACAGCTATATAGCATTATTCGCTTGATCAGTATGATCGTGTGATGTCATACTGACGGTGCGACTAGGGTTTGATCCTCGAACGACGAACAAAGTCGAGCATTCGAGACGCTGAGGTGACGCGACCTGGCCGGAACGATTCTCAGAAATCTGTGGGTGTGGTTTCATGCTAAGTAGTGGGCTCCTGATGCAATGCTGGCGCTAGATTGAGATACTTGACGTCACATTCCAATCCTTTGACAGGACAGCTCACCAGACCCAACCTTTCCGATAAGCAAAGTTCATCAAATTGGAGTAACGCTCATACATTTCCTTCTTGAATTGCTTGGCTGCTTGGAAGTTCTCCGGTGGATTTCCCTGAATCACGTCGAAGTAGACGTACTGTGTGGATTAACATGAGCTGAACGGAGTACATATATATGTATGTGCCACAAACAAGTGTGAATCAAGGTTACGTTAATCAAGAGTCTAAAAGGGATGCTACAAATTCTGAGGAACAGATTAGAACCGAGAATTTTGGTGTCACATTGCTATGGTACATGCTTCAAAATTGAATGAAGAATAAACTATCGGGCGAGAGCATCCTTGGGAAGATCCCTAAGGTGATCGTGCCCCTGGCGGCCAACATCGCCTGTTGGCTGTGTGATTCTGTGTGTCTCCTCTCCACTTTCGCGAGCGCTGCTTGATGCTGTAGCAGGCCCTCTCAAGGCAGAGTTGTTTTCACCTGAGACGGGACCTTCTAGACGACCGGAACCAACGTTGACAGCTCTCTGGTCTGCAGAGTTCCAGTCACTGGCGACGGGAGGCTCCTCTGGCAGGGGCAGGTTGGCCTTGGCTTTGTCGATCTCGGACTGCTTGTCTGTGTTCTGGTCGATGATGGACTGATTCAGGTTAGCCCTAACTCCTGGTTGATTCGACGAGGGGTAAAGTCAACCTACCTTCATTGCGGAGATGTTGGAATCCTTGGGAGTTTTGCCGCCGTGAGCGTGGGAGACATGAGACTCGGGCTTGCGCAGGTCTTGAATAGTGGTGTGGAAAGTGCTTTCGGACATCTTGTAGGTTGGTGTATGAAGGGAGTGCTTGATATATTGAGGATACAGCGGTTCGAAGTAGGCAAGAGTCAGCTTGTTCGGTAAAAAAAGTAGTGATTAACTTGTCTTGAAAGTGTGAAGATAGTCAGCTCTGTCGACTCAGTCTTATAAGTCAATGCTTGTCTGGGACTCGCAGGACGTTGAATCATTATGACGTTACCTGGGCTTCAGATCCATGTCTGGGACAAGGCGGCGGTGGAACCAGGGCTTCAGGGTACGTAGTTGTAAATCATAAGAACTTGGAGGAATATTCTGCATTGTGAACAACATGTTTACGCGCTCGAATTCCTCCTTTTTGGAGAACTGCTTCAAGGCCATCGTCCCCAGTGACCCTATAGTGGTACGTCATGAGGCAAGGCTGGGAAAGACAACAGTGAACTTGTTTGATGGTTACCTCTCAGATAGCAAAAGACTTGAACATGTCTCGTGCGTTGTTTCCTAGTTTGCACATAGGTAATTGTGGACTAGATAGTATTTGTCGCGAGATATGATGGGATTCGTCCGAACTATATGCATAACAACAAGGAGCATTGGAACTGCATATCGAGTTGGCCCTTGCTACTCTAAGAAAGATAAACAAGGCTCTGTAGCAAAGACCGTATGACAATCTGCCCCCGACATACTACTGCTCCTAAGGACATTAATGAGAGAACAAGGAATTTCTTTTCCCCGTAGGATGTTCGTTGCATCGAGAAACGCAGTCCGAGAGCGGGCGAGATTATACACCGCCTTTACTTTGAGCGGCAGAAAATGGTTGCTCCCCGCTGTACAGAAATATCGGTTTCTAGGTGCATCTTAATTGGCCGACTGCCTGGGTTTATTGTGCCATTCCGTTGCTCAATATACTCTTCTATCCTCAATATCTGCAGAATGCCCAGAGATCCGCTGATCGGGCTGGTTGGGAAGGTCTGTTTGCCTCATAGCTCCGGAAGGTGGTACCCCGCTGATGGATTTGAGAACGACAGCCATCCAGTGGAAAATCTACTACTCTGAACAGTTTAACGGATGCTTCTTCCAAAGTTGGTATGATATTGCCCCATCCCACATATTTCATTATAATCCCGCATACTGATAGAGTGTCTCCATTTAGGAAATTTTCCGTGAGCCCCCTCATCCGTACCTTTCCGCTGCCCAGCGCATTCGGCTTCGATAGCAGCTATCCATAGCAGGTTTGATACTTGATTGTACAGATTCACAACTATCGATCCCCAGCGAGCGATTGGTTACCTCCAAATAGACTGCGCCTGCCAGCGCTTCGGAGTTTCGGACAAATGCAAACCTAATTACGGCGGTTGTACCGATGGGAAACGTTCAGTCCCTATCGAGCTTCTGGATGTTGCCGGTCTAGTTCCGGGAGCGCACCAAGGCCGGGGGTTGGGAAACAAGTTCTTGGATGACCTGCGCCAAGCGGACGCTTTGATTCACGTTGTCGATGTGAGCGGTACTACAGATGCAGAAGGTCCGTCTCAGAACCATGACCGATAGCCTTGGCGGCGCATTGTTGACAATGTGGATAATTCAGGGAAGGCTACACGAGGTTATGATCCTTCGCAAGACATTGAATGGCTGAGGTCAGAAATCGTGCGGTGGGTACAAGGAAATTTGATGCAGAAATGGTACGCTGCGGTTCCTTCGTATGTTTGTAGTTGTCAGGGCTGACGATTGTCAGGGGATCGGTCAAGCGAAGACACATGGCTATAAGTTAGCGCAGCACATGGGCTTTTCTTTTCGATTGAGACTAACGTCTGGCACTAGAGGCAACTGCTGTTGAAACATTACAAACCCAATTCTCCGGATACGGAAGTACACCGTCAACGGTTGCGCGGTGTCTTGACAGGATCGGATTAAAAGAGCCACTTGAAGAATGGTCGGACGAGACGATAGAGAAAGTGGTACAATCTTTCATTGATGAAAAGTTCCCTACAGTCTTCGCCCTCAATAAGATTGACCACCCTGATGCGGATAAGGTTAGTACTCGTTTTTTTTTTCAGTCGCCTTTGTGAGTACTGACTTGTCGTCACAGAATATCAGCAAAATCGCAAAGATGCAGGATCCACAATCCATTGTTCTTTGTTCCGCCATATCCGAGGTCTTTCTTCGGAGACTTGCCAAGCAAGGCTATATAAGATATACAGAAGGAAGCGAATTCGTAGATACGAGAGAAGACCTTATTGCAGACGGGGATCCGGATGGAGGGGGGCTCAAGGAAATGGATGAGAAGCTGCAAAAGTATTTTGTCCTGCAAATTCAGGCGTTGGGAATGCACTGCTGACGTTGAATTAGCCGTGTCGAGAACCTCAAGGATATGGTACTCTATCGATTCGGCTCTACTGGCGTTGTCCAATGTCTATCGCGAGCTGCAGAGATTCTCGGGCTTGTTCCCGTCTTCCCTGTGAAGAACTTGCACACATTTGCAGCCGGAGCTGGTACTGCGGCATTCCGGGATTGTGTTCTTGTCAAGAAGTGAGTCGGCCTGGTTTGCCATTTCGGTATTCTCATTGACACTCGCATCAGGAACAGCACAGTGGGCGACGTGGCCCGCAAAGTCATGGGCGATATACCTATATCATATATTGAGGGAGTTGGAGGCGTCCGAGTCTCAGAAGATGAGATTGTTGGGGTAGGGAAACACGATGTATGTCTCTCAAGTTATTGAGTATTTATTGATTTTACGCTGACAATCTTCCAGGTGCTTTCGTTCAAACCTGGACGATAACTGCTGTGTATGGTTCAATGTGAGGATGAATGATGATGCATCAATGCTTATAGATCTAGAAAATGTTTCAGCACCATTATACACATGGTATTGAACCACCACTACGATAGTGTGCCATGTACAGAAAATACTTTTCACCAAACGATGTTCAAATTCGCACGAGAGCAGACAAGGTATACATTGACAAGCCACCAAGCATCCGGGCCCCACCACTGGTGCGTCACGATCACACTCCCTTCTATGGCCTCCATGTCAGCAGCAATCTACACAGCAGTCACTGGCACCGACTAACCTGAGCTCTCTCGTCATTCATACCAAGAACAGGCTCGGGCGCCTTTGGATGATCCTGCTTGACCTTTCTCTCATTCTTCCTCCCGCCCCTTTCGGTGGCAGCATCTGATGTTCCAGTATTTCCAGTGCCGTAGTTCTTCTCCCTATCCTCCATAGTCCGGCCTGAGCCTATCGTTTGAGGGTCGGTAGCATCATTTTCCTTTTGTATTCTGTGGGTCGCATGCTTCTCTCCCGACGAGCCCTTCCAGTCCTTTGTGATACCGCTGTTAAGGCGGGTTTGGACACTGAGAGTAGGATGAATGATAGCCGCCGGGCTTAATGACGAACAGAGGGGCCGGGAGGTCAGCGGGCCATAGATTCTTGAAGCTGATGATAGGTTTCGAGACATCTTGGTAGATAAACTATGCTAGGACTGTTTCTGTTGGATTCGGGGAAAGCAAACAAATGTACCTCGAACGCACTGGCAAATCATGGCTTTTATTAAGCCCTCCTTACGCCTACTCCGAATGAATTTCATCTGGTTGAAGACGTATGACGTCGCCATGATGCCTCTTGTATGAAATTCGAGAACGGGTGAGTACATATACGGCCGAAAGTCTTATCGATAAGGAAATGTAGCGCCCTCCTTTCCCCACCAAGGTCAACCTCACGAAGAGCTTGGTCTACGAGTGAACAAACTCATAACCTAAGCTGATCACAATCGGCCAGAGCTCTAGGGCGCTATAGTCTGTATCATGAAGTGGGAACACATTCCATTAGAAACTCTCAACCCCTTCGCCCGGCTTTATGGCGTGTCCCTTCGAGGGGTCACCTTTGGAAAGCTGCGAGCAGAAGATGGGACCGACAAAGGTGGCGCAATAATCGCAACACAGGAAAAGCAGTCAGTGGACGATGAGTCGCCAGAGGAAGATGTCCTCATCAAGGTACCTTCCGATATGATCCTGTCGCTCGAGATGGTCCATGATCGCGCCAAGTATGACCGGCATCTGGGTGAGGTATTGCAAGCTGTCGGGGATTTTGGAAAGGTATGTTTAAGTAACCTTATGCTTTTCGATGCGACCATTACAGCTAATATGTGCAGACAGCCAGAGGCGCCATTCTAATCTTCCTGCTCCTTCAAATCTCACATTCATCTCTAGATCTCGCAGAATCAAAGCAAAAGATCGGCCTATCGAATGCTTGGACAGAGTACGTAAAGTTCTTGCCTCCGTTTATACCGCTTCCAACATTTTGGACAATGGAGGAACTTGAGCTGCTACGCGGGACGTCCTTGAGAATCGCTTACGAGGCGAAGATTGCTGCCCTGGAAAAGGAATTCGAACATGTTCGCCAGGCCACAGAGTGTGTTTCGTGGTGTCAGGATTTGTGGTGGGATGAAGATACTTGTGCAGTCACCTTAGATGATTGGAAGTATCTTGATGCAGTGTTCCGTTCGCGCATGGTAGATTTACCTGGGTACGGGCATGCCATGGTGCCATGTATTGATATGGCAAACCATGCGCCTGAACCCACTGTGAATGCATTTTATGGTAAGGATGAGAATGGGAATGCTATACTTCAGTTACGTCTGGGTAAGCAACTGCACGCGGATGAAGAGGTTACTATATCGTAAGTCTTGGCCTTGGTGTCCAAGTACGTGGGAGACTAAAATTGACCAACGTGAAAAGATACGGCCAAGAGAAATCGGCGGCCGAGATGGTTTTCTCATATGGATTTCTTGATGCAAAGAAGAGCGATACACGGCAAATCCAGCTGGATTTGGATATACCCGATGACGATCCATTGGGTTTGGCAAAGATGGCATTTTGCAAAGAGATCCCCGGTGTCCGTATCTTTGGCCAACCCACCTCATCCGGCACGGTTGAAACGCGCTGGGAAAGTCCAATTGTGTGGTGGGCCTGCGTCAATGAGGAAGATGGACTCGAGTTCGCAGTATTACAAGCGAATGATGGTTCGAAGCAGTTAAAAACCACTTGGAAGGGAGAGGACGTGGAGACGCCGCATCACCTCCGGGACTTGCTAGCTGCAGACCCATCGTGGGATATATTTCAGCTGCGTGCGGCTGTGCTCATACTCGAACGATTAGAAACCCAGTTTTTCATATTACAAACAACTGAGGGCATGATTTCGGACATCAACGATAGCGAAGATATGCGTGCTCTGTTCCGACCAGAGGTATTCAGCACAGTCACAAAGTTGCGACAATTGGAAGGGAAATTGCTGGAGATGGCGATAAAAGATCTAGAAAAGCAGGTATGTGCATTTCCAGTAAATTGATAGTGTTGATACTGACCCCGGGTGCACAGAGAGACAATTTGATAAAGAGCGACACAGTCAGCAAATATCTTGCCCAACGACAGGCTGCAGAAGTCGAAGATGACTTTTCATGAATTCCATAGTCTAACATAGCTCCATTCATGGACTACATATGATGCTGAAGGCAACTTTAAGCTGAGACCCACAGACGAGGGACCCTTCACATAGCGAATTATGACGTGGCGATCCCCGCATGATCCTCATTTGCGCCAAGCTGAATATCCAAAGTAGCATGCAATTCGCAACCTGGTAATCATTATTTGCCTCGTCAGAGCGCAAGACCCATAGCTGTAGTAGCAGAGGTTTAGTGCTTGAAGAGCCTGGGCTTGCAAACCAGGGATCTCAAGTCCACCTCTGAGCCGCAGGACAAAGCAAGCAAGCTTGACGCGGGCAACGCTCGGATTGGAAAGCCGAATCTTCCCCTGTGCAGTTTGTGGAGAATAATGGAGGAGATAAAATTCTTTCCAAGGTTGTCGGGTTTGAAGAAATGCGGTTCCTCAATGATCAGCAAAATGGCCAATTATTCTCCTGTGTTTGGTCGAACCAGGTTCAACCAGCTCCATCATACCCAGAAAGTCGGGAGACCGGCCTCCACCCTCTGCGATTTCTCGGCCAAGACTCGGTCTTTTCTATGAGGAAAGCAATCTCATTATTTAGAGAGGATGTCAGGATGATGCACACCTTATCCAAAGAAATCCATTACCGCAACTGATATGGCATGATTTTTTTGTGGCGTCCGAAATGTTCTATCTGAATCTGGGCCCACATCCCAAATTCGAGGGTTCGATCGGGCGACGCAGGCGCGCTCCAAGAATCCCCGCGCTTCTACTCCAGTATTCTCGCGAACGGCCGGGGAAGCCCGGAGGCAACCTGCAAAGCCAAACTGCCTTTCACTCTTTGTATGGACATGAGGGAGGAAAGCACAAGACACGAGGGGCCGAGATAGGTTCTCGGGGGAACGGAAGACTAACGCTACTTTTTCTGTCCTGGTCTTTTCATTCGCCCTCAGCTTTCGGGACAACCTTGTTGGATAAATTCGGCTGAATATGGACAAATTCTGTCCTCATGTCGTGGACTGGGCTATCCATGGCAGACCCCAGATTTTAGAGTCTCATTTTAACGGTTTCACCCATCCAAGAGATATATTGAGAGCTGGAGATCTGGGGTCACACTCAAAAGCGTGGCTGAACTTGAAGACTCAAGTCCATCCCGTGATGTCTGCGAGGGGCCAAGCCGGCATTCGACAGTGAGACGAGGCTGGTGATTCTCCTTATTCCAAATGTAGTAATAGACTAGTAGAGACTAGAAGGTACTGAACTTCGCGAGCAAAAGCAGGGAATTCGAAACAAAGGTCTCTCCAGGGCTGGTACATACTCTGGAGTCTCGAGGCCGTTGTCGGCACTTCCAGATCCTGTCCTAGCCGCACTTCTCACGATCGAGAGTACCATGGCTGCATCTCAATTGGATTTGGGTCTTTTGAGCCCCCTCGCCACTCTATATAGCTCAGTCAACTTGGTCCTCCATGACTGCGATCGCCTCTCAGCGTTGGCTGATCTCATTCAGACAAAACGAGGTGATGATCACGTCCTTGTTGTTGTAGTGATTCGAGGGCTGTCTTAATTGCACACTTAATGGCACGCTAGTAACGAATAATACTGCGCCAACGCTGTTTAGCAGTCGCCTGAGCCCACGAAACTGGTGTAAAACCCAATCTGTGATTGGTCTAATCGCCGAATTCCGCCTCCACATGGCAATCCCCCCGCCGTCACCCGCACCGTCGCGTATTACTTGATACGGGGGGCCGATCGCTCCGTTCTTCAAGGCTTCTCCTCCCGGGCTTCCTCGTCGTCTTCTCTCAGCATCAGCAATTCTCCCTCTCCACTCTCCCCGCCACGATCCTACACCACCCTCCTCTCCTTATCCTCTTATCGGCTTTTAATCGTCGCTGCTTGTTCCTGTGACTAGCTAGGACACTGGAAATCTTTTGCAACTGGATTCGAAAATCCCCTGGCGTCTCAACTCATCGCGATATCACCCCAATCGGCGCTAGGCGCCCCAACACTTTGCCAACATGCCCGGAATCCTTCCTATGAAAGTGATAAAGGTCGGCAACAGCACACAGAGCCGTATCGCCCAAGCCTGTGACCGGTGTCGAAGCAAAAAGATCCGGTGCGACGGAGTTCGCCCATGCTGCACACAGTGCGCCAATGTCGGGTTTGAATGCAAGACCAGCGATAAGCTTAGTCGGCGAGCCTTCCCCCGTGGATATACAGAGTCATTGGAAGAACGTGTACGGAGTTTAGAGGCTGAAGTTAGGGACTTGAAGAATCTGTTGGATGAAAAGGACGAGAAAATTGATGTGCTCTCGCGGATACATTCGTTTACATCACCATCACAGCAAAAGATACCACCGTCCGCTCGTTCGCCGCCTCAGCCCGCCAAACCGACTGTTTCTGCATCTAGTGAGAGCGTCATTCATGTTCCGCAGCCGCAAATGCCGGGCGATGCAAAAGGATTCGATGGATTTGGGGTTTCGAGCACACGTGGCTTTGCTGGTATGTCCTTTTGACGTGTTACTTCAGCTTTACGCAAATGAGTCACTGACAATTATATTAGATGTGTTTACGACCAAGCTCACCGATCAAGGCCGGCTGGCTCCGGCAACCTCGACCAAGGCCTTGACTGCTTCACCTACCCCTATCTCGCCCTCACGCCTGGACGAAGCACTCAAAACAGCACCTCGGCTCGTGTCTGATCAGCTTATCAACATCTTCTTCCAAGAATGGGCGCCACTTTACCCTGTCGTCCACCGACCGACCATCCTCAAGGCTTACGAGCAATACCTTTCCGACTCAGAATCGTTCCAAGGAAACAGACACGATGTCGCCCAGCTGAATTTGATATTCGCTGTTGCAGCGCTTTCTGCTACTGTAAGCTTCCAACATGAGTTGTTCTCCCTCGATATTCCATGCTAATCCTGATACAGTCGAGGACAAATCAGGACCCATCCTTATTTGAGGACAATTGGTCTCCAATTCTGGAGTCAATGTTGGGCGACATCTCCATCCACACACTGCAATGCTACGTCCTGGCCCAAATGTACTGTCTAACAAAGGGCGACTACTCGAGTCTTTTGCGATATCGTAGTCTTGCTACCGGCCTTTGCCACCAGTTGAGACTCCACCAGAGCCAAAAGGCGTTCTCTTCGAACCCTCTCTTGGCTGAAACTAGGAAGAAGGTCTTTTGGTGTCAATACGTTGTGGATCGGTGCGTCTCACATTCCGCTATATTTCCAAGGTATCCAGCTAACATACGCTCAGGTTCTGCGCCGGTCTTACTGGTCTACCTGTTCTTCTTCGTGAGCAGGATATCCGTACCGAGTACCCCGAGGACATTGATGACGAGAACGTGACAGCAACTGGGTTCCTTCCCACTCTACCCGGCGAGTCGACTCGCATCTCGAGTGCACTTGCTCTGTTCAATGCGGCGAGAATCTTGAATAACACTCTAGAAAATATCTATCCCTCGGATGGGGGATACGAAATTCCGCTCTCCAAGATGCGTTCAGTTGCCGAAAAGCTAGAGGGATGGGTCAAGGGTCTGCCTACCCACCTTCGTCTCGAGTTCTCTCAAGATAAGCCCAGCACAAACGTCATTAGCAGTCGATCGCCACTTTTGGTAAGTGCACCAAACTGATATATTGCAACCTCTCACTAACGCACTGTCTCAAAAGTCTTTGGTGTATTATTTCATTCGTTCTCTCCTTCATCGCCCTGCCATCTGCTTCGGCGACGAACAAACTCGCACCTCGTCCGCCCTTGCCATCGCCGACTCTAGCAAACACATTGTTCAAATCCTCCAGTTACTCGATGAAAGACGCCTGTGTCTTTCCGTTGCCATCAACAGGAGAGAGTTGGTGTCCGCTTCAGGGCTTGGGCTTCTCTGGCTAAGCATCGGCTTGAAGCGTGATAGCAAGCTTGTCAAGGAAAGCCAAAGGATGCTTGCTGCGGTCATTGAGCAGCTAGAGTCGGAATCGTCTGCAGCTGCTGCGGAATTCAGCGCTTTGGCCAGTGTTCTAGTCTCTCTCGATAACAACAACAAGCGCACATCGGTTGTACAACTCCAGGAGATGAGCCCACCTTTGCAGAAGCCCATGAAATCTCCAAAGAAGCAGATTGAAGCTTGGAAGGCGCGGTTGATGGGAAGCACGAGCCCGAACCAGGCACGCAAGGAAGAATCTATTTCGCGCAGAAACACCATCTCAGGCACGAGTCCTGGTCTGATTGAGCGTCAGATGCGATCCCCTAGCTGGGCGAGCCTCCCACCTGACAACTATCAACCACACCCTTCAATGAGCAAGAACGTCTACCATCGTAACTCTGTCAAGTATGATAACAGTCAGCCGATTTCCTGCTCTGTCCCGACGGATCCGCCCTCTGGAAGCATGTCACTCGCAGACTGGGAGTTTGTCGTCAGCGACATGGATCAGGGATACTCGAACATCTTCACGGGGATTTATGGTGGCAAGGAGTGCGGCGAAGACCCTGGACCTTTTGCGTCACTAACTGCCGAGTACATGCAAAAGCAAGACCCATCAATTGGGCCTTTGTCAACGCATAGTGATTTCCAAGGCCTCTCACCAGAGGCATGGTCCGCTACAAGCAGCAGTGATTTCGCTGTCAACCAGGAACTGACGGCACGGAGCGTTTATTCCGATGAGAGCTTGGGTAGTAGAGACGATTCGTTATCACTCCAACACATGCCTTTCCCGCTCGACGAACGTGCAGGCAGCCTCTTGGATCCCTTGCAGGGCGTGGTGATTCCTGCTGGGGACGATGACATTGATGAATTCGGCCTTGTGGCCAACGGCTGGAATCAACGGTTGGCCGTCTAAGCTACATTTTGGTTAATTTGGGCACACTTCACGGTGTACCGGAGTTCATTCCGTGGGTTTTCTTTTGGATATTCTTGTTGAGCAATTGTTTTGATCAGATTTGGTCTTCTTTCATGATACCTGGGAGGGTTGGAGTCAAATTGGACTTACCTTGCGGTCGACTTCACGGATCTAGGATAGATCACATGCGAGCGAGCTATCTTTTTATGACTGTACAGCACATCAGAGCTTGTATATAATGCAACGACTATTTGTCCTTTTTCCAGTCTCGCATCATGTCACGCCATGCCGCGCCTGCCATGTAATGGCTTACATGCATGCGACAGTAGTATACAACATAGAACCGGGTACACTCGGAATCAGAGGCTTCAATACTATCTGAAACGTAGCAGCTCGCTGCACAATGTCGTCATTCGTCGAACCAGAAGCAACGCTAGCATCCGAACTGAAGCAACAGAAACCATATCTGAACGACTCAGTTCTCGTAGCTGTTGCCGTGCCGGGAGAAGATCTTCATTTGTTGAGAGAAGAGTACAAGATAGCACCGTGGATTAAGGGGTAGGAGTACCGGGTTGGCCCGAGATCTCGGGCTATAGTGACAGCTCGCAAGTACCTAGATGGGCATTCCATTGATGCCAATGGCTCTGAGATCGCCAGGACAAGAACACTGACCTCGGTAGAGTCTGATGTATGTACTAGAGGTGGAGTAGTAGAGAAGGACCACAGTAAGGGCAGTGTATGAAGAGGGTGGATAAAGTAAAGATAGGCAACACTTTTGACGTTCCTGAATAAAAGATTACTTAATACCCATTAAGGCTGAATAAGGTGTTCTAGATGATATTTCAGCCCGTTGGAAGCCGTCCGCCGGCAATTAATGACAATCACCGTCTCTGAAACGTCCAGATGGTCGCTGTTTGTCATCTTGGACCTTTGGGACAACAGCCGGACCGGAGGAGGGTGCTCCGCCGACCTGAGAGCACGAAATTATCCTCAAGTCAGATTACCGATCTCGATCATGAGCTGTGCCGCGTGACGGTGAAGAGATTTGAGGCGGAATTCCAGATTCATGAAAGTGGAGGGTGGAAAAAGGAAAAAATGCTCTGCGAATATGCAAGGTCAACCCAAGGGCCCCAAGTCAGACCGTCAGCTCGAGCTCGACAGGTTAGTAGTAGGAGTTGCTGATGATCGTTTTCCGCCGCGGAGGCCGGAGATGCCCAGTATCTTTATTCTGTTTCTCCAAGGAGGATTGTTATTTCGTTTGTAAAGCGAGGACCTGTGAATTCCCGCTTCCGGTTAGTTTTGCCGTCTTCGGGATGGCCGCCCCGTACGCCGTATTGTCATCACCGCCCGCCCGGCGCCTCTGAGTATATAAGAACCGTTCTCGCTATTCTGCCTCTATTTCCTCCCAACTTCTTCCTTTTCCTTCATTCCCCCTTCCATATTCTGCACTCACCCGGTCGCGACCCGTCGTCTCACCTGCTCCGAGAACGCCCACCTGCTTCGCCCCCTTTTTACCTTCGGAAATTGCGGCTGCGCCCTGTTTCTCGTCACCTCCGGTCCCAGATTCTTCCCCGATAGCTTGAACCGGCTTGTTAGCTTTTTTTTGCCTGCCCTCTCTTGATCTACGTTATCCTGCGAAATGTTTTCCATCTTTTATTCATTCAGCTGCCACTGCCGGAGTGTTTGTTCACGTTGCCTATCGGCCTCCTATGGTATCTACCTCTCCCCAACGTTTTTATCCATGAAAGCGTCTGACCTCCAAATTTGCAACAGGCGTCAACCATGGCTGATTGCGTGTTACGCCTGATCTGATGCCTGACCCACCTTCCATCCTTCTCCGGCCGTCGCCGGCCCTGCGCCTCCGTTCTCGGCCCCCCATTCCCCTCCCTGTCGTGCTGATCTCGCGTGTTTGGACTACGACTGTATTGCCTAGATGGAGATGAGGAAGTGCCTTGGACAAGTATGTCCAATAGCATAAATGCCTCGTCTATAACTCCGCTGGCTGACGTTGCCTGTCGTCGCCGTCGACCACATTCTTGTGGAGTCTCTGTTCGCCCGAATCGTGGCCGATTGGTGCTCGATCATCCGGCCTGCTACGCCCCGTGATAGACGTCTGTGGAAAACATGACGTTGCAAGTACGGCTATTTGCTGTTGCAGTGTTGCCTGTGGAATATCGTCGAGTTCCGAGGGTGGCATGTGCTCCGCTGAATCTGTGCCGTCCCTCCAGCATTTACTCTTTCCGGATAATGCGCCAATCCGTTCCTTGGAATGACCCCTTTGCATAGCCAAGATGCAGCGTGCCATTTCAAGACCCAAGGCGTACATACGAGCAGGGAGTGCAGGACCAACCTTACCCCCGTTTGTTCGGCTTTCGGGGATGTCCTCCTTTTCGTCAGAGAATAAGGACCAGTCGCTTGATCTACGGGTTATAAATACCGTCGCCCGCCTTAAATTGAAAGCAACGCAGACATCTTCACCAGTTTCTTTGTCACCACAGTTTGCTTCCCAATTTGCCTGTCTTACACGATGGATCGCCAAATTTCTTACAATGGCTCTCTGCCTTGCTCTCCTTTGCCCTGCACTTTCCTAGCTTCACGCCCATCAATCCCGATAAACCATCCATTACCCCCAAAACCTCCCATTTCCATGTACTTCCATGTCTACACTCCTACCCGCAAGCCTGCAACCGTACTGCGCGACACGGCAGCGCAGCACGTTGACCATGGCAAACCCATTCCTGTGAACAACGATCGAGAAAGGCCCTCTGCGCACAATCACACAACTGTGTCTTCTGTTGGGTTGCTCAGCGGCCCTCACAAAGATAGCGTTATCTGCCCATCCAGTGAAGGTTCGTACAGTGTACCACGTCTTGCTGCCTGAGGCACCTGCTTATAGCTAATCTTATCCATCCAGATACGATCACCGGGCTCGAAAACGACCATGACAAGGCAAGCAACGGCGACGACAGCGGCGACTTTGAACCACCCCATCCGGATGAATTATTCTCATGGATACGGAACACCAGCGAGGGTAGGAGCTGTGAAGCTTCAGTGGCCCGCCGAAGTGTGGATAACAGGTCTGGTCTCGACGGAACAAGTTCAACTACATCCCAACTACGTGGGATCGGCCTGTCCTGTGAAGGCCACGCCGGTGATGCGGATGATGGCCGAAATGGTAAGATTGTCCCTACGAAGCATCTCTTTGATGGAAGCAAGGGTGTCTTGTCCGCTACTTTGGGATCGAAGGTCCCGATCGCTTCACGCCAGCTGCTGGAAGATTCTCTGATTCCTTTCATCGAATGCCGAGGCCCTAGGCCTGTGGTTGAGACTACCTTGAGTAGCCCATCTGTCTCTCAGTCAAACCGTCACAGTCGAAAGAGGCCCACGCGCACCTTGTTGGGGCATGTCGAACTTGCTGCCGGCAGGGGCCCTCAAACAAGGGCAAGGACCAAAGCAGAAGCATCTCGTTCGTTCCCAAGCCTCCAACGGGCCCGTCCTTATTCAGATTCCGAAGACGAGTTTCTTCGTGAGTTGATGCACAGAAAGCTTTCATGGGAAGGCATTGTGAATGAATTCGGTCGGAGATTTGCTGGAAGGGATCGGAAATCACTCCAAGGGCGTTGGTCGAGAAATCTGAAGTTTGAAGCCCGGCCACCGACATGCTCGAAACCCAGAGGCAGGTAACGTCAGATCTTTGTTTTGTGCTCTGACGTCTCTTCTTTTCCCACATGTTCTTGGGGTCCGCAGGAGTAATCTTGCATGTGAAATCTGTTTCGGCTCTCAACCACCTCCCTCATGTCCGGGAAACGGAGGCTGCACGCATTAGGCAAAAAATTGTATTTTTGTTCCAGCTATCGAATGTCCATTATTCTTCCCATGCGACCATTCCTGTTTCCGAATGTGCTAGCTGGTCAATCAACTCCGCCTTCGTATTGCTCTAGCCGTATAAAACCTTTGTCAGGTAGGCCACATCTGGCCGAGTGATTGCCTTAGGCTCCTCATTAATTAAAGCAACCTTATCTGCAGAGAACAGCAATGGAAACGGCGGGTTGTCAGAGGCTTGCACACTCGGAAGTAGGGCGGTCCTTCCTTTTCAAGATCAACAGAACTAACCATGTCAACAAAATGGACTTTTTGCTGTGATGAGAGGACGGATCCAACAAAGTCTGATTTCAAGTGATTGCGGGAACGCACGATTTACCAAGTAGGACAGAACCACCTCTGGCGAGATCTTATATATATATAGCTGGCGCATTCTGTTCATCGCTAAATGACAAATTACGGGGTAAGCATCTGCAATGCCCGTGTTGCTCTTTTTGGCGTACTGTGCAACCCCACGTATGTGCCATCCAAATGGCTCTCGACCGCCACAAACGTGAATCGTGATCAGTCACAACCGATTCTTGAAAGCTAATCGCTTAACCGCCTCGGCAAGTCGTCCCGAGCGGGACAAAATATCCACCAGACTAAGATTTAGAAAGTATTTTCCTTTGAGAATCAAGTGTGTCTGCGATGTTGGATACAGTCAGCCAGTGGTGGGGCTCCTAGCGCTGCTGAAGCGCCACGAATGCTTTGTGAACCATATTTAACCACCTTCCACCTTCTTCAACCCCCATTAACTCGGTTATCCTGATCACAACAATAATTGAAGAAACGCTCACGCGTGAGTCAACGGCCTCTTGTGTTGACGTTTTCCTTGTTGCAGCTTAGGTAACCACGCCGACACAGGGACAATTAGTCATCGTAACTCACATCAACCACCAACCACCCCTTCCTTCCGACGTCCCATTTTCTCCATTCATCGTTCGTGCCCGCTCAAATTATCGAGGTATTCCGGTATGCCATCGGCGCTATTCCTTGGTCAGACTTTGAAAGGCCGAACGGCGCTTTACACCGTCGTAAAACAACTCCAGGACTGTGTCTGGCTTGCGACGTAAGCAGTCCCTGCCTCTTATGGTTTCGGTGTGAACTACTATTCTAACATTAATACTCACAGGAATGAGTCTCAGCAAAAAGTGATCGCAAAGAGTGTCCGGCACTTTCGATTACAGAACGAGCGAGATGTGCTACTTCGTTTTCAACGCCGAACATCTGCTATCCGCCCACTCGTTGAGGAGCTCGAAGACACTAATTCCCCTCCTACACTTATCCTAAAATACCTCGATGACGATGTTCTGAACGCATCGAACAAACAACAGCTTACTCATTCCGAGGTGGTGTTTGTCGCAAGAAAGGTGCTCGAAGCACTTGCCGTCTTGCATGATGAGGGATTTGTACACACTGGTGTGATTAGTCGATCTTTGCTTCTCTGCTGCCGAATTTTGCTAATACGGACGGGTTATAGATATCAAGCCCAGCAACGTGTTAGTGAATTACAGTCAACTTGATTTTCGTTTTACAGATGCTCAGCTGGCAGATTTTGGAAGCACCGTTCACGTGGAGTCCGTTCATGCGCAACGAGGCGACCCTATCGGCACTCCTATTTTCAGAAGCCCTGAGGCTCACCTTCAAATGAAATGGGGTACTGCAACAGATATTTGGTCATTTGGTGCAACGGCAAGTTACAACCTCGCGGCGGAAGACCTGGGAACGAATATTAACGTCGATGTAAGCAAAACAGCTTATCAGCCTCCTCTACGGATCTGGATTTCACATTTTCAAACCCGATGTTCCTCCGGATCATGACGAGTACGATGTCAAGATTCTTCTGAAGCACCATAGATGCTTCGGTCCATTTCCAGAGTCGTACGAACAGATCGCGGACCAACAACGGTTGGCCATTCTTACGTGGGTCATGCAGAACAGTCCACCGGAGACTCTGCGGCCGTTCCATCTTACCACTACTAAGGAAATCTGTCAGGACGATAAGGAATTCTTGCTAAGGATAATGAGGCTAGACCCTCGAGATAGGCCATCAGCACGACAACTCTTAGAAGACCAGTGGTTCAATCAGTCTTGAATTTGATTGTTCTGAGTGTTTCAATCTCGTACTTGATTCTGAATGTGCTTATTTTGTGCAAAGTCTGAAAACTCCCCTCCCACGCATAGATAATCATCGGCATAGGCTACCTTTCGTCTTTTCTTCAACTCCGATATCCGTTCGCCGGACCTCACTACTTCCAACCCAAAATATTTCATTGTTCTCGCCGCTCGGGTACCTGCGGTTCACACCGGAGAAACCTCTTGCAACCCTAATCCTTGGTGGGGAAATGCACGCTCTTTCCATCGCCGTTTTCATCGAAACAGACTCCAGTATAGTGGTCGCGCGGATCATTGTCGCTCGTATGCCGAGTTTCTCTGCTCATCTTTTAGCTTATAGCTTAATGCTAAGGCTGAGGCTATGCTTGGACCTTTGACAAACCTCCTTTGTTCCTGATGGCACAAGATGTTTAGCGGCCTCGACGGCTTTCTTGAAGCCCGGGCCTTGCTGGATCGCGATCGACTCAGGCCTGAGCCAATCGGAAGTTTGAGTGGCCACCGAGAGTGTTATCTCTTGTCCGTTTTTGGCGATGCTTCCAATGGGAACTTTCTTGAGAATTCGGTTGAAAGACATGCTGAGTAGACAAGGTGTGTGTGTATGTGTGAAGAGCGATGGGTCAATGCAGGCAGTTCGAAAGATGTACTAACGCTACCAAATGGCGGATTCTTCGTTGATATTTATACACTTTTCCCCCAGCCCACGGGGAGCATCGAGCCATGACTTCAGGCGCCCAAGAATCCTATTCTAGGAGCCCGAGTTCAAAAAAGAACAGGGTAAAAGCAGTTGGCTGTGGGTGCTCAAACTTAGACGCCGAGTTGATCCCGAACGACGAAACCGCGTCTTGGTCAATATGCTTCCTGTAGGATGGTCTGTGCGCCATTCAAGCTGAGATGACTGACAAGCCGTCCGGTCCATCTCCAGAGTTAATATCGACATCGCGCCGTGTAGACTCTATTGGAGGGACCTATCAGCACTTGAGAATAAATGAGAGGGACGATTTCCAGCCAAGGAGTATTAGAAAGATTGTCTTTCCCAAAATGCCATTTCCATCCAAAGCCAATTGAGCTCAATCACCACCGTTTAGGCTGGCTTGGTACTGCACTAGCTGTGAAGACGCAAGTTAGACACGAAGCATTATTGGATATGTTGGAATTGCTAGGGGTTCAAGCGGGCTGAAATTCCTCGGAATAGTAACAAAGGGCGTGCTCCGGCTCGCCGCGGGAGACATCACGAGGTAACATCCGAGCATTTTTGGGAGCTCTCATAGGCTCAAGCTAAGCACTGGTGGACTTTAACGGTACGAGATTGTCGTAAATAGCACGTTATGATTTTTTGGTATGTTGTTGTCCAACCATTCACGGCTTAAAGGACAAGGCTCTTTTGCGAACGGGGATCTGATGCGGGTTAATGCGCGAGTCGCTCATCTCTTTTGAGGCTGAGTGGAATTCAATCATTCAACAGCGGACCCTTCCCAGGGTAAACTTTGCGAGGTCGCATTGTATGAGTTACGGTCGAGCAAAGACCAACCGGATTTAATGCCCGCATCCAACATGTGCGGCCCAATGCGAAGTTTGACAGCGTCGGAGGTCAAAGCATCGGCTGAAGTGGGGTTGTGCCCGGACCCCGGGACACCCTACGCAGTGCGCAATATGATTGGGAAGAAAAGGTAAAGGCAGAGTTTGTGCTGGCGGTGAGTCTTGGACTGATATCGGATCGGCAAAACAGGAACATGACTTTGAATTTGAGGCTCGTAAGTTGCCTGAGCGGCCAATGATCTGAAGCATTGGGTCTCCACACCAACTGGTACTTATGAAGCAAGGCCAGCCAATCTCTCTTGCGACCAGCGAGTTGCCAATCCGCGAAACGTCCAGGGAAGAAAAGTGAAACGCCCTTGCCCTGAAACCGCATTAATTGATTTTTATTGGCTCTCGACAGAAGTCCTTCAAAAGTTACCCAGGCGCGAAGTCTGGAGCGAAGAAATCATGCGCCAATCAGAAGTGGCTTTTTTGGCTGAGGTCTGATGAAACTCTTCGGGTCTAGTGACCAGCCTTAGCGCCGAGGCACAATCTTCTGCTTCGCGAACGGGAGCACCCTGAAGTCGCTACCGAAGATGCTAATGCAGAGGATGATAAACTTGACGACTCTGGATGGCTGGATTGGAATCTAACGAGAGACATCAGTAGTAGTAGTGGGTCTGGAAGCGCGACAATCTTCTGGATTGACTGATCGAGCAACAGTCTGCTGCCACGTCAACTTTAATCTGAACAACCACGTGCAACAGGTTCAGGTTGAACCGGCGCCAGGCAATGCAGGCTGGTTGAAATTCCATTTGATAAGCACTCAGATTTTTCTTAAAAAACTGTATCGTCCAACTTCCATCCGTACAATATCAGCATTCACGATGGCCTCCCACACTTTGGCTCAAAGCCTGTTACAGCAGGTCGACATGCTTCATCTAACACTATTACAACTCGAATCTATTGACGATCAGCTCGCCTCGACCTTACGGTCTAGGCTTACTGCTCTCGCTGACCAGATTCCACTTATGAAAACGCTGGCTTCGGTCTCGAGCCTCGTGAAAAAGGACTGTGATTTACCTGTTCGACGAATAAGTTACAACATTCGAAAACTTTCAGAGAAATGCAAACCAAGATGGGACGAGCTTCTCAAATTGGACTGCGAAACTATTATATTCTCCACGGTAGCTTTCAACGGTTTGGCTTCTTTACCCGAGGAGGTATTTTCCTGGATTGTCCAGAACCTTCAGAATTATGTGGAGAACAGAGCATTTCCTCGTCATTGGATTCTACGAGATCAAATTCGGAAAGTCTTGTCAAATATCCGGAGGGAAGATCTTACAAAGCCTTTCCTTGCAAGTTAGTTTTCCGCATCCCTATCCCGGAGATGTTACTAACTAACCTTAAGAATATAGCGCAGTGGAAATGAAGTCGTATGAAACCACAGCCGTATCCGCTGGGAAAGTGGACTGTACCCTCTCATTGTTGGAGGATGCTGGCGGTAAGATTCTGTCGTGCAAGGGCCTAAGCGATGATAAATCTGAGATAGCATGCCCAAGACAAACGTCGACTTTCAGGTGAAGAAAATACAGAGCCCACATCTATTAGTACTACAAGAAAGCGTCCTCGGATTCAGGAATATACAGAGAAAAGGAATCCACGATTCCAACATGTGACAATGAATCAAATATCGCCCTTAAGTGAAAGAAGAGGTAAGAAAAACGCTGAAAAAATATGCACAGACTAAATGTGGACAGAGATGAGTCACATGTACTCGAATGCTCCTGCAACCATCGTCTCAATACTGCCGGAGCCTTTCAAATCGGCTGTCATGAATAGCCGCCTCTGGAAATGGGAACGCTGTCAAAATATGGAGACAACAGGGTGTCTAGCGAGCTTGTTCCCGAAGGACGATACCCAAGATGTGTCGTTCACCATATGGTGTGGGCACAACGACGGTTATTCCCTCAACAATGTCTTTGGTGTGCAACGAGAACATCTTTAGACTTGGAAATACACACTAGCCCCGCGAACGTAACAGGTGTATCCTGGAGGGATCTCGTACGGCGTATACTCCGCTACGTCCTCTTTAAATTCATGACGATGTCCCGTTCTCTCATTGTAAATCGAAAGATATTCGCCTTTGAAGTATATCGTTCTCGTGCTCGTAAGATCTGGAGGAAATCGATGACTTGGAATATCCTTCTCTTCCTGCCCCGAAAGAGCAATCTGACCTCTCTGAGAAATGAGTCTTAGCGATCTGCAGACTCTAAGAATTAAAAATCAAAGACAGACCAACCTCCATGGGAGTTAGCGACGTAGAAATAAAACTCTGGGTTGCGATGTCTTGTCGAGCGCCAAAATATGGGTTGAGGTTAGAACCCCGAAGGGGGCGATTCTTGAAGATGCCCCTAGGGAATAAAGAGAAGCAAGTCAACAGTAAGAATCCTAAAAAAAGGAGTAATTTGGCACTTAGAGGTCCGCGTATTTTGTCAAGAATATCGGATGATGAGGGTTTTGAGCGAGCAATGTCGGACGAGGGGCAAATGACCCCGCCCCACTGAATAAGTCGGAGTCGTGTTGCAACGAATGCCCAAGTAAGGCATCCATACTTAAGCAATTTCACGACCTATTTACATCCTTGTTTTGTTGGCTTCACGTTTCGCAATTATGATTATTCATAAATAATGAGAAGTTAATAACATGAGGAAAAAACGTATTCTGCATTTTCGCCTGATTTGTGGACCTGTCAAAGAAGGAGCGGGTAGATTTTTGTTTTGCCTGATTGCCCTCGGAATTGCCCTCGGAATTGCCCTCGGAATAACCTTCTCGCGTATGTCCGACTGAACCAAGAAATCTGACGTAGGCATCGGCAAAGCTAGTGTTTCGGGGTTATGTCACGCCGAGCTCACTCCACGTGGCGGTTGGAAGTGATCTCCGCACACGCTTCAGCTGAATCCCCGTCCAGCACAAGCGAGCTCTACAGATGGTAAGAAATCAGCTTCCTGGGGCAGAAGCCAAGGTCACCTATTGGCCAATGTTAACCTCCATCCCCACTTAGACATGCGAACTAAGGCTATCCGGGGGCGTGTTAGTAGCTACAGACAAGCTGCCCTCTGTGAACTTATTATTGGTGATGATGGCTGCAGATGGAACGTAATCAGGGAGCTTCTAGTTGGATGAAGTTGCACAATTGCCAAGTTCGAGGCCTCCTCCATCGCGCATCTCGCGGCACAATGTTATCTAGATCATGTCGCGCAGGTCCAGACAACGACCGTGTATGCTGTAGTATGCTAGTGTCACCCCTGCTGGTCGAAAAGGAACTGGAAGAGACACGGGGAGCAAGGAGAGGGGTAGAGTGTATGCAATGTATCCCACTCTGCTGCGGACATATAAGGACGCATGTTTCCTCCTAAATCCGTCTTTTGGTCATTGCCATTAACATTCGAACTTTCGTTTAACCTCGTACCAATCTGTTCCAAGATCCCTTAATCCAATCAGCAGTACATCAGCCAATATGATCGCTACTCACCATGAAGTTAACGCTTCTCCTTCGGTCTCCCAAGCCGTTGAACAGGGGCTTGAAAAGAAACCTTTGCCTGCTATCGTTGCAGGAGAGCTGGAGCCAGTCGTGGACAACTTGGTGAAAAAAGTCTTGTCCGACCCAGCTCCATGGCTCGGTAGACTCCCAGCCACTCCTGTCTGTCCCTTTGGGCCCTCCACGCCGCCGCTTGATGCCGACGAACTGGAGAAGCAGTTGGTAGACGTTGCTGAAACCAGATGTCAGTCTGACTGTACCGACATTGATGATGATACTTCGCCAAGGATTATCGAAGCCAGGTTCAGGAAGGTGTTGGAAATGTATGTCTCCGAATTTGCGCATAGTGATTAGTGATTGCTAACGTCTGAATAGCTGGGACAAGGACATCTCGAAATACAAGATCGTTGAATCAATTGAACCGGAAGTGGATGATGAGTTTAGCGAATATGCATTTGTCGTTCGCGAACATATCGGTATGTATGGTGAACCTCTCAACCAAGGACAGAATCTCATCGTCGCAGATCCGAAATCCAAAGATTCCACGACATTCGTTGATGTGAAGTCCGAGACTCTGCGCGACATCGTGCGAGAAGTGCTAGGGAATGTCAAGGCAGTTAGTGTAATGGAACCCAAGCCCTCGGTAAGGAAGTCGACATCTTGAGCCGATGCTGTAAGCTAATCCTGAAAGTAGATTGAGCAAATTATCTTGTTTCATTTCCTGCCCGAGCTCAAGTCCAAGCTCAACCAATTGACTCACGGCGAACAATCAACCGGGACCCCATCCCCGAGCCTGGTTGCCCCTTCCCCAGCTGATCCAGGTGCATGTGCAGATTGCGCAGATCCAAGAAAATTGCAGCACAATGCGAGGAGCCACCCAGAAGGCGTGGAGTACCTCCGTCTCCTCATCGACCACATCGATAAGACTTACGCAGCTAAGGTGGAACGCCTCGCATCATTGTTGCAACGCGGGGAGATAACTTATGATCTTCTTGAGCTTCTCTTTAAGCCTGGATGCCACGTGTACACGAAATGTTTCGGCACTGGAAAATCTCGTTGCGTAGTTTTCGACGCCGCAGAAGAGACCACACGAAAAGACGTCACGCATCTCAAACTTGAATGTCATTATCTTGACCATGATAACCATGAATTCGGGGAGGTAGGGATCGAGCTGGGTATCGTCAAGTTTCGAGGGCGTAAACCAATTCGCACCCTGGAGGCATTCCCACTCCAATACCACCCAGACAGTGAACAGATTGCTCGGGACCTGATAGAACGCGGTCGCAAATTCGCTCAATTCATCGGACGCTCCAGCACAGCCATCTTACAACACTGCAAGGGCACGGCCTTCATTATGAAGAATGGGAAGCCGCTGGCATTGAACATCGACAGTCGTGTGGCAATCGATGCAGCCTTGTTTCGTGAAATGATGCCGAACTACCGACGCCCACGGGTCTCCGACTGTTGGGAAGACCTTTCGATTATCCGCGGCATTTCTCTCAAAGAGGAAGAACGCCGAGAAGAGCTTGAAAAATTCAAGGCCAATGGAAAAGACCAACATTCGATCACTGATGACGAGTGTCTCATATGCTGCCCAACGGTTCGGTGCTTCAGCTTCACTGACAAGATCTTTGGTGAGGAATTGTGATCGTTCCACGTGACTGTGCTGACTCATTCAAACAGTGGAGTGTGCTGTTGGTGATTTGGCAGATGTTCAGTGGTACCCTGCCTCCTTTGACCGCTTGCAAATTCCCAATGACACAAAGGAAATCCTTCTCTCGGTTACCACTGCTCGCTTGTCCGGCAACAACGACGTAGTCTTTGATGATTTCATCAAAGGAAAGGGCCGAGGGCTCAATGTCCTCTTCTAGTAAGTAACGAAGCTCCCAAGAGAAAGCTCTGCTAACGGCGCCAGCGGTGTGCCTGGAGTTGGGAAGACATTCACGGTCGAGGCGACAGCCGAGCGATTCCAGGCACCTCTCTATTCGGTAGGCGATGCCCATCCAACAGACGTCCCGGTTCCATACTCATTCATTAGGTATCGGCAGGCGAATTGATTGCGGACCATGGCGATCCCCTGCAACTGGATATGACCCTCGATCGGATCTTTAAAATTGCCAAACGCCTTAACACCGTCCTTCTGGTCGATGAAGCCGATGTGTTTATGGAGAAGCGCGCATCGTACCAGGGGAGCCACAACCGACTGGTGACCGTCTTTCTTCGGAAACTTGAATACTACGAAGGCGTCCTCTTTCTGACCACCAACCGCGTGATGGAGTTTGACGAGGCCGTTCTGAGCCGCATCCATCTGAAGATCAAGTATCCAGAATTGACACAGAACGCCCGGCGGAACATCTGGGAAAGCTTCCTTTCAGAGGCTCAAACCCTTCAAGGACCCGCCACCGTCGACCCTAGCGAACTTGAACATCTAGCATCGATGAAATTGAACGGCCGAGAGGTGAGTCACAATACCTCGAGTCTTCGACTCTGTCCTGACATCGGCTGACTTAATAATGTGATAGATCAAAAATCTTTCGTCCATCGCCCAAGCATTGGCTTCTGTCGAGAATACACAAGTAACCTTCAAGCACTTGGTGAAGGCCACGAAGGCGAATGATAAATTCGTTGAGGAGTTCAAGAACTCCGGTCGGATGCAGGGCATGTATACGTGAATGAAGCCCTACTGCGGAGGATCGCTGCAATCCTGCTGTTATACGTCGACTTTTGGCGATGCTTTGATCGCTTTTCACATCCCACGGTCTATTTATTCGCTTAACTGGGTCGGCCAGTGCATAGTACATTCCTTTACTACGCGTGGACTTTGAAATCAATTCTTCCGTATTTGTTCTGGTCTGAATAGAATCAGCTTTAAATTTCAATGAGTTCTCCTCGGAAGAAGGCTCGTAATTCTACTTTTTCTCCGTCGAGCACTCGTTGAATGCGTTCTGCCTCCCGCTCCCGAGCGATGTCTCGTGCCGTACGGCCCGTATGATCCATCACAGATATGTCGGCGCCTCCATCGAGCAGGGCTTTGGTTACTGCCGCATAATCCAGCTGAACCGCACAATGCAAAGGAGTGCGACCTTGCTCATCCACTGACAACACGTCTGCGCCCTTGTTGATGAGAATCCTGACGGTCTCCGACACCCCCACTTCAGCCGCTACGTGGAGAGGTGTTTTTTTACCCCCATCCCTTGCAGACGTGGACGCTCCTCTTTCCAGAAGACGGGTAACCATGGCAGGGAACCTGTTCGCCGCGCCTAAATGCAATGGGGTAGACCCCTTTCGGTCGACCGCCGACACGTCGGCTCCGTCGTCAAGTAGTTCTTCCGCAACTTCAACATGCCCTCCTTGAGCAGCCCAATGAAGAGCCGTTCGGTCGGCTCGGTCATGGTCGAACACAGAAGCTCCTTGCCGGAGTAGAAGAGAAACAATCGGTCCATGGCCTTCTCGTGCCGCTCCCATCAGTGGCGTCCCATCAGCCAAGTCTCTTGGAGAGTGGTTGGTGCCCAAATCTAGAAGCTGTTGCACCTGGTCAAAGTTCCCTTCTCGAGCAGCCGATGCCAGGACATACTCGTCATCTAAGAGAAGGGTATCGATTCGACAGATAGGGCAACGGTCCGTGGTAAAGATGGATTGCCCGAGGCAGCTTTCGTGCGCCCAGTATCGACAACTGCATCTCAGCGTCACCACCTCAGTGTTCTGGAGGAAGTCTTCACTGCAAATAAGACAGGAGTCGCTGGCAAGAGTATCGTCCACGGTCTTCCGCTTAACGATGTTATTTGGCACAGTCTTGATGGTTTCTCGGTATGCATGGAATAATTCCTTGGGCGATATGATGAAGGTATCCATCGGACTGAATTCCACATTGTAAGTATCAGGTATACAGTAGCATGGACGCCTATTAGATCATCATTTCATACATCTTGAAATCCGGAACGAGTTATAAATACAATGGCTGGTCTCAGGATATGTAGCAACCTTGACATGTGTGCTTGTTTGACGGATAGAAAGACCCGTAGGATGAAGGGTAGACGACCCCGCAGTCAGCCGCCAAGCCGTGCTTTGCTGGAGGACTGTTATTCTAGCCAATGACTATGCTCGAGCGTTGGGCGGATGACCGAGTGCGAGCTCGTCTCCACGCCGCATCCTCTGGACAAATAAATCGTGAATAGAGGAGACTGTGGTCCGATCATACCCTAGGCACTGGCAGATAACACATAATCTACAAACCCGGTCAACTACTTTATCTCTGTGGAGTGATGGGAGCTGCCTACTCAATTGTGCCTCCCATAATGTCCTGGAGGATACTTGGCAAACAGTACGGGATCCATCCGGGATCTTCACCCGTCACCGGCGGGGGTCCCAGCCGCTTCGCAACCTCCCCGTGGCTCTGGGACGCACTCATTGCGAATCGTCCAAACTGGGCCGGCGTCCGCGTTTCTAGCCAAGGAATCATTGATGTTAGCAAGCCATGTCCGAACACACTTCGGGGGTCTAAGCTATCCTACGGAGGAGAAACACCTCCCAGCTCCTTGCGCCCCATCCCTGGTGAAGAAGGGAAGCCATGCACCGATTCGCCCACAACGAGCCGTACCGATAGTAGTCCAGGGTCTTCGTGTCGTATATCCGCCCGAGATATCGTTCCATCATGGCGTAAACCGTGTCTTTTGCATTATCCACATGCAGCAGGACCGCACAATAACTGGTAAAGATTAATTTTTGGAAATTCACCACGCGGCGGGTGAAGTTGTTCTGTTCTATGCAGACCAACATCCACTGTCCATACCGACATCCCCTAACGACCAGTTCCCGATCATCTGTTGGGCGAATGGATAGAACGTCAGTGATCGGTAACCCGGAAGCCTCCACCCCGCGCGCGAACGTTTCCCAAGCATGAGACGGACCGCCAGTTGGTTCTGCTCGGCCGTGTGGAGACCGGCCTCGCGCCGGGCCGCCTCCCAACCGTCACGGCGTGGAAGGGACAAAACAAAAGAGTCCAGTTCTTTTCTCCACCGCGGAACTTGAAAGCGTTTCAGGTGCTGGTTATATGTCTCACCTGGTGGCTGCCAGATAATGAAGTGAATGGGGGCGGCGTCGGTTGACAGAGGCCCAGGTCCTTGGTCCGAATGCTCTGGATGCCGCGGAGCAGAGGACCCTGAAAGGCGCTGTGCCTCGAGGACCTTGCACTCGAGATATTGGATATATTCGGCATCGCTGCCCTGGAAGTTAAAAAGCCTTGGCATGAGAAACGATCATGGATCGGGAGCGGGAGAAAATCAGTTGGGAACGACGGGCGTGGGTGGACAGAAAACGGCACCTTTCCAGGTAGGTTCTATATTAGGGGTGTTGATTCCCTAGAAGGCAATGGCATGTGGGGCTTTCTGGTTGCCCGGTAAAATGTGCAAGTGAAGTGAAGTGACATTCTTTATTCTCAGCCAGCCCGAAGCCGGATCAGCTGCAAAGATCTAGATTGAATATGTCCAGCAAAGAGAAAGAAAATCGACCCTGGAATCCAGCCAGGCGATGGCTGCACAGCAACATCAGATTGGTGATCGCAAGATCATAGTTTAGCTGCGGTGGGACTTTCCACTCCGCGGGGATGGCTCGGAGGCCATGTTTGCGTCCCAGCCTAGCTCCGCAGACTCAAAGGACGTCCGGCCTGGCGCGCCCGCATACTTTTCGTATACACGCGAAATAACGGATTCACTAGGCACCGGCTGTGGAGGTCTGAGGCGAGTAATCTGGTCCTGACGGATGATGTCGCCCGCCTCGTTCCGGGAAATCACGGACTCACAAATATCTGAACCAGATGTCCGTCGCAATCTCACTTTCCGCAGCTCTGACGACCCGTCGTCTGTTTCGACCGGCCGTTTCCTAGGTCGTTCGAGGTCAATATGCTGCAAGCCCCATTTTGTTACTAGAATCTTCCAGCATTGATAAGGGTGGGCAGCCACAGCATCTTCAATGCTCACGTAGTCGGTGCGCTCTGTATCGTCGGACGAACCGCGCTGCCATCGTTCCCAATCGGTCACAGAATAGTGTTTTGCGAGGCGTACTAGAGCATGGGCTAAGGTGGTGGTTAACCTTCTTGATTCATTGACAGGGTCGTGGATGGGAGGGGAGGGGGAAGAACGCAACGTACTATCAGTCAATAATCGCCAACAGTCGGCAATGGTTCGCGGAAAGTCTGGAGAGAGAGCGAAGGTAGATTTGCCAGCGACCAGAGCTGGGGCGTAGATCGGTTCGATGGAATCCCTCAAGTGGTTGCGTAGGGCATTGATTTGCCTCGCAGATCCATTCTCAATACCACGTTGAAGGGATTCGACCTGGCTCTGAACGTCCTTGACCTGGCTCTGAACGTCCTTGACCTGGCTCTGAACGTCCTTGACCTGGCTCTGAACGTCCTTGACCTGGCTCTGAACGTCCTTGACCTCTTTTCTAAGCTCCTTTAGGTCCTTTTCGACATCGTCCAAACGGCCGGATAATTCAGTGAGAGCCTCTTTAGCTCCCTGCTCGAATCTTTCCACTTTGTGGTCTACCTTTTCAATCTTCCCATCCACTGTTTTTATATCCTGCCTCATCGCCTTCGTTTCCATCGACCAGAAGCTATGTTCGCTATACAGGTGGGCGGTATAGACGCCCACCACGCCGATCGCAGCGTCGAAGTAGGGAGAATCATTCCGAACATTTCGAGGGCGTTCTGGAAGTGATACCTCGGGCGCCTGATTTGAATGCTTCCTCGCAGCGTCTTGGAGAGCACGGAGGGAGGTCAGAGAGTCGGAACTTGGTGGGGCCATTTGTCTTCGCCAAGTGGATAGCGAAAGATCGTGGGGAACGAGATTAAAACTGCTATTAGCCGGCCAGTGACGACAGAAATACCTCTCGAGAATAGATTAATGGATCAGAACCATCACCTGGAAGGACTCGGGGGATGTAGTGAGAATAAGTGAAGGAAGGAGCCTGAAATGGAATTGGTCAGTCACGTGATTGCTGGCGTGCGATCGCTTGATTAGACAGCACTCCAGCCGTTCACAAAGCTCGCATTCGGCCCCTTGCCATCTGAAAGTGGACTGCCACCTCCTTGAGAACGAGGTAGACGACTAAAACTGGACATGATGTCACCTCGATTGGGCACAAAGGCACAAAATTGCGGGTGTCCGAGGGGGCCGGGTGTAGCTAGTTGGGGAGGAAGTGCACCTTTCCAGGTAGTTTTGGGTATGGAATTTGCTTCCAAACTAGCATAAATGACTAGAGAACGCCGAGCACCGCGACCTTCAAAGCTCCGAAGAACGTATCTAAAGAACAGGAAAATAAGGAGACAGATTTAATGTCGGCATGGGTGCCTCAGGCATTCAGCGGCCGTAGCGTGTGGTCACGTGGCGCACAACCACCACGATAACGCCGCTCGGTCTTCCCTAGATAGGAAATACCAAGCGTTTCCATGCAGTCAGGTTATGCCCCCGGCTAGCTCTCTTTTTCAATAAAATTACACTTTATCGAAGCCCTTCGCTTCAGGCTTCAATTTTATCTACTTTTTACCCCGATATCTGACTTCCTCGTGGCGTCGTCGACCGAAAACGATTCGTTCGACTCCACGTGGTGTTGCCAATCTTGGGTATCCGGACCGACGAGAATCGACCTCGATTGGCTGGATAACTCAACCGATCGTACGACCAAGGATCTAGCACGCGATTAGACCTTAGCGAGTACCTAAAATGACTGATAACAACCATACAGCGAACCAGGCTTACTGCCGTGGTCGCGCGATCCCCACCGAATTGACCCGCACGATCCCCGCTGTACAAAAGGTTCTAGCGTCAAAAGACCAATTCGATACGTGGACATTTGCGGTAAAGGATAGCCTACGGGCGTTAAGATTAGAACAATTGATACAAAAGGACATTGCTCGACCAGCTCAGGATGCAGCCAACTACGCGGCATGGGAAGATATGTCGCTACAGGTGGCCAGCTGGCTGACGGGCCAAGTTTCAGAGGAATATCAGCGACGTCTACAGTCGTACAGCAAGAATATCGACATGGCAGACGATCGATACGAGGCGATAAAGGACATCGCGTTAGGATCAGGAACGTTGCGCTTGAAGGCTGCTGCGCTAAAGCCCATAAAAATGACAAGACAACAATTCGCTTCCCCTGCGGACTACATGAAGGCTTATATGGCAGCTACGATGGTCGCAGAACGACTGAAATGCGATGCAGGACCTTACGTCTCAGCCCTGCTGTTGATACACGAGCTCAGGGACGATATGCCAAACTGGGCGTACAATAAGCAGGAACAAATGACAGAAGAACCCGGGACGTTCAATTATGACCACTTCCGCGAGCTATACGACTCTGCGATGGCCACCTGGGAAGCTTCAAATGTTGAGATATCCGCGGCCGCTCATCGCGCGCCTCGGCCCAACAACCAGAATAATAACAACTCTAGCGACGTGCATAATCCAATGAACGATCCAGCACACCACGGGCGAAAGCTTCAAGATGGGCCAGCACCTGGTTGCAAGCACGATCACTGGAGACAAACAATTCTAAATGGAACACCACAGACGACTGACGGTCGCTGCACATACTGCGGGATGCGTGGCCACAGTGTCAAGAAATGCTGGTATCTCATGCCTGACCTTCGCAGGGAGGGCTGGAGACCGTGGAGAACGATCTGGGCGTACAAATATCGCTATAATCACGACGACGAGAAGCCCAAAAATAGCCCGTCAGTGCCAGATCGAAGGCAAAGCCAAAATACAGCGAATAATCCACAACAAACTGCGCCTCCGGCACCACCTCCAACGGGTCAAGGAGGAATAGCAGTCACATACGACGCGGATGGGACCGCGGAGTTCAGATTTGCAGGCGCTGCGGTCGACATGCCGCTAGCAGCTAAAGCTATACGTGTGACTACCAACGAGCAAGGCATACAACAGACTGCGGTGACGTCGACAGCGATCTGGATCGTTGACTCAGGCGCCTCACAGCATCTCATCGGGAACCGCGCGTTATTTAAGACTTTATATGAATATGGACCGAACGAGCAAGCTTACCGCCACAAAACAGCAGGTGGAGGCATCGTATCGGCAAAGGGATATGGAACAGCAAACGTACGTCTCTATCACAACGGCGCGTGCGTTGATCGCGAGATCTCTGCTTACTACAATCCCGACCTGGATTTCAATATGTTGTCGACGGAGAAAATGAAGCAAGATATGCGCGCCTCTTGGAGCTCAAAAGATCTCTATATCCGCGACTGGGATACGAATGACATCCTGGGCTCTACGTACAACTTCCACGGAGTCCCCAGAGTGATAGTGTTCCCAAATGACGATCTTATCCTTGCGGCATTGAATAAGAAGCAAAAGAAGGAGAAACAACACAATATGGAGCAACGCCAGCTTAGTGAAAAGACGGCGGAGGAGGACGAGAAGGTGCTTACGCACGAAGAGATCCTTCTAGCGCATCGTCGACTGGGTCATATTGGCCTGCCAAAGCTACGAAAGGCGCTCAACAACAACAAGATCGAATCCTTCGTCTGCGACGTCTGCAGGGAGAACAAAGCGCGCAGACAAGTCTCGCGAGAACCTCAGAACCTTAGAAGCCTTGATGAAGGAGACCCTGCGGCCCTCTGGTATGCAGATGTCCAGACAGTTACGCCAAAGGGGGTGGGCGGCGAGGTCATGTACGTAGTCGCGGTCAATGCAGCGACACGGATGACTATCTGCCTGCTTATAAAGGAAAAGAAACACGCGGCAGACGCGATGATAGCCTTTACGAAGCACCTAAAGGTCCAAACTGGTCAGTATCCACGCGAGATCCTTCTAGATGGTGGAACAGAGTTCTTTCGCTTCCGGAGATGGGCCAAGAGGAAGGGAATAAAGGTAAATCCCACTCCACCAAGAACGCCAGAGCCCAACACATCTGAAAGGTTCGGCGGCTACGTCAATGAGATGGCACGCTGTATCCTGGATGAGGCAGGACTTCCCTGGAAGCTCTGGCCCTACGCAATTGAAAACGTGGCACATACGATCAACCGTCTCCACCGTCCAAATGACAAGGACAAAAGACCACCTATACAGAAGTGGCGCGAATGGTGGCGGATCAAGGATCCCCACGCCTCAATAGAACACTTGAAGGTCTTTGGTTGCCGCGCGTGGGTGCATATTCCGGCTGAAGATCGCGTGAAGTCGCAGAAGATGAGCCCACGAGCTCATATTGGCTACTACGTTGGTACGGAAGGTGACCACGGTCACGTTTACCGCGTTTGGGTACCGAAGACGGGCCGTATACACAGATCCCGAGACGTTACCTTCGACGAATCGAGGCTATACAACGACGACCATGACGATCACGGCATCCCGATTGAAGAACCCTCTGAAGACGAAATCCCCGAACCCGGCAAACCTTTCACAATCACCGTACAACCCGGCATACCGAACACCGAAGGTCTCGAGGACCAGGGGGAGGAACAAATGGAACAGAATAATAGTGGAGGAAACACTGGAGAAGAGGACGACGTTGAAGGGGGTGCGGAGACTCCTACGGAGGCAGATCTACATTTGACGCCTCCAGAGAGCTCGCAGCCTCAGAGACAGCAAGGTCCGTTCACACCAGATAGCCCTACGCCAGCAATATTTAGAAACGCTAGTGGTGAGCCATCCCGTCGAGCTCTGTACAATGCAAGCCGTCGAGGAGCTCGGGGATCGTCTCGGGGACTGGTCCGGTTACCTCTACCAAGGCCTCTGACGAGTTTTGACCGCCTTCCTATACAGGAAGGAGCTATCAATCCTCAAAGAGTGCCGGAATCGACGAATCTCTGGGAGATAAGTCACCAAAACACTTCTCCGCGGGGAACCTTTGCAAATGAGGAAGACATACGGACCACCAACAGGCTCAACCTCTCAGACTATCCACGGATTGCTGAGCAGGCTCTGCAGCAAAGCGAGGAAATGGAATTAGATGAGGATATGGGCGAGGCAGAAGAACTACACCATGTCCCTAACCCTGTCGTACCACAAAAGCGAAACATCTCTTCCCGCTTCATTGAACCTGTTGGAGCAGAAAAGAATCGAAAGCTAGATGATGTGACCTCTGCAGACGCACGGGGAAAGCAGATTCGCACCTCAACGAGGACTACAAAAGGTCAACCACCTGGCTGGCTTGGGAACGAGCAAGCCCTCGCGGCCTTGGATGTTGTTGAACCAAATGAAGTCCTCCGCGCCTCGGAAGTCGTCATCCCACAAACCTACAAGCAAGCAATGAAGTCGAAACATGCAGATCGTTGGTGGGCGGCGATGAAAAGGCAATATGACGAGATCACAGGAATGGAAACCTACAGAAAGGTCTCTAGGCCAAAACACAGCGAAGGACACTACGTTTTACCAGGCAAATGGGTCTACGCCCTCAAGCTCAACAAGGAGAATCGCGTGCAGAGATTCAAGGCTCGCTGGGTAATCTGTGGCAATAGACAACGTCCTGGTGTTGACTTTGATGACACCAGCTCACCTGTCCCTACAGATCCCGCGATCCGTATGTTCCTCACGATGATCGCCACTAAGAAGAAACGTTGCAAACAGGTAGATATCGTGACGGCTTTTCTATACGCGATGATGAAAGAGCGGAAAATATTCATGCGACCTCCACCTGGCTTCGAGGACGATGATGACCAGGTATGGCTATTACTCAAAGCTTTGTACGGCCTGCGACAGGCGGGTCATTTATGGTGGAAGAGAATAAGCGAGAAGCTGATCGCCATGGGATTCAAACCGCTTGTTGAAGAACCTTGCATTTTCCAAAGGGGAACCACATACATTATCATCTACGTAGATGACCTTCTTGTCACCGACGATACTGATGAAGGAATTGACGAGGTTATCCGCGAGATCAACGACGATATGCAGGTCAAGGTTATTGGTGAGCCGGCAAGGTTTCTTGGTTGCGCGCTGACGCGGGAAAACGATACAATTATTATGGACCAGAAGGGATATACAGAGGACCTCCTAATTGAGCACGAGATGTCGTCGTCAAATGGGGCAGACTCGCCAATGGCCTCTGGATATCGCCAACATCGCATGAAGATCGCGAAGCATCTGGCGGCTGGTGAAACCACCGTCATCGACACAGACGCCGTGGAAGACGACCTTCAGGAGCCAAATGAACCCTACGCGTCTCTCCTAGGTCAATTGAACTGGCTAGTCGTCAAAACTAGGCCAGATATCGCCTACGCAGTCTTTAGGCTGCAAAGATACATGCAAAAACCGCTGACTTACGACGTCAAGGCGGCGAAACGAATCCTCCGCTATCTTCGCTCCAATAACCTTGCCCTTCAGCTAGGATTGAAGCCAGAGGAGGCAGAAGAGGTCTACGTTGATGCCGCTCATCAGGATCATGAGAGCGGCCACTCAACCGCCTCATTTATAATATTTTACGCTGGCGCGCCTGTTGCGTGGTCAGCGAGGAAGGAAACAGTTCTAGCACCGTCTTCAACTATCGCGGAACTAATTGCTTTTGACGCGGCCGTTAAAGAGGCTCTCTACATTCGAAAATTAGCTGTTGCGCTCGGGATGAGGGGTGACGACAAGCCACTACGAATCCTTAGTGACAGTGACAACGCCATCAAGATGGTCAAGAAGCCCAATCTAGCCGCTACACCAAGCGTTAGATGGCTTGATAATCGCTGGTTCTTCGTGCACGAGCTGGTACAGGACAAGAAGATCGAATTTCAACACATTGATGGGGTGAAAAATACCGCGGATGGCCTTACCAAGCCACTCGACGGCCCTGTTTTCAATGATTTCAAGAAAAGACTTCATATGGTTGTGTATGGAGGAGAAAGGGATTGAATAATGTACGTACACAAAGATTTTGTAGATATTACCGAATCGGGAAATGCAACAGGCCTCATGTCGCTCCGCCGCTGAAGGGGGTGTGTCGGCATGGGTGCCTCAGGCATTCAGCGGCCGTAGCGTGTGGTCACGTGGCGCACAACCACCACGATAACGCCGCTCGGTCTTCCCTAGATAGGAAATACCAAGCGTTTCCATGCAGTCATTTAATTACAAGTAAATGAAGGAAAACATTGCAAGACAAGCCTCGAGATCTGACCATGCTGGGGCCTGTACAACCTTGACGCCCATAGAGCCACCAGGAGTGGTAAGAGTTCCCCATTGATTGAACACTTGATCAAGGGAAATAAAAAGTGCAGCGCAGGTCCTGAAAACAAGATTCTTCGATAGTTTTCGTAGTTATTACTTTCATCGATCAGGGGAAGAAATCTTTCGAGCGCTGGGGAGCGATATTCTCCCAGTCTGAGACCCTGAATCACCGCTGTTAGGGAAAAGAAGTTCCGAAACGAGGACAGTGCCTTAATACCGTCAATGTCTGGTTCCTGGTCCAGGATGGATTCCACTCACCTCAACTAGGTCCATCAGCTTTCGATCAGCTTGATCGTCCACCCCCACACATTCCTGTACCATCCGACAGAGATTATTCCACCGGGAGTTGAGTGGGGCCAAATGGTGGGCCTCCACAAGCCGATGCATGCGGAGTTGTTGGAAGTGGGCGAGATCATTTTCACAGAGCTCCAAAGCAAGGTCCCCTATTTTTAGGCCACTAATCCGACGAAAAAAATGGGTGCAAATTTCGAAATCATGAGACCAATCAACCTCCGGGCTGTGAAACCTTAGTTTGTATCGGACGGCCAAAATCTCGAGTTGTTGTAGTATGTGCTGGGTTGGCGATGGCTCGTTTAACAATCGTTGCAAGGGCCCAATGATGCAGTGAAGGTTGGGGCTTGCATCGCGATAAACTTTCTCGGACAGGCAACGACAAGCATTCTCGATCGTGCCACGAATAAACGGGTCAGCGGTTCGTAAAAGCTTTTTTTAGATTGTTCAGCCCAAATCACATCCATACAAGCAGAAACCCACCTTCTGAACTGTTTGGTACTTTGTTTCCTGAGCCTTATTTCGCCGAAGATAATAGAAGAGCCGGCAACCCAGCTCGATATATCCACGCTCCAGGTTTTCAACGCTGATAGGCGCTAGACCAAGAGCATGCCGGACCCAGTCCTCGAACGGTATTTCCAATATCCTCTTCATGCTTTCCCAGGCTAGCGCTTCGGAAATGTTCTCAGCGCTAAGATCACGGGACTCGTATGGTTTCCACGTCCATGGTGAATATGGGGTCTCGTAGGCACTGTCCCGCGTAGGAATGTGCGGTTTGAGCTCAAAGTCATCGGTAAATGGGCGAAACCGAAGAAGACGAGAAATGCTATCCATATCGCCTACCCGGTTAATCCGTCTTACGTCGTGCAGTCTCCAGCACGCCGGTGTTGAAGGCGAGTCGCTGGTCAGTGGTGCCTCTAAGGGACTGAGAAGTTCGCTCTCGACCGTCGTCGTTGCAATACTCCAGCCCGAATGGGATGGACGTAATGTGGATTCGATAGCCATGTTGTTGCAGAAAAGGTGAGAATATAGATTGAATTTCTAGGACATCATATCTGAATTTATATCTGGCATACTGTGTCGGTTGATGCAGTGCGATGAAGTCGGCGGTTTACGGAAACTGCAGTTTGCGCCAAAATTTGGCTGTATTATCGCGAGATTCCTGCAGCGACCGAACACCCCATCTAGACTCGGATCTCAGTTCGTGCATCGTACTAAATAGCTCCACAAATTCAATAAACCGCGTTCCCCGACATGATCGAGCGTCTATATTACCGTTCCCTCCAATCCAACACTACCATTAGGTCGATGCAATTTTGAAGCTTATGTAATTGGTCAGGAGAACAAACTCGTTGCCGCCTGTGCGAAGCCACCGACCTGCTTGCATTTCATTCAACCACCTTTGCTGCGCGAGCCGGACAAGATATTATGCCTAAACGCAAGCGAGAGGACGGAGCCGGTAGCTTTATGGCCAGCGCCTTACGGTGTGTGCTCCAATCCAGGCTCCAAAGGATTCTGGACAACTTACACCAAGGTGAACCGAACTGCGATGCTCTTGCGACAATTGCCGTGTCTGTAACGCATATTGAGAAGGCTATGAATATTAGCTACGAAGTCCCGCACCCTCTGTACTCAGAGCTTGGGCGTGGTCGTTTGAAGTGTCGGTTTCGCAACTGCGACCAGGAGGCAAGTAACATATTCAACTTCAACACTCATCTCAAGCGCTTCCATTCCGACCTTCGCCCATTCATCCAGGCAACAGTGTGCCCATCTTGTGACGTTGACTGCCGGACACCAAAGGCGCTCAACGGTCACGAAAAAAGCGAGCATTCTGCCACATATAAGTCACGTCCTGAGATGTTCACACCTTTCTTTTGCCCTTTCCAACGTATGTCTACCCAGCTCGCCGAAGGAAGAGTGCTAATGCTACAGCAGATGACGAACAGTGCCTCAAGGCATTAGGCATCAACCCTGAGCCTCTCTCCGCTGGAATATTTCTTGGAAAGGCCGTCGATCCCGAACCAATGCCAATTACATCCTCGACGACGACGACAACGGCAACGGTAGCTCCAAAAGTGACTCCGCAGGTCCCGCATGACCAGGGCGCCAATATTCCAGGCAACGAGAGCGATATACACCACGTTGATTTTGGCCTCGACACCGTTTATTGCAATCCATTCAGCACCAACGATATGATACCATGTTCTATTGACCCTTCCGAAATCGCAATTTGCGACTGGGACCTTCCACCTGACTTTACGTTCATTGCACCGTGAGCCCAGTCCCACATGGCCATACACTGCCAACACCTTCATACCCCTTCTTCTGATGTCTCAATCCATGTGCAGTCCATCATCGGAGAGCCGGACCCTAATCCATCCACAAGTACCTGATCTCTACCATATCGGGTGCAGCTTGTGGCACATTGGGTTCGGGAATCCTCCAGAGCGTCGGGCCAGTGATCAATACTCTTTGGTGTATAAAAATCAGGCATGGTTTCTGAAAAGGGGGTGAGAATCACCTTACATATCTCTGCCATTTAGAGTCAAGGTTCGGGCTATTTGGGATGGCGATTGGAACTCGAGTTTGTAGGTGGCATCTCTCGCGCCTAAAATGTGGCAGCAGTAGATCCCTTGCAAACGATCCCCCGCCTGCATATTCTCCCAGTTGTTTGCCTTCCGCCACTTTCTATCACCCTGACTTGTCGTGTGTAGCTGGCGATGGATCAAGGCATAACGGCCGTGCGGTCGAGCTCGACGGAGGAATTGAAGAACGACCTAGACGGGAATTTCTGTTAGCTACTACCCAAGAGAAACCGTTGCTTCACGCGCCTGTACCTCATTACGAAGAATTTGTTCATTCTGTAGAATATTGTCATCCGATAAATTGTCTGGGTTGTCCGGAGCATTCACAGCATCCTTAATCGCAATACATCCACAATTTGACAAGACTTGTAGGAGTTGTGTGACTTGTGAGGACTGTCGTAAATCTGACAACTGCTCCTTTCCGTCAATGAGAACTCGTCTTTCGAGGGCGGCCATTTCGTCGGCGCAAAATTGAACTCTTCTCTCCAAAGGCTGGCGCGATTCACATAGCGGGGTTCCTCGGCGGGGCACTGTCAACCATTCTGCCAGAGTTAACACGTGAGCATCTTCCTTTGATCTCACCTCTACCGGCCGCAGGGGCAGAGCTTCTTTGCTCGTGATTAAGGATCCTCTCCAGCCTTTGACAGCCGATGAAGCATTCTGAAAGAAATGAGTTTGGTTTTGCATTTGCTTTCGAGGCATTGGATTTGTCGGCTATCGGTGGATAACGACGAGACTATACGCAAGAGTTGGACGTAAGTATCAAAAATGGACACTATCTGGGGGTCGCTAAGGATTTATTCAATTTGTTGGTCCGTAAGAATAATCGAGGAAGTATTTTTGAAGATTCCTGCAGCTTTCGTTCGAGCGAAAGCCTGATTTTACAAGGTTCCTGCAGGGAGCCTTGGCCATGGTCAGAGCGTAACACATCTGATCTTCTGGGACACCCATAATTTGCTTCTTTCCAGCTGTATTATCAGGAACTTGCAGTAGACCTCTTTGAGTTGTCTTTGAGTTGTCTTTGAGTTGTCTTTGAGTTGTCTTTGGTTGTATCCATACCTCAAGTCTTGGTATGGACTGTCTTGATAATTGATGCTCGAGACTCTCTGCCCGCACGAGGGTGCATGAGATTCGACCTATTTTAACACTAGCGTACAACTTGTGATCCGCTTAGCGATAAGGGGAGTGGCCGCCCTACTAAAGGTTCAAAGCGCTGGGGAGATTCCTTGTCAAACATAGTGTCGTTTCTGTGGTAGAAAGGGGTTGAGCTGCGTCAGCAATTGCCCTTCCTGCCGAAAGAGCTTGACAAAGTGAATTTATAGGTTTATCCATTCCTTCTCGGCCAAAAAACCATCTGCCTCGCATTCATTGGCTGAATTCATAGGGTTTCTAGAACAAAGTATCCCCCGTCGTCCATTCTGTTGACTTTCTCCTTCGGTTCACTAGGTGTACGGCGTCAGATTCCCTTCGGCGGTGAACGAGAATCCACCACCCAATCACAGCGATTGAACGGTCGAATCCCATCCTAGGCCTTTAGGAGTGCAATAACCTATTTGTTACTAGTGGATGATTAGTAATGCGCTAAACCATATCTGCCTGCTTCCGAGTCGGAGTCGGTTCGCGCGCGTGGAGACATTTTGGTCAGAGCAATTCTTCTGTGCTAGCAGAATTTGTTAGGGGAGGGGTCTACATTTCGCTGAAGTTTGCGATATCTGAAACACGAGCACCATTGTGCTGAAAGGTTAAAGTGATTCTGATTGGTCTACAAATAACTCCCCACTTCGGGCACTCAGCGGACCGAAGCCGAGACTGAGCAAAGCTGAAGCAGATTCCGCGTTACCTTCCTGTAGTTATCCGAGGCGATGTGGAAGCGGCAAAGGCCTTCATGATTTGAGCTCAGGCGCACCTGCGTCTCCCTGTTGCCCGCTAGGTTCATAACAGCAGAAGAACATGGGACCACCTAAGTATGTCAGCGCTGAGACCTTTCGCTGGGGGCAAATTGGTAATCCTCAAGTTGGTCACGAAATCCCTGGACCATTATAAGCTCAGGGTTATAGGGCGATGGTACTGGAGTACTAGGTGAAGCCAAAGAGAATATTGTTTCAATAACACCAGGCGATCTATGAGGTGGCGCTCGGTGAGGTGTCCCGAAGAAGGCCAGACCCCGTCTTGCGCAGTTAGTTCTCAGCACTTTTAACAGCACTTTCAAGGACCTTTTCTTGGACCTACGTTGCATTTTTGATTCCGCAATATTGATCGCCTTGAGACGCGTTCACTAAGGCCTATTATAATCCTTAGTCTACAGTCTTCTCGCTTCCTCGTCCATTTCACGTACCTGTTTCACGAGGATACCCCCTAAGCCGTGGCTCAGGAATATGATCGGTGTATGCGAATGCTGTTTTTATTATTTTCCAAGCGTTTGAAGAAGCCCGGAAGCTGTCACATACTGCGGTTGATCGGATAGTGCTAATCTGGTGTAGCAAGCCATCTGCCTCTCGCGAAACACTCTCTGGACCAGTACCGAAAGTGACGACTGAGTCGAACTCGTGCGATAGCAGTCGTGCTCCCAAGCTGTGCTCCCGAATAAAGGCAGCTAACCAAAATTCTTCAGGCTTATCTAACGGCTCGCGCCAGGAAGATGCTAAGCACCTCCCGCTCATATCGACAAAATCGAGCCCGTGAACAGCGATAAGACTAGATCGATTTAGCGACCGTGGTTGGGAAACAATAAGGCATCTTCATACTCTATACTGGCCTGGCCACCCCGATTCTGACCGAGGTCAGGGTAAATCTGGCGTAGAGACTGAACGAGGAGAATACGTTAGCAAGGTGTACAGTAAGCCTTCACAGGACATGTTCAGTAGCTCACCATGGCTTTTTGGGGAAATGAGGGGGTGTGGAATCAACTAGAGATTTGGAGAAGCCGAGGGGAGGAGTACTGTGTCTGAAGGGATACTTATAGAAAAGTACCCCTGTTCTATCTTATTAACTCGCCCCGCGTGGCTGAGCAAGGCTGACTTCCCAGGCAACGATTAACTTAGGTACGAAGTGGGAGAAGTTCTGCCGCCACTCCATCCCACCTAGCTTTAATTGCCAAACGGTCGAATCACATCGAAGGTTTGTGCATTAGGTTTCCAATCCTAGCGTTGAGTTGTGAGGATTAATCCACAAGCATCCTGCTTGAGAGGCTTGATCTCCAATTCATCTGGGTGCTGTGAGGGAGAAGCTAAGAATAATTTTCTTTTTCGACTTGTATGGCTCTACTGTATGGTAACAAATTACTGAGAGGAAAGCATTCGTACGCGAGATAACTGAGTTCGATCTATCCTCAACAACTGACTTGACGGAGCTCAAGTTTGGGCAAGCGACACGAATGAAGATTTAGCCAATCATCTTCGTCACTCATGTTCCAGACGAATCATTTCTGCGAAACCGTTGAAGTGCTGCAGGGAAATGGAATGACTAAATATAGACTAGCTCCTTTTTCTGAAGCCCTCGAACTGTAGTACATGGATTAAAACTTGTGTCTATGCCACGGATACCTCCCAAGAGAAGCAAGATCAGGTCAGGAGCAAGCGATAAGGATACTGAGGCCTGGAAATAGTATCCCTACTCGGCGTGGGTCAGGCAACGGGAGATGCTGGCGAACGATCCCCGAGCTGGGGTACGATATCCTCAATTGTCTGATGGATTGGAGGGGGATAGGAAATTGCCTGAGTTGAGTTAGATATTATAGTAGAACGCAATACAATGGTGCGTACCAATCCAGGGAGTGCCTCTAACCACTCTTCCTGCGACGATGAATCAAAGATATATGTCTGGCCGGTTTTCCGGATCCTAATTGCGACAACCACGTCGGATTCACACTCGAGGCTGAATTCTGCCGCTTTCTTGAAAAGGCCACTCTTACGTCGCTGACGTTGTTGTGATTTTGCTCGGCTGCTCTCTGAGCGACGCTTCTTGACCCAGGAAGATTTCTTAGACATTTTGTGCTTCACGACCAGGGTACCGTACAGAATGCTTTTCTAAAGCCCCAGAAGTCGCGAGATCGAGGGCTCTTAAGTATTCTTGCCTTGGGCTGAGGTTCTGATTCAGCGACTGGAGATGAAGGAGCACTCGTTTACCTGCTGATGGTGCCTTTCTTCAGCGCGCTTCAGCGCCGCAGCGTCCACTGCTCCATGGACTATAAAGGACGTCTCTGTTGCATGTCTTCTTTCCTTATCCATGCCCGCTTGTTCCCTTAACCGTCTCTCTTTTCCGCAGAATGGGCCCTTTAGCTATTTATGCCATTACCGCTGGCGGTATTTTCACTGTTCTTTTGTTGATCCGGGCCTTCTCCCTCCTCGCCAGCTGTGGACATTTTTTTTCTCTCATTGTGTCTCAACATTTGACGCTACCCTTTGTCATTCGAAGACATCGGTTCTTGGGTCCATGGACCAGAGCCGGTGTGTTTCTTTATTTATCATATACTGCAACCAACATTTTTCTTGTCTTCTTCAAAATCAAGTCGTTGGCTGGCGCTGGTCGCCGGGCCGGAGAATTGGCCTTGATCAACTTGATTTTCCCTTTGTCCACTCTCCACCTAAGCTACCTAGCAGACCTCATGGGTATCAGGTGGGACACTTGTCGCAAGATCCATCGTGCTACTGGCTGGATGGCTGTTGCCCTGCTATCATTTCACATTATTGTGGCCGCTCAAGCCTCCGACTTCACGTTCCCACTCCGCGAAGAGCAAAACCTTTTTACTATGCTCGTATGCCGATGCACTCCTGGCACTCTGCTTCCACTAATGTATGACAGGCCGCCATCGCACTGGGCGTCCTTGCCCTGCATTCCATTCCGTGGTTTCGTCAATGGTCCTATGAGATCTTTCTCCGGTGTCATCAGAGTCTCACAGGGCTGTTTGTCTACGGCGTCTGGCAGCATCTCCCATCACAGAGCCATTCCTCAAAGATATATTTGCTCATCGCGTTGGGGATTTTTACGCTGACTTTCCTCTTAGAGCTGGTGACCCTACTGTATCGAAACGGCCTGTTCGCTGGCCGTGGAGCTCCTAGGGCCATTGTGTCATTTAGCGCGAGCAATTCGCCGGAGGAAGGGTCAGTGGTAAACGCTGTCCATGTCCGTGTTATCTTACCTCGGCCTGTGAAATTCGAGGCTGGACAGTATATCAACCTTTGGATACCGTCAATCAGTCTCTGGTCGTGGACGCAGACACACCCTTTTACGGTCACGTCGTGGTCCAAAAGTCGGCAAGATATTGTGGAGCTTTTGGTGAGACCACGCAATGGTCTAAATGCCGATCTTCTCCGTTATGCATCTGTTGGTGCGGAGAGCTCGATTTCATTCCTGGCTTTGTTTACTGGCCCTCATGGAGTCAGTGAAGAAGTTAGCCAGTATGAAAGTATTCTCGTGGTGGCTAGCGGATCCGGGATCGCCGTGGTAATTCCATACCTAAAGAAAATGATCTACGGCTATAATACCTGCACCTCCCAGGTTCGCCGGCTACATTTGGTGTGGCAGGTAGAGTCAGTTGACATGATGACCCCCGCCTTGGCCCTGATAAATAACCTCCTGAAGGATGATATCATGGATGATGGCTATGTTAGTATTTGATCGACGCTCGGAGGTCCCGCCTACCGCTGACACTGTCCACTATTTTAGATATTGCATATCTCGATTTACGTTAGGGATGGCCTCAAGCAGAATGGATTACCGTTCGGTCAGCATAAACGAGTCTATTTCTACCAGGAAGTGCCTAATTATCGAAACATTATTTCACTCGAGGCATCCGGCGACCAGATCGAGAGGCTGCCCAACACCTGGGATGAGCAAGGTCGGATGTTAGTGATGGGTAAGAATCCCTACTTTCCACGTGGATAAAGCGCTGACATTCCGGTAGTCTCTGCGACGAACGATCTTCGGGATCACATCCGGAAGATTGTACGAGAATACGTTCATCAGGGTGTAAAGCTTTCTGAGTTAGAGTACCAGCCCAGAAATGATTAAACATACGTTCAAGCACGGAAACTGAGATTGGGTCGGTCTAGAGAAACTGAGAGCGTTGATGTGTCTAGTGGACGCCTTGGGGGGAAAAGATCTGGAGAAAAAGGGTTCGAACTTGCCCGCCGACTGTGACGGGCATCTTGAGCGAAGGACAAGGAATCTGAGGGAAGAAGAAGTAATTTTTGTTTTAATACGGTATTATTCTTCGAATTTTGTATTTTTGGGCCTGGACTCTGATCGACAGGAACCGATGATGGCGCCGCCTGGTGGGGCTTATTTGGAATTGTGTTTCAGGACCACGATCTCTCGCCCGTGGCCATCAATTCCACTCCCATAACGCCCTCTTTCTTGAGCACTTTGACCATTTTTACCATCTTTCCAACAGTCACTTTTCTGAGGCCGGTTTTGACACTCCCTTCCTATAAATAGAACCTACTTCCCCTCCCTCTCCACGATGTTTCCACTCTTCACCATCTCGTTCTTCTCCGACCCAACCGCCACACCACCTCCCCTGTCTACACCCGTCGTTATATGTCGGTGCGCTCTGCTACTTCCTTGGTGCTTTGTTTTGCTTTTTCTGCGGCTGGTCCGCTGAAATGCTATTTTTAGACCTCTGTCTGCCTGCAAGTGCAATCCTCGTTCCTGACCCTTCCGTTGCTCACTTTCGCGTTGTAGATTCATCCCACAGGGATGCTCGATTGGAATGACGACAAATGTTCCGACGTGCGTAGATCGTTCTCTATTATCTCTGGAGTGGGTTCTCACGCTGATTTAGTTGGTCAACCGATTTGGTAGGAATTTGGAATGGCTACTGGGGCTTCGCTGTGGGCTCATTTCGAAGGTGTTGGATAGAGCCAAATTGGGGGGGCATATTCGATGGCATAAACTATCGCAGACTGTAGCGGGAGAGCTGGTCGAGATACTGTCGGATTTCCGAGATGGCTGTGGAAAAACATATTCTATCTCGGTCGGCCTTGACGTAGGTTTGTTATCCTGGACTGTGTCCACCCGCTCACCGTTTGTCGCAGGAATTCCGTCCAAGAGCCGTTTCCGGTGATTTGGATGAGGCAGAGCTTCCGAAGGTCAGACTATCAGAAGAGTGCTCCTGATGAATTCTCACATTTTGCTAGCTTGTTTACGCTCTCGGGGTTGACTTGGACGAGATCCGGAAACTGCGGATGGACCAGGTCTTCCAAGTTTTCCGATCGCTTCAGGGGAGTGGCATGATCGAAAGCTTTGAGGTGAAGCAGAACCCAACAACAGAAGAGCTTAACCCTCCAGAAACATCAGGTCTATCCCCATCTCCGACACTCCATTTTTGTTCCATCTAACCATGCGTTGGTACTGTAGGGATCTTTCACATAGACCAATGCACACCACCTTCTTCCATTGCACCTTCCCTTCTAAGGAACGATTACTCACTTTTGTGCCCTGTGAACCTTCATCCCGACATCGGTAAAGAGTTTGATCTGTGGATGCAACGAGACGTGACTGGGACAGAAGCGCAGTATACAGCGGATTCTCCTGGGATGTCGTCTATGGGAGATGTGATGTCTCCTAAATCCGATTTAACTTCTTTCAACCATCCGACAACCCCTTGTTCTATCAACTCACCACCAGTGGGCTCCGGTAGCCGCATGACGCCATACCAATCCATCAATACGCCCCTGTCAATCGGCAGTCCTTATACAAAATTCCAATCGACACCCTCGAGCTCTGCCTCACCTCCTGGGTGGGATGCCAATGTTCAATCTTACCCCACACCCTCCACATCTTACTCGCCCTTAGCGGATGAGGCACCTACCCCTCCGAGTCCCGATACTGCTAGTTCGACGAAGCACCGACTGTTACAATTGTGTAGGCTTGGAGAAGATGGCACAACGCTACTTAATAATAATCAGATAAAGCAAATCCTCAAAGCAGAAGCTGGACTTCTCGCACAGGATCCTGTGGGACTGTTGCAACCCATTTTGAAACACTGCCAAGCTGATCTATTACCCGCTTTAACCGCATTCGGCCTTCCTATTGAATGGAAGGGTAAAGCAGGAGCTGTGGAATACTATAGAATCCTCGAAGCCGTGAAGGACAAAGAGCGCGTCCTTGATCCCCTCGCGCTGAATCTCGCGCAGCTTTTATTTTACTTCAACTGCGAGTGGCTAGAAAAGCATGGGGGATTAGAAGGCATCACCGCTGCGACTTTCATTCTTAATGCCTGCTCCGAGGAGCCGAAAAATTCAAAGTCGATGAAGTCCCGTCGTGACAATATTACCACTTATCATTACCGACGAGGAAGATATATATGGATAGTTGTAGCATGCTTGGGAGGTAGTATCTTGGTGGACAGTGGTGATACCATACAAAGGGCGTAAGTCTTCCCCAAACTGCTATCCGCTCCCAACTAATTCAATCCATAATATCAGCAAAATATTTCCCACCAAAGCTCAACTCAACGCATTTATATCCCTTGTTTTGCGCACCCGGCCTGGCAGTGTTGACCTCTGTCATGCGTTGGAACCGGTCGTAAAAGCGATAGTGCTTGGGGCGACCCAAGCCGATCTGCGCCAGGTTATTGTCGCTGGTAGTAATAATACCGTCAGAAAAGAACAACTAGCGCGTGCATACGCAGCGGATCAAGAGGCTTTGACGAACCAGACAGCTGAAGAGACATGGCTAGCGGAAGATGTTGACTCTATTGCAAAGAAGAGAATGGCTGAATTTCTACCCGATTTCTGATTACATACTTAGCATCCCCCTCCTTTTGTGCTCGTCCTGTCTCGTCCCTCGCTTAGAATGGTGACTTTTTCCTTTTTGTAAGACGTGCTATATTTCAACTGGTTTGAAGTTCTAACGAATATCATTTGCTTTCACCACGACTAACCTCCTACCGACCCAGAAACTTGATATGACGGGCTCCGTGGACCGGCCTCCTGCGTATGTGATTCTATCTCATCATGAATGGTTTTGGAACCATGGTTTCGTTATGAAAGTACGGGTGGTGATGAGGCAAAGCCGGGCAAGCCCGATTAACGTCCCAGCAGACCAGTGGTGCTTGGTAATTAGGGGATGCTGTATTTATGTAAGATACCGAGTGCCAGTTCTCGACGCAGATAAAGATAGCAGGCTGACCTCTCGTAAATCTTGGATTGTCGCGACCGATGCCGTAGCTGACAGGAACTCTAGGGGGTCTGACTGCCAATGTGTTCTGTCGATGCCAATTACCCCATCAGGCTTCAGATACTTCTGCATAAGATACATCGTGATATCAGCCAAAGCTCGGAGAGTCTGGGTCTGAGATTGGTTAGGCTGGCGCTCGACGCAGTGTTCCAAAGCGGCTGTCCAAGTTCGTCAGCAAGGGCAAATGTGCACATCGGAATAATTTGTACCAATTTGAATGACCCCATTTTGCCCCAACAGGATATTGGAGCACTTCAGGCATTGATGTTCAAAGCCCTTCTCCTGTAAGTGCGAGAGTCCATCAAGTACCTCTCATAGTCAGCGCCTTTCGCTTGCTGTGGTTGTTGTTATGATCCATACCTGGGCCAGTACAGAAGCCAGCTGAAGTTCGGATGGGAAAATATCACAGGCGACCAGGTGTTCCAACGTTAGAGGCAAGTCATCAACAATAAAGTATGTCGTGCCGTGATCCTTGAAGATTTCCCTGGCAGCGATGACATTGGGGTGTTGGGTCTGCTGGAGTACCCGAAGCCATATAGCTGCTTTTTCCTTGTTGAATGCACGGACAGCGATTATCTTTGAAGGGTGCTTGTTATGGACTGCAATAGACACTGGACCTGCAAGGTCACAGGTAAAAAGATCTTTCAGAGTGTCCCAGGGTGACCCTATCCGGGCACCAAGCGATTGAGCTGCGTGGCCCTCGCTTTGAGAGCGCCTCTGGTGAACGTCTTGTGCACGGTGCAGCAGGGCATTCTTAGATTTATCTTGCTTCTCCCGTTGCTTTTGCCCCTTAGTAAGTTTATGGTTGATTTGGCTCTGAGACTCCTTAGGCGCGAAGACTGGCGTGGGTGCTGGAGGAACTGGTCGTTCAGCTTTCAGAGCCTCAGGGAGGATTATTGTAAGTGGCCGGTCACCCATGGTATGTGATTCGACGAGACTTATGGCTGCTTATGGGAAACAGGAACATGAAACTCGTTGGGAGCTCATTGTGGGATGGAGGTCTCTTTATGATAAATGATTGGCTACCCAAGGGTACGCTGACGTGTCGGTAGCGCTGAAGCATCATTCCCCAACGCTTCCGCGCTTCAGCGCTTCAGTGCGTTCAGCGCTTCAGCGTTTCAACCCTTAGCCACCGCCAGGAGTCTGTACCGATTGGAAGCTGAGCCGAACATAAATAGTTCCATCCCTCCCTTAAGAGTATCGACATAAAAGAAGCCGAAGTCAGTGATGGACTTGAGGTATGGATTATTTGATGACAGATTCCGAGCGGCAACTGACCGTAGAACGGCAACTCAAGTACCAAGGTACCGCCAAGATCGACCTTGACCACATCTCTCCCCAGTCATTGGTGGGTCGTGAGATGGACTGGAACAATGTGGAGCGATTGCGTCAGATCTTTGCCAAGGACGGTTGCCAGCGACTCGATATCCGAAACCACGTGACTGCTACCGTTTCCCGGCAGCAACTGCGGAGAGCATGCCACGCCGCAGGAGTGACCCTTGAAGCACTCAAATCTCATCAACAGCAATACCCCCACCTCGATTTTCGTGCCGGTCAGGTCCAATGCCTGCATGGGCAACATCGATTGAAGGCTGCCGAGGACACTTTAGCCCCCTCCGATCGCTGGTGGACGGTTGACCTCTACCTGGATGGTCTGATGCCCAAACACAATCCTTTGACCCGGACTGACCCTCGTTTTCTAGACATTAGCCCAGACTTACGGATTGAACTCGTCGATGAATATGCGAACGAAAAAGCCCCCACCGATGGCGAAGTGTACCGGAAAATCCGCCAGTATCAGCATGAGAGCAATGCGCTCTTTCAAAACCGGTGGTGGTCCCGTCTGTCGCCGAACAAAGCCAAGCGGCTCAGACAACTCACATCCCAAGACAATACACATCTTTGTGCAGCGTTCGACGCGTTGCTTGCGATCCCAGGGCTCTGGAACGGGATGAGCCTTGGATCCTTGAACACTGTCATGGCGCTCAAGTGTGATGAAGTTGGTTTTCTCCCTTGCCGTCCGTCTATTGTCTGACTCCTCCTAGGAGATCATTCACTACCTGACACGCGTGAAGAATTTCTGGGCAACACTTGTCGACCATGACCGCACTCAGATGGCTCGTATTGACCTGCATACCGTGGACACTCTGCAATTGTACGGCCCTCGGGCGTCCACAGTTGATCGGAAGACCGTGAAGGGGAAGATCCTCGGTGGTGAGATTTTTGCCGACTTCAGTCGGACCGAACGTGCCGCCATCTGGACGAACCTACGGTCCCAAGAAGCGTGTGACGGCATCATCCCATCCCTTCATACCTTCTTCCGCGACCTTTCCTACCTGGAACTCTGCGCCAATGCCGTGAAACGGTTGGTTGTTCTCAGTAAGCCGCGCCCCACGGTTCGGAGTGCGCTGGTCCACAGTTTTCGATCCCCCCGTGCCGACCGCGATTGTCTGATCCAGACGTCTGACACTACTTTCCGTCGCCAGCCTGGATCCAGTGACGAACATCTAACGTCCGGATATCGTCAAATCTGGATGTACGCCATGCGAAATTACCCGGAGATGGCCAAGGATATTCAGGGCGGCCCGAGGGCCAACCCTACGCGGGCTAAGGCGCGAGCGAAGGCCGACGAGAGCGTTATCCATGCTATGGCTGCTCTTGCAAAGAAGCTAGGATTCCATACTCCACAAATCAAGACAATTCTAAGACAATCACCCGACCGGCAGATTGCTCGGGCTGCCCTGCTCCAAGCACGGAAGCCAGATCACTATCACTATGACAGTGGAACCTTCGAGTCTCTTATCGAGCAAATTGCTGGTTTTTTTGCGCTTGCTATTCCAAACGAGGCCGCTCCAGTGGCACATATCCCTGGCTGGGCAACTAAGCTCAAGGACCGCTGTGGAGCGCCTCAGGAGCAAGCCCAGCAACTTGACCGCCCGCATATCTTCTTTGACACACTGCACTCGGCTACGGTGTTGCAAAGAAACCTCTCATCCCTTGAGGTGAGACGAAGCGTTTACTACGCCTTTTTTGGCAAGTCTTCCTCGACAACCTCACATAGTGCTCCACAGGGGCAATCACCATCCAACAATCCTCTTTCACCGTTATTTGTCCCAAGTGATGTGTCGAGATCACCAATAGAATCGGCCTACGACCATATGTCGACAAGCGGTTTTGACGAGGGGTCATTCAATGGCCGTCGGGGTCGGTCGGAACCGCCCGAAGAACCACATCAGAGGCGAGAAGATAGACGGCATCAACGACAAGAAAGACAGCAGGCGGTAGAGCACAGCTCACCTGTTCCCCAAGAGTCCTCCATTCAAAGTTCCGGAGGAGGGGCGTCTACTATCTCCGAGGTCATGGATATGTATTGGGATAGCTCTGACGCGGATGATCCGCCCCGACCGGAGAATGTCGAGCGACAGCCGGTAGCTAGCGGAGGAATGGATTCTGACATTGAGGAAGGGGAATGTACAGGGATCGATGAAGACGACCTGCTTCGCGGAGCGGAGGATGGGAGCCCTGTGGTAGAGGGAGCGGCTGCTGTAGACCATTCGACCTTAGGGGCGCCCCGAGATACCGATATGTCGAGCATACCGGAAGAGGGAGCAGGTGCGGTGGACGTGGATGTGGATATGGACTTATCGGCGCAGTCGATCGCGCAGGGCGACATGAACGACTCAGAGCACATGGAGCAGGAAATACGTCGGCCACTTAATGAGCCGGAATGCCCCGAACACATTTCTGATGGACTACGAGCTGAGGCTCAGGAAGGACTAGCAGGAGAGCAAATGGCGGATGGATCGGAGCTCATCATGGAAGCGGGTGAAGAACTCCTCCAAGAAGATCGAGCAGCTCGGGAGCGCGCAGATGCTCTTACTCAGCTACAAACCCCTGGAAGCATGGCGGATCATGCCCCCCGGCCTGTGACTGAACTTCCCGCTGACTTGCCAAGTCTGATTACAAGATTACGGGAAGAGGGAAGCCAGCTGGGCGATGATAGTATTATTCCCGACAAAAATCAACCGCAGGAGCTTCCTGAATTGGAGCGGGCCACTGTTGATCATCTGGACCGACACCGAGAGGATCTACCCGATCCAGAACAGGCTCAGCGGCAGGCAATTGAAAGGCAGGAAGGGGAGGATCTCCTATTTGATGTTCCTGTGCTGGAAGAGCCAACAGACGCGGCAGTAGAAGAAGATCGGGAAGGGTTAACTCTGGAAGTTCCCGCTCTTCACCCTCGAAGCATGCACGAGGGTCTTTCCAGTGATGTGCCACTGGAGCGGAGGGTCACAGTCACATTCTATGTCTACGAGCGACAGGCTTGGAAAAAGATGGATATGGTCTCTGTGAGCCCTACTCAACTCGCTGAGGCGCAGATTATCGCCAACCGATATGCACTAGATCCCAGCCAATATGCGCGCTTTTACGATGGTCGACTACGCAAAGTTGCCGTTGATGAGTGCGTTCGCGCAGCAATTGACGACGGTAGTTTCACCGTCCTGATGAGTTTTGGAAAGGATCTGAAAGTGACTCGGCATCTTGTCGCGTCTGTCGCACAAATATTTAAGTCTGCTGGAAGCGAGTGGCACGACCCTTATCATCCTGAAAAACGGTTGAGAGCAAATACCGGAGCCCCATCGGCTGGTCCCGTTCAGCCGCGAAAGGATCCAGCGCCGACGGAGACACCCGTGGCAATATCAAGAAAGCCAGAGCAACGTGATGGAAGAAAATTCACGCCTCGAACCGTATCTCAACCACCCCAGGTTGTGCGGCCCAATCGGGCGGAGGCAGATTCTCAGCCTGTTACCATCGTGTTTTGCGCCCGAGAAAAGAACGGACACTGGAAGATGGTGCATGAGGTCCTTGTTGAACGATCCGACCCATCGCAGGTGGAACGAGTGGCAAGGAAAGAGGCGAGAAACCGGCAGGCCACATTCTATGATAAGAACCTGCGGAAAGTTACTCCGGCCCAGTGCTTTGAGGCGGCAATTGAGGATGACACAAATAAAATCTTTATGAATTTCGGGGGAGAGCTTGCGATGGACGAAGAGACAATAGAGTCGATCGCACGCGAAGTGGAATTATGACGCAATGGAACTAGAAAAACTCAGTAACATTAGGGTGGTCGGCAGACCAGACGGGCCGCAGCAATGTAGGCAGACGGCTGTCTGGGTCTTGCACCTGCCGTAGACGCCAGTTCGTGGTCCTTCGTCTATGGTGGTCGTACGACCGCGGTCTGACAACCGGCCTGGTCGAGGGCGCAGGATCTGGCGTTTCTGGTGCTACGTCAATAGACCTACGCACCCGACCTTACTACCCAAGTCATCAGCGTCCGGACCTACCACCTTAGGTCTTTGCTCTGCCCCCTCTGGCCCTGTAGGTATTCAGACCACAAGCCTATATCTGATTTGGACTTAGAATCCCGGTTATATCTCCTCCACGGGCTTTAGGCCAGATCGGTCGTGCGGCTTGCGGTGTGGGAGATACCCTATCTTGATCCTGAGATATACTTATCTAGGGCGTCCTTGTCCCTGGGACGGACTTGTTCCTTGGATGGATTTGCCTCATTGATCTCAGCTCCAAGACTTGATTGTTCGCCTTCTGAGGCTGAAGGTCTGTCTAAGAGGGTGCTGAAGCGCTGAAGTAGGGCGTCAGATGTCAGCCAATAGAAATGCGTAATATGAAATCAGCTGAAGGCGCAGTGATAAGCACTCAAAGTGCTGTTCCTCCAACGGAAATGACGATCGTACCAGAGCTGGATTCCACGCTCAATTGATGGAAGAGGACGGGCGCAATGTTATTCTAGCTATGTTATATATTTGCGCTTGTTGTATTTGGCTGGGTTGCTTGCTGGCGCACCCATACAGGCTTTTTATTTGAGTTCATTAGGCCTGGATATTAAAAGTGGTACGTCTCTAATTGCAGAGTCTGTGAAATGACGAGTGGTGAAATATATTCAGCTAGACAAATGAATAGCAATCAGTTCACTAAATATGTGAGTCAACATAAGTGTCCTAAGCAATTGGTGGCTGGTCACCTGACAATTAGTCACAGGTAAATGCTTACGCAAGCAAATAAGATCCTTAGGCGTGTGGCAACTAAATCATAACTTAACCCCAATCTAACATGCTTGACGCTTATTCTTTCCTCCCTTTAACATGTCTCAGTCTCTTCGTACTTTTGCACCCTTTTTGAAATTTATTTTAGAAGCATAACACAGCTTAGTTTTTCGCGTTTGTTTAACATACGCACTAGCAATGCTCATTAACGGAGAGAAGTGGGCTTGTGAGGCCTGTATCCGTGGCCACCGTGCTGCCAGTTGTTCCCATTCAGGTCTGTCAGTATTTAGATACTGATCTAGTGCCTTGCTAATTAACTCTCTAGAGCGTCCTTTGATCATTATCAATAAAAAAGGACGACCAGTCTCTCAGTGCCTTCACTGTCGTAGTCTACGCGAATCACGATCAGCACATGTCAAGTGTGGATGTGGCAATACTAATAGAGCAAAGAATGACTCTGATACTCGTGAGTCCATTAATATTTGGTATGCATGGCTACCTTCTTATTAACTATGAGGCATAGAAAATTCCTATCCACAATGTAATTGTGCTCGTGGGGAGCGTTGTGTCTGTGCGCTTAAGAAAGGCCCGTTCCCAGAACTCGTTCCGAAGCCATCTCGGCCGCATTCTCCAGTCCATGAAGAGGGAAGGAACACGTTAGCTCAGCCAGAGAGCATGGTAGCTGCCCTCCACGAAGATTATCCTAGGTACCCTGGACAATTCAATTTGATACAGATGGGCCCGTCAGCAAGTGCACCTGAATTTGAAATCTCGGATCAGCACACCGGGCTCCAGATCAACTCAGCGGAAGACAGCCTCCCCGCAAACTCAGTTATATCACCTGCCGACCTCTCATCCTTTACCGACCTCTCTTCCGCCATGGCACCTGACTACTCAGCACCAACGGCTCTTGATAACCTCTCGGTCCATCAAACCGTGGTGGGGGATCTTGATCTGAATATGTCTTTGTTGCCTGCTGTTAACTTTCCAATAATGACCGCATCAGCTGGATCCATGAACAACATAGACTCCGAGAACCTCTATAGAGAGGACATGTTTACTTCTACTAATACACGATTTACACCCGGCCTCACTGGAGCAGACTCCTATACTACTTACTGGGAGGGGTTACATCCAGATTTGTTTAGTATCGGTAATACTCAGCTTCTTGACTACGTGCCGCACGACTTCGCCCCTTATGATTTATGCTTTCCCGCACTATTATTACCAAACAGTACTGGCGATGTGGAGGAACTCGAAGCATCTTCAAACCACGGAAATGAAGGAATTAGTTAACCATACGCATGTCAAAATACATGATCCTTCCATGTCAGCTGCACAATCCTAGCTGCATCCTCGAAACACGGAAGATTTTCCTTTCAAAGGTCAGGAGTCAGTTACTTTTCGGATACTTGTGAGAAATATTATGAGAACTGGCAAGCATTCCAGAGACCACATGTTGAATACGGTAGCTTGCCGCGTAGAAAAATATTAATCCCAGAGAATGAGAATATATGAAGCCCACACTTTTAGAGCGTGCTCTTGTTCTGCGATTAAGTAGTTATCATGACCGAGTTTCAAGCTTAGTCAATTCTTCAGGTCCTGTTTTATTTACCTGCCGCTGAATGGCGATAACAGCTTTAATCATCTTTTTAATCCTGGTCAACAGCATGATATTTTACTATCATCCCCTTACTACGATGATTCAGCACTTGACAATGGTGAACCCACACTCCTGGGTTATCAACAGTCATTGTTAAGGATTTTGTCTGTGCTGGCAAAACAGATAACTAAACCCAAGCAAGTCAGGATCGAGTTCCATGGAATTCAAAACAACAACTTACAACATCAAGCCTTTGCCCTGCCCATGTAAGAGTGTTGCCATGCCAGTGCGGTGTGTGGGCATTTTGGACGTTTCCCAATGATTGCTAAAATTTGTTAACCCTGCAATTGTGGAACTTGAGCTGCAACTCACTACATGCCAACGGGCCTCTCGACCAACAGTAAGATTTAATCCCTCAAGATTTCCGAATAATCGACCGTTGATGGCATGCTTCAAATTGCTTTCTTGAAAACCAAGGTCCAAGCGATTCACTTGAAGCTCCCCCCGCAGTATATTAGTTCTGTTCAAGGTATTCCCATCAATGTAGAACGACAGATTCTCATCCACTATCATAAATAGAGTTAGGACCTCTTCGTTCTGGTCCGAACCTCTGGGCGCTGGATTGTCGAGTGTATGCTTGGCAAGCTCTCCTGGCCTGTAGACTATTATAGCTCCGACCAAACCACTATAAATATCCTGTGCACCGGAGACGTCGGAGTGATATGTCCAGGCCAAGGATGGCGGATCTAAAGGCCCCGGGCCAGCGCGTTCTTGCGCGTTTACATCAGCTCCTGATGACCGCAAAGGTATGAAAGGTCGTGTCTACCTGGAACCTCCCACGTATATGTCCACGTTTCACCTGGTGGGACTGAGTTGCCACCGAATTCTTGCCCTGTCATCGCTACCCCTTCGTTGGGCTTACTGTAACGAAGTCCATGTGGATGTATAGAATGATTGTTTGAAGCCATGTTTTTGAAGGTGACCTCGACTGTGTCGCCGACCTCAGCCCGAATAACGGGCCCGAGCATGCCTAGCCACTAGGACTGGTCAGTTTACCAGGCCACTCAATGGGAAAGTCCACAAAAGAGCTAATCATACCTGTGGTCGCCTTGCCTGCACAGCAAAGGTGTCATCTGTAAACTCCCGAAACATAGCTTTGGTGTACACATGTCCAATGCGCTGACCGTTGTGTGCGGCCACGGTTGCTGCTTGTGGAGACTGGTCTATCTCGACTCCATTGATGAGGTCGATACCGCTAATGGATATGATATTAATACGAGACTCTAGTTAATCACAGAGGGACTCACGTAGGCATATAATCCCAATCCTCCTCCACTGCCCCGACGTAGTACGTTCGAATTGTACCATTGAGGGCGGCGGAGAAAGTAAACTGCAGCATGAAGAAGGTGCTGATAGCAAGCCCCCAAGGAACTGGAAATAACATATTGAAGGCTGGGAAGAAAAGGCTTGTCCTTACTAAAGTAATCTATGTAAACAGCTAGTGAAGAATTCTCGAGTAATATATATTAACTCTAGAGCAATTGCCTGGCTCTTTATATCTTTACAAGGAGAGCCCCTGCCAGTGCTATATGAATGCAAGCAAACAGGCATGGAAGTGATAACAATGGTTGCAGAGATTTGTTGATGGAAATACCAGGTCATGCAGCTCACATTCCTGTTGCTTTCAGACACATACTCAACCCAACTCGGAAGCCCTGGTGTGTGGTTTAGTCTTCCTGGATCCACTTGGCAAAAGGTCGTTCCCAAAGCATCCTCGGGCGATTTGGATCAAGCATTCCTGCATTGTCCATGGCATTTGAATCTTTTGTGAAACCAAGTTGATTCTTCCGCGCGGGAAGAATATTGAGAGACTCTAAAGCAAACACATCCCACCAATCACAATACCCGGATGGGCGGATGAGGGCAACAAATACTCGGTGAATCAAGTTCTCGCAAGGAGGGGCGGCGAGGAAAGCTGTGGGCCTGTGGGGCGCTAAACTACGCGAAAAGATCTCAGACCTGCAGTGCCTTTAATTAACAATAATGGATGGTATAAACTTTATTTCTTCAAAGTAAGAAAGAATGCTTGAGCTGTCCATGTTTGGCATTTGGTGGCGCGGCTGTTCTCCCATATTAATGACGTTTAGACCTTGCTCTTCGTCAAATCAAACCCACTTTCATGACCACAGCCTGCCTAATGTCATGACGTCTATTTTCGATGACTTATTTGTCCTTTTACCCTGCTTACAGACAGTTATAAAGGCTCCCAAGGTCCCCAGACCTGTTGCGAGTAGATCAATCAAATTTATCCGACATCATTCAATATATTCAGCGACCACTACCTATTATTCTGCGAATATGGCCTGCAACTGCGGATCCACCTGTTCCTGTACTGGACCCCAGAGCTGCACTTGCTCCACAAAGGATTGCACTTGCAGTGCATGCGGTGTAAGTTTTGAGCATTTCACATATACCCATCTGCGTATGGATGGACTAACTCTTCCTCCAGAAATAACTGGCCTGCTACACCAGTTTAGTGCTTTTGAGGGGAAGAACGGTATTGATCGACAATTTTCAGGGAAGAAATGTCAAGTCATTTTGCCGTAAGGTTCAGCAGCGATGAAGCGAAACCACCGAACATTGCTCCTGTGGCAAATTGCCTTGGAAAGAGTCGAATTCCACTCTTTACAGGATTTCAGATAATAGGAGATAACCCCAGTTTTGTTAATAAAGCCGCTGCAGTGCGACTATCATATATACCTGTAAACATGCGCTGCCCGTAGAGAATACTTGACTTCTACTATTAACGTGGATAAAAGCAAATCTGGCAAGAAAAAAAGACACGGAGACGCAACCAGCTGCTCGCTATGGAAACGCGACCAGCGCATTCAGCATAGTACCGAGAACGATCAAACTTCCAAAAAAGTTGACTATATACGACGGTGCGGTACCGGATTTCAATGGCGTGGTTGGATCCGGGCTATTACCTTGCCGAATTAGGGCATCGAGCTGATCTTCGCCCTCGACTAAGACCACCGCCATTCCAGACTGTATAACCAACCGTAAGCGTTTGTCCGCCAATGGCGAGAGTAAAGAAGGGGAGTCGACAGACCACAATATGCCACTGGATATGGCAATGAAGTATCCATGCGCCCGGGTTATCAGTGATATAGCTATTGCATGATTAGCTACTCGGCTTGAGAATTTTGCTTGCGGGATGGGTCAAAACTCACCGAATTGCCAGCCATCCCGATGGTGGCAAATTCGCCGTATCCCTGTACGGAGGGTTGTCGAGGTTAATCAGGGACGGCGGCGCTTCTGCAACCGACTGGTAAGGGAATGAGCCACTGCCAGAACCTAGAACCCAGAATTTATGGCCATGAAGGTGCATTGGATGGCCCATCTAATACATGTCAGTGACTGTACGTGCGCGGCAAAAAGTAGCGTAGGGGGTCACACTGTATCCAACGAGCCATTTGCCACATTCATCACGATATCGACTGTCGAATTCGTCGGTGAATGGAGGGTGGTGTTCGCATTCCATCCATCTGACATGTTACCGTAGATTATTGGAATCGTTGGTTCGGCATACGGATACTGGTCCACAACCCAGGTGACAATGTCGGTCTGATTGATATTGAAGAATCGGGTGACATCGGCAGCTGTAGTGGGAGGTCTATTACCCTCAAACGGTGCCAGGCGTGATTCTACCAGTTCATTGGCATCTTGTGTAGCGGATCCGTTAGTCAACATCCAAACAGACATCGGATCAACTGAGATTGTATCGTTTCCGGTGGTCTATTCACTGTGTTAATAGCTGCGACGTCGGATTAGAAGCTTTAAATCCACTGACACTATAGGACACTATTGCCTGGCCTTCCAAGACCTGCTGCATGTCACCGTTTGGATATGTAGCGAATCGAAGGTAGTAGTTGCCAGGAGACTGGTCAAGCTCTATCATCACAGAGTATCGTTGGCCGAGGGCGATTTCAAGAACCTGTCCACGTTAGAGGAAGGTAGTTTGATAACCATGGAAAGAGGAGATCCTACCTTAACCTCCTGCGGGGTCACATAGAGTCCGTCTGCGGCATAGACATGCATTGAATGACTGTCAAGCGAAACCTTAAGGTTGCTAACAGCTCCAGAATTCACAAGGTTGAGGGCAAGCCACCCTTGAGATGCATTTGCGTTGATTACTAACTGTTCTGATGTTGTGTTCACACATGTCTCTGCTGGTAGAGAGTTGATATCGTATCCGGGCCTGAACATCATAGGTGGCATGCAGCCTCGAGGACCCAAGCTCATTGACTCGCCCATGGTGTCTGAGCTGGGCATAGTCATCCCACCCGTTGTGGACATGGTTGACTCTGACGGGTTGGTTGTGCTCATCGGAGACATGGACATCTGGTCGTGGGGGTTATTCTCGGCCGAATCTTCCATCCTTCGAGCCATCGATGGCATTTGCATTACCGAAGTGGTCATTGTTGCACTATGGTCGTGGTGCGTGGCGTTGACTTCGTCCGTCAGGCCTAGCCCCGGGCCTGCATCGAGCATATACCTTGGCAGGCATTCTACCCTGCCCAGACCATTGGCTAGAATACTGTCAACGCAACTGGGGAAGGCACCTGTTTCGAAGTACCGGCTAAAGATTGTGTCCGACAGATCGTGTGTCCAGTCGTTCAGGAGGATAGATACCGCATCTCTCTCAGCCTGTAGCAGCTGTTCACGCTCAACCGTGCCTGCAGCCATGTCTTCAAACGGTCGGCGACGAGAGGGTGCTGGCCGGATCATGAGGGGGCCCCGTATAGCATCGTTGTAGTAAGCGCGGAAATGAGAATGATACCAGTAAAACCCGTANTCGGCGACGAGAGGGTGCTGGCCGGATCATGAGGGGGCCCCGTATAGCATCGTTGTAGTAAGCGCGGAAATGAGAATGATACCAGTAAAACCCGTACTCGTCTTTCACGGAAAATCGGTATGTAAAATTCCCTCCAGGGGGTATTTGGTACTATAGAGCCAAGTTAGTAACCGCTCTTTTTAGCGCTTGAAGGGCGGCACAGGCACCTGCGTTACTCCTGGGACCCCATCCATGTCCGGTGTTCCACGTTGTAGTATCCCTGAATTCATGTGCTTAGTTGAGCCGCCACATATACTTTGACGATAACATACCATGCCAATGGATAGTAGTGCTAACTGGCAACTCATTGCGAACGAACACCTCCACATCATCCCCTTCGTCAACTTCAATCATTGGACCGGGCTGCTGTCCATTGATTAAGTAGACTTCACGAGAAAACCCATCTATCAGCAACTAGGATTAGCTGTCTTGGTGACGAAGGCAAGGAATCAATCCGCAAACCTGGGCTGCGCTGGGCGGTATGAACTGTGAAGTTGAACGCTCGTAGGGAACCGAGAGCGCCTTGCACTGCAAGAAGAGTGCATATTACACGGAGCTGGAATGCAACGCCTGGCATTTTATGGAGGAAGATAATTATAAAGAGTTCAATTTTCTGAGGGTGATCAAACGTCCTTGCAGTCGTAGGAAGCAAAGGGAGACGATTATATTCCTGGAAGGGTCTAGGAAATTCCATGCGGTGTTTTCGCGGATTTTAGCGGCCCTGGGCGAAGTTTGAAATATGGAGACCAGCCGTCCAATGGATAGTAGTGGACCCTCAAGCTCTTTTCTTGATTATACAGAGGCCATGAAAGTGGTTCAGGAGATTTTGCAAAGATATGAGATTCTATCACGCGGTTTCAAGCTCCTTCGCAGGTTATATGTTCGAGACGGTATGAAAGGCTTCCATGTATTTTGAAGTCTCTCGGCTGGTATAACAGCTGTCCATTCGGCTGGGGACAAAAATCCGACGATTTGTTATCATTAGTGACGAAAGTGTGGAAATATGACTTTCACTGTTGACTTCGCGCTGCAGCAAAGCAGCAATATGACCTCTTCCCTTTCCAAAGAAAGTAAAGAAATGAAGGGGCGCTGATAAGAAAAGGCAAATAAACCTGGCCAAGATTGCCTACCTATGAGCCTGCCTCTTTTTTAGCCCACGTCCACTTCCTTCCCAAGCCTTCATAGACTCTTATCAAAAGCCTTGAGTAAGTCATCCTTGTTGTGAAGCGAGGACCTTGGTGGACGATGGATATTTAATAGAGGATGAAAGACAGTCATTGCAAAGTTTGCCATCACCAACTCTTTCTTGTGCACTGTTGCAAACAAGTCCGATTTTAGTGCGCGTATCACTTTGCAGGATTTTCTTTCAAGTCATTCAATCCCATTTTTGCCCGTGTTAGAACTCAATCCTCAATACATTGCTTATCAGGATGGACACGGAACTGTTACGCTCTCTCCAACGGGATACTGGCGACAATACTGATACCTGTGAAACCGGAAACGAGTATGACGGTCGGCTGGGCCTCCGCGTTTCATCCATTTTCGTCATCATGGCTGGCTCGATGATAGCGGCAGTTTTTCCTGTGCTAGTGAAACGTTCAAGCACAGTTGGCGCTAAGTGTAAGCGAATCGCACACTGGGTGTTTTTTATAGCCAAATATTTTGGCTCTGGTGTCATCATTGCAACTGCTTTTATTCATTTGCTTGCTCCAGCGGAAGAGGCCCTAANGATTGTGTCCGACAGATCGTGTGTCCAGTCGTTCAGGAGGATAGATACCGCATCTCTCTCAGCCTGTAGCAGCTGTTCACGCTCAACCGTGCCTGCAGCCATGTCTTCAAACGGTCGGCGACGAGAGGGTGCTGGCCGGATCATGAGGGGGCCCCGTATAGCATCGTTGTAGTAAGCGCGGAAATGAGAATGATACCAGTAAAACCCGTACTCGTCTTTCACGGAAAATCGGTATGTAAAATTCCCTCCAGGGGGTATTTGGTACTATAGAGCCAAGTTAGTAACCGCTCTTTTTAGCGCTTGAAGGGCGGCACAGGCACCTGCGTTACTCCTGGGACCCCATCCATGTCCGGTGTTCCACGTTGTAGTATCCCTGAATTCATGTGCTTAGTTGAGCCGCCACATATACTTTGACGATAACATACCATGCCAATGGATAGTAGTGCTAACTGGCAACTCATTGCGAACGAACACCTCCACATCATCCCCTTCGTCAACTTCAATCATTGGACCGGGCTGCTGTCCATTGATTAAGTAGACTTCACGAGAAAACCCATCTATCAGCAACTAGGATTAGCTGTCTTGGTGACGAAGGCAAGGAATCAATCCGCAAACCTGGGCTGCGCTGGGCGGTATGAACTGTGAAGTTGAACGCTCGTAGGGAACCGAGAGCGCCTTGCACTGCAAGAAGAGTGCATATTACACGGAGCTGGAATGCAACGCCTGGCATTTTATGGAGGAAGATAATTATAAAGAGTTCAATTTTCTGAGGGTGATCAAACGTCCTTGCAGTCGTAGGAAGCAAAGGGAGACGATTATATTCCTGGAAGGGTCTAGGAAATTCCATGCGGTGTTTTCGCGGATTTTAGCGGCCCTGGGCGAAGTTTGAAATATGGAGACCAGCCGTCCAATGGATAGTAGTGGACCCTCAAGCTCTTTTCTTGATTATACAGAGGCCATGAAAGTGGTTCAGGAGATTTTGCAAAGATATGAGATTCTATCACGCGGTTTCAAGCTCCTTCGCAGGTTATATGTTCGAGACGGTATGAAAGGCTTCCATGTATTTTGAAGTCTCTCGGCTGGTATAACAGCTGTCCATTCGGCTGGGGACAAAAATCCGACGATTTGTTATCATTAGTGACGAAAGTGTGGAAATATGACTTTCACTGTTGACTTCGCGCTGCAGCAAAGCAGCAATATGACCTCTTCCCTTTCCAAAGAAAGTAAAGAAATGAAGGGGCGCTGATAAGAAAAGGCAAATAAACCTGGCCAAGATTGCCTACCTATGAGCCTGCCTCTTTTTTAGCCCACGTCCACTTCCTTCCCAAGCCTTCATAGACTCTTATCAAAAGCCTTGAGTAAGTCATCCTTGTTGTGAAGCGAGGACCTTGGTGGACGATGGATATTTAATAGAGGATGAAAGACAGTCATTGCAAAGTTTGCCATCACCAACTCTTTCTTGTGCACTGTTGCAAACAAGTCCGATTTTAGTGCGCGTATCACTTTGCAGGATTTTCTTTCAAGTCATTCAATCCCATTTTTGCCCGTGTTAGAACTCAATCCTCAATACATTGCTTATCAGGATGGACACGGAACTGTTACGCTCTCTCCAACGGGATACTGGCGACAATACTGATACCTGTGAAACCGGAAACGAGTATGACGGTCGGCTGGGCCTCCGCGTTTCATCCATTTTCGTCATCATGGCTGGCTCGATGATAGCGGCAGTTTTTCCTGTGCTAGTGAAACGTTCAAGCACAGTTGGCGCTAAGTGTAAGCGAATCGCACACTGGGTGTTTTTTATAGCCAAATATTTTGGCTCTGGTGTCATCATTGCAACTGCTTTTATTCATTTGCTTGCTCCAGCGGAAGAGGCCCTAAGGGATGACTGCTTGGCTGGTCCGATCTCGGAGTATCCTTGGGTAGAGGGCATCATTCTCATGACCATCATTGCTCTGTTCTTGGTGGAACTGATGATTATGCGCCATTCATATTTCAGCACGAGCCAACAGAGCGACATCATTGATAACGGAGGTCGGTGCCTTGGCGGCGTTGATAATTTTGGTGGTTGCAATCAGGTTAAACATCACCTACCGATGGACGATAATTTGAGCCGGCCCCAGGAACACAAAGACGCAGAGGTGGCTCGAGGCAACTTCGCGTTCGTGGATGACTATGCAGCCCAGCTTATCGGGGTTTTCATTTTGGAATTTGGAATTATCTTCCATTCCATATTCATAGGCCTGACACTCGCAGTTGCGGGTTCTGAATTCACCGCGCTCTATATCGTTCTCACCTTCCACCAGACATTCGAGGGACTAGGTCTGGGATCTCGCCTCGCGATGATTCCATGGCCGACTTCCAGGCGCTGGACGCCTTATGTTCTG